ACGTGTTGTCCCGATCTTGTTTGCGTAAATGTTCCAATATACGGATTTCTTCTTGCGCTTGTCGATGAAAACGCTTTTCATTACGGATGATCTTTAATGCCACTTGTTGACCAGTTTTATGATCGTGACATTTAACGACGAGACCGAACGAGCCTTTGCCGAGAATTTTCAGTACTTCATAACCTAAACGAAATTCACAAGAATAATTCGAGTGAACTAGTGCCGATAGAACACTTACGATAAGCAATATGATCGTGTTGTACAGCAATGTAGGAGCCGTTTTCGTCGTCATAATTAGCTGAAATACAGATCGGATTAAGATGAAGATCTTTTATCTTTTAGTCTGATGCATGGAATTCAATTAGTTTGCATCGGCCAGAGAAAAGAAAGGTCATTCGCACATTTGCAGGGTGGATGTTATTGTAAAAAAATCGAATTAATGTAATGCTTCTTTATTCTGTTGTTAGGTTTCTTTTGCTTGAAGCAGAACAAGGTTTCGAAAGGAATAAACTACATTTTATCGTCTATCAATCGGTAAAAGAAGACAAATATTCTTGAAGAATAGGTTTCGATAGAATTCTTTGTGTACAAAAGGCTAAAATACCCTCACCCCATCTATTTAGAATTCAAGAGTTGACAAGGCGAATTTTCTTACCGTTATTGGGCCCACCACCGATACCTTGGCGCTTTCGAGCATTTTGTCCAACGAAATAAACTTGCGGATAAGAAAATATTTCATGTCTTTCATAGGCTGTCAATTTCGACATGTAAGCTTTCATTGCGGCATCGGGTTCTAAAATATTCGTTCGTCGTTGTTGGGATGCGGATTGAAGGCTAAGCATACTGTCGACACTCGGGCTTTTCCGTAGGGGTTGCTCCAAAGGTTGTTGGTAAGTAAGTATTTGTGAACTACTGCTTTGATAATGTGGATGATTGTATAGGCCATTGCTTGTTCCATTAGTATGACTACCAGAAGGTGCAGGTCCACCGACGATAGTTGACGAATCGGTATGTGCTAGTTTATGTGATGAGTAATGTGTCGTCGATGGATGATGTGCGACTGCACCTAGAACTGGACTACTTTCATAGAGTTGTTGGACTTGAACACCAGCTGGTCGTTGTTGACGCGCCCGAATCGGTGGGAGACTTGTTTGTGACTGATAATCATACATTGAATATGAACGATGTGAAACACTTATATGAGTTCAAAACAGCAATGATGATTTTCTAAATAGAACAAGAAAATATCATGGAATTGTTAACGAGAATCGTGAAAGATTTGTGTAATGAATAGATCGACAACATTTTCGAATAACTCTCGCTACTCACTAAGATAAACTATGGATTATTGGTAATAACTTCAATCATTGGTCGCAGATCAGATCAAGTTTGAGCATAATTTTCTGTTTTGAAAATGCCTTAGTTAAAGGAACTGAAAAAAAATCTAAAATAACCGATACGTGTACGGTAACAGAAATAGAAAACGCACCGTTCCGAGCTCACGTACATACAGAAATAGAAGTTTCTTTTCTCTTCTTGCACGGAAAAATACAAAACTAAATTTTATACGTTTACCTTGCCCGATGTTTTTTTCTATTAAAATTTGTCGTCATATTACAAGTTGACGTTCCCTTTCCTCGCAGTCAGCTTGTGGAAAACACAGGGGAAAAGCAGTTCGCTTTCATTGGTTCTTATCTCGAGTGAAACGTCCGATCGGCTGATTTCTCGTGTCACACATACCTGTTCAATCGAAATGAAATTTTTCGAAAAAACGGGAAATGTGCTACAATTGCGACAAGGTCAATAATCTAATGTTGTTTTTTTTAGTGTCTGCATGTGATTGTACTAAAAATTGTCACACATCAACATAACTGAAGGAGGGGGGAGAAAGAAGAGAAGTGAGAATTGCATTTGTAAAATGTGATTAAAATTAGAGAGACGACACCGACGACGACGAGCAACAGAACAGGACACTTTCTCTGACACATTTTACCTTCTCTCTAACTCGAATGTATATATCTACACATTGCAAACGTGTGTTGAAACGTAAAGAGCGAAAAGATTGAAGGCAAGATTGCCGAATAGAAACCACATACTGACAGAATCGAAAAGGCAGAGTATGTTCAACAAGGTCTTCTATCGTCTATTTTCTTTCCTATCATAAAGATACGCTTCTCGTCATATGTTTATGACGTTTCTACCTGTTTTTCGAAGTGAAAAATGCTTACATGGACAGAATATTCGGTAACTAACTGCATTACTCTCTTTGCTTATATGTGCGTATATAATCTTATCTTATTAGTTTCTCTTTCTTTTTTTTCTTTTATTTTCTTATGTTGCTATTTATTATCGATAAGAACCCTCAAAATTGTTCCGAGAAGTAATATATGTGATAGAAAGAAGTCAATCTCTTCTTCTCTCTGTCTCTCCTCCTATAAAAATAAACAACAGAGTTATTTCAATCACCCTATTTTCATTCTTTTCTCTTCTTCTATACATCTTAACATATTTACTAATGTTCTACACTGCGCATCTACAAAAAATGAACACGAACAGCAGAGAGAAATTATCGAGTGCTTCAACTAGAAAGTTCATGACAAATTCATTCAATCATGATTAACTACCTACGTCGGAAACAAAGTTCATACTAGGAAGAAAAAAAAAGTTCCTTACGTTTTCATCGAAGTACATTGAAAATAAAAAGAAGCCGAGAGAAAGCAACAGACTGATAAATAAAGAGTTTGTACGTCTCTGCGTACATGTCTATCGAGCACGCTGTGAGCAGATCCGGTTACCCGATGTTACTTCGCATCTTCTAGTCTTTCTAGAAAGCGTCGATGTATGTTGAAAATCAGATTAATTTATCATAAATAAAGAACAAGCAATGAGATCACCTACCCGTCTTCTTAGTTTTTCCTCAATGTCGAAGATAAATGCAAATGGATATAGCTTAAGTGTATGTCCTAATCGTTGATCTCGATTATCCTTCAGTAACTAAACAAAGGAGAACATCACTAACATCAGTATAAACGCTGATGCAATCCAGTAACGATAGAAGGTGGGAGGATGAAAGAGGACAACAACGTCGTTCATCGTTCGTTCAACAATTTTCAACGTGTCAATTCAATAAACGCATGTATCGATTTGCTCATTCGTTCGGCTTACAATCGAGAACGACAGCGAACAAGAGAAAAAAGAGGGAAGAAAAAAGAAACAATAGGGATCAGATTAGTGCATTACCATCTCAGAGTAGTTGTAACATTGAACCAACAAATACATCGAGAAAAGAACGACGACGATGACTTTCATACTTATTACATCTACTTTTCTTTCAGTTGATCAATCTACATACATACATTTATCCGTCAGAGATATCTGATTACCATCGAACAATTACAAGGTCAATATGTATTTCCCTTTCATACAATACAATAGTCAAGAAATGGAAGTATTTGAAATCACTCTAGAATGAAGAGTCATCGAAGATATGTTTCATCTTTCTTGATAATCATATGGAGATCTAACAGCTAAACGAGAAATTTTACAAGTCATTCTGAAAAGAAATGTCAAGTGACGATCAAATGTTGTCGCACAAGAGTTGAGGATTATATTTTCGAATTAAATTTGAGATGTATTCAAATGATAAATACAATCTTATGTCTAGAAGAGTGGATTGAATTGATCAAAATCAATACTCTTCACGATGTACATCAAGTGAGTCTAAGGAGATTTAATTATACGACGAAACAAATGCACATACCTCTTGACCTTTTACAGAATCAATTTAATTGACATATAATTTGTAATTATTCATCAATTTCAACAGAACAATCAATCAATTGTCTATTGTTAACTTGATATTGTTCATAATATGCGCATAAATACCCTGTAGTATTCTACAACAGAGAAAAAATGATTAGAAATCCAAGTACAAATCGTAGGCATTGAGCGACGGATAATCTACATAATCGATGCGAATAAATCAGCATCGATCGGATTCATATCATTGTGAGAAAATATCAGTTCTGGGGAGTGTTTGATTTGTGTATTTACATGCGAAATGTAACAGATTCTTCTACGATGGCCATTGCTCAACTCGTTACTGTGTATACCGAAAGAGGCAATGTGTGTAGATTTCTTTTCTCTTTCTTGCAAAAGTGCCATCTCTACCGTTGAGAATCAACGGTGACTGGCGCCATCATTGTGCAATAAATAGAATATGTTTTCATGTTGTACAAGTCAACTTTTTTTCTTCTAAGTTGAATTCAGAAAAGCTGTGTTCTAAAAATACGGTTGTATTGTTTCCTGAATAGTTAACCTTTTGCGAAAATAAAGAGCAATTCGATATGCCAGTGTAATTAAGTCGAAAGAGAAAATAGCAATTTGAATATGCTTGACTGAATTATCGTAAATATCGGTGAGGTAATCATCATCAGTAAGTAGATTTAGTCAACTGAGTTTGTGGAAAAACTTTACGACCGAGTCCTATTTTGGTAACACGAGACAAAAATGTGGTTCGATTTACTCCGAGGAAAACTGAATGTATTCATTGTGTCATTGTTGATTGCCGTCCTAATCCCATTGATGAAGTTTTCGGTGATAATTCGTGTGAGTAGAAAACAATTCCTGTCAGTTCCTGACAAGGAGAGTGCTACTAGACTAATTATTTAATTGATGGCCTATCTCGGATTGATTCGAACCCTAGGAAACAAAGACAGACTACACGCATATATCTGAGAAAGATCTGTTCTCATTTAGTAATTGATGAAAATATTGGTTTTGACATTGATGATACATGTTAACTTCTAGTCAAATACTGTACTCATTGTAGTTTGACCAAATAAGAAAGAAAAAAGTATCCGTGATCACGTGTTTTCCCCATTCATGTTATCAGACAGAAATAGATTGATTCGACATTCAATTTTAATAATAAAAACAACAGCACTATATAGATAGATATATGTATGTATACATGATTATGTAAATAAGTGCTATTTATTTGCTTTAATTGAACTTTTATTATAATTTGTGGAGAATTTTTCGTCGTTTTCCAAGGTGAACAGCTTTGTGAAGCGCAGAACGTCAACCTAAGAGTACAGCTTCGTCTGGTAAACGGCGTTTACCCAGAAGAATAGACTCTGAAGGAAGTCGACGTTTGCCGAGTAAAATCGATTCCGAAGGTAGACGACGTTTGCCGAGCAGAATAGATTCTGAAGGAAGTCGACGTTTGCCCAACAACAGACTATAGAATTCGCCTGGATCGACTTCATTCATATCTGAACCTCGTTTGTTTGTAAATTGATGATCATGCAAGATGTTTATCGCATTGGCAACATCGTTATTATCTTTGTTCGACACCGAGATCGCGCGTAACGGATCAATCAAAACGGTCAAACCTTTAACAACAAATATAAATCAAGTTAGTTGCATCTGGGTGACTCACTTAGAGTGAAGAGCATCGCGTAGACGATCGAGCGGGCAACCATGATGGCTGGTTTAGTAAATATTGGAAAAATAATGTCGTCGCGAAGAAAAATATGCTGTTCTGGAATACGTGCATGCACATATTTATATACACGCAAGTGTCCCAATCCGCTGGGAATACAAACATGATTATCAACACGTTTTGCTGTTGTTTCCTCTTTGTTCAATTTGCTTCTCTTCATCTCATCAGCTTTTTCAAGTCGAAATCAAATCCAATAGGAATGGGTGAATAATCCTAATCACGATCAGCAAAGTAATATTCGTAATAAGTCACGTTTCAGTCAGGAAAAGCATATATAGAGCAATTTCACCATGTAAACTACCTGTCTTATCAAGAATTCAGATCTATTTCATTTCGATTGGATGAAAGTCTCAGAAAAAGAAGAAATTATCATTTCCATTGTTTCTTTAGTTGCATATCAATAAATAACGTAATGAACTTTCTGTTTGTTTACATTCAATTTTATAATATCATGCGATATGTTTTCACCAATTCGAGAATGTCGATAAAGATCTAGATGTACACATTGTCTATTGGAGATGCAATCGATTTTTATGTGTACAAAGACAAAATTGTTAGATCAGATTTCTGCATAGATATTTTCATCCTCCTGCTTTCTGAACATGTTTTGCCTTGACTTAACTTATTCATTAAAAATAATTACTCTTTCATGTGCGAATAAAGAATGTGTGTGTGTGTGTGTGGACTGAACCTTTCCGTCTTGTAATAGGAAATCGAATAACTAATTGTCTAGTGCATTCATTTTTTGCTTTTCTCGCGCTTAAACAAATGCGTACATTTCGCACTATGAGATATCTCACGTGAAACGATATATATGATTAATCAGTAGCAGTACTGTATTTGAAAATGCTGCGAATATTTGTACGAGTATACGATTATGCGTTCATTTCAAGTGTGCCATTATTCTGTTTTGTTCCATTCAAAGTGCCATCGGTGACACGATCAAATCATTGGAGATTGAAATGCTATTTATAATTTATACACGTACATATTTTATAACTATACGAAACACTTCTGAAGTGCGCTAGTTTTGAGTTCAATACAGGCTGACATGAAAAGAAATTTAGTACAGATTCCCCTGTTCGTGTTGGAGTGAAAGCAAAAAAATATATGGCTCGTCTAATTTATCTATCAATGGTAGTTTTTAGATTGGTTTTTGACAGAAGTAGTATTATCATTCACGTGCGTCGCGCGGAAAGTAAATTTGTCATGTAATTGACCGCATTAGTTCGAAATCTTTGTTTTATATGTATGAAAGAAAACACGTATAGATATGTACATACAAGTACAACGACAGAGTGAGTGAACAAACAGAAAAAAACGAACAACAGGTGAATAGAAAAAAACAACGATAATACTTCTAATTCGCTTCATCTAATTTGGCCTTTTTCGATACCTCGCTATCTGAAGGATCAAATGTTCGTTTCAAAGTGGTTTTGTTTTCATATTCGGCAACAGTTTTGTTGAGTAAGTCGTCAAGACATTGTTGAATCACTTTTCGATCATCGTTCGGACAGGATCCTTTCAGTTTTTTCTTCAACTTTCTGGTCTTTTTTTCCTCTTTTCGTCGTCGTCTTTCTTCTCGACGTATATTACGTTCTTCTTGTTCGACTTCAATCTGAAGTAATAATAATTCATCTTCTTCGTTCAAATCGAGCAACTTCGATAGATCGTTCATATCCGCTATATCGTCTTCACTGGTTTTTTCTGGTTTACCACTCACTGGTGATGTATCACGTGACGAATGCTAAGCAAAACAAAGATAGATGGTAACAATTGAACTGTTGTTTGCCTTCTTACTCGTGATAATCGGCCTTCGTGGTTCGATAAAGATGACGATCGTGACCATTGACCACTGCCTGTCGAGCTCAATGAACGCGAACGTCTTCGTGTACGTTTTCGACTTCTGATATCCATCATCGGCGATGGACTACGTTCGCTGGACGATCTGTTCTTCTGTTTGAGTAGATCGCCCAATGATCCTTTTTTTGGTGGTCCAATTGGCACTTTATGATGTAATCTAGGTGGCAGGCCGTATTTACGTTGTTCTTTCGACGATAGCTCTGCTGCTGATATGGGACGAATGCCGTTTGGTACAACAAAATCGTCGATGTCAAGTAAATCTTCAATTTCTCGACGAACATCCTTTTGTTGCTGTTGTTGTCGATTGGCTGCTCGGCGTGCATTTAAATGTGCTTGTTGACTGTGCGTCAAGCCTGTGATTGGTTTGAATTCGAATTTTGCCGTTGTTGAACCGATTGGTTGAAGAATTTTGCCACTTTGATCAGGAAACGGTGAGAACTCATCGTCTTGCTCATTCCGACGAAGACTAGCTAGTTTTTTTATTTGCTTAAAACCTTCATAATAATCATTGACATCTTCATCACCACCGACAACGACCGGAGCAGAAAGACTATTTTGAACGAATGCCCGTTGGCCAGTTTCTGTAACAGCTTGCATTGGAACCGGACGAAATTTACTATTTGGCAAAGATCTAAATAAACACTCAATGGTTAAACACGAATATCTCAATTTCAAATGTCACACGATTCGATGTTTTCGGAAGAATCTAAGAATTATGCGTCAACGCTTTGTCCTATACACAAATCAGTTTCTGAAGTCTTGTTAGTCTAATACTGTGAGCTGATGTCACTTAGTTTGAGCATTCTAATTACCGTTGCGGTTCGTGACTGCAACCATGAGTTATCAAATCTCATCTGATATGTGCATGATGGCCTTTCTCTTCCGCCGTACAGTCGATTAACATGGAGGTCAGATGTCTCGATGGTTTACTTACTTCTTATTTGCCTCTGGCAGCGATGTGTTCGCTGTTTCGGTATTTGGTGCTGCACTCGAAGCATTCGTGTTTGTTTGATCCAACGACGATTTCAAATGTGGATATACTAAATGAAAACAAACGCATTACTTATTCTGTTCAGATTTCAAATTAAAAAAAAGGAAAAATTTGCTCGAAAAGAAAATCTTGCTCAGCAAATATTATCTGAATAGATAATTATCTTCAAAATACATCAGATTAACGTGAAGAAAATTATAACATCATAGCAAGGAAAGATTTCCAGTATCGTGCGTCCGAAATACATACGTGAGAAAAATTCTTGATCATCTTCATCCGTACTGTCCTCCGTGCCACTCGATGAAGTCATTGGTTGAGCTAAAACAATACGATAGATATTCAGAGTGTTGCATGTCGCTCGCTACTTACCTAATAAGATAGCCCGAATGCGTTTCTTCGATAAGATGTCGAGTTGATCGAGACATTTTGCTTTAATTTCTTCGAGAGGATGTGTCTAGAAAGAAACAAAACCGTGATATTTTCTTTCCCTAATCAAAGAAAGTTGTTTTCTTTGCGCAAATGTATTGTATGTACATACAATCGATTAAAAAAATCCAACGACTCGCATTGAAAAATGTATACTTACTGCGCAAGTACACAAATTATAATAAGAGACAAAAGAAGAGAAAAATCTTTATTTCCGCATTATATCTGAAAGACAGGGGATGATGATATTAATACATATATATAGAAATATGTGCATGTAGTTCGAATCTCTCTGAAAAAGAAACTTTCGTCGGTAATTCGTTTCGATGGTGTTCTTTTTTTCCGATCATGTGAATTCATCTAAAATAAGGATCGATTATCAAACGAACTTGATTATGAGTATTGAAATGAGACCAAAAAAATATTGTGAAAAATAAAAGAAACAAATAAACTGATATTTGTTTTCTCAGCAATTTCTTTGCATCATATTCATCATGATCATCGTATAACCAGAGAAAACATTTTCCTGAAGTTACCTTTAAGACATCTGGCAGAATAGCCTGAAGTTTGTATCCGCGAACACAACGAAACATTTCTTGGAGCATACGTTCACGATCTTTGATGTAATAACCTATAGGTTTCAGATCTTCGTTCAAGTTGAGCATGCTTCGATCACTATCATTGCCATCAGAACGGTGTTGTTCACTATCACTGGAACCAACTAATTGTCCAGCCGCATTCATCTAGAATTATCACAAACCAGGTATGTTTGTTGTTTTCCTTTTCATTGATTTACCTTTTTATTTGATCGTTTACCAATTTTCTTTAGTTTTCGTTGACGTTGAGAATTGGTACTGGCATCGCTGCCAGCATCTTTATCTTTCGAGCGATCGGAACTCGAGCCTGATGAACGATGACGATTTTCATTACCATCGGAATCACCACTGGATTCATCGGTGCGTTTCATGCCTTGCGATTCATAATCATCATGTAAGCCTATGGTTTTCATTTGCTACAAAACATCGACGAGTAAATATCAATGAATGAATTGCTTCTTATACTTACTAATCGTCTGGCTAAACCATGGATTTTCTTTTCCACTTCTTCAACATTGGCCGTCGCTGTAGATGTACCGCCAGCTGCTTGTCTCTGTTGAATTCGAGCGTAACTCTTGAATTTTTGTACTTCTTCTTGCAATTTCCTTGACCGTTCGCGCTTACTGTTGGCAACCGCTGCTGCTGTTGCTAATGTGTTAGCAAGTATTTCTGGATTATTCGTCTGAATAATGTCCGCTAATAGTGAACTTAGATGTGCCGGGTTGCCCATCAGTTCGTGTGGCGCTGATGTTTGTTTTGAATGTTGTGACATCGCTGCCGATGATCGATTTCGATTAGTTTTCGCTGATGCACGTTTTTGTTCGCTAGACGTTTTATTCGTTGGTGACGATTTGGATTTACTTGATGATTTCTGATCGCCCTCATCACTTCTATCGTCATCTCGACGTTTTCGACGATTGCCACCGGAAGAACCAGATGATGAACTCGAACTTCGCCGTTGTTTGGATTTCTTCTCGGTTGCTGCTTGTTGTGCCTGTGCCTGTGCCTCTTCTTCTTCATCGGATGCCGTGAAAATATTTCGTCCAAGTAAACGAAAATTAAAGCGCATTTCGCGTGGAATATGTTGAACAGGAAACGACGCTTGATATAAATTGCTGACCTTTTGTCCTGAACTGATTTTCTTATAATTATCTTGAAATTGTTGATAAAAACGATTGTTGGGATTATTGGGATTAGCGAACTTCTGTCCAGGTCCTCCCTTCTGTTTCTGTTGTTGTTGTAAAAGACTGATCATATTCGCAACATTATGCACATAATTAGGATTATTCATTGCGTTACCACGACCACGGAAGTTATTTGAATTGGGCCGATAATTACCAAGTAAAGATTGAGGTGGACTGTTACCACCCGAACGACGATTACCATTGCTATTACGCATTACCGGGCCACCCATCATTGGCGAGGGCATGAAAGGAGGCATACGACCACCACGTGCATGTAAACCTGGAGGTAAATAATGACGTGGCATATTCGGAGGAAAGTTTGAATGCGACATAGGTGCGTAAAGATTTTGCATGTTCGAACCCGAACGACGCGAATTTTTATGACGATAGCGTGTGGGTGTTTCACGAGATGATGACCTAAAGAAAAAGTGACGATGAAAATCAATTATTCTTCTACAAAAAAAAAAAGAAATGCGATCGACTGAAAAACTTAAAATGTAGCAATGATCAGTAGAGATGACGAAATCATTATGAAAAATCATATGTCCCTATCTCTTGGAACTTCATCACATCATTGCCTTCAGGTAGAATCGAACCCATGACCGTGCCTAAATCTACTTTATATCCACTGAACTAGAATATCTTACTGAGTAGGGAACATCCGAGTTTAACTATATTAAGAGATTACGACAAGAAAACTAACCTATCGCTCGATCTATCGCTACGTGACCTGGATTTTGAACGGCTTCGTGTTGTATTGTTTCGTTTTGGTGATGATTCGGACGATTCACGTTTTTGACGTTGGGACTTCTTTTTACTACTGGAAGATTTCTTATCATTACTACGGGTTTCATTGGATGACGAAAGTTTTGATTTGTCTCTTGAACTCTTCGTTTTAGTGGACTTTTTCGACGTGGATGATGTTGCATTACGTTCGTAATCATCGGATGACCGAGATGACGACGAATCCGAACGTGCTTGCTTATTATGTTTCGACTTATGATGACTCGTTTTAGATTTTTTCTTTTTTACATTTTTCGACGATGAGGATGACGAAACAACAGTTACTTTCGAGGATGGCTGATGTGAACTTGTTTTGCTATCTGTACCCATGAGAGAAAGAAAGAAATTATATATAGGGAAAATAAAATTAAAATCTAAAATAGAAAACCAAATGAATTTCAGAGTGTCGACGATAAATTAACAAAGGCACGTAATAATAATAACGCGAGTGCAAAACAAGTGAGACATCTTTATACACCACGTATTTATTGCCTCGACATTGGTTTTATGTTTTCAAGAACCAATAGAAAAATTCCGGTATTGAGTAGACGTCGCTAGTGTTTTCAAGTGTGTCTAGAACGAAATAATCAACCAGTAGAATAGAGTATTGAATATTCTCTAAAAATAAAATACGAGAATATGCTGAGTCGCTGTTCATTGAACGTTACACGTGCGTTTTCGAAACACTTTCTGAATACTCAATGGAAAAGATCGGATCCGAATCGATATTGGCGGGTTCAGTAAGATCTGTTTGTATGAAACAAAACAAAATTCTTCAAGATCTTTTTAGGCATAATCTACCGAAAGACGACGAAGAACACGGTCCGCTCGCTGATCTACCCGACTATTCCTATCTAAGTAAAGTTTTCTCTCTATTGCGTCTGTATAGAAATCGATCGCTTTCTTATTAGATGGTGAACCATCACATTTGTCACCTGCACAACGTAAAAAATACGATTTCAATGCGTCCGTTGTTCGACGTATTCATGAACTTGATGCAGAATTAGCTGAAGCAAAACGATTGTATGCTGATAAAATCTCCTCCACCGTGACGGATTACAATAAAACTGCTCAAATTGCTAACCGCCTCAAGACGACGAGTTCATCAACGAAAGTCAGTGCTCGAGCTACAAAAGAACAACGTCAAGCGATTTCATCGATATCATCACCGAACGAATATTCATTTCAACCGAATCTACTCAATGCACTTCGTGAAAAGGCAACTTACAACGAAGCTTTCGAAGAAGTTGTTGATCCCGTTGGTGCTATTGTACCAAACAAACTTATGAGTATCGAACGTCCACCTTACAAACGTACAGGTGAACGACGACGTTTCCACAAAGTGTTTAAAATTCGTGCACCAAACCTTCGTATGTTTCCGAGATAAAATAAAGCAGAATGAAAGATCCTTCATTTTCCTCATAGTTTATTTTATTTCTGAATTCAGTAAAGCTTTTAACTGAGTACAAAAGTGATGAATTGGAAAGCCGACGACGTTAAAATAATCACCATTGATCTTTTTCACTAATGTTGCACCTAACGATTGAATACCATACGCGCCTGCTTTATTCATCGGTTCACCTGTTTCGACATAGGCTCGAATCGTTTCATTATCAATGTCGCCAAATGTCACATCGGTCGTTTCGAAAAATGTTCGCTTCGTCTCACCATGAAGAAGACACACACCAGTACACACTTGATGTGTATTATTCGAAAATGTTTTCAACATACGAAAAGCATCATCTACATCTGCTGGTTTACCATACACAACATTATCTAATGAGCACATTGTATCAGCTCCAATAATGACTACATTTTTTCTCTCATTCTCGTTTAATTTCAATTCGTTGTACACATGCCGACATTTATGTTCAGCTGTGTCAATGACGTATTGCGAGAGGTTTTCTTTATATAAGGAAGGATCTAAATCTTCAGCGAAGTCAGAAACAATGATTTCAAAGTTTAAGCCAATCGCTCGAAGTAGGTCTTTACGTTGCGGCGAACCACTTGCTAGAATGATTCGTTTCGTTTGGAGAATATATTTCAATGGTTGTAGCATCTAGAATATAATATAAAATTGTTTCACATTCATTCCTTGGACTTCGTCATTAAAAAAGAAAAAAATATGTAAAGGCAATGCATAGTGGAATTGTTAAATTATCGAAATCGGACGGAGTTAATGCCTCTACTACAGTTGCACTGAAACATATAACACTAAACTTGAACAGAGCAACTGATTGAAAATTAACGAGAATTGATGTGTAGATTATTGATGCGAGAATTCCAGCGATGAGAAAACTCAGTGATCCATCCAGGGACTTGTTTTTATAAATTTTTCGTTGATTCCCGTAGCGAACGCCGATGACGGCGGCTAAACCGTCGCCCCAAGTCAACGTTCCCATGATAATCGAACCTAATACTGTTTTATAGAAAATTGTGCCACAGATGATCATAACAAAGTTAAAAAATAGCGGTCCACGTAAGAGTTCATGCTGGTTGCGCATTCGTGTCATAACATTGAGCACAACTCTCGCTTGTCGATGATCTGGTGAGCGGCGTTGACCAATCCATAGAAGTATACCAGTCCACAGAACATTTGGAAAGATGTTCAAATATTTCAAGAGGTGGCCGCGATCATCGTAAAAATAGAGAGCGAGATAGAGTGTGCCAGCACCAATATGAGTCACTTTTCGTGATACTTCATTTGTAATTGCATTGCGTTTATGCAAATGATTGAGCAAAAACACAACGCTGAAAGTAATCCCGGTGACGATCAAGGAGACAACTATATTTTGTGTCAAAGTTGAAATCATGGTCTGAAAGAGTCGACTTATCGAAAATAAGTTTTTTTCAAAAATGAATAAAAAGAAAAGAACGTTAACAAAAACAAGGCAAAGTAAATAGCAACCACTTCATTTATTCCGTTTGAGTGTGCGCTGTTTTTCAGCATGCTCAACAATCTTTTCTTCCACGCGCAAACCTTTACGTCGACGGACGTCATTCATGTATTTTTTCGCACGATTTTCAAAGTCGGCTTTCTCGCCGAAATGAACGAATTCTTCTTCGGTTTGAGGTTCCCAGAATGGATCCAACTCGATTACTTCCCAGTATGTTTTACCAGACAATTGCGGCGATGCTAAGCCACTTGCTTTCTTACGCATTTCTTCAGTAAATCCAAAGCTTTCGGCGACTGGTAATGCAGCGGTTATGATAAATGTACTCGTACCTTCTTTCATATCTTCGTTCAAAACGCGCCCATTGCGTTTATTCAGAACCGCATAGGCACGACCTAAACAGAAACAAAATCAGATAATAGAGTAGGATTGATTATGAACAACCAACCTAATGCTTCAGCATTCACCATGGTTTCACATTTGAACATAGCAGCAACAAGTCGTCTCGGTTGAGAATCGAACGCTTTTCGGCAAGCATCACGTATGGTTGACACGATTTGACCTGATAGTGGCCCACGCTTTATTACTACCTTCGATTTATCAACAACACGACGAGGTTTTCGTAAACTATGCAGTGTGGATGAGTCATCACTTTCCATACTTAACGTTTCCAGTAGACTTTCAACTTCATCGACTAGATTTGTTGCCGCTGTTGTTGGTGCATCAGTCGCTTGATTGTCGGCAACTTCCGGATCTTCATCATGATTAACAATTGTGTTTAATGTCCAACGTTCAACGATAAAACCAACACCCATCAGTGGCTCTTCACATAGAGATCCTTTCGCAGTTGCCAATTGAAAACCATAGATAATACTCAAATCGTAATCATCTTTATTCAATGATGGGTTCGTATTTGTTTTGTCTTGATAGTTTAATGCATTCGTCCAAATCGATGAGCCACGTTGTCTGTAGATACTATGTGGGATACGATTGAGTAGTAAATTGGGACCACATTTGAAAGGGCCAAATGACCATATTTCATCAACTGTATTCGCACTCCACATGCTGTCGTTTGCATTGACGAATTCTTCATTCAATCGTTCTCGTAATTGACGAATCTGCTCGAGCGTTTGATCATTCAGTTGAGCGCCGACTTTTTTATCATCACGTCCTTGTGCTTGTTCAATTATTCCAAGTAGTGAACTGTTCTCATCTAACAGGCGAGTAACACCGGAAGGTAACGGAACAGCCCGAATTTGAAATATACACTGTTGATTTTGCGTACTCAATTCCACCAATCCATCCTCTAGACAAACGAACAAAGATTCTTGCCATTTCTTTGTTAAGATATATAAAATTACCTAACAGCCATGCTGGTCTTTCTTTAGTTCTCTTATTCGATTTGAATTGTTGCTGTTGATTGGCTAAGACTTCATTGAGAAAGTCAACTTTCGGTGGTGGAATAATCGTTTCACGAAATGGAATAATCGGCGCTGATACATTCACTTCGATACGCGCGTATCTAAACGAAACGCAAATATAACTTCCTTGTTCTTATCGAAGAATTCACGAACATTTTTGTGAGATCATCAATACATCGTTGCAAATGTACTTCACCAGCGGTCGACAAAATATATTCACCGGTATCCTTCAGTGTACATTCAACCAATGGGTCAGCTTGATTTAACAATCGCATACCACGTCGAAGTTGTTTCATTTGGGCTGGAAAGTAACTGGATATACGAAAGGAAACGAGCAAGAAGAGTGCATGTCTTACAAGGATTTTTTGGCTCAATTGCTACGCGTACAATCGGTGAAACCTCGAAATGGAGACCAGTAAATGATGGACAAAAGATATCAGTTGACAATGTTGCTGATTTTAACACAAGAGAATCCAGTTGACCAATAGCTAAATTAGACGATTGGTCACATATCGAAACGGCTAGACAACTCTGTTAGCGCACGTACCCACTATGTTTCCAGCAGGCACCTGATCGAGCACTGTAAACTCACGACCCATCATTAAATAGAGATCTTGTACGACGAATTCATGTACGTGGTCAGAAATACTATGCGCAGAAACTTCGTTAAGATCCTAAAATGTAAAAAAAAATGAAATATTTCTATGAATTTATGAAATGATTATTACTTTTCCAACAAACTGGCTTGGATCGTGGCGGGGACTGAGAACAAAAATCTTCTGTCCTCTTTTTAATCGTCCACTGAAGACACGCGCAAAAGCGAGAAAGACGTTTTCATTTGTATTCTCCTCTGGTTCTGCTTTTGTTACTGTCGTAATTTCTCCAACATTCTCTGTTGTTGATTGAACTGCTTCTCCGATAGGATTTCCACATTCTTCATTGGGTGTTGCTGTCTTTTCAACTTGTTTCTGTCTGAGAAGTTCACGTCGTTGAGCAATGTCTTCTACAGTTAAAGGTCTACACAGAAATAGAAAAGACTTCAGTCTTCAAGAATTTTTATCAATCTTAGCTTTCCACTAACTTTTGCTTATTTTGTGATAGAGCGCTGTTGTGCACGGAGAACAATTTCGAAACATAGACAATCACCGGCGCTTGATCATCGATTGAACAGTCCACAAAAGCTACGAAGACAGAAGTATTGAGTTAACTATTTCGAGTAAACGAAATATAATCTTACCTTGTTTCAAACGTTGTGTTTCTGGTAGTAATCTATCGAATCGACAGCTCTTACTACACATTAGTTGTTCGATCTTATAAGAGTTTAATGCTTTCGGATGTGGAAGTTGAGTGATGACCATATCTAAACAAAATCATATCTCGAATTAGCTGATTCTTTTTCCGTGGTAAACCAGCGAACCAAAAACGGCTGAAGCAATAGGTAGCCAGTGATTAAATATCAAATGTAATGGAACACATGGATCAGTGTGTCGAATATCTCTTGGAGTTAATTTTGCGCCAATGGACGTGGCCATCTTCTCAAGTTTTTCATTATCACTAAATACCAAAATTTCGTATAATTGGAATACAAAACGATGAATACGAACCGGCGTAGAATAATCGTTTCATAGACATTCCAAATATTTTCGAGAATAAACTGAACAAACATTGGCTTTTGGCCTTTACTCTACATAAGAAAACGAATAATCAGCTGAATAGAGCTTTTCGAAATAAATCATTTACCTGTGCTCCTTTAAATATTCGCTTGGTCTTCTTGTCGAAATAGTAATCACCCCAGAGAGTTTTTATCAGTGCTTCACGTTTCACAGATAATTTCTTTGTATATAAATCCGCGAAATGATGGATACTATTCAAGTACAAATCAACGACACTTTCGTACAGATATGTAAACTTCTGTCAAGCAATTTACCCAAAAGCCCATCCATCTAATGCGCTGGCGAATAGGACATTATTATTGTCTGGAGAGAAACATATTTTGGACTCATTTCGTGCCCAGTCATCATTGTCATCATCGATATTTTCACCAGTAGTAGATTCACTCTTTGTCTAAACAAATGTGCATTGGAAATGAGATTCATGTAAACGGATATATCTACTTCTTCGGTAGTTCCTTGTTCAGCCTAAAAAATGGAACATAAAACATTTAAACGGCTTATTTTCTGTCACATCTTACACTCTTTTCCAATAACAACGATGTAAATTGTTCAGCAACAACAGCATTCAAATGCTCTAGGATGGCACGGATATGAAAATATGCTTCCAGTGGAGTCATCTTCAATCCAATAATCAGACGATCGATTTTATTCAAAACTAGAATGATACGTAAATGTTCTAGCCACGCTTGTCGGAGCGCAGCTAAAGTCTAAATGAAAAACATATTGTCGTATTCTTAGTTTGCTCATTAAATAAGACGCTCATTACTTGAGGGCACACTCCTTCGACTACATCGACTAGTATAATTGCACCATCACAAAGCCGAACAGCAGTAGAAACTTCCGAGGAGAAATCTACGTGACCAGGTGTATCAATTAGATTGATCAGATACTTTTTCTCATCTAAATACGCATCAATAAATTGTTTTCTTTAGTATAATTATATAATCGTTCTTTACGACAACCTTTCTCGTGAACGAGTGAGACCGCACTTGATTTCATCGTAATACCTCGTACTTGTTCAGCTTCTAGACTATCCATTAGACGTAACTATGGAAAAATAATCGATTAACAAGTACAATTCTATCCATATTTGACAATATGGTTTGTGTCGACTTACTTTGCCAGCTAAGCGGGTAGATATGATTCCATTCGAGGCAAGTAAATCATCAGCTAACGTTGTCTTTCCATGATCAACATGCGCCAGAATACATATATTTCGGATTAGTTCCGTATTTTCTTGCAAGTCGCAAAGAACCTCTGATGGATAGGTTATAGTCGCTGGCATTGTTGTCTGTATCTATCTTGATATTAGTCTTTTTCTTCTAAATAAATGATCGATTCTTCAATTTAAATATAATCATGACACAATAACGATGACGGTTGTTGTAATTACGCAAGAACAGGAAAAAAACGAATATAGGCATGATTCTATTTACACTCGTTCTTCAGAATGAGAAAAAGAGATGACGCTGACAGGAAAAAGTTAAGCAACAAAGAAAAATGTCGAAGACAAAAAAAGAAGAAAACGGGAAAATAAGACTAATAGAATAATGTAATGCTATTGTGTCTGATCTTATGATGTGTGTTCTTATTTGCGATACCACTTTTGTAAGGTATCGTAGCGTTTGATTTTTCGTTGTAATTGTAGAACACCGTAGAGTAAAGCTTCTGCACTTGGTGGACAACCAGGAACATAAATATCTACGGGAATAATACGATCGCATCCACGTACCTAATACAAATGAAAAAGTTCGTATGAGAATCCGTGAGAACGAAATAACATACGACTGCATAAGAATAATGATAATAACCACCACCGTTAGCACACGAGCCCATAGAGATAACCCATTTTGGATGAGGCATTTGCTCATAAAGTCGTCGAATAGCTGAGAAAGATGCAACATGAGATGAAGTTTTGTGAAGGCAATCCTTGTTTACCTGGTGCCATTTTATTAGTTAATGTACCAGCAACAACCATAAGATCACATTGGCGTGGACTAGCACGAAAAACAACACCAAATCGATCCATATCATAACTGAAAGAAGTCAGAAATGTAAAATGCAGAATGAAATGTGTATTTATCCATGAAAGATTTACCGTGGTGCAGCCATATGCATCATTTCTACGGCACAGCAAGCGAGACCGAATGTAAGTGGCCATATCGAACCACGTCGAATCAAATTTTGTACATCATCTAAACGAGCTAATGCAACTTCGACTTTGCTGTCGCCATAGTGTTTGCCCGGTACGTTCTTATATGGTGATAAATTATTGATTACATTCTGTTCTTGAGCGTTCTGAATCGGGGGATTTGTTGTATGCTCGACAACGGTTGATGAAGAAGCCGCTGGTGCAGTAGCAGCTCCACGGTTCGATATTATTGATGGTAGAGTAAGCCGGGAAAGCGGCAAAGAGTAGCGTAAAAGGGCCATTGACGACAATGATCTAGACAATTAATGTAAAATATGATTACAAAATCAATGGCGAACTTTCTAGTCGTGAGATCATTCGAGTTCAAAATAGTAACGATCAACAAGATTCATTCTATGGTACTTTTTCCTTCTGTAGAATACCATCAATGACCTTTTATTGGCGCAGTTAGTTTTCAATAGATGTCACCTGTTTTCGATTAATTCTTCCGATAAAAAAACAATAAATTGCTGAAATAGTCGCACGTTCTCGAGACGAATAATTCTATGATAATGATAATCTTCACAGACGCATTTTCAAATACATCCTTGTTAACGAAACAGCAACAACGATGCAGCTCGTACGAATATTGAATGTTGTTCTTATTGTATTGATTTCTTTATGTTACGGTGATTTGAATTCAACTAGTAAGAACTAGAACTAATAACAAATGTACTTTCATGTATTTTCCTAGTCATCGAATCAGTACCAGTGGTGTGCAAAAAATGCTCGCCTTGTTGGAATGTTTTTAGTGAAAACTTCGGTCCTTGTTCCAATGAAACGTATCGCATAAGTCTATTCAATAATGTTCAACCGGTTTGTATGGATACGTTAGTTTTACTGGCTATCATGTTTCTGAGTATTGTTATCCTTACTCCAACTTGTCTTTGGCTTTGCTATCTGTGGATTAAACGTTGTCGAAATGTGGATGCGAAATATATCGTTAACGAACGTGCCATTATGTAGTCATTAAGATTTCGAAGAACTACAGAGCTTTGTCATCGTTTTTATTTAGTCATGAAAGAAAGTTTTGAATGATATTGTATCAGAATATAATGGAATAAAAATAATCTATGTAGACTGTGATGGTCAAGCTTACTTTTTACTAGAAATTCATAAATAGATATATCTAGCAGACATTAGAACACTGAGATAGCTTTCTATCAGCCAATATCGTTATGTATTTGCTGGAAGTCGATTGTATATCAGTATCGACGATATTTTTCATCTCTTTTTCAAAGCAGAATACACTGAATGGTTTTATTTGACACTTTGATTGCTGATAAACGATGGGATATATCGCATATTCATAATTGATGGAGATTAATTGTATATCATTATTTTCTCAATGTGTTGCTCGTGTGATGATTGTATATTGTGTTTTCGTGTAGTACAAGAGCAACGTTTGAAGACAACTTTTTTGTACTTAGATTTTTACGCAGTGATATAAAAGTTCATTTTAAGTCGTGTTTTTAACGTATAGTCATGCTTGAATACGTTCTGTTGGCTATCATTGAGTACATTATTGCATATCTAGACTAAGAACCGTTTCGTCGTCCTTAGTCATTCATCGACAAGACTAAAAGAAAGAACGCTTATTGCACTTAGCAATCAGTTCTTTTACACGTAATTGTGTGTACACATGCCTCCTTTATTAGTATTTCTCATATTGTTCGTAGAATACTCTTGTTCTGCTGTTTGGAATCAGTCTAATTCCAATTGTTCTCTACTATTTACTGTTCAAGAAATAAGCGTATCAGACACGATCGCCACTCACTTTCCGTTGAAACTTACCGGCTACTTTAATACATCGTGTGATATTCAAAACTTTTCTGCTTACTATAAACTTACACCATTGAATGTCATACTTATTGGAGACACAGAACAGCAACAGCGAGATGATGAGGATACTTATTCGATGATCAAATTGCATGCAAATCGGTTTAATTTTTTTATAAATCAATCTTCAACCATTCGATTGTGCGTCTTATTATCTGATAATGGTGCCCAATATCTGTGTCGACAGATACATATCGGTGTTAATGAACTATACGACTTTTGGAATAGGCCGATGAAAGTATTTTATTTGGTATTGATATCTTTATTGGGCACTTATCATATTTTGCGTTTTCTAAGACATAAATGGCGTAAAAGCGGAAAGAAATCGAAACCCAAAGCTCGAACTGTTGTTACCAAACGCGTGTCAATTCACGAAACTAAACATGATACATTCGAAAATGAGAAAGTCAATGAAGATTTATCTGGTGACGAAGATGAAGAATAAACCTTATACTAATTTATTGCTTTTCTTTGAATGTTATGTTAATAAAAGAAAATGTTTGTTTCTATCTAAATCGAAGCTAGAATTGATTCTCTAGTGTAGGTGGGGATTTGCAAACAATCTATTCTTCTTCTTCTTCTTCCTCCTCAGCAGCTTCTTCGGTTGCTGCTGGTTCTTCTTCGGCAGCAGCAGCTGGTTCTTCCTCAGCGGGCTCTTCTGGTGCTGGTGGAGCTTCTTCTTCGTGTTCTTCTTCCTCGTCGGCTGGAGGAGGAGGAGGAGGCTAAAAAGGAAATAATTATTATTAGACTGGATTTTAATGGTATGATCGTTTACTAAATCTTCCGTATGTTCTTCGGATTTTTGTTTTTCAGGAGCCGCAGCGGGACGTCTTGGTTTACGTGCTGGTGCAGCTTCAGCATTCGAATCAACTTGTTTTATTTTTGCTTTTGGACGTTCAGCTACAAAGTCCGTCTTTGGTTTATCTGTAGCCCAAACATCACGACGATCTTTGAACGTACGACGATCAGTAACTAAACATAAGTAATTGTGTCACGGGTTATGTTTCATGTGAACATCGATCACTCACGCCGTTCGTATCGACTGAAAAGTGATACTTTTGGCTGAAATTAAAAAAAAACAACGGAAAATGCATATTCAACGCACATTTTTCAATAAAAAAAACTAACCGGTGCTTGGGATGTTATATCATTTACACCTGTAAAACTAAAATGGACCACGGGATATATTTGTTTCTATTCTTTTCATGTGCACTTACAGACCACCTCCGAGACCAGTGTGAACGATGTTTGATTTGCGTGTTTTAGCTTTTCTAAAATACGGCAGATAGGATAGTGAGGAAAAGAGAAGAAAAAGAACAAAATGGCCAAACCCTTTTTCAATTTGACGAGCTCGCTCAGTCAATTCAACCATCTAAAGAAAAATATTTCGTTGCACTTATCAAACGAATCTATCAAGAGCAACTCACATCATATTTTTGTCGTTCAAACCGTTCAGTTAATTCATAGATAGCGCCATGTAATTGTTGAAGAAGACTGTGAAATTGTTTGGCCTTTTGTGAAACAAGAGAAGCTCATGAAAAATTTCAAATCAGAGATTATCAATCAACCTTTTCAATCAGATCGTCTTTTGTTTTACCATCTAATTGCAATGGTGGTACTCGCTGGGCGATTATAGAACGTTTTTCTTGTTCTAATTGTTCAGGAGACTTTTGTAAATCTTCCTTTGCTTTGAGAACATTGCTGAAAGCTGAACCACTAGCCACTAAAGGCAAATCATTTATCCAATGCAAAGACAAGCATCGTCGTTAACTAGACTTACTATTGTTCGATCTCTAGTATAGTAACAGGGAAATAATCAGTGATATTTGTGACAAAAAGAGCAAGATTGTTGATTTTTCCCTCTTTTTATAGATACGAGGAAGGAGAAAAAGAAGGAAAAGGAAGGAATCAATCAGATTTATCGTTGTGTGGTGAATAACCTATGGATATAGTATGTAATAAAAATACGAACATATGTGTGTTTTTTTCTGTGATTCGCGAGTCAAAGACATGCATACGTATATCAATATATTTGTTCTAGGAGAAAACTGCTGGTCTATATCGAGCTCTGAGAAATATCTTCGTCAGACAATGATAATGTGAAAGAATGATCAAACAGTGTACATAATGAATCCAAGGCGAAAGAAAGAAATAGACAGGAAATGTTTAGCATATGTACTATCACACGAATGCATCTTATGCGAAGTGTGCGGATGTTTATTTTTCAGTTCGAGATGTTATTTTGTGCTAAATAAATGTCGACGTTGTTCCAATATTGTTTGGATATCTTGTTGTTGCTGGCTGCTCATGTGTAAAATCGTTTGCTGAATTGTTTTTGATCTATTAATAGCAGCGTCGATTTCCGATATTCCATTCTCGTCATGAGGAATTTCAGCAGCATCTCCATAGCGTTGTGCAAATGGAGCTTTTGGTAGCGATGGCACAGAAGGAATCATTTGTGGTGGGGGAAATGAAATCGTCGTTTTTGTCTGCACTACAAATGGTGCTGAAATAGTCGTCGTTTGAATTGGTACTTGCGGCATTGACGGAATGATGATAGGTGGAGGAGCAGGTCGAAGTAAAGGCCGTGGTTGTTGCTCTTGTGTAAGTTGAGGAACTTCATTAGTTAAAGGTTTGGGGATAAGTAAGGGTAACACAGGTTCAGGCGTTTGAGGTTGATTATGATTAATAGTTGCGCTAGTAGAATCATTCACATCAATAAACTCGAATATCTGCTCATTTGATAAGCCTACATCGTCAATAATTTCGAAATCATCGTTGTCCGCCATGCTGAATTTCGTCGTTGCAATCGAAATGCAAAAAGGAACAGAAAGCTTTATACTTTCTCGTATTTATGACTAATGTTAACGTTATTTCACAATCATTATGTAAAACAAAAAATTGCACCTTTAGCAGCCAACGGCTAGCACTGTATGTGACTCATTATAGGAGAAATCAATATCGAGTGCTATGAGCTTGATTAAAAATTTTTGTTTATTAAAGGGAAAATGCTAAGAAACAAAGTAGATTGTATGAAATGATTATACGACGGAGAAATATGTTAGTTCTTGGTAGTAGAATCAGGAGCACCGAGTGAGATGGTAAAATCTGGATATTTTTCTTGCAGAACTGTTTTCGAGCGTCGATGATCTGCAGGACCATATGCCTATGATAGAAAGCAACCGAAATCTTTGCCAATGTATCAATCGTGATCATACTTCTGATTGATCGAAAAGATTAATCTTCTTCTTTTCAAAATCGACTTGCATTTTTCCACCGCCTAATATGTACAGATCATTTAATGGTCCACCAGCTTCATCTTGAAGTTTTTTGAATATTTTTTCTGAAAGACAATCTCGTATTGAGGATGACAATTGTAAGATTGGTGATCTTACCATGGTAATCAAGAGTTGAATCACCACGAATCAAATATTTTTGACCAAGTTGGGCGAGAATGTATTTAAATCTGCCTGACTTTGAACCAATATTAACGAGTGGAAGTAATTTACTCATAATTATCTAGAAGAAAGATACAAGAGTATTTTTATGAATCATCACTTCATTGTTGATCCTGGGGCAGTCCTATTACATCGTTCCGATTATCTTTCTGCTTGTAGAGAATCATCATTGTAGCACGTCATTCTATGTTTTCGACCTTTCTTCTTTGAAATGAATAGAAACAAACTGATGTCACACATTGCTTGCTTATTATAAATATCAATATTCAAAATCTGCTCGAATACATATGAAAAAAGACTAAACTAAATGTTGAGATCTTCGAATTGATTATTTGTTATCGGAATCAGTCGGTTTTTCAGTTGAAATCGTAAAATCAGGATACTTCTCTTGAAGTAACGCTTTCGACTTCTCATGGTCAGCAGCGCCATAAGACTAAACACATCAAAATGAAACCTTGAACTCATTATTAATCGAAGAGTATTACTTGAGATTCACCAAAAACGTTGATCTGTTTTTTATCAAAGTCAACTAAAACTTTTCCACCACCCAAGACTTTCAACTCATCTGCGGATTTCTCCCCGACTTCGTGCTTGAGTTTTTCAAAGATTTTATCTATGCAAAAAAGTCCTAGTTGATCAACATATGCGTTTCATCAAGATGAACTCATATACCGTGGTATTCAAGATTTGGATCACCACGGATGAGATGTTTCTGTCCTTGTTGAACTAGGATATACTTAAATTTGCCGGATTTGGAACCGATATCAACGATTTGTGAAGTCATTCTTTGAAATTATCTGGAATACATAAGTAATGAATATTCACAGACCAAAAAAAAAGAGATTAGCGGTTTTTATTTATATAAAATGGACGGATTAATTCATGATTATTATTCTCAAAACAAAGTCAGACTGTTAATCGCGGACGGCTGTTGTTGGACGATTACTAAATGCTTCTTTTGGTGCTTTCCTGAAATTTCCAAAAGAAAAACGGATGATTTTGAAATAAGGAATAAATGTAAAGTCGTTTCATACTTTTTTTTCTCTTTCGCACGACTTTTCTTCTTCCGTGTCATGAAATCTCGCATAGCACCCTCAGCACCTTCGGCTGTGTATGCCAAGTAAACATGAGTTAAGTTTAAATCATCATCCTTTGAACCAAAAACGATTAAAATATGTTCAATTGAAATATCTCACGAGTCTTACGTCGGCTTTCTTGCTTTTCTCCTTGTTTTTCATATTGTTTCCAGTGTACGCAATCGATCGTAGACTCCATTCTCCAAAATTCTCATTCCAACTTGCATGCTCTTGAATAATTTTCTTTAAAATATCATTTTTTTTTCATTTCAATGGAACAAAATAGTTGTACATACGAAGTATTCATCAGGTATGTAACTTTTGATGACAAATTCTTGTTTCTGTAACTCACGAAGCGCTTGAGTGTTCGCTTCGATCAATTCCGTTCGTTGGTTCAGGTATTCTTTTTCCAGATCGAGTAACTGAATGAATAGGTTCAATCGATTTCATTCGAAGAATGTTTTATCACTCACTTCTTGTTTGGCGTCTTTGTATTTCTTTTCAAACACCCTCAGCTTTTTGGTTAGAGCTTCAGCCTCTTCTTTCAATGAATTGTATTTGCCTTCAACATCGAGCGCTTCAGCCTGGAAAAGTCGAATTGAATGAAAACATTTGTTTATATCGAAGATGTTTATATCACCTCTTTCTGCTGTAATTGCTTCCGTAACTGTTCTTCATTGTGAATACGTTTTTGGAGTTCCTGTTCACTTTGCTCGAGTAAAACTACTTGTTTCTCGGCCTTTTCAAGTAGATTTTCACCGCCTGAAATAACTTTGGCTTCTAACCTTCGGAGTTTTTCTCGAACATCATCCTGATCTTTCCTATAAAAACAAAGACGATTAACGAATAGAGAAGATACGAAAGGGAGTTTTTTCTACATTGCTTTTAATTCTTCTTGTTTCTCACGAAGTGCTAGGGCGATCTTATCTCGTTCTTTTTGTGATTTATCGGTGTCGAATTGTAATTTTCGTCGTTCTTCTTCGATTTGACGCTCAATTTCTTCTTTGCGTTCTTGACGAACATTTAACGATCTTTTACGAACCACACGTCGACCATTCTCATCGGTTTCACTATATTCTGAACCGGAACCATCATCACTATCATCTCCACCGCCACCTAATTCAAACAGGATACTTTTACACTAGAGAGACAATGAACGACAACGAACCTTCTTCGACTTGTTTACGTAAAAGTTCAATCTCGTTTTCTAAATTTCGAATCATGGCATCTTTTGGATCTTCATTGACACGCGCATGATTCTTGATGTTCTTCGCTCGATTTGCATATCTATGTCAACAAGGATAACACTTTGAACCACCCCAATGATTGGCTTACCTGAGTGTGTTCAATGTCTCATCGCAGTTATAATCAGCTGGACCAATATTGGCAATCTAAGAAAGAATTTTATCCGAGTCAAACTATGGATGGAAGTGCAAGCTTTACCATGGCTGTTTTAGAATTTCCACCTAAAGAATCTTGTAGAAGTCGGGTTAACTTCGAATTACGATACGGTATATGTGTCGATTTGCCATCAACCAGTGCCGAAATCACATTACCCAATGTGGATAATGATAAATTAATTTTTGTCGCTTCTTTCAATGTATTTCCTTCGGCACCCGATTTCGATTGACGTTCACTACCCTGGAAATAAACACATTGATAATCGTCCACAAAATAGACCATCTCCACTTACCGCTAAATCGACCATATGTAACTTCCCGGCTCGAATACGTTTGGCACCATCAGGGCCAGTATCACTACACTCTATCGTAATGGTAAATATTGCATGCGATCGACTACTACGTTCATTCATTAGAGTTTGACCCGTGTGACCTATGATGAAAAAATTTGATGAAGGAGATTGAAACGACTTCATTATCATATTTACGGTTAAAACTGCCAGAACGCATAATAGTTTCCATATCGGTTGCTGATTTACATATATGAGCTGTTAAACCATCAGCATAAACACCAACATTAGGTCGTTCTTTTATCTGAAATTTGAGCGTACGTTCCATCACTCTCTTGTAATCATGCGATCGACTTTTTTACTTCTAGACTTTTATCACGGTCTTTACCAAGTAGATCACGAACTTCTTCATTGTAGATCTCCAGATAGGATACACTAACTAAATATCTATAGAAAATAAACTGTATTCTATTTTTTCACTGAGAATGAAGACAACGATCGTACCCGACATTCTTTTCCGCTTTGGAAATCTCAAGAAACACATGTGCGAATGAATTAGGAATGATACCATAGTTTTTAATATCATCTTTTTTCCCCTCCATTGTAAACGTCTTGCCTAAGAATAGATAAAAATGAAAAACAAATGTCCTGTCGGAAAATGAATCCCACCGGTTCCTGTTTGTCCGTAAGCGAATATAGTTCCATTGTAGCCTTCCAAAACGGCATCGACGATCGGACGAGCAACCAGATTATAAACATCGACTTGCTTGGAGTTTTGTCCAAACACATGATCGAATGTGTATGTTTTTGTCGTATCGTCCGTTGTTGAATTTGGTGCTCGAACATCGATTGTTCCAGTTGCTTCACTTACCTAAGAAAAAGGAACTTCTCTATGCAGATCGACGTCAGCAAGCTGTATTTACATAAACAATCTCTTTATGATCATTATCCAATTCTTTATCACTCATCGGTCGACATCGAACGACAACTTTAACATTGTTGGCGCTTCCACTACTTGCCGATCGTTTCTTCTCCTAAGAAAGTATTCGAAAGTGAATTCTAGTAAACAAAACATGTTCAATGACCAACCGGCATGTTGGTGAGATTTCTCTGCAAATCTAAAATAAGAGAAAACAGGCGTTCAGACAAAGGTTTCAGAATACTAAGCTTTTTCCTTTTATTTTCATAACCAATCAACACACGTCATAGTAGAAAAAAGCGAAATATACGAGGTATTTTCCTTCTGTATAGGTTTTTCTAAGAACATCAAGCAACAACAAAAAAGAGAAAGGAAAAAATGTTAACAGCATAATAAACTCTGTCTAGTTTTTTTTGTAATATAGAAAGATTTTGTCCATATCAACTCTACTAGAAATGAAATCAACCAGAGCAGAGATGAACAAAGTGTAACTCGACAAATAGAATAACAAAGAAAAAAAAAGCTGTTTAGAAGACTTTACATACAAAATCGAATAAGAAATTTGAATATATTTATAAGGAGGACTATTTACATATACAAACACGCAGAAATCGTGTGCTTGAGTATAGTTGTCATGTACACAGCAAAAAAGACAGGTAAAATTGTGACGCATAGAAAGAAGAGGGCAAACATTGATGATTCATCTTTAATTTTCTTGTTTGTTCACTGTTTTGATAAGAATTGTATGTATATGTGCGATATTGATTGCTTGAGCAACACGTTGAAAAAATGAATTTTATAATGAACGATATATCATGTTGTAGATTCGTTTTCGTCAGGACGTTCATTAGTTGTTTCTTTAGGTGTTTCAGTATCCGATATATTCTCGAAATTCGATGCCGGAATAGTTGAGTCTGTGGTAACAACTGGTTCACTAGATGGTTTCGTTTCAGTTAATACAATCGGAGGCGGTGTTGATGCTGACACAATGAGTGAGGCAGCCGTGGGAGAGTTATGCTGTTCTTGCTGGTGCTGTTGTTGTTGTTGTTGTTCGAATTCATATTCACTGATTAATCGTTTTTTGAGTGAATGCGGGTTATTTGAAGAAATTGAGGTTGTTGGAGACGCAGACGATGATACCGGCGAGGTAGCTATCGGTGGAGTACTACTGCTTTGATTAATTGGTACGGGAGTAATGGGTGAGTTTCGAACATTTGCTGGTTGATCAACATTGATCGATAGTGATGATTCGTGTGGAGAATCTGATGAAGATGAATGTGTCTGAATGGATTAGAGGCGAATTATTTTATTGAGCTTCTGTTAAAAACTGTGAACATACTTGTTGAGCTCGTCGAGCAAATTTTCCCTTCGATAAATGATCATGTGGTGATGTAGACGATTGTCTCGGTGGCGAAAATTGTTGCTCATCTAGATAGTTATAAGTACAGAAATTGATAACACCAATCAAATAAGAGTTTACTTTTACTCATGTGGTACGAATAACGTGGATGAACTAGTTGATTATTTGCTGTCGGTGGATATTGTGATTGTTCAGCAGATAAACGTACCGACGGTGAAATCGGATTTCCTAGTGTTATCGAGCCTGAACTAACTAAACTCGGGCGCGATGAGCGTGTCCCATATGATTGCTGATATTGTTGCTGAACTAAGGATTGCCAATTTCGATCGGCAGTCGGCGCTGATGATGACTGATTGCTTGAATGATGAGTCATTTTCGGGTGCGACTGTAGAAGGAATGGATCTCGAACGTTCGTAGGTGATTCATGTGTCGAATGATGTTGTTCACTATTCGATATTGAGTCATCTCTTGGTGATGTGCTGCAAGATGCCACGAGAAAGTAATGTTTGGAATTTTTTGGAACTCGACTTTTGCTAACTTACCGCATTCGTTTAGATGATTGATGTTGACTGGACGATGAGCGTTGTGCATGTTGTGTAGTCGGTGACAGGCGACGAGCTTGAAATATTGCAGCTGACTCTAAAATACTCGCAGTAGAAAAATCGATTACTAGCGAAAGTTTCTCGCATTTTACCATCTGTTTTTGCTAATGTCGGACATTCTCGAATGAGTTCACCTCGAATCAAATATTCTAAATGACTCTTATCATTATTCGGTGATGCTGCACGTTTGTTTGCTTGTTCACTGGAAGCTTCTATCGAATTGTAAACAAAAGATTATTATAGATCGATTAGGAAAACAATGTTGAAGATACGTACCATTGGCAATCATTGGTTGAGCTTTGCCATCAGCATAGATTCCATTGGCACCCATTAACATTCGCATAGTGATCGAACCTCGTGATCGTGTGGCTAAAAGAGACGAATCAAAGTCAATCGACTGCGACCCAAGTCTTTCAAGTGTACATTCACGTCCACCAGTACTATTTGTTCGTTCTAAACCGTTGATATCACTATTTGAATGAACCTTTGAGGCACCAACCGTACTATTTTGCACTTTTTGATTGATCTCTGCAAGAGATGAAATGAGTGATCGTTGTTGAATTAAATAGATGCGTTTGCTTACCAACGTATTCGGGTTTTTCCAATGGTTGATTTGAAAGAATTTTTTTGATTGAACTATCACGACGTCGTTCGGGTTGATCGCTGTCCACATGTGATTTATTTACTAGATAGATAATCAATAAAAATACAAGCTTTACATTGAAAAATTTCCCTTACCATCCTGATTTGAATGTGATTTTGAGCTTCCCTCAACGTTTGTTTCACTCGATTCACGCTAAATGATTAAATAAAAGTATACGACATGAAAGCAAACCATCGATAATCCTACTGTCAAATATGCATCATCATCACCATCGATTAATATCGGTTGATCAGAAGTCTAGAATAAACGTAAACAATTTATGCCATATTGTCATATGATATCATTTCTTTTACATCAACAGCTTTCATTCCACTTGTCAGTATCGTTGTTGGAAGTGGCATACGTGATAATTGACTGCTAGAACTATCTGTCGTCGATAAATCATTACTCAATGTTTTGTTATCATTATCTAAATAGAATTTTACGTGTGTAAGTCGATCTATTCTCCTGTAGGTTCTCTTGCGCTCGGGTTTCAAAAGAAAGAAATCTTACTTGTTGATGCAACGAATTCGTTGACATTCTGTTTCATGAACTCTTGTATCGATATCGGTTCTTTCGAATTGCGAATCGATTCGTTATGATGAATGGATGATGCTGAACGTTGTTGAGGATAATGTGCTTGATGATGATGAGGCGAAATGGTTCCTACAGGAGAAGGGTGAAGCATATAATTCGATCCATGATGTGGCGAGATTTGTGAAGGTGGTCCTAATGATGATCGAGTCGATGACGTAGATGTATATGGATGATGAAGATTAGTGTGAGATTTATGAACAGCAGGTGCTGGTCTGTGGTATGCGGAGGATGTACTATCAGATGAAAGATCGGAATAATGTGCTGGTGGGTTTAGTTTTTCGTGCGATGATGATTTCTAAAAATAGCCAAATAGAATTTGAAAAGACAACAAAGCACACAAATATACATGATGAGGACGTGTTTCGATTCGTTGAAAATGAATTGCTGGATTTTCAGCAGCTGAACGTGATGGATTCAGGCGATGAGGATAGCTATCCGGAGATCTAAAATACACAACAAATTGTTATTGAACTTTTTCTGCTGAATTAAATTACAGATTGTTAGGTCTTTCTGACCTTGCCCTCTACTTACAGAACTTTGAAGTATTACTGTGTTAATACGATACATCTATCTACCATAATCTATCCGGGCGTATAGATATCACTGACAGAACGCGAAGAAAAACAGAGTACCAGAAAAGAATTAGTTAACTATCTTTTTCTTTGATAAAAAGAGTGCACTAATGTAAGATGCTAGTCATGCCTGTCTCTCTATAAGGAAAGATCTATTGTGTACTTCCTTTACAAAAATAGACACCCGCTGTCTTTCTTTTTTCTTACCTTGCATCCCGGTCTGTTCCAGCCGGCATACGTGTTGGATGGCGAGATAGCTCATTTGCACTCGCGCTCGATTTCAAATGAGGATGCATTTGTTGAGGATTGTTGGCATTTTGTGTGCGCCAAATCGAGGAGGAATACTCTCCTGATGGAGGATATCGCATATGTTCTTCAATAGATAGAAAAGCTTTCGTCTTGCTTTCGAATTCTGTCGTGGCTTTTACGTACCGGAATTTTCATGAGGATGTCGTTTGGATGACTGAGACAAATAAGCTGAAGGTTCAGGTGGTGAATGTGTTGAACCATATGGAGGATGACGGCTCGTACGAAGGCTTTTCAACTGTTCACTATTGGCAGCAGCAGTGAAATCATGCATAAGACGAGGATCCACATAGAATGAAGCACCGGGTATTGAATTGTAATAATGTGGATATGGTAAGAGACCACTGGCTAATAATTCTTGTGGATGCATACCAGACGAAGCAAGAATTTGTGATGCAGCTAGAAGTGCAGCTTGTTGCTGTTGAGTATGTTGCGAATGTGCTGACGGGGATGATTGTAATGAAGGATTAGATGCCGTAGGATGTATTGCTGTCGGTGGAGGAAGTAATTGATGAGTATTTGATATAGACGAGGTTGATGATTGAGAAGGAGATCGTTGCTCAGATGGATGGCGAGTTTGCCTAGAATAGAGCATGAGCGGATGCATTTGATACGCGCGGTTCGTACGAATGAAGGTTTGCTAGATACTTTTCAATTGATCAAGCGTGTGAAATTGGTGTCAAAGTCATTCTGACCTTTTAAAAATAGTTTGGTTTAAATCAGAACTCCCAAGAAAAAGAAAATTGTTTGACAATGGCTTAGAGAAAAATGCAAATGATTAGATTTGCATACGTATCTATATATGGGAATATTTTTTCTTGTTGTTGAAACAGAACAATACACAAAACCACACAAGTACTCTTGACACGCAAAGAACAAACATTTTCTCTCGCGTCAGCCACGTCTAATAACAATAGACGAAATCATCAGGTTTCTTACGCATACATATATGTATATCTACACCATCTGCTCACCCGTAAAATTCAAATGGATAGAAAATATGAAAAGCTACTCTGAATAGCAGTCGACTCTTTCGGCATAGATTTAGTAACTGGAAGAAAAAGGAAGTACTGCTCTATATTGTCCTAGTTGTCTGAAACTGAAATCATGCTACATCCAAATGATACTCTCCTGTGAAGTGGTTCTTACACTTTAAGTGATACAAAGGAAAAGGCGGTGCCTCTTCCGAGTATATCAGTTAGTGTAGAATATGGCAGTAATAAAATTGATCAATTTCTCTCTCTTTCTCCCTCGCTTTTCCGCAATGTTGAGAACAGGATTCGCTATACCCATATAAAAGCTACTCCAAAGTTATTTGTATACGCCTTCAAGCAAAAGATCCTATGAACTTGCTGTAAATAGACTGAGCCACTATGATGAAGTAGAACAAAGATAGTTCTTTCTATTTTCGGTTATACTACAAAGAAGCACTAAAACATTTATTTCCAATGTTCCTATGTAGCATAGAAATAGTCAGAGAAATTACGAGGAAGAGTTGGTTAAGATTTCTCGTTCAAAAACTGAACATGACTATTTTGCATTAATGTGCAACAGGGTTCGACGAATATCAAAAGAATCGATCCGGAATTTTCTTACCGTTCATGATTTGGCGAATGGGTAGTGGTCAAATATCGTGATGTAACAAAATCTGCTCGTAATGTTTCATACGTATCAGTATTAGATGTATCAATTCCCATTGACTTATTTGTATTTGAGGACGGTGGTTGATTACCCATGGTAGACGATTTATGCTGCTGTTGTGATAAATATTGCGATGAGCTCGATGAAGACGAAAAATTACTCGGCGCTCCTTGTTGATGAGAATAATGACGCATATAGGCAGCTTGTTGAGGAGTATATAAATGCTGTTGATCGATAATCTTCGAAGATTTCATGTGTGCTGAAGGATGAGAATTTTCATTTCGTGGACTAGGATAAGGATGCGAATGCACATGTGAATGATTAGGTGATGTATCGATGGAAATTGGTTTATTTGATGGCGAGATCGGTGTTCCACGCATAATTGAACCTTTAATTGGAAACGATTGTTGGCTATGAGAATGAGCAGATGGAGAATGGGATTTCGTTAGTGTAACGAGTGGTGGTGGTTGTGTAGGATTTGCAGCTGTTGTTGACGATTGATGTTTATTGGGGGAAATATTTGGATTCGTATTGATAGTTAAAAACTTTTCTGTTTCACTCAATGTCTTAGAGATTTCTCGTTCGACAAGAGAGTTTATCGTAGTTAGATCAGTTGTTGGTAAAGGTCTTGTTAATTTCTCTTTTTTCTCTTGATTCATAGATGTATGATCATCGCCTTCGTCGATAATCATTCCGTGAGTTGAATCATTACTATCTTCATTGACTATTGTCTTTTGTGGTTCATCTTCGTTATCTAAAACGGCGTTTATTTCATTCGCATGAAAATTCATGCAAATAAATTTTACCTTCATCATTGTGTTCATTTCTTCTTCTCGATTGATTCAATCGACGTGATCGATCTTCCGAACCTGATATACTAACAGTATCCTCGTCGATGTTCTACAGAAGAAAGACGAATACGCTACTATCTTTGATTCCCGAAGAGAAATTTACCTGTTCATCTTCGACTAAGCCATTCGTCTTGCGATGTTTTTGATAAAATGCTCGACAGCTTTGTTCACTTCGTTGAACATACGCTGCTATCTGCGACCAATTATCGTTGAATTTATGCAGTGCTTTCGTAAATGCATCTATTTCATTTTCGGTCCATTCTAGAAAAGAAATGTATTTGAACTAAAAAATCGATTATTTCATTGACATTGTTTACCTTCATCTTGTTTCGAATTCTGTTCATCTGTAACTGTGGATCGATTCTTCGATGATTCTTCATCTTCATCATCTTCCTCGCCATCGTTGGGTAGATTCGTTGATTGTCTTTGACGTACTTGAATGATTAACTTTTCATAACAACGCGTACAACATCGTTGAACATTCGCAGGTATTTCTATTCGAAAAGACACTTGTTTTCAATAGGAAAAAGGTTGTCGAATTCACTTACGTAATGCACGACGTATAGCTTCTCGATTTTCTGTAGTCAATTCATTCCATTTGTTTGGAAATGCACGTAGGCGATTCTTACGATTCTTCTTTTTGCCCAACTTTTCAGTTGTACACGATAACAGCTGACATCGACTACAATTGAAGATAACAGCTCGATAAACAAAAATCAAAGATCAAAGAAACAGACTTCTTATTCAATCGTTTATCTTCATTTCCATCGACGGTATCTACAGAGCAATAAATCCAATCTTTCTTTCACGGAAATAATCACGACTTACTTGTCTCGCGACGATCTTCATTGCTAAAAAGACATTATATTCATATAGTTATTTAGTCACGATGACTTTTGACTTACTTATCCATTCGATCTGCTGATCGCTCTGTGTCCTGCAGAGAAAGTAAAAGAAATCATAGTAGTTTTCTCTTCAGACAGTGTCTGTTTAACAAACTTGTTCTCCTCGAGGAATGGTTGATTGTCCAAGAATTTGTTGCGATGTTGACGAGACGATTGTATTAGAAGAAGTGACTTTGGTCACTAATGTTGTTTCAATTGTTGTCGATGAAGTTACCGTTGTCGTTGTTGTTGTGGTCGCATTTTGTTTCGCACGTCGTCTAGTTGTTTGTGTTTGCTTTCGTAGTAAGTTTTTGTAATTTTCCGTTTTCTTTGTCATGTAATAGAATTGAACGCATTGTTCGGTTGTTTTGTTTTCAAGAAACGATGAAATATAGCCGAAGTTTTTCGGAGATTGAGTGAATTTTTCGATGAAAATCTGTTTTTCTTCTGGTGTCCAGAAAGGCATCTTTGTTCGTTCTTTGTAGAACTCGGCAGCATCACGTCGAATCAAGGTGTTATGGTTAATATACTGATGTCGTCGTTGACATTCATCGTAGATGATAGGTGGAACAATCGATGATTTTCGTAATTTTTCTTCTTGGAGTTCGAGTTCCTGTTCCGTCTGATTGGTATTTAGTGAGACCTGTTGTTCGGATGTTGAGGAATCCGTTGCATTGGTTTGTTTCTTTTCTTTATCTTCACGTGTTTTACGTAGTTCGGGAAAGGTTTTTTCAAACGTTTCACGATACGTTGTCGCATCTTTATTTGCGACCAATTTTTCTTCTTTCTCAATTGATTTTTGCCATTTCTGATAGTTCTTATCATATTCATCACTTTTAGTTTGAATTTGCTGCTGAGTCATTTCATATCTTTTCTTGAATATTTCAATCAGATGGTTTTTCATCACGTTCATATATCTAAAGAATGGCAAATGTCGAAATTAATTCAATTTATAGCGCAAGAACACGAACTGTATGCGACTTCGTCGTAAGGATTCGAGATCACTTGGTTCTTGATACAGCGGCATAGTCAAATCCATGTTATTATTGAGATGATTCAACAGTTTTTGGCTGTCTTCAGCTTTTCTCTGAAAAAAGCAGTTAATTTGATTATATTATTTCATAATAGAAACAGAATCTGCCGATGAACGCATCAAATATTTTCATAGCTCTCTTTAGCGAAAGTACTCGATGACCTTTTAGCAATAAATACGAACTTACTCGATTCTCATGAAGAATCTTTTCGATCAATGTTTGCGAACCATTTGTTCGTAGTAAATCATCTTGATCATCGTTTTCTTCGTAAGCAGCTGATCTATCTGCTTGACTACGAATTTCGCTCTAGAGCAAATAAAGTCATAACTTCAAGTATTTATCGAATACACGAGTTTGTACTTGGCTAAGTTTAGCTCGATGAAGTTTCTTCATAGTGATATCAATTTCCGATTCCAGTTTCGATATTGCATTGCGTACAATTGTAGAATCGCGCATATGAGAATCGTTCTTCGGATCGTCTGGCGTTGGCGATATAGCTTCCGTTTGTGGTTGATAAACCTGTTGTTCCTAGACAAAATAGAACACGAATGAAATCCTTCTATGCGCACTTTTGGTAGACAAACGAACTTTTTTAACTTCGATAGATAATGGTGATAATTGTGAATTAGCCGACAGACTACCACCACCACTACCAGTACCTGTTGGATATCGTGATCGTTTCGAATGCTCATCAACATGTGGTCCCATCGAAACAGCTCCTAATGTTGGATAGTACGAAGCTATTTGAGCTCTGCACAAGAACGTATCAAGGTTATGTGACATTTGCAATAAATATCCAAACAAACCTTTCCGGACTACCAAAATGACTATGATAACCAGCAAGTAACGATGGACGTCGATTCAGTGCCATCGGCGGTTCAACATTCGAGCTGCCAGTATATCGAACATCACGCTAGGAAGAAAAAGTTGTTTTTTAGTGAAGAGAAAAGTGTTTGTTTTTCATAACATACTTGCTGATAACCACTAGGATAAGTAAACTGAGCCGACGACATGAATGGCGATTGTCGGGCCATACGAATTGATTTTCTTCGGATAGAATCAGATGTTCATTATAATACAACGAGAAGAAATGATTTCGTTGCTGTAAGGAACAGAATATCTCACAAAGAAAGTGTTTTGGAGTAAGATACGAGAACAAAGAACGTAATCTCTAAACTAGTTGTTAGTATTACATTATCTAAATAAAAGAATAAAGAGTTCTGATTGCAACCTATTATCTTTTCGTCGACACTATCCAACAGTCGATAAAAGTGAATAATAAGAACACGAATATCACTTCACTGTCACAGTAACACGCTAGTTTGTCATGTTCTTTTTTTGGCAAAAAGAAACTACAATTCGAAAATAGTCATTGACTAGGACAATTTGTCACACATATCATAGCCATACACATGTATCTACGGTAATGCAACGTGTGGCGACACAATCAACCACGATGCCTCTAGAAAGGAATAAAAACCAACCAGCGAGATTGATCAGCTAGTTAGTTAGTTAGGTCACATTGGCTATTTGTTATTAGTTGATTATTCCGCACGAATTGTATTCTGCGAATAGATGTCGCCATTTGCCGTCATTGTTTTTCGTTGTTGTATCGGAACAATCATATCGTAACATTATTCTGGAACAAAAGGATTGAAAGCTTTTCTAGAAGATCAATCGATGAATGATAATCGTGAAGACTAAGATTTTGAATATGTATTTACGAATTAGTTGCAAAAACAGTACGTAGAAAAATGAGTCAAACGGATTAAAAGATTAGATTTTGCATTAACCCGTAGGTTCTTCTGATAAAATTAACATAAGAAAGGCAGGGAGTTTTTGTTTGAAATTATTCATGCAAAATAAATTGTAATGTACTTTTTGAATACAACGTAATTAAAAAGATGCATTTCCAAATAACTTCGTCGGAATAAACAATTTGTAGGATAAACACTTATTCTCTCGATTTGCATGTAAAATCATCATTCCCATCTTTTTATTCCCAATAATTTAAAAATTAAACTCTGAAAGATCCTTATATAACCAAGTCATACATCCCATGGTGTAATAAATAACTTCCTTTTCTCAATTGTTTCATGTCCAACCTAGTTGCTATCATTTCTCGATGGTACTAAGGTCGGTTACGCATCGAATAGATAGACCACTGCAAGATCAGGATGGACGTACGTCGTGGATTGTTCTTGTTGTAGATTATGGTAGAATATCGCTGAGAGTATTGAAATACTGACGGAAATACTGCACTTCAGGATTATAAAAAATATTGAAGAAGTTTCGACAGAACATTGTGGGAAAATGTGAGGAAAACCATTCGAAATTTGCGAGGACTTTTTCTTCCTAATCGTTGAACCCAAACTTGGCGCTGACCTTTTACTATTCTATTACGACAAACGAAGCTTTTGATAAGGATATTCGGTATGATCTTAAAACTGATTTTATTCGCGGTAGAATACGAATGGATTCGAGTAGTAAAACAAAAGACATCGAGAAATACCATGTGGTGGCTAAACAATTAAATAGAATAGATCATTTCTAACAATACTTACATGATTTATTCAAATGTCATTAAGTTCCGAAGAAAATTTAATTTATCTTTCTACAAAGAACACTGTCATGACTGTCTATTCTGCTTCAATCATTATTTGCAGTTTTTCTCTTATTGGAAAACTCTATTTTTGTTTGATAAAATTTGTATTTATTTAGATTTAAAATAAATCAAAGGAATTGTTCTCAGAAAATGATCATAAACCATTTTGATTTCCAACAAATTGAATGACTAATTTTCTTTGTAGTGATTGCAATTATAGTGCTAGTCGTATTAATGGCGACTTTATGTATCATAACGATCCTCAATGAGTGTGATTATAATTCTAGCTAATAATTATATTTACACAAAATTTCATTACTCCAATAAACAGATCTTAATCGAGAAATATGTTTTCAATCACATTTTCTACAATCATGGTACTTTGTGACATTATCAAATACATTATATGATTGCATACAAATGTAAATTTCATGAAAAATATTTTGAAAACCTTTATATCTTTGACGGCAGTCAAAAGATAGAATATTAACATTCTACAGCTCTATAGATATTTAAATTAGTCGAAAACCAAATTATGCTCTTTTAAATTCACTATCGTATTAACATAGTTAATCCTTGGACTGTCGGTTTTTTCTGCATAAACGAGAATATTCATAGAGAAGCGGTACAGTATAAATTAGATAATAGAGCAAAAGAATGATTCTCATTTAGCGTCATCTAATCAAAGACGAACAGATGCTCAAAATAGTTAAAGAATTTGTTAAGCGCATTTTTCGTCGATAGTGCATCTATAAGTCACTGGGATTCAACGGATTAAGAAATTAGGTTTCTCTTGAACAACAGTCACGCGGAGAGAAAAAAATCGGAGAAAATTCTTGTTTTATCGGTGAATGGTGCGTTGGTAGAAAACTCAAGATATTTAATGGTAAGCTGTTGTTCGAAACGATGTTGGTTGTTTGTCGATCAATACCATATAAGAAGCTTGAGATTGAAAATTTGAATAAACAATGATTGTGTGCAGCATGCAGAAAGAGTTGTTTGGTGTTACATTGGATGGGTGAAGCTAAAAATTAGAGTTTATTTTCTTCGAATTTATGAGTAATTCCCACCTTTAGAAGTCTCGATACGTAAAATCAGTTTTGAGATGAATAGAATACATAAACTAGATTATTTCCATGAGAATAATCTTTGAAACGGATCTAAGCCGGTCCTCATTAGATAAATGAATATATGCGTCTGAACTTGTTTTATTGTATCAGAGTATATATTCATCTTACGTTTGTTCATATCAATATGGTTGATATATCGATTGAATACATGAATTACTTCACTTTCAAAGCAATTTTCTCGCTCATTTTCGAATGAATATAAAATCTTATACCGATAAAAAGGTTTACCTTGATATGTTAAATGGATGTGCACATGATCCTGTACTTCCATCATAATTTCAATTGATCTTATTAACTGAATTCTTATTAACTCTTTCAACAAGGAATCGCTGGCTTATCTCCTCTCAACATATGTGTTTGTATATCTGTAAGTGTCAAGCAAGAGAGGCGCCACTGATTAACCACCAATCTGCAACAAAGAGATATTCACAAATGACATACAGTGCAAAATGCTGAATACTCGATGTTCAAATTATCTTTAATACGTCACCTCGACTGCATTTTTTTTATGATCTACAAGTTTACTTTCCCCATTTGGTCTGTCTAATAGAAACCGTCATGTTCCACTGTCCAATACTTGCTTCGACTCATTTTGACAAATGATTGATTACTAATTACAACGTTAAATTCGAAAATATTTTCCCATCTGAATACTGTTCATTGCAATGATTTTCTCCACAAATCGATTCAATATTTAGGTAAATGTTTCTGTTGTAAAACTCAAGTGAGAATGAATGGTATTAGTTCAAAGATGATTCAATGGTTCTCTCTGAAGTTTAATCTCTTGAAGAGAAATTAGAACATAGTATGAAAAGATATCGTCAGAAAATGTCTTGACAACATTCCAACTAGTAATGAAATAGATTCGTTCTTATCACGTGGATCTGAAGAAACTCATTCTCACAGTGAAAGACAAACATCTAAAAAACAACTGAGATTAAACGCTGTTCTTTTAACCGTTCACGCTTGTTTTATTCCATGCTCCGATTTCTTAATATTAAACTTAATACAAAAAAAATCATTTGTACGAAGTGATCACAGTATACTTCCGAGTATCAATTAATTAAAAATAGACATTTGTCACGGTCATTCGAAAAATCTATATATAATCAAGTAATGTATTTCGCGATAATAGCTGCTTTCCTTTTCTCAATTGTTCCATATTCAGTCTAGTTGCTACGATTTCTGGATGATGCTCAGATTGATAAGCTTCTAATAAAATATTTAGTGCATATTCGAATTCGTTCAATGCATTTTTCATTGTTTGTTTATCTGTCGATAAACAATGTGCCAGACCACTGCGCGTCTTTGCAAGATCGGGATGTGTGTAGATCAAGGATTGTTTTTGAATATTAAAAGCTGTTTGGAAGTTTTTCTTTGCATCTATAAAATTACCTTGACTGTAATACGTATATGCAATTCCGAGATATGATTTGGCGACATCAGGATGAATTGGAGGTAAAAGTGTCTGCATAACATCATTGCCTATTGTAAAGTGTTCAAATGCTTGCTCGAATTGTTGTGTAACAATCAAATGAATAAAGCCAAGAGTGATGTTAACCCGAGCTCGAACGAGTTTATCTGTCGCTTCGGATAAAATTCTCAATAAAATCAACCGCATCTTGGTATAATCATCGTTCATCGTCAGTAGATAGAAATAAACTCGCAACAAATTCGCTCGGTGACAATCATTTGGTAGATGATCAAGATAATCTTTCGCTTGTTCATAATGGCTTTGACGTAGCGCTAATTCAGCTAGTTCTTCGTAATGATCGCTTGCTTGCAGCCATTTTTCTGCTTGAATATAAGAACCTTTATACATAAGCAGTCGGCCGAACGCATAGGGAAGATCATTTAAATCGCATAATTCTTTCAAATAGTAGCCATACAGAGTTTGAATTGTAGGTTTTATATCTAATGTTGGACAAAGATTTAAACTAAGTAACCAATACGGATCTTGATCATCGACGTATTCAATTTTATACAATCGATATCGACCACCGAACCATAAAAGAATTTCTCCGTCTTTGATTTGTCCATATGGAATAGTTTCGTGAATAGTTGAGTCGATATTGATTTCGAATACAACTTTATATTTGTCTGGTTCTACTGCCTGAGCAGAATTCAATGTGACTTGTCGATCTGTATATGTAAGCAGTGGTTCAGTAATAATTATTATTTGACCGATACGGTGTTTCATAGCATCGAGCTCGTCCACAGCTAAATATGTGGCATGATAAGTGGTAAATTTCACTTGATCTTTACTGAATTTTTCTTTTTCCATGGTCAATTTTCGATAAAATCCTCGCACGAACCAACGGAGTGTCCATAATTTCAATAAATCGTTAGAATTAATATCGAGAAAGGAAAGATTTGGTCGATACCATTCCTGGAGTGTTTTTTTTGAATCAAAATACAATTGTAATGTTTCAGGATGATCATTTCTATCATCAGTAGTAAAATCCAATTCTTCAATCGCTTCACAATATTGAGTAAAATCCTCGATACCATCATTGGAACTTTCGAGTAGCAGATTCAGTCCAACATGATCAAAGAGATTATAATCATCAATGAATCGCTCGCGTTTATATAAAATCGGTTCGTGAACTTCTGGTAATGGTGGTTGATCGTTCTGTTGATGCTGTTTGGAAGCATTTTGCATGTCGAATTGTATACATTGAACGACTTTAGTAATATCCGAAAAGACACATCGAACTTTATCACATGTTTGTGCCCAACGGCTATGTTTAACCGTATCAAAACAGAAAACATATATATATTTAACTTGTATTAATGGTTGCAAACGATCGTGTACAAGCATTTGTCCATATTTTCCCGAAATAAGAATTGATAGGCAAGGAGTGTCGGTATCGACCGATTTGATTAGCTCAAGACAAGCATCTGGATTACTGAAAACGAATACGTTGTCGAACAGTGACATAAATACCCCTTTGATTTCGATTTCTTCTTCTGCACTATCATCGAGCCAAATAAGAACTTGTCCACTGTGTTTGATAGTCTTGGACACATCAGTCGTAGCACGACATGGTCTTGTAGGTGTTGCCATGTTATATTTTATGCTTTTTCCAACATAGAATGAATAAAACGAGGTATGTGTGCGTGTTTTTATCCTTTCCTTTGCTTTTTAGCTTTATTTTTCCTTTCATCTTGCCAAAAAAAAGAAAAAGAATAACCATGAAAAAAGTTGTCTCTCGAACGCAAGTATTTTAAGAGCCTTTTCGAGGAAGAAGAAACTTGTTTCATCCAAATGAAAACATAAAATCGTTGAGATCGAATAACCGAACATATTTTCAATCGAGTAACCACAGTCAACATTGTACAGAGGAAAATACATGTGATGTGATTCGACAATATACAGAAAAGTACGACAGTCCTAAATTCATTGCATTTTCAATGAAATAAGTGTCCTATTCAAATTCGTTCTTTCCATTGGCTGTAAATACACACATGAAAATTAGCGTAAACAGTACTACCAACCAAATGCTCTCCGCTCTTGTGATGATTGACATTAATTCCGAATTGGAAAGCACGAATGAATTTTAATCAGTATCGTCGACGAATAAACATCCGATGAAAGAAAGCACAACATTTCATTTTTTTTTCACACTTCATCAATTGTGTTCACAGCAATTCTTATAACCATCGAACGTCGATCAAAACTGACCAAAGCGATGCATAGAACACAATTAGTAGAATCACTGTATGTACATTAAATAAATACATCTATATCATAAAATGTTGTATGCGGAGGTTTGTTTAGCTATTGTTCATAGGAAATTATAGAAAAATATTGATACTACGCCTAGTGGTTATTTGAACAATCGTATGATTAACTCTGAACTGATAAAATCTCCACATACGAGAGATAAAACTAAGAAAATTCTTATTGTTCAGACAATTGGATCTTATCAATTCATCTTAACTTTATGAAACTCTTGAGTAAAGATGATCAATTAAAATGTTCATAATGAATATCTTAAACAATTCATTAATTCACCTGATAAGTGTCAAATAAACACTTGCCTTTCTTCTTCTTTTATGATCCGACAAATGACTTCATCATTCAAGTCAGACATTTTAAACTGAATTAATTTCAAGAAATGACGCTGTTCACTCATTCGTCAAATGAAAATCATATGTCATATACATCTTTTGTTTGCTTGGGGTATACGCGACTAGACTACCAGATCGAATTGTTTCTTTTCGATCAAATTTATTTCATTTAATCGCTTATCCTTCACTACATACTTTCGGTCATATTCATTCTTCCATTTAACGGTGAACTTTTGACCAATCTTTTTTGTTCCTTCTGCATATTTCTTTTTTCCATCTCTCCTTCTCCTATTCCCGTACACAGACTACGTCCTTTGCGCGTTATATACACCGACTTAATCGATTCCTTTTCATTGTTTCGTCCTTATTCATCTTTTACTCATCATTGATCTTTATATAAACATTTCATTCGATTGCAAACATTCAGTAACATTACAACTATCGCATGGAATTATTCAATCTTCTAGTCTTATTCAGTATTTCTCATGTTTTCGCTGAAATACAATCGAACTCTTCGAAGACGACGACTTTGTCAACAACGGTCAGTGAGAAAAAGTCATTGTCGTGTAGCTATTGTGAAACGAAGGCTTGCCGTTGTTCGATAATCGATACTACTTTGAATTGTTCGTCATATTTATTAAATTTAACGTTTGCTTCGAATTGCGCTGAAGGCAAACTCTGGAATTTCGTGGATTTTTCGTCACGCAACTTCGAATCATTTGATTCTACTCAACTTTTATCCTTACACACGTACCGTCTATCATTGAAGTCCAATCTACTCACTAAAATCTACGATGGAGCTTTTGATACAATCGCGGATTCGCTCATTGATTTGGATTTACAAATGAATCAGTTATCAAGCATCTCATCCAACTGGTTAAACTCGAAATTTACTCGACTACAGATATTAAATTTGGCTCTGAATCAACTGGAGACATTCGAAGATTTTGATCGTGTTTATTTACCTGCTTTACGAGAATTGAATTTATCTGCGAACCAGATTGAGTCCTTTCCTCAATCAATTCATCAATGGACGGCATTAGTAAAACTCGACTTGTCTTTTAACAAATTGTCCAGTGTGCCGAGATTTGCGCTGGCTGGATTGCAAAACTTGAATTGGTTGTCATTTGCATCGAACAGAAATTTAAGTTGTAAGTTTAGAGAACAAAGCATTCCTTCAGAAACTGTCATTTTCGCTCTTAATTCAGGTCTTGTTCAAGATTCGTTTCGATATTTAAGATCATTGAATTATCTCGATTTATCGAGCACAAATTTGTTTATGGTTGACGGATGTATCTTTAACCAATTGTCCACTTTGAAATTACTGAAAATCGAACGGGTTTTAATGAACTGTTCGTCCTGTTGGTTACCTGTTGCGAAGAAGAAGTCAATTAAATTGATCGGGCAATGTTTGGATAACAGTACTATGAGAAACCTAAGCTCTCTGATGGATCAACAATTGAATTCTTCGTGTCTAAAATCATTTATTGACTGCTCAGCAGACTCTTGTGAACCAGGATCGTTTGATATTGATTCAAAATCGTTCTCATTATCGAGAGATTCATCAGCTCTGTCAAAAGACTCCAATGCATCGAAAAATCGCACTATTCAAATCGTTCTTGGGGTTATATTCAGTATCGTCGCTTTACTCATCATCATACTCATAGTCATTCTCATCTATCGATGGAGACAAGGAAAGAAACTATTCTGTTGGCAGCCTTTTCTCAGGTCTTCACCATCGGCACGAATTCAGAATCAACATCAAAAACAAATTATCGACAATAATCCAACCATTATCGAATCTATTGTAACCCATGGAGCAAATATGGATGTTTCACCTGCATCATCACCCCAAATGAATTTGAATGCGAAACGCAAACTATACAATCCAATGTTTAATAATCCATCGCCAATTGATGTACACTCTCCGCACTTGACAAACATGGTTTCGAATTTAGATAATAACCGTTTGTATAAGAAAACATCGAATACAGAATAGCACCGCATAGCGCGCGCGTGGAGAAGTGTTCGACAGGTGATCTTATGTGTGCGTGTAATTACGAATTTTTTATGATGTTTTTGAATGTATCGGAAATGAAATAAAAATTTGTACGATTCATGAATAGACAACAATATGAAAAGGTACTTTCGTGTCCCTCATTCGTAGTTTCAGTTGTGAAAAGCTCAGTCCGATCTTTGTCAGCATTCGGTATCTTTATCATATGGGCATTTATAGGTGATTGGTTTGCTGAATTATCCAATATGTGCTTAGGGCAATGTACTTCACGTACTTATCATTGTACAGAAATAAGTAGTTCAAGTTTCAATGTAAGTATCATCTCGTTGATGGATTTCGATAGTGTTGAATGAATCTAATCCAATCTAAAAATCTTCTATTGCCCGTTCAGAACTATATTTCTTGTTTTAGGTCCATTATATACACCAAACCATGTTGATTTTTGTGGTTATTGTAGGAATTGTATTTTTTATTACCAGCAGTGTTTGGTATCTAATGAGCATTTCCTCAAAACGTTGTCATTCTTACCTGAACATAAAACAATTTTCCGAATTAGCCGCCATTATCGGTTCACAGTGCAAGAATAGTGAAGCCGACCACGACGACGACGGAGAGAATCGAGTGGTAAAAGACATGTTCATGAACTGTCCGTTCTATAGATCAAATCATATTCAGTCGGACTTCGATTATATTCAACTTTACCAATACATTCACGACTTTTGTTGTAATAAATCATTATATACGAATCGTCCAGGACCTGTTTGTCCATTTCTACCAGTGGCATTCAAGAAAGACTGCATCTATTTCTTCGATGATATTTACAGTGCCAACAAGCAACAGTTAATTCAAACAGTGAGAAGATGTCGACACGATTTCCTTTCTATGTTGAAACCGACCGAATATGAAGACAGAAGCTTAGTGGTTTATAAATGCTTGATTATTCTCGTCCGATCTACCTCGATCTCACATCGTTTAATCGATCAAGTGGAAATAGAATTGAAACCGGAATTCGTATTAAAATACGGACTGATGCTTGGTGAATTTCATTTATCGTCGAACTCGCCCGCTATCAAAAACCAAGATTTTTATCCTTTACGCACTCAAGTGCCATTGTTAGTGATACGTTACTTAGTGGCAAATGACATTCTATTTTTGAATCAAAAAGACAGATATTCGGAAGATTTACGTCTGAACTTTATCAAAACATACTTCGATTTGAAGAAAAAAGGATTGCTACATTCCACAAAAGATCATCATCTATCCATAGCGAAAGAAATATTTAATGAATTAAATAATAAGAATAAAAAATAGAAAACGTTCATAGAATGTTGATTATGTTAGACTAGATTTTGAGTCTTTTTTTTTCGAAAATCGATGCTTACAGATTATTTAATAGTTATTATTATTTATTTTTGTTTGAAAATATATTGTCACACGGCAAGAATCAAATCTTTTCCAGCAACACTCTTCAAATGATCGACGATGATGTTTTCATACGAACTAATAGGAAAGCGGCTGTCTAAAAGTATTGCATTGATGGTTTAGTGTATGAGAAGATTTTAAAATACATATCATGTACTGTTTCTCCCTTGAAGCGATGTATGAGAATGTGATGAAAAGAAAACAAAGCTAAGAGTGAAAAATAAACAGTTTGTGTGACAGTGAAAAATACTTTGGAGTAGAAGAGAATAAGAAACAAACGGACGAGAAGTAATTTGCATCGTGAAAGCGAAAGATTTTGAACAATACCATTCACCATGAGTACCGAACATAACATGAATACTGATCATTGGAGTAAAATGCGTATGAACGTAAGTACGAAAACGTTTTCATTCGATAATTTTCCATTTGGGTTTTGATTGTACCATTAGTTAATAAAAAGTGCGATTAATACCGAGCAACGTGGACGAGTTCTCGTTTGGCAGAAGCATCAAAAGCCAGCTGCACAACATGAATTGAAAGCAGCTATCTACGGTGCACGTAGTCTACCACAATTTCGAGTTGGACGTGTTCATACGTTTGAGGATGTTCTTCGGACTGAACTCAATGGGTATCTACCTGGCTCGGCGTATCTTCGTCGACGAATTGATCAAACTTCAATACCTTCATTCGGCTATCCGAAAAAAATCATTCAACGTAAGTGAGAATCGAGTTCTACACATGACTCTTTCTCTTTTCAATTTTCAGTTCGTCATCCACTATTGACTGGTTCTCGATATACCCTGATGACACTACCCACTGATCCTCAGAGTGATCAAACACGAAGTCGTGTACCCGTTTTACAATGTCGAGGAAAAATTTAATTTCATTTTATTGTATACCTATTCTTACACATACATCAAATAAACATAGAAAAAAGGAAAAAAAAGCATCTCTAAGAAATTCGTTATATGTTTTGGTGAACACAAGCTTTCTGATTGTGTTAATATAAGAAGTCATCCAAATCTTTCGATGGCTGTAGACCATTGGCCAATGAAAAGCGAACATTCCAGCGAAGTGCCGAACGCTTTTTTGATGTCGGGACAACGTAGTTATTCACACGTGGCGCAGATTTTCTCTGAGAAAAGACGATTTGGATCAGTTTTAGAGTAAGATCAAACGGTAAGACTTACTTTTGCCGGCACATCTTTCTGTAAGAGTTGATCTCGGATCGCCCACCGTAAACTTTGATGAGACTTTTCTCCGGGTGCGCGCTGAGCTGCCCATTGCTGTTGGTAATAAGTATGAAGTTGGACTGTATCGATTCGATTATTCGAAAAGCTACGCGAACGACGAAGAGATGCTGTCGATGCTGTAGATGGACGAATGACTGATTGCATGAAAAAGAGAAACGAAGAAATATTTTAATACGTTCACTCTTATATTTACATGATTTAACAGGAAGAACTGAGGATGTCGAACGAACCTATACGAAAGGAAATGAGCATGAACATAGATGGGAAGGTTCTTTTACATCATCACTGTATGTTGAATAATGATCTATATCTGAAGCAGATTCATTTCGTCGTCGAGTTTGTTTTTGTTGAACGGGTATATCATGTAAATAACTAACATCACGTGAATCAAGCACTGATCCTGCTTCTAAATGATAGATATTTGTCATGAACAGAATACTCGTGTTACTTTCTTAAAAATCTGATCTGACCTGATCTTAATTCATCACACACAGTTGCTCTGCCATTATAATGTCTAAACGCAAATATTGAAGTCAGATGTATGTAAAATAGAGCTGCGTCTTTACCGGAGAACTTTTCGTTTGATGATTCTTTGCGATGATGTATCACTTCGATTATCGTCATCGTTCATTCGAGATTGGTGGTGATAACTTGATATACTATAAAAGAATGTTCGAGAGATTGTAACAAATATAAAAATAACTGACGTGGGTGTGTTTGTTTCATCGAGACTTTCTTCGTCATCGTTATCGTCTTGATCATCTCGACTGAACTCATTATCTGACGGATTTGGTCGATGGATCTAAATATTGGATTGTTTGTACCGAAAGAGCTCGATAAATTCGAAATGTCTCACAGTGAAATCTACATTGGATTGCTGGTGAGCAGTGGATCGTTTAGGTTCATACGAATCTAATAGAAAAACACGCTTTTCAATCTAATAATGAATACGAACGTCGACTGTTCGTTACTTGAATTTTTGTCATTTCGAGCAAGTTCTTCGAGATCAGTTTGAAATTTCGATAGTGTCTGCTTTGACAAACCACTATAGCCTAGTCGAGCAAGTTCAAGACGGATCTGTTCCAGTGAGAAAGTACTTGTAGCCATTAAAAGTAAATTTACTAATCGATTCAAAGAAGAAAAGAAGCAATCATAATTCCAACAATGGTAGAAGAAGACGACTTACACTCGTTACCATCGCAACAGATGTTCCATTCATCACTCTCGACCAGTCAAAACGTGAGCATGCTATCAGGATGGATGTCAATGCATCGTATTATTCATAGTAGAATCGGTCAAATTCCGATGATATCACTCTTTCAGACTATAAAATCTCGAATTCAACATTCTAACATATTGTACCACCCAACAGTGGACAGAGTTAGTGCGACCTCTTTGATTTCGAGTGAGAGAAGAGAACAACAGTTCGGTGAAGAAACTACACTTTGCACGTTCTCATTAGGAACCAACGACACTTTTTTGTCTTTATTTCGATAAATAGCAGCATATAGTAAGGCAGTACTGCGAGGTAAGATGCTCCTTTTTCGAAACATTATATGACCACCATTTGTTTCACATCGACGTAGCTGACAATATGTCAAAGATGGGTGCGCGATATCTCTCAGATTATATATTGAACGTACATGTTTTAGTCAAACAGTTTGTTTTTATAGCTTTACTCTCACATGCGCATACAGTTTCGCACATGTGTATTAGTAACAGATTAAAAAGTTAGAAACAAAAAACGAACAATAACCGGTTAGATACAATATCCTTCAACTTTATATACTAATGTAGATAGCTGCGATAATGATGAACTGTTCTCCTGTTCTGGCCTATAAAATGGAAAAAGTGTTATGAGGAATAAAAAGAAACGAGATACATGAAAGATAAATGTAAGTAGAACATAAAGTCAAAGTTTTTATGCTTTGATTAATGTAAAGGCTCTGTAATAATGACAACTTGTTAGAAGTTTTTTTTAACAAGAACAAAAAAAAAAGAGAATTTTAAAATAACAGTTAAGAAAACAGACACAAAACAAAACATAAAAGTACGGATTTTAGTCGAATATAAGTAAACATTTTCGTTAAATATACGATTGAAAACATTCCCATACCGTATTGAACGAAGATTTGTTTACTTAACATTCCTAAAAAGTCAAAGTATAGCTTGATTTGTTTAGAGATCTTCGTGAACTGGTTCTTCTTCTTCTTCTTCAGCTTCCTCTCCTTGTTGTTGTTCGGCAGGCTAAATAAAACAAATACAAAAATAATCGATTTAAATGAACATCATTCTCATTACCTCTTCAGTAGTTGGAGCTTTTCCACCATCTTTACCATCTGAGTCAATAAAGCTGACGAGAGCTTCAACTGTTCGCGCACCGTTGTAATCAACAACTTCATCTGAGTTCTTGGGGAAAAGTTTAATTGTTGGGAAGCTTTGAACTTTGATATCTTCGAGTTCATTAGCTGTAGCATCCATTTTGGCGATAACAACATCGTTACTGTCTTTGTATTTTTCACCTAATTGTTCGTAGATTGGTGTTAATTGTTTGCAATGTCCACACCTACGAATAGATGATGTGGAATAGTTTTACGAAACAATAACGTGGAAGTGTTACCATGGTGCAACGAAAGCGACGAGAACAGTCTTACTCTTATCATTTGCGACTGAGTGGAAGTTTTTGCCGACCAAAACTTTAACTGGTGTTTTGTCCCAATCTTCAGGAATTTCTTGAGAGAGTAAATGTGGTTTGAGTGTACCGTCGAAGAATGATTTGACGAATGTGGTAAGAACATTGGATGTGATCTCGGATGATTCAGGTTTGAATTTGCTCATTTCATCTTTCAATGTGATCAAACGAACAGCTGGAACTTCAGTTGCTTTAAGACCGAAGAATTCGAGAACACGTTCATTTTCTTCATCATCACTGTCGACGAAAACGAAAAGTGTCTAGAAGGAAACGCATGTATTTTTCGTCGTTCAAACTGAACATTTTACCTTTCCACGGAAGTCTTTGGCAGCGGTTTGGAATTCTCCTCGAAGTTTTTCGTAATCATCACTTTTCTTGCTACCGAAAAAGAGAGTATGAACTTTAATATCACCACCGAAGATCTTTTGAGCTGTCTAGAAAGAGAAAATAAACAAAAAAGATAGTAGAAAACTTGTTTTCCGAAATTCGATTTTCTCCTACTTGAGGATTGAAGTCGACAACGAGTGGAAGTTGGTTGGATTGAATGAATTCACGAATGGAAGCTTCATCGATGGATGATGTAAGATCATTGCGGCCTTCATCGAACTGAAAATTTACATTCAACAATACAAAACTATATCTCGACAAGAATTTTACTTTTTTCAAAAGAACGATAGCATCATCGCTAACTCCGAGTTCTTTAAGAACATCTTTGTTTGATGTAATACCAAATGGAATACCATCAACAGTTTTTGCAACTTGAAGAAACGAAGCAGCTGCATTACCATCAGTATCCTAGTTAGAAAATGAACGTATTAGCAAATTACTACAAATAATATGTTGGACTTACCTTGAATGCACCAATAACAACAACATCAGCGGCTTCTTTCAATTTATTAAGATCTTCAACTGTCTTCAAATCATCGGCTGGTGGTCCAGTTTTCTTCTTTAACCAACTGACGATTTCTTCTTGGGATCGGCCACCGGTATATTCAAGTGTTGTGCCATCAACGAAGAATTTGAGTGTTGGGTAACCACGAACTTCGAATCGTTTGCCGAGATCTTGTTCGACTGTAGCATCAACACTAGCTAATTTGATTTCACTACCAGAGTCTGCTAATTGTTTAGCAGCTGCAGCATACGCAGGTGTTAAGGCTTTGCAATGTCCACACCTGAAAAAGAGATCGTTTTTGATCATTCAAATCATCCCCAAGAGATTTCGTCTTACCATGGTGCAACAAATTTCACAAGTAAGAATTTGTTATTTTTCACAGCATCATCGAATGTATCTTTAGTGAGTGTAAGTACACTGCTTTCGTCAACATTTGCTGATGAATCGTGACAATGAATTTGTTTAGTTGTTTGAGTAAGAATAACCAACACGGTTAGAAGTGCTGCTTGGATAAATCCAGGAAACATTTTCGTTTTCTTCGTATAGGATGTTAAACAAACAACCCAATGATCTAAAATAAGAAAATGCAAGTGATGCTTACATGCAAATTACAATCATATATATAGATCGATAGATACAGTAGACACGTATGTCCTTCGGTATTCTGGTAAAACAAGTTATTGACTGATTTAACCAGCCAAAACGACCCACGACTATGTAGTTTATTCTGCAAAATACCCATCGTCGACGTGTACTCTCCGGGGTATAATAGCTAATAGGCATAGCATCGAATCAAATAGTTTAACGAAAGAATACTATATTCGTCATCAGGTTTCAATAGAGGCACGGAAAAAATATTCAAAGAAAAAAGGATAAGCAATGGATATCGTGATCTTATGGTAAAATTCACTTGTTGGAATGTGTAAATGATCTAAAAAGAAATATTTCTGAAAAAAAAAGGGTAAATCGTCACTAATTGTCGATGAGATAGAGAGAGAAAATAACGAAATATTATGATTGGAGAATATCGAATGACTCATTTCGATCTTTCAGTGCACTAGGATAGAGAACAAGCAAACGTAGTCATTCCTTTTTTTTTTGACATCGTAATTATTTGCAATTTCAACTTGAAAGCTCTCGTTGAGTTTTTATTTGAATCAAACACATGTGCAATCGTAAAACAGTAAGATAGCTCTTTAAAAAATAAAAGTGAACTGACAGTATTTCAAGATTTCGTTAATGAAACCATTGACAGAAGTACTTTCGCGTATGTCGTGTCCTCAATGAGTTCGTTTAACGACAAATTCATCGTATTCGACTTATTATTTTGACATCAGTCCTTCTGTTTCGTTTCTATATTATCGATATGTGTATTTACCTTGGTATTTCGAGTTTCAAACTTTGTTCTGAATGTTCTTACAAATTCGATTCACTACAACTAGCGCTTCATTTCATTTATTATTCGGACACATTCTTTATAAGAAACAATATCGAAATTACTGTATAGGCACGAAAAAGAATGCATTTCTAGTCCTATTCGATTCTATACTTGCCAAATAACAAGAATGGTTGATAATGATGAAGTACCGTTCTTTTTTCGTCTTTTCGTTTTACTGCTATCAGTTCTAAACAAACATTGACAGATAGAGATAAAGTTTTTCTCTTTCTCACTTAACTCGAAAGAAGAGATAGTTGACTATTAAACCTTCTAGATAGATTCATATTCATTTGCAATAGAAACGAACTCTTCGAGATGATTTCGAACATAACTGCGATCTTCCTTCTAATCGGTAAGTTGAAAATTCATAATTCTTTCGAAGATTCTCGTTATTTTTTCGCTCTAGTCTCTGGATGTTTTATCTCGTCGTCTTATGTAAGAAATGCAAACTTCACCTTGCATCTTTATCAACCCTTCACGATCTATTGTAGTCGTTAAGCCCACCAAGTAATTATACATGGCCACAAGACAGTAAGAAACTATGTTTTGCCGCCGAATTCGATCTTGTACTCAATGTTGACTATTTAAAATCCAATGGTGTAAGCATCTTTTCTGATCGACGACTGACAATACACGATTTGCTTTCTAGGCCAAAGCTTCAGCCAAAATTCCATTAAACGGTAGCACATATGAATCTTACCGTGTATCATGCTCAACTCCAGCCACTGTTCATGAATTAACAGTATCCATGTTGAATGGTTTTACGAACATTTTACTAAGCTTTTCCGTCGATGCCAAAAATATGACATCATTGAAGAAAATCTACGGTTATATTACGTTCAATGACAAACAAACCTATTTTCCCGATTATGCACCTGCTCTTGAAGGTAATTTGATGAGTTTATCATCGAGATATTCGCTTTTAAGCGATACATTCGGACATTTTTCTCAGATGTTCATCTGTTTTCGTCGAATGTGTCTTTATTCGAAACTGATCGCGGTAATTCCTATCGATGTGATACGAAAACAACTGTTACAGGCTTCAATACGACTAGCAATGTCACAGTAACATCAGTTGAACTTGAGAACTTGCGCGTTCAAGCGTTTGCTGATGATACGAAAGAGTTTAGTAATTATGGTGTTGGTATGTAGAGAAAGATATTGAATTTATTCATTAAATCAATTGAATTTAGAAAAAGTCTGTCCGGCTGATGCGGATAAAAACTCGAATTTAATCCCAATTATTGTTGGTGCTTGTTTGGCAGTATTAGTTGTGGTTGTCCTTGTTGCCTATCTCATTGGTCGTCGACGTAATCGTAATGGATATCAAAGCGTTTAAAACTTGCATCCCCTATTCAAGAACGTGACATTTCTTTTTTTTTCTCTTTTCCAATATTTTTCTATTAAAAAACATTCTTTCTCTGCTTTTTTTCTTTGTTTTCTCACTGCATTTAGATTTCTAAAATAATGTGCGGAAAAACAAACACGATTACTAAGTCAAGCTTCTTCCTTCTGTACAAATCGACTACATTTTTGTAAGAACTGTCCTCTGCAGCGTTCGTGTGTATGTATAAAAAAAAAACAGAACTTTACGGATATAGATTTAAACAACACGCAGTTTATCAAATGAGTATGATTTTTTTCTTTGATTGTTGAACAATAAACAGCTCCAGTTTTATCTTCACTTGACATCACCACACGTGAAAACGGTATCGATCCATACTTCGTTGAATACTCTTGCAAGCATTTCGAGTGACGGTTACTTCTTTTGGTTTTATGGCAGGAAATATATTGAAGTTCGGCGCAGCGTAAGTGGGTTCAAACTAGAAAAAGAAAGTACTCATATGGGAACATCGACAAAACAAACAGAACGGGAAAACAATCACAAATATGGCAAACGTGATCTAACAGATCCCCACATCATGTCTGTTTATTGGGGGAAAATCAGGAATTAGATGTTAATCTACAAATGATCTACTCACGGATGGAATATTAGCCGAAAATATTTGAGGATTCGCCATTGCTACTGAGAATGGAATGACGTTTTCAGTCACAGGATTAGGTCTTGGAATCAGCTCAGAGTTTCGTTGTATTGGATCGACAGTATTGGTTCTTTTCATTGAAGACGCAGAATTAGGTTTCGAACGACGCGGAGATGGCGAAGGCGGTTGTCTTTCGGTTGATTGATGTGCAGGAGAAGGTTGTTTTTCGGTACGCTTCTCTTGAGTAGATGAAACAGGATCCGGTTCTTTTTGAACAGTTCGTTTTTGTTGTGGAGATGTTGGCTTTTGCTCAGTAGGCTTCTGCTCAACACTTGGTGACGTCGGTCGCTTCGTCGCACTTTTCTTTCGTGCAGGAGGAGGTGTTTGTTGCTTGTCAGCAGTTTTCTCTGATAGCAGTGGAGTAGTCGACTCCTTTTCCGCATGTTTTTTCGTCGGTGGAGGAGTTTGGGGTTTTTCAGTCTTTTTCTTTTGCACAGGAGATGGAGATCTCTTAGCTTTTTCCTGTTCCGTAGGGGATGGAGATCTTTTAGTCTTTTTCTGTTGTTCAGGAGTTGTCTTTCGAGGTTCTTCTTTCTTTAGCGGTGATCTCGATCTTGTTTGGTCTTTCTTAAGATTATCATCAGCACGTTTCTCTGCGGTTTCTTTCGGTGAAGATGATCGGTTTTTCTCGACAGATTGTTCTTTCACTGGTTTAGTAGCTGCCTTCTCTTCTTGTTGTGTTTGCGAAGGTTTCTTCTCCGACACGGGTGAAGGAGTACGCTGTTAACATAAAACAAAATATGCATTTAAACTTAATGATCGTAGGCCATTTACCTGTTTTACTGTTTTAGATTGAGTAGCCGTTGGTTCTTCTTTATTTGCTTGAGCTCCTAACCCGTAGTTAACCGAATCGAAAGTTTTCCACGTATCTAGCGTTTGATTTGTTGTTTCTGCTTGTTTACGGTTAATTTCTGCGAGTTTCTTATCCAATTGAGAAACTTCGAGTTGTTTGGTTTTTCGACTGACTTTTGGTGGCTCGTTTGTAGGGGCTGCTGCTGTGGAATTTGTGTTCAATTGATCTTGGCGATAATTTATCCTCTCGGTCGAAAGAGCACCGGTGAAACTGGAAGGAGTCAATTGATTTTGCGCAGCACCAGGGTTAGCATTATCTTTTGCAGCCATTTTCGATTTGATCGCTACGAGTGATGCTAAATTCGGCGCGGGACCACTTGTAGTTTTCGATGCCATTCTAGAAATTTCACAACACAATGTTCTTTTAACTATTTACTTGACTATGAAGTCACCTTTCTGATGAATGGACGGCTAAAATAACAACTTTTTATTTCCTTCTTTTTTCAAAGAAAAAATGACTTTCAGAGAAGACAGTTGAGTAGAAAGAAGAAAAAGTAACAGGAAGCAGAGGAAAAGTAGAATAAGGACATTCGTAACAATGACAACGACAGTTTTGTTTGTCTTTGTATGTCTCTTATTTCATCACACGACTAGTCGCGGAAACGGCCAACTTATCGAAGATGTTTAGCACGGGCTTGAAAAATACTACACTACAGTTATTCTTCCGACTGAAGAAATGTTTCGAAAGCGAAAAAGTTCATCATTGAAGATGAAACCACTCTCAGTAGCATAGCCAATGGGCTATCAAGAATGCTTGAAATAGACAATGCTGAAATTAAAGTTCGTCAAACACCAGGAATCGTCACATCCATTTGGACATCAATGCGTACCATAGAACCACGTTTCGGACAGCAAACAGGTGTCTGTTTATCTAAAAGGTCATATTCTACAAAAAAATCATAAGTTTAAATCAACGATCGTAACTCAAAAGTGAATAGTAAATCAGGAAAAGAATTGTTTGTTGTATTCATATTAGGCAGCGATGACGTTTTAAAACTTTTCAACGGTACTTTACGAGCGGCATTCAACCAATCGGCATTGGGAACGTGTTTATTGTCCGTACTCGACGATGCTTTGTTAGTTTCCTAAATGATTGCTTAGAAGTTATCGGGACGATGGTTTTCAATTATGACAAGAACAAAGAAGATAATAATGTAATAAAATTGATAACAAGTAAAACAAAAGCGCCATGTACAAGAAAATATTCTCCTTTTTTTTGATGAATTTTCACGGATCTTTAAGAATAACAAGGAGATGAAGACGCGCAATTTTGCCGACTGCACCTCCTGACTCATGTCGTCATTTCCATTTACGTGTCTTCCTAGTCATGATGACTATTTCTACACATAATCAGAAATTGAACCTTTGGAAACATGATTATTTCAATCAAACCATTAAGAATGTTAATCACAACGCTACGAAATCCCAGCTCGAGCACGAACGCGATGCATGTGAAGAAGAACTCTATCGACTACGTTTCGGTATTGAAAATTTACTAAATAATCGAACGCCTAATGGTTCGAAGTTTCAACGACAAGAAAAATTTTCCAATTTTTTTCGCAAGATTGCCGATCGTATTGCTGGATTGAATAGTCGGTTTAGAGAAAATTTTCTGAAAGATTTTCAAATAAGATACATAACTTTCGTAGGTACAAACACTAACAGTTGGTTCGATCCATGCTGTTCACCTTGTTGTCGACGTTGGAGAAGATACCGACACAATAACGATGCGGATCACAATCATAATAATAAGAATTTTGATAGTTCTCAACATTCCACGCCAGCTCACAGGTTTCACATTCATAAATTATGAGAAAATCTACATAAACCAGCCGTCGTTCTAGTGATTCGTTTGTTTCGACATCGACATCGCGATCGCCTTCAGTGTCATCGCAATATACAGATACGAATACAAATTATGATGACGATGATTTAAAACATGGCGTCGAAAAGTTAGTCATTCAAAACAATCCAAGTGTTGCCAATCTATTACGCTCCAACGAGATCAATGATCCGGTGTATAATTCAATGCTTGTCAAAATTCTTGAAGCGAAAGCATTGGATTGTCTTTGTGCGGGATATTCTAAACAAAATACGCAAAAACAGATTGAGAATGCATTGTTGGATATTAATAAAAGGTTCATTTTCTTATATCAATCAAATACTTTGCTTACATCTCGTCTTCTGTCTCTTGAATAGAGCCGCTCAACAGCCATTGAAGTCAAATAGTGTCACTCCATCGCCCAGTCTCAGTTCATCTTCAGTCTTATCCGATCTTCAAACACCAAATGAAAATCAACCTGACTCAACACCATCATCACCTGGGAAGAGCCTACCGAGTGCCAAACGTAAGAAAGTGTTGTTCGCTATTGACATTTTTCTCTGACATTCTTTTCCGTATTGAAGCTGAAACTAAAACTAAATCAAACTTGAACGGTGGTGTTGAAGCACCGAGGAAAAAGTCGAATGTGTAAGTTGATATTTGATTAGTAAACGAATAATAGATTCAGATCTTTTCTTTAGGGCGGTTAATAAAGCAAAAACAGCAAAGCCGAGTACGAGAGTTCCTGTAATTGATAATGATTTATGTATTAAGCTGCTTTCTTTTAGAAAAATCGAAGAAAAAGAACAGATCATCTTCAAAACGCAGCCGACAGTCAAGTAGTAAATCAAAACGCTCAAAGAAAACCAGTAGTAGCAGAAGAAAACGTAGTAGATCCAACAAAAAAAGAAGTTCATCGAAATCCAAGAAGGTGAACTCGCTCTCAACAATCGTCAATCTTCTATTTTTAAAAATTCATTGTAGAAAAGCGCATCAAGACCATCATCAAAGAATAAACGTAGCAATAAGTCAAGTGAGCATAATTGAACAACAGAAATTTCATTTCCGACAACACAATTTCTATTGATTCAGAATCGAGGAGTGGTGCTCCGAAGAAAACGAAAAAGAAAAAATCGAAAGGCAGATCGAAATCCAATAATCACATGAATAATCATAGCTCTATATCTTCATCGATCAAATCCATCTATCCTCAATTATACGAGCACATGTATCAATATCGCTATTTGCCTTGCCAAGCATTGTTTTCCAAAGACATATCCGAGAATTAAGTAAAATTCGATTGATAATCGGTTTGGACAAGAATTGGTAACAGCAGAGTATAATTACATTGTTTTTTGTTCTTCTTTTCTATGATATAATCTTCCTATACCATCATAGATCGATCATCGACATCATTAGGAGTTCGAGGGATCGAAGTTAAACATATGATTTTCATCTAATATCTCATTAACAATCATTTTCCTATATAATACGACGGAAAAAGGAACGAACGTTACTTTTTTTTCATTTGTTCTCTAATGACTCTTACATATGTTTTTACTACCATATGCATAGCATTGACAAATCGTTGGTTAAAGTTGAACATCATGTGTAGATAGCCAAACCAAAATCTGGGTATATATTCCATTGGAATACTTGTTTATCAAAGAAGTATTTCTATTGTTTAGTTACCAGTGATTGAGTAAGTCAATGATCGTTGTTAGCTGAAAATCTGATTGTTTGCCTCTTTCTTGCCTTTGTGAAAAAAATGGCTTTTCAATTTTCTCTCTCGTCATTCTTTTGTTGGCACATCGTTGATGATCAATAGTCAACGTCAGTACGAGATTGATACCAAACTGAATACGAAAACCAATGCGTAGTTAAATGCGCAAATGTATCTGACATATACAAAAGCAAAGTAACGGCAGACTGCAAACAGATCAGACCGGTTTCGATCACCAGCGGGTGTGGATCTTGTACGTGCACCTGTTCATTCGATAGTTCCTTTTAAATAATTTCGACAATAGATATGGAAATATATACTTAGGTGATGCAAATCGTTCATGGTTATAATTTTCTTTCGTATTTGAACAAAAAATTGAATATCACTTCAACTAAACTGATGAAAGTAGAGAGAAAACTTTGAAATTATATTTGCACCCTCTTCTTATTACTGAGCGATTCTTCTGCTGACAGTCTTGTGTTTTTTATTCATATGACATAGAATGGGAGCATTTAATTGTTATACGTTCGGATCGATTGAACGATGAAAAGAACATTTTTTTTTCTTCAAAATACCTTTTTACAATTACCATTTACTGATTGATTCGACTGCAAGTCTTTATATAACTTTTAATGCGCATTACTCGAAGGAAATGGAATAAAGAGGAAAAACTACCTAACAAAAATGACGAATCTGCTCTAAGGCCTGTATTTAACTAAACCATCTAATACTTCCATTGATAATCTCGTAAAAATTGATAGAATTCCGAGATATTCCACGTCGACCATTCTCCTACGTCTTCTTTTCTACTAAAATTATAAGTCATCTGCAGAAATAAGCTTACCAGGAGAGAAAATCTCCGCCAATCAGTTTTGTTTCACCAAGAAAAACATCTGGAAATGACTAAGTTTGAGAGTTCGAATAGACGAGTAACTCTACCTTACAGGAAATTAAGTCTAAGAAAAAAAAAAGAAAAACACTAATAGCCGATTTCGAATGTTATTCTAACGATATTCTATTGAATTCGAACAATAATAGCAACGTATTCTAATTTTTTTAGTTTATTAATTATGTACGCACGAACACATTCATTTTTTGTCGTTATCTATCTTTACTTAATGTAGTTCCATTTTCTTTTTCTTAGTTCGCTTTTATACTCGACCGGGATGAAGAAAAAAAGTATGTTGTTCCGAAGATTTCTCACTTTAACTCTTCATTTTCCTCTCTCTCTCTCTCTCATACGCACTCTCAAGTCTATATGATATTCTTCTTAGTTCAATTTCAATTCTAATTATATGACCTATCAAATCATCAGTCAGCTTCTCTTCTCGTTGTTGCCGCTAAAAAGAAGTTCAGTTTAGCTTTTCTAATTAGATCCTTTTTTGTCTCAGTGAATATTCACATTCGCGACAAATCTCTGGCCTTGAATCGCATGTTGTTATAATGCGAATTATATGGCCATCATTTGTAACCTTTGATATAGAGAAAAGATATTTATTTGTAAAACTTATATAATCAGTGAAATGCGCATTTCAACTAACAGGAAACTTGCTTCAATTGTCTTCGTCAAGATAGTGCATTGATGATAATACTTTGTAAAGCCGGATGATATATCCGGTGTGAGTTTCGTTCCTTTTTTGTCGGTTTCTCTTTTTCTTTCTCCCTCTCTCTCTCTTTATCCCGTTTCCTATCCGAATGAGAATTGGCAGTTGTGATGCTACACACGCGTAAAGTGGTTTATCAACACACTGTTTACCCACTTGTTCTTTAGTGCGTTGTCTTTTCCTTGAACAAAAAGAAGAAGAAGAAGAAGAAAATACAAGATGCAAACGACGAACGAATGTACTTAGCCATTTGTAAAGTATCTCTTTTATATTCGGCTAACGATCACAGAACATATCTTGAGAAATTGAGTCAGCCGATGTTACCAATAGAATTTCAATGTAAACATACATGGACAATTCGCGTCATCAGCTAGTATCGACTAATAAATTTAGAGTTATAAGCAAGCTGAAACGCAACTACGCTGTAATCAAATAATGATTGATTTTCCTAGAGGCTTTATTCTCTATATTGATTCTATTTATTGCATGCGAACGATTTCTCGTTTAGATTTTATTTTACACATCGCTACATCAGTGCATAGAGAGAAAATGATCGTTAAATATTCAAAGAAAACTTTGTTCATTCTCGATCTTTTACGGCAAGTTGAATTATTCAGTGAACCATTTCTAGACAGACAGAGAGAGAGAGAGGGGGGAAGCTCAGACCACATTATTTTCCCTATTTCCTCTCATAGAATTAACTGACTTTCACTGAACATTTTTCTCTGTTATTTGAAGTTAATGACATCATAGACAAAACTGTCGGCCTGTATCTCCTGTCTTCATTATGTTCTGCAGCACCTATTTTTAAGTATCTAAAAAGAAACAAAAAACGAAGTAGGGCCTCTTGAGAAATCATACAGATTTATAGACAAAAAATGGATAGATAATGGATGAAAGCATAGAATAGGAAGAGACAGAGAACACGAGAAAAAAAAACGCAAAGAAAAAAGTGTAACGTGCAAATAGACACACAGAACCATCAAGAATAACATTAATTCATAGAGATAGCAGGAAAAGTCTCAGTTGGAAACTCATTAAATACTAATGATAACGACAATGTACTCTACGTTTTCGATACAGTATCACGAATATTCATTGGTACACATCCTCCCCGTTTCACCTTATCATCATCATCTCTCCATGGTCTCGATTATCGTGTGTATATTTCTTTTTAGAATATATCTGTCTATCTATTACATATTGATTTCCAACTTACACAGTACAATCATGTTTCACTGGTGGATTTTGGAAGCTTTGGAAAAGTAAGTTGATCCTAATTGACACTCTTGCGTGATATAATTATGATTATTTAACTTATACACGAAAAGAGAGATAGAGAGACGAAGAAAAGAAACGCATAGATCTATGAAAATATTAATTAAGTTCAAAATGGAACAAGGGAATTGTTTCTTTCCTTAGACAGCATCTGATTGACAGTCTAACATCTCACTTGCTTCATACATAACTACAGATCGGAAATAGAGCTTTGATTTCTGTCCTTACAAAGCAGACGAGAACAATAACAACAACAACAACAAAACTATCGACAACCGAATCATTCAGATATCTGTTAGCCTGACACGTTCCTTTGAATATTCCTTATTTGACAAATATCATTGATGGATGACATGAATCTCTTAACTTATACATTAATTTACGTCAACAAGTCAGATCATAAACATTCAACAAAATACCATTACAGAGCAGCGAATTAGACTGTTAATAGATTAGAATAGATGAATCTTGCTTAGGATGAACGTAATCAGACGACCGTATGAATGCGCTTCCACGCGATAGTTCTATAGATGACTTGTAATCGTTAGAATCTATTGAGTCCTTCTTGACGTTTGCTAATAATTAGAACAAAAAAAAAAGGACGAAGAAAGAAGGAAATCTAAAAGATTAAATCTATTGAATGAATGACATAATATGCGTAGCGAAGGTGTTCTCATATGTAACAAATGAATTAACGGCGTGTTATATCCGGACACATGGCGATCAGAAGTTCACATATGATTTCGATGTCAAATAAGCACACTTGCATTAGTTTTACGCAATTGATGTTTACCAGAGCCAATTATTAAGATGAAAGTTTGATCGAAAGTTGAAAAATAATCATATCAATGATCAAAAAAACAAAGTAGCCAATTGAGATCGGATGTCATGTTTTCTATTGTAAGCTAATAAATTAATCATGCGTTCAAGTTATTCATAATAAATTAACTTTCAACTAGTTGTTTGTATGTCAGCATTGTAGAGAATAGATTCTTACTCATTAGTCACATTCCATAAAAAAAAACAACAATGTCGTTTCCACTGTACTCTTCTAGCGTGGCCGCTTTTCTATTCGATGCAGCTTCAAGAGTCGCCCATCATGGACATGATGGCTCATACGATGATGATTTCTACGATCGTTTGTCTCGTCGTTACTCAGTTATACTTCTGATTATATTCGCTGTACTTGTCTCAACGAAACAATACGTCGGAGAACCAATAGCGTGTTTTTGTCCTGCACATTTCACAGGTACACATGTGGAATATACGAATAATATCTGTTGGATCTCCAATACTTATTTCGTCTCGTTCGATCGTTTGTTACCGAAAAATCCCGATCCCAAAACTGAACAGTTCATCTATTTCTACCAGTATGTTCCGTTTATCCTGATCATTCAAGCAGTTCTTTTCTACGCTCCATCGCTGATCTGGTCATCGCTGAATTCCAAAAGTGGCTATGACTTGAGCTTACTTGTATCACATGCTCGAGTTGTCGATACATACGCATCGGAAATTCGCAGTGCATCCGTTCGTCATCTCGCTCGTTTTATTGATAAAGCCCTTGAATTTCACAGACATAAACGTTTAGAGTACATCGATCAATTGCGTTCAATGAAGTATACGTCAATCTCGTCACTGTATGCATTTTTCCTTCTGAATAATCACATCACAATGCGCGATAATCATCTTATGTGGTCTTTCCTCTTTTCTAAATTGCTCTATTTACTTAACGCATTTGGTCAACTTTATTTGCTCAATTTTTTCCTTGGCAATGATTATCATATGTACGGTTTCGCAGTACTGCGTGCTCTATTCACAGGAAATAATGAAAATTGGACTGTTACACCAAGATTTCCTCGAGTAACATGGTAAGTTGAGTTTCTATGAAAGATTAATCGGATTAACATCACTTGTCAAGTTTTATTAAGCCATCCGATGTTTCTATTACGGTTTGACTTGGAGAAAATCTCTTCTCGTCACTCACAGTGTTTTATCTAATTAATCTGCTATTACTGTGAATTCTAAACATTGTTTTGTCTAGGTGTAATTTTGCCGTACGAAATTTGGCGGATAACATTCATACATATACAGTGCAATGTAGTCTACCAATAAATTTATTCAATGAGAAAATCTTTCTGATCATTTGGTTTTGGCTTTATTTTACAACTCTGTGTACATTATTCGGTTTTCTCTATTGGACAAGTTCGTTTTTCTATCCGCAATTTTATAAATCACATATTACACGTTATCTGTCGTCAATGAAACGCATTAATATACATCATTTCCCTCAAAATCCATATCAGGAGCATCACCAATCCTTTCGACATCATCCGTATCATTTCCATCATCACAATCAGACTCTTCACCATCATCATTCGAGTTACCATCGTCGCCAGTCGTTTGCACATGCTCATTACGGTGCCGGCGGTGGAAGTCATTATGGTTCGTTACATATGGGTCATCCTCATCATAGTATTTTATCGTCGTTTGCTAGTCGAACACTGAAGCCGCATCTGGATCTCGTTCGTCTGTCGCGCGTACGTGAACAGCTGAGTGTACCGATATCGACAACATCGGAAACAAATGAACTTAACGCTGCATCATCAGGCGATGAACAAAGTCCGCCATCGCCTTCAACTCCTCAACAAGGTCAAACAACCAGTCACGGATCATTCTCGGTTTCAATCGATGATGAACGTTCTTTGACACATTTTCTGACAGAGTATCTCGGTCGAGATGGCATACTTGTTCTTTATATTTTACAAATGAATACAAACGAAGTTATAACAGGTGAAATTGTTACAGCGCTATACGAATTGTATAAAACAAATGCACGGACGAATACCGCAGATTGAAGAGTTTATTATTAGATTATGTCGTTGTTTTCGTTGTTTTTTTGTTTCTCTTTTGTCTACGAATGAGTTGGTTTTATTTGAATATAATGTGATATAAATGTATCTGAAAATAATTGACGTAGATTGGGATTGTTATTCAGTAAATTTCGAATCACGGTCGCTTCTGTTTGTAAATGAACAAGATTGAATTCTGAAAACGATCTAAAATCGAAATTCGTTAGCATAACATCTAAAAAAGTGTATGAAAATCTCATACTCATTCGTCGGCGTCTTCTTAGTTTCAGGCTGTTTGAATTCATCGAGAATTATATCAAGATCTGGATTGTTGAATAGCGATGCTGAAACAACTCTCAATGATTCAATGCGATTCAATGTTGTGTTTTGCTTGATAATATTCAATAGAGCATAGAATAACGATGGAACAAAGTCATCATCTCGAACGAGGCTATCTGAAAAAGATGAGAAACATCTTGAACACTAGATTGATCATTTAGATGTTTTCTCACCGTTTTGGTCTACATTTTCCAAACTGAGTCTTTTCATTAATAATTCATTTCCAAATATAGTTTCCATATCATTTGCTAGTGGCCACAATGATTCGTCGTCATCAACGAGCACGTTGAACTGATATGATGGCTTAATAAAATGTGTATGCTGTAATAGGGATGAAAGTTTTAACGTTGGATAACCCAGAATAAGGGTATAGAATAAGACATGTGGTTTAATTCGATCACGTATATCGTCAATGACATAACGAATGTGATGCGGTGCAACGCAAAGAAACACGATATCACATTGCTCAACAATATGAGCATTGTTAAATTTACAAAATGCCACGCCACTGTCGATCATGTCAGCTAAAAGATTTCTCTCTGCAATTACGAAACGAAAATTTATAACTACATTTACATACTTAACAGATCAGCTTGTCGGCTGGACTAGAAAACAAAAAAGATTCGTTTGTAGCGAGAGTGACATGAACTTTGAATGTATACCAGATATAATTCATCGGGGTAGACATCGCCATACTGTAGAAGAAACTTTGCTAGTAAATGTCCGATACGTCCAGCACCGATGATACCGATTTTGAAGCCAGCATCACGACGTAGTTCTGCCATTAGCCGATGGCTTCGTTTCTTTCCCGGCGCATATTTCAGTTTATCACCTGCGCGTCTATGATGTAGGATGTTTATAATGAAACAGGAATTAAACAAGAGTTTCTTATTTCTTGATCGTTTACTTGATACGGTTAACTAGCGCAGCAAAGTAACATGCATAAGCAATATGAGTTGATGTGATCAGATTTGAACGACGACGTAATTGAGTAAATAGATGGGTAAATCCTCCGGGACATATCTTATCCAATTGAACACTTTCAAGACCTGCAGTGAGATTACCCATGGATGGATCAAAGAGCTCTGATAGTGTTGCTGATGATTGGGAGAAGTCCATGATGACAGAAACGAAAAAGAAATCTAGAAATCGATTATATTAAAAAATTCGTTTATTCTTCGTTTCGTTATGAGATTTAAGCAATGAGTCGTGTGAAAAGAAAAATATATAATAATCACACAATGGTAAAGAAGAACTGGTTCGAATGGAAAATAAACATCTGACTAACTGGACAAAAAGCTTCTTATTATTTTTTTTTGTGTTCATTAATCAAAATGAATCTCTTTAACAGCAGACGGTTGTGATAAGTGAGGATCAAATTGAAAGTCGTTAGCATAAGGAGCGATTTGCCATACTTGACCATAATCAGGAGTTCGTTTAATCTGAGGCAATGGACGGCGATATTTATATGGATTATGTGGTCTTTGCCCAAGAACATCTTCTTTGGGATGAAGTAAATCCCACATACTCGATGGTCGTTCCTTTTTTCCTGATGTGGTTGTGTCCCATCGTTCCATTGGTTTCTCCTCAGATTTCTGTTCTCTTATAATGAATGCTCCATGTCGCTGTAGAATGAGAAAGAGTAGGAAAAGAGAGAAAGATCCTCACAAGACGTACTTTTCCACGCAAAGGATAGTTAGTTGCGCTTCGACTATCATACTGTTGTTCAAAGGAAACCGCTTCAGTTAGCTTTTGATTGACAAATTGGAGATTGTCTGGTTTATAATCCGTAACAGGAACTAGAATTCAACAGAAATGAATCAGTAGATATGTTTTTGAAAATTCTTACCGATTCCAACTGTTCGCATGTGTGGTGGATTGGATGAATACCGTGAATTTTTCTTTGCATAGGATCCAACAACACCCGCAGTTGCGTATGCATTTCGATATGAACTCTCTTGTATCCTTTTCCAATCATCTTGCGTTCGCACTCCCGGTCCATAAACATCTCCTTTCGGCGGTGACCAATCCCACCAGCGTGGCTCTTCCCGTTTGACATTATCAGTTTTGATTATCCCAAATGGTGCATTGAAAGTCGAAGCATTCGTAAAAACCATGTCAACTTTACGCGCAGCATGCGGATTATTTCGTGCTTCGGATGCTTGCGCTGGCAATTGATCCGGATGTGGCTCAGTGTAGAGAGGTAATGGATGTGTATGACCATACCATGCTGGAATACTCTCATGTTCCGGAATATCTTCATGTATGATTCGATAACTGTTCGGACTAGATTGAATGTGAACGGAAAAGGTAAACAATTCGATGAAGATTTCGTTTGCGGAAAGCTTTACTTGAATTTCTCAGGAACTTCTTTCTTATGAGTTATATCCGGATAAGTAATTGTTGACATGATCGAATTTACTTCTAAAGAAAATCCGATCGTTTTGTAGTTAACAAAAACAAAAAATTAATTAAAAAATCAACAAGCAGAACACTAAAACGTGTACATTGCTTCATTGAACTAGAAAACATCGAACAATCTCATTTATTTCATTCAGAAAATGAACATTTCTTGTATTGTCATTTCAAACGTTTTCGACACTCGGTTGTCATAACAATGACACAGTGACAAAGTGCATTGGTGCATTACTTCATGCACCTGAGAATGAAAATTTTGTGAACAATGTATCACTCGATAAATCCAGGTGAAAATAGTCATCGAGAAAAAGATATTCGGAGATTTTATTTATTGGAACATTCCTACTGGATAGGATTTCTCCCTTGTGTGGGTCAACGAAAGGAAGGAAGAAAAGAAAAGGAAGGTCGGTTGCATCTTTTTCAATTTGAATGATTCATGTTATTCATGGGCGAAAAAGCGTCTTCTTTCATGACTAATTGGATAATTTCACAATAGTTTTACATTTTTCTCATGTAATAGAACTTGTATAAAAAGCTCGCGTTTACTTTCATTTCAGATTCTTCTGAAGGTTTACTTTGATTCATTGTTGTTGGATAGAACTAGCATGAACAATTCGACTGAGTTACTCCAATTGTATGTACTATTGTCATATGAAAAGGTGTGTTTGACTTCAATCGCATACAATCAACGAAGAATTTCTTTTTCTCACTTTTCTTTTCCAGCTACGACGCTCAAAAATAAGCCAACATCATCGTCCGACCGAAGCTTCGTTACGTGATCGACTATTAGTATGGCGTTTTTTGAAACAGATCGAAAATGAGTCGATCACTCGACAACCTTCCGAACAAGAGTCCTTTTCAAACGACTCAACCGATAACAATACTGACGATTTAACTAATAGTAATTCTTGGATACTTGATCTCGATGCAAATTGTGCTGATGATATGGATATTGAATCTGACCTGTTGAATATTGTTGATAATAATCAGTTAGATAGTAATGTTTCTCCATGTGAAACAATGAATATTGATCAAACATCAGATGTAAATATCCTCCTAAAACGCACAATTGGTGCTGAACGGCGACAAAAGGTATCCTCAGATAATTTCCATTTCAATGAAACTACTGCTATCAATGAAAATCTACAGTCTATGTCAGAAGGCAATATTTTCGAAGAAACGGAACAATTCTTTCAAGAGCTTTGCGCTGAATTAACCAATACAACTGCAACACTTGTCTCAACATCTGCACCGAATGCATTGAATTTTCCTCCAACGCCTGAACAGGCTCTAATCCATTAGGACAATATCGAATCCAACCAATGTTTCTGCTTTGGACTATCCAACAGTAGTTTTTTTTACGATGAAGAAGTGTTTTCGTTTGATGATATCTGTTTTAATACATTGTTGTTCGAATGATTTTTTCGTTTTTTTCTCTGTGTTTAATTCTAATCCGGTCCTTGAGTTTTATACTTTCTTCTAATCATCTTGATTTCCTAGATTACCAATGATACGAGTAAAACACGTTTATGCCTTTAGTTATTTGTTGACTATTTGTTCTTATTATTTCAGATGTTCTTTTTTTCTCTCTCTCTCTCTCGTTTTTTCCCTCCAAAAATGATATTGAAAAGCCTCGATAAAGTTTTTTTTGTTTTTTTTCTCTCTTTCTTCAAAACAAAACGCCATTCTATTTCTTCCGTTCATACATCTTACATATCTATGCGTATAAACCAAATGAAACTGACGTATTTATCGTGATGCATGAACGCGTTTCTCGTCCTTTTCTTTTCTCTTCAACTAAAGAAAAACAAAACAATCTTCAAGATAATCGACATTTCTTTTCACTGCTAAAAATCGACCATAGAAGGCTCAAGAATGATGCATTTTTTTTCCTTTTAAATAGACGGCAGCCGTGATGTATACCGTGGGAGTTGCGAAGCGGAAATATGGTTGCATTTGGATATCTGACGAGGAAAAAAAACTTCTTACATTTTCTCATTTCATTGAGAGAAATAATTACATTTTAAAAGGACCAAAGACAAGTAACACTGCTGAGTATTTCGAACATGGACAAGTCGATTGATACAACCGAAAATGGCACATTGGAGACAGTGACAGTTGCGATTTCATCTGACCTACTTGCAGATATCGACGACGAACAGATTTCTCAAGCACAGATGGCAATTTCAGAAATGATCGATCAAACATGTGCCTTGCAATCGACTTCCGAAGAGCATTTACCGATTCCACAGGATTGTTTTGGTTTTCTTCTTCGTTCAATAATACCAACACACGAAGTCGTCAAACAAGATCTCGAACATGAACTGCCACCGAACTTATTCAAATACGAAGATGCTCAAGGTACGAAGTACGCTTTCAAAGTTCTTGATCGTCGAACGAACCGCTTGACTTATGAGCAAATGCCTTCTTATCATAAACATGGAATGCGTTTACTGTTCAGCGGTCCGGTACAACGCGAATTATTGCATACGAGTACGATCAGAAATTTCTTTGCACGCGAAACAACACGTTTGGGGGAAGCATTCGATGAGCCGAAATCGCGTAAACATATTCCAGGTTTTGTTAAAATGTATCAAATCGATCTAACGGAATTACTCGAACCAAATATATCGATGTATTTTACGTTTAACGAATTTTTCTATCGTAAGTTGAAACCCGATGCGCGACCGATCGCCGATCGTCATGATCCGGATGTTGTCGTATCAGCTGCTGATTGTCGTTTGATAACGTTTGATAATATTTCCGAAGCGACACGTATTTGGGTAAAGGGTCAACAGTTTTCTCTTCGATATTTGTTTGAAGACGAAGTATTAGCAAAAGAATTCGAGGGTGGTTCGATCGCAATCTTTCGCCTAGCACCTGTCGACTATCATCGCTTTCATTCGCCGATTCAGGGCACAATCGGAGAACAGATGAAGAAAATTTCAGGAACATACTATACAGTTAATCCAGTTGCCATTCAAGAACAATTAGATGTACTTACGCAAAATCAAAGAACAGTTATCACAATCAACAGTGAACATTTTGAGAAAGTTGCGTTTGTTGCCATTGGTGCGCTACTTGTGGGTTCAGTTAATTTCACTGTCGCACCAGGTCAAACGGTTGAGAAAGGCGACGAACTTGGTAGTATACCTTGCTTTATCAGGATAGAATCTATCAATAATTTTCATTGCAGGTTACTTCGCATACGGTGGCAGTACAATAGTTGTTGTTTTCAAAGCTGGTATGGTAAGATGGGATGATGATTTACATCATAATTCCAATAATTGTATGGAGACACTCGTTCGAATGGGTGAACGCATAGGTCAGCGAACCAGTGCAGAACAACGTCGAGAATATTTACTACGTATATCAAGTGGTAGCAAGAAAAACTCAACGATTTCTCAACTTCTTAGTCATTTTCCTATATCATATAGCGTGAAATCTGATTAGTCGAATGTCATAACTCGATGTTGATGTGTACCGAGATTACACCACTAATATTTTTTATTTCAAAAAAATTTACATAAATGGTTTCATGTTTTATCTCTATAGATGTCTTACAGTCATTTTATTTTTCTTTTGTTTTCTATATTATTTACAGATATCAAAGATGAGTAATGATGAGGACGACGCTGGTGAAGATACACCAGTAACACCGTTACCAAATCAGTTTTTCTTCTCGATTTATAGAGAAAATGAGTCTGGAAATACGAATGGCAACGAACAGGAGGATAATTTGAAAATCATCTCACCATATAAATGTCTGTTGTGTCGTAAATACGTCGATGGGCCAATGTTAACATGTACAATATGTGTCAATGCCGGTGCATTTTGTCCGTCAAATCATCGGACATGTTCGCATAAAAGACGCGAGTTCTTATTGAAATTATTGAATAAAGATGATTATTACGAGTTCTTACAATATTCAAATAGTAAAACATATCATCTTCGATGCTGTGATCGAATGTTCTTGCTGACGAAATTTCAATCGGAAAAGAAAACCCTTCAAGTCGAGTAAGATCAAGTTAATTACAATTATTTACTCATAGCTTATTTATTAGATATGAGACAAAACTTGGCGAATCGATGAAAATGCATGAAATGGTTCGAAAGATTTTCTTCCAAATTGAAAAATCTCATTGAACTTTATCTGAATTTTAGTATGAAGATATTCAAACCCGGAAACTACGTTTGAATCTCATGCACGATAGAATCAAAATCATTCGAGAACGTATCGAGCAGAGTAATTGAATGAAATTGTTCTTTTCGAATGTCGATCTTTCTTTGAATTTCAGAAAAGCAACGCAAAATTGAAACTAGTCGACGTATTAGTGCGATCACTGAACGCATTCAAACAATAAAAGTTGAGTTAACCGGTGTAAATAATAAGATGATATCAGTGGAAGGCCAACTCAAAAGTCAAATTCACGTATTAACAAAACAAATTCAGAAATTGAATAAAATTCGTCATGAATTTTTTAACGATCTATCAAAATATATTTTTCCGATCAAAGATGCGTCTGCAAGTGAAGAGTAAGATAAACTTCGATGGGAAAACTGACTTTCTTTGATTTTCTGTCCAGCGCACAGGGGACGCGAATTATAAATCCATCACAAGCTCAATTATCAACGAATAGTGACGAAATGGATGACGAACAAATCGAGCAGAAAAAAAGAACAGTTAATCAAGACTGTAGACTTCAAATTGTGAACTCATACTTAGTCAAAAATGGCGATTATCAAATCCACTCTCGTACGTATACGCAACATAATTTTCAAATACACTTGAAGTAGAGCTGGCTGTATTGTCGATGGCAAACGATTTACTTCGACGTATGCCGTTGGTAATTTAGAAAAATAGTATTCCTATTACAGATAGCATTATACCATATGCTTTGCAGGGCTTTTGAATACCACACAGCCTTGTCCTAGAGAAAAGACACATGAAAAATTCACAAGGCATAATATATTTATACGATTTCAACTTTAGTATTATTAGCGGCTGATACCGAGAGGAAAAATCAGGCTCCTGGTTCGGCTTATACGACAGAACCGCATGCTTTATATGAAGTTGTATCCGGTCTGTCGCATGCTTGTCAGCTGGTGAATGTTATGGCCTTTTGTCTTCAAATACACCTTCCATTTCGTTTACATTGCGCGTAAGATATTAGCAAACGAATTGTTCTCTTATAATTCTTTTTCTTATTAGAGTATTCCACACGAACGATTTGACAGCTGAAGACCTTCGTGCAAATATAACGAAATTAGATGCTAATATTGTTAGCAGTTGTTTATCACAAGGTATTCCATGTGAACTTGATAATGCTTCTCATACATTGGAAAATCTACTCCACCTGCTTCAACTTGACAAATATCCCAGTCGGTGAGTGAATGATCGTTCGAGAGTCTTTTGCTTGATTGGTGAATCTTTCCTTAGACCGCGTTCAGTTAGTTTTTCGCTGGAGTATATCAACACGATCAAAAAATGGGTTGATCAAATCAGTGGTGTTCCTATGAACGATTATTGGTCGGATGAGGATGATAATGATGAAGCAAATCTTTCGAATGATAACGAATGGGAAGCAATATCGGCTGGTAAATTCTATTGAAATACGTTTATTTATACCATAAATTTAACTACATTGTTCCTTTTAACACTAGGCGATTTCATTCCTAATGATCAATCGGTTTCTGATTATAGTGATTCCACATCCTCCAATTCCAGTCAACAACATTCGACGTTGATGAGTAGTTCCATCGAATTCTTGAGAAATAAGTTCTTATTTCGTTGATTTAATTGTGTGTAACTTTCAATAATGGCATGGGTGTTTTAGTTTCTTCTTCTGACGTATTCTCGAATATTTACGTGACGCGTTTTGTTTTTCCAAGATCCAAGGACAAACAGTCCAAAACTATATATATATATAACTCTATACTGTTTTGGCTCTCTGAATTTTCTAGATTCAATCATGTCATCATCACATTTCATCCCAGAAATGTCCTATCCGCCTTATTGTATTCAACCATTGAAGCCTTGGGGTTTAATAGTCATTGGTAGTGGTGGCGGTTCAACCAAAACCGGTGCTGGCAATGACGTTCATCTCAAATGGACTCATTTGAATCCATCGACAAATTCAAATCATCAAAGGTGTTCCGTACAAAATCAAAGTAATTTTTCTCAGCAAGATAGTGTCATGCGGATGATCTCCGTAACTAAACAGCAAGAATATCTGATCTTGGTGCAAAATCAGCATTTGAAAGTCATTATGCCGAAAGCATGTCATACTGACTTTGATGACAATCCGCGGAATTCGATGCCGCTACCTCGAACATGTTCGATGTGCCAACATTATCAAAAACGCTACGGCAGCGGAAAATTCATCAGCGTCTGATATGAAAAATTCGAAACGTCGCTTATCTATATTGCTCCATCCCAAAAGCCAAACAACTGTCAAATCCATCGGTAATGAAACTGCGATATCGATAACGCCATCAAATATAATAGATGTAGTTTGTCAGGTCAATTCATTTAGTCAATCATTCAATGACATGATACCACCATCAACTACAGCAATAATTAAGAATAATATTTACCGTTTCAATTGAAGAATATGAATACGTCATTGTACATGCGATCTGTCCGATTTCTCAATTAAAACTACTCGTTGGTTAGTTTTTATTTCCATATCCTTCATGACTCTAGGTTTTGTGTAGGTACTAGTGACGGTTCTTTAAATATATATGAATTAATATGGTCTATTCAATCTTCTTCTGATCGTCTGATTAGCTTAAATATTTTAGCATCGTTTACAACGCACAATAGAGAAATTGATGATATGACAGATTATCCTTACGACGCGTGGCTTATTAGTGTGTCACGAGATTCTTATGTTCATGTTCGCCAATGTTGAACTTGATCTGTGTCAATTTGGCGAGAAGAAAAGTAGAACGTCAAGAACACCATATTATCGCATTCGCCACATACTGTTCGATATCACACCATCATCTACATCGACTGGAAAAAGCTTTCTGTATAGTAGTTGTTTACATCAAACATTGATCGAGCAATTGAAAAATTCGATTATTCAATGGTATGAAAGCGAGCAAGCACAAAGAATTCGGCGTTCGACTACGGCAGCAAGTAGCATACGAGTGTATCTCGGTAATTTCTATCTGCTGGCGATACCACTGATTGTGTACAAATCTACGAAACCAATTATCCGGTCTTGTTGTTCGAACATCGTTCGCATACGATATTTGTAACTGATCTGACTTTTATCTTTCGAAAAAACGAATTGTTTATACGAAACAAGTTCTTTTAGTATAAGCACAGATAAAAATCTTTATGCACACAATATTCATCTAGCTCAAAGAGATCTTTTGTTTTATCGCAAATTCGTTTTATATAAGAGTAATCGTATAGAAATTTATCCTCATCAGATCTGAGACGAGAATTTCGAATCAAATAATAGTATTTTACTGCTTTTTCATGTTATAGATAGTTCAATTTAATAATGTCGGCACAAACGGACGTTTTACAAAATAATCTTCATGACCAATTAGATCGTTTACTCGAACAATTAGCAGATCTAGATCAAGCGAAAGATGAAATGGATACAGACGAATACACTGAAGCACGACAAGATACTGTGGATCAATTAGAAGCTTTCAGCAAATCTTTAGAAAAGATGAAAAGTGGAGAGGGTGGTCCATCGTTATTAGACGATGTACAAAGAATTCAGAATGTATATTTCGTGAAATGACACGTTCGATATTTATCTCGTGTTTTATCTTTAGGCTATTAAATGCGCCATTAGTCAAGCATTCCAAACACCGGAAGTTATTCGCTTTTTTGCGAAGAAACAACCGGTACAACTTCGAAATCGTCTTGCTGAAGTAAAGATTGATTCTGAACGTCGTATTTCGTGATTACAAGTAAAAACAACCTATTTTTGTAGATTGAGCGTGATATAAAAGTCGGAAAATTGAACGCTGGTGAGGGTGCTCGACAAAAACGCGAAATTCTCGACGCTCTTAGAAGACTTGGAGAAACATTAACACCCGACGAGGAAGTTTATTTGAAACAATATTCAGATAGTGGTAATATTGGCTTTGCAAAAATGAGTGAATCTTCCAGTAGGGAAAATTTACTAAAAAATGTATCTGAATATGCTCATATATGGTTTTAGATGTAAATGTCAATGCATTGTCGGCTGTAGCAGCAAAACAAATCGAGAATGCTCGAGCACCTCGATAAAATTGCCAATTCTTGTGTGTAACGGAATCACATCAGTAATTATTTTGTAATACAATTAATTCAAACGACTTTCCTTTTCAATGATTCATAAATTCTCCTAATAAACTCGTCGAATGATGTCTAATTTTACAAACATGTCTATCGAACACAGCTCTGCTGTTATACACATTATGAAAAACCAAGACCGATTTTTATATAGAAAGGTTTTGAAATAAAAATTGAGAGAGAAATGCAGTTACTATTGTGGTACACTGAGATAGTTTGTCTTTTCTGATTGCGTCTCTGCTGGATAAAATAAATGACAAATGATATGAACACAATCGAGTAGCTACTTGTGTATGAGAGAAAATAAAACCTGAATTTGATGCGGTTTAGCGGGAACGTGATGTATAACATCAGTCAGATCGTTTCCATCGTACACCTATGTTTATGAACAGTGCTGTTCTGGACTAATCTGTCATTGCGTTTCTTGTATGACTTGAGTGAGCAATTCAATTTTCGTTACATTAGTTTCAAGCTAAATTTGGCGAATTCTAACGTTTGCAATCATCGTCGCGTTGCTATTCTCACTTGTACTCTTACTAATTAGTTTTCAAAGCCGAAGAAAATGTTGCGCTTGATTAAATGTTTATTTATTTCATTTCAATTCAAAAAGAACTTTCCATAATAATTCACAAAGATTATAATTATTCATAGAGATAAAAAATATCATAACAATATTATCATAAATATTACTATAAAGAATAATTTTCCAATAGATTTTCTCACAAAATATGAAAGTATAGGATTCACACATAAAATGTCATTGTATAACAATTAAGAAAAGCAAACAACAGTAATTAGTATTCATTAACAAATTAGACTTAGTCCTTTTACTACACTTCAACATGACGTATTTGTTGCTGGTGTCGTAATCGTTTATTTGCTATTTCCGTTAATGTTATCGTTTTCTCATGATCAATGTAAACATAAGGGGTCGTTGTCGATGGATTAGAATTTAGTGTAGAAATTGGAGATGAATTTGTTTGATTCGCTGTCTTCGATTTGCTCAACTTCTGTTGATGGTGATTAAACAATGATAAAAGTGATCGTTTATGCGCTTGTTGTACGGAAGATTGTTGTGTTGATTCTTCTTCTGAACTGATAGTTGGCACGTCTAACCCCGTAGAAAGATCTAGAAATGACACACAAGAACTTGACGTTTGCCAATGACATGTTTCGATCTAGTTTATATACCTTCCTCTTCTGTTGCCAATTTGATTGAACCTTGTTTAAATTCTAAATAATTCAAATCAGGCGAGGATAACTTTTCAATCGGTTGCTTCATCTTGACAACAAACTGCCTTTCTTCTTCTTCGATACCCTCACGACTGTTGCTAGGTAGTGTATCAAACGGTATGTAGTTTTCTGATAGATTCGGTACAGAGTTTCGATATGAAAACGTTGCTCTCGAGATAAATGAAATAGACGCTGAAGATGATGATGAGAAAAGTACGGATGATGGCGCGCGACGAGGTTGTCCATGGTCGGATTGCGTTCGTCGACGTCGATACCGTGAACTTGATGAGAGATTCGTCAGCGCAGATACAGATGCTGTAACTGCACCACGTCTTGGCTGTTCCGAGAGTTGTTTTGAACGAAGAAGTATGCGTTGGTCAATACAATCGACTAGACAACGTGCTTGTTTACAACGAAATGCATATCGTGCTTGACCAAGTGGTGCTCGACGGCCGCATTCTAGAATGAAGATGGAGCCGTCCAAGCCATATCGTTTTATTGTTTCGAGTGGAATATATAACGATTGTCGATGTTTTTGTCGAATACATAAACTGTCATTTGATACCTGAATCTTTGCTACGGCATGTTTTCGACCGTACGAATTGATATTATCAACTTTGAATACATCATCTGCTACAGGTACTGGAGCATCAATGAGATTAGCAGAGAGATGGGCTGATGTGCTATTATTACCCATGCCTGAAAAGGATAGAATAGAATAGTTTACGGTTAATGCGTGAAGAATTTCATAAAAAAACGTCTTTGTAGTAACGATAATCTCTCCGAGTGATTTGCAGATGGCTGATTAAATCTATCAATGTCTTAATCAGTGAACCGTAACAAAATCATCGAGAGGGCTTTTTCTCTTTTCCTCGTTTCATTCTCTGTCAATCTCAATCGAGATTAATTACAATAGTAAGCATGAAATGTTTTCCCTCGTTGCTATACGATAAGATCGTCATTGCTTTTTATTCTTCTAGTACAGCTGATGGATGGCTTTACGCCAATATGTTCTAACTAGCAAGATATCAAACATGTCGACACATCAATGCATCTTGGAAACGAACTGGAATGCACATATCATTCCATTTTTGTCACCGTTCGACTTTTATTATGATCATTCGTAGATAATTTTCATCTTCGTAGTAAATCACCGACTTTCTTTCGATTTGAAATGCAATCAATCGATTACAGTTTTTTTCGGCTCTCAATTGTATAGGTCGTATCTTTTTCATCATTCATCTAGATAATGCATATAACCTAATATGAATCGGAAAAAGAAATGTCAAGAGAAGCCTTTATGGATACAATCTAGGAATGTATTATTACTATAAATAATGTAACCTTGGTCGAAGATTTATTTTTACTGATGACAGTCAATGTCTTCCATTTGAATAGATAAAGAAAGACGAAACGGGTTACCGGCATGTGATCGAAAATCACTGACAATCACATGAGATATTTTTCTCATGATCACGAAAGTGAAATTCAAGAGTGACACACACGAAACTATATTGACCTTATGATCAAATTGAAAACAGAGATTGAAAGAATGAAATACACACGAAACTTGATAAGTGAAAGTTATTTTTAGAACGAAACTTGAGTTAAAGCATTTGAAAGACTCTGATGTGCTTGAACATGAATCATTTCATTAAAACTCAATTCTTTTTTCAAGATTTTTTCTTAATAATCATTGAGTTAAATAAAGAACAATTCACGTCCATCTAATGAATCGTCTGCGTGCGTAGGAGGTAGCGCTCCCATCTTGATTGGTGCACTCGACATGGATCATCATAACGAACCTCTTTTCAGATTCACCACGTGACCAAACAATGATGTTCTACAATCATTTTTCAACATTATTTTCACCATAGATTCATCATTTCTGAAATAATTCTCTGTTCATTAGAAAAACATGAGAAAAATTCTTCTTCGTCATGAAATCCATGTTTTACTCTTCACTGTCCATATTATTTTGCCTACTATAAAAAGAAACGACAAGGTCGCGGTTTGATTACTTAAGACATATATATATATATATATACTATCGTTCTTTTTTTATTATTTCGTGCGTTCGCGTATTCGTCTAGCAACCAATCAAACACTTTTTTCAATATCAAACATTTTCAACCGAACAAAAGAGCGCCTATATTTATCTTTCATTGATTTAACTTATCGAGATACCAAGGTGCCCTACATATCTTCTCGTCTCTTCTTCTCTCTCTCTTCACGTTACCCTATTGTTCTCATTCACGTGTGTCTGTGGGTGGGCTTGTGATCGTTACTAAATCCAGTATCTGGACTTTCAGAAGATTTTCAAATTCATCTCAACTTAATGCAAGAATATGGCAACCAACGACGATGCAACCAAACATTTCTTTCCTCCCATGCAACGCTCAACAAAAAAATCCTCTCGTATTATGAAAAGAAAACCTGCAAGAAAAAATTCGATACCAACGCATTTCCGATTTGGTAAGCGACTCTTCTTTTCTCGTCAATTATTTTCTACGATGTTTCTCTTAGGTGGTAATCGAAAAGATCCACTCAATCTAAATGCACTTATTGAAAAGAAAAAACAATCCGCTGCAGCAGCAGGATCATCATCATCTATGACAAATGCAAACAATGATAATTTAGATAATGGTAATGATCGACCGGTTGAAATTTTACTTCAACCCGATATTTTTGATCCTCTTCGTCTTGATACTACTTCACGTAATGATGATGAACTAAATACTCTTTATTCTATTCCATCAAATAGTACGAATGAAGCATTCGCTCATAATCCAATGACATTTACAAATCGAAAAAATCGTTACGGAAAAAAACGAAGACATTCACTACCGCCAAGGTATGGCAATTTTCAAGGTTATTATGGTTATCGACAACCGAGTCATGATCAACGATTACAATACCTCGAACAAAATTGGTTTCAAAATAAACAAGTTTTAGATATAGGTACGTTCAAGTAGATCTATCGATGCTTATTGAGGAGACTACTAAATATTCAGATGATGAATACCCAATTACACCATCTTTCGACTGAGTTGACTTTTGCTGATCATTTCATAACTGATGAATACCGAAACGAGCATATGATTGCTTTTCTTTCAAAACAAGTCATTTGCCGAGTAATTACTATTTTAATTTGTTATTATTTCAGGATGTCATACCGGTCATGTGACATTCTATGTTGCTGAACATTTTCAACCAGCACAGATTGTTGGTATGGATATCGATCAGCAATTAATACAACGAGCCCGACACCAACTATGGAATCGAATTCAAACATATAGCAGCACGAACAGTAACAATACTGACCACAACGGCAATAATGCAAACAAGTGCTATCCGTTTAACCTGCATTTTCAGCAGGTGTGCATTCATTGATTTTCTTCTTTTCGAAGTTTTACTATACAAGCTGTTGTATATGTATATTTAGGGTTATTAAATGAACTTTGGATATAGTCCAAGCGACGAATGCTTTCTGCTGATCGAGCTGAGCCGGAGCGAGCGAGCGAGCAGCCACGAATCTGGTCGACATACATCTCAGTTACTTTTTATTTGATTTACTATGGCGAATTCTACAGCATTGAACAGGTGAACAGAGATGTCTCATCCTAAACTTTTCGCAAGAGAAGCTAAAAGAAGAAACTTTTCATACGAGCAGAAAGCATTCGTCGTTAATGAAGTTTTCCGAACTGAACTTTGTTCCTAAGATTACATCGATTTTTCTTCTTTCTTTCAGGGAAACTTTGTGCTAGAGAACGATGTAGATTTGGCTAATATTGTTGCAGAGTATGATACAATCATTGCATTTAGCGTGACAAAATGGGTTCACCTCAATTTCGGCGATCCAGGTCTTAAACGTTTCTTCAAACGCGTTTATCAATCCTTACTTCCAGGCGGAAGTTTCTTGCTTGAACCACAGCCATGGTCAAGTTATCGATTGAAACGTCGTATGACGGTAAGAACATTTCTTTGTTGTCTGCGTTTGACATGGAGCTGATCGATGTCATTTTGTTTTCTTCAGAAAGAACTCACGGAAATGTATAATCAGATAGAATTCAAACCAACGGAATTTGTATCTTATCTGCTCTCGACTGAAGTCGGCTTCGAAACGTGCACGACAATAGCAACACCAGATAACACTCATAAAGGTAGATATCCATCGATTGTCTGTCCTTTGTTTGATTGCGATTGATTTCTAGGTTTTCAACGATCGATGTTTTTATTTGTAAAATCAGCAAGTACTGTTGACCAATGAGAATGTAAAAATGAACTTCAGGATAAAAAAATCTTGTGTTTTGTTTTCTATAATCTGTATGTTTATTTCTGTGTGTGTCTTTCATCTGTTCTTTTTCTTGGTTTGTTTCTTTTTTTTCGTGTCGACTAATTACTCCTGCTGCTGCTCTCTCTCATTTTCGTTTCTTGATCGATTAGAAATACGGCTATTCGTTGTTTTCGTTTGAACACATGTACATATCTTACTATTACTTCATCTCGTTTCTTTTTCTCATCTTCGTAGTTCTGCATAGCAGATGATCACTTCACATTTTGTCTTCTTTTTGTTGTTCGGCCGCTTTTCCTCCCTCGAAGAACAGTGTATTGAACTATGTTCAAACATTGCTCTGCTGGTAGTATACGCTCTCGTTTTCTCGCGATGTGATATTTGCTGTATAATAGTGGATGCAAAACATATAGAAGAATTCTATTTTTTTCTTTCGACGTCGCTGTGTTTTTTACTCGATTGATCCGCGTTTTATTGTACAAGCAGATTCATAGAAACTGAACGACGCACAACACAAAGGCAATGAGATAAAATGAAGAATCGTCTCATATTTCTTTTCTTTTATGATAAACAAATAAAAGTTGTTATGTTTTCTTTTCATTTCTCATGATTAATCGATATTGTGTTTATTAATAACTTAGTCGAAAATGAAACAATCAAGGAAAAGTATTTGTTTTATTGCTGTGCTTGTTGATTAGATCGTTTAAAGCTATTTGACCAGTCACTGTAGGCTGGGTCGAATAGATTACGTTTTCTGAAAGAATCGGACCATGAGTCACCGAAGGCAGGGTCGTACAAACTTCGACGACTTAAGATTTGTTTAAGTATTTCGAGTCGAGTAGCAGCAGCGGCATCTTGACTCGGAACATGATTGTTCTCCTGTCCATATTGTTCATTGAGATTCTAGGAAAAAAACGTCGATAAATTATAAATGAGAACAATCACCTACCGTTTGTGAACTATGAACAAAGCAAATGAAACAAGCGAAGAGAGAGAATAAGATCATCAATTGGTGACGAAGTGAAGGCATCATTTGTTTTTGAATCGAATAACCAGCAATAAAATGGAAATAGACGACCTGTGTTAGAAAGAAAATGTCTCGTCAATAGAAATTCAATCCTGCGCAGCTTAACGACAAGCGGATTCCGGAGAACGTTACTTTTGCTTATCTGTTATCACAATTTTTTTGTTTCCATTATATATTATCTTTGAGCTCAGAGAAAGAGAGACAGAGACAGGGAGGGAGGAATGGAGGGAGAGAGGGAGAGAAAGAAAAAAGAAAAAGAAATTCGTAGTAGTCATGAGTGCCAAGTAATGAGCTTTCAAAAACATGCCTCTAGCTTCCTGTTGTACTTTCTTGATGTCAGAAGGTATTTTTCATTGACAAAACCAAAATCGCGCTCTCTAACATGTCCCTATGAGTTATAATCAATGAGAAAAAATGAAGGAAGATCGTTCATACCAATCCAGTACTCGTTCCTGTTCTCCTATCGAATGCCTCTCATCACTCATTCAAGCATCACTGAATATCAATGCGAAGAATGGCTGCTTCAGACAAGTTCACAATGACTAGCATTCAACATCCGGTGGTATATAGGAAACAATTCTATTCGTATGGCCGCGAGCAAAATCTGTTTCTGATTGCCACTAGTTTGTCATCGACGGTATTCATTAAAATTTGGAAAAAAGAAAAACACAATTTATTCACTTATTTCATTTTCTTTTGTTTTACATAAGCTATGATATCTTTCTTAGTAAGAATACCAGCCAAATGTCCTTTTTCGTTTGTGACTAAGATGGTTTGAGCACCAAGTTTTCTACACATGTCAATAATTGTTGTTGTCGGCGTATCCAATGTGATAGTTGCCGGCGAACGATTCAGTAAACGGTAAATGTGTATAGAATTAGATTGATGTGTAATACGAGAGAACGATATTTGTGTGTTTAAACTTGATTGTACATTGATAACTGCTCGTTGTTCGAGAACTAATTGAAGATCGCGACGTAGAACAAAACCAATAATTGATGCTTCTTCTCGACTCGAAACAACAGGATATCCATTATATTTATACGTATGTATTATATTTATGAGTTCTCCAACTGTCAAACTATCACGCGGCAGCATGATGAGTTCGTTTTTGTCTTGTTTAGTTTCCAACACAGTGACTGCAGTAGTCTGATCGACAAATTCGGCTTTGACATCCAAATATGGATAGTTATTCAACTGAATGTGTGCATCATAGATACCCTGGCCGACGAGAGCATCACCGACAAATTTAGAAACTAATGCAGCACACATTAACGGAACGGAATATGAAAGGCCACCAGTTAATTCAACCATAATAACTACAAGTGAGACAGTCATTCGTGTCACACCACCAAGAAATGCACATGCACCGATAACAGCATAGAAACCAGGAACAACGCACTGTTCGCCTGCTGTACTGCATTCGGCAGCAAAGAGAAAGAAATTCGGTTGATAATACACGAGAGTTTCGAATAGTATACCAACAATACGACCTGTGATTGCACCAAGAGTCATCGAGGGAATAAAAAGACCACTAAAGAATAAAAATACTACTTTACATTTAGTTAAACATTGAAATTGGAGACAAACCAAGGCACTTTGATACCAAATGTCAAAATAAATAAACTCGTCTGAGTTACAAGAGCTGAACAAAGTAAACCCACAGATAACCAAACACCACTGTAAAGATGATGAAAGTTCATAAATGATAAAAAAAGAAATGTCAACAACGTTTAATGTAGCAGAAGCAATCACTGTAAAAAAATGTCGTAAAAATCATTCTCCACTCGTCGCTGATATGTTCCCACTCGAAAAGCTCAATAAATTATTACTGACTATCTGAGCAATCGATAACATTCTGTTTCGTTTTCTAGCTGCTATGAAAGAGCTTACTATAATGGCTTTGCGCTTTCGTTTTTCTCATAAGCTGATGTAGTATTGCGTTGGTAATTACATAGTAAGCTTTCATCTTCTGTTTCACATGATGATATAAGTCGACGAATCAGATCTGACATTGACATGCGTGTAAATGGATTTGGATACGAAACTAAAAGAGTGACTAATGCCACAAGAATGACTTCCAGTACTGGATAACGTCCTAAACGCGTTTTCTTTCTGATGCGACACCACGCAAGATTTAGTTTGATGAACAGTGCGCCGAATAAACCGCCCAGGACGCCGAGAAGAAAGAATGGAACCATTTCAAAATAGAACCAACGATATCTATTGCCAACATAGAATAATCCGAGATGTTGATTTTCAAATGGAGACAAAATTTTCACTATCAATGATGCAATCATGGCACAGAAAAAGGAACGCCAGAGAGTTTTCAGCGGGAAATAGTAGGAAACTTCTTCTAAACTGAATAAAACGCCGCCTAAAACAGATAACGAGGAGAGTGATTTTGGCCAACGAAGACAAACGAAGTACTGACCGATGGGCGCACCGAATGCTACAGAAACGCCTGCAGCAGCTGCAGCAGAAAGAATTTCTCGTTTCTTTGCTTCATTCTGACCGTATTTCGGGAAGAGGCGAGCAAAAATATTTCCACAACAACAACTACTATGAACAAACGGACCCTGCAAAGGGAGAAACCATTCAGTTAGATCCAATGCATATTCATACATACTTCTTTTCCAAGTAATAAATTTGCACTGGTGCCTAAAACCATTCCAAGACTTTTGATTAAAAGTGTCCAGACACCAAGATATCCACGAATAATAAACCCTGACAGAATAGTTTTCACTTCAGGAACGCCACTTCCACATGCATATGGCGCAAATGTTTTCACTAGTATGGCACATAATGTAGCAAAGATAAGACCTAATACAGATGCAGAGTGGGTCATGTTTGAAAAATAGGCCTATGTAGGTAACATACCAAAGAAGACATAGGCAATATAGTCGACAATGTATTCGGTAGTAGTACCATTGTCAATACGAATCAGATTTGCCCATGTATACCAGTTGTCGCAAAGAACATGTTGATATTTATCGTAAGTTTGATTCGACGCAGTCCACTGAAAGAAAAATCGTTCGTTTTAGCAACTAGCAAACTATTTGCGTCATAAAACGTACACAACATTGTTCTCGCGACAGGTAAAACGCCGGGAGACAAATGCCGGTTTTTATATTAGCTAACCATATAGCACCGATGTCCACTATCGCAGCTATGATACCAATATTAACGGCGATTAACAAAACACAAAACCTATCGAGATTTGTATGATTCAAAAGTGAAAGAAATCGGTTCCTCTTGTCATTAGACTACAAACCATCCGGATAATGCATCATGCAAAGCAAGAAAACGTTTCCATGCAGATTCTTTCTTTTGCTGAGTTATAATCTGATGTCGTAGACGATCTCTGGCTTGATCACTCAGCCAATCAATGGTTGACCAATCCTCATAATGGCTGCCGCGTACAGTAGGCATGGTAGTCTAAGGAAAATAAAATGAATTCCTCTCAAATCGACGAATTACTCGGAGATCCTCAGCTTACAGGTGGAGTATGAAAAAAATCTATAGTTCCTCTTGATTTATCTGCTAGCGACGAAACATCGGAGCTAGCATTAACAGCAATGTCAACAAGGGATTCATCCATAGTTGGTGCTGGTACTCTAGATTGATGTTCCGTTGGTCGCCGCGGTCGTATAATATCACTAAACGAGACAAAATTAGGATTTGTGACTGTCGTTAGCCGAATTGGTGATGATGATCGCGAGGCTTTCGACGTTTTAGAAGACAATCTCCGTGTGAACCAATTCGTTGCTTTACTTCCATCTTCCGACGGAGGGCTTGTTGCCATTCTGGAATTCAGAAATGAGTTGTCGTTTGTATCTTCTCTATGTCAATGTCGTTACTCGATTCTGTTGTTTTGCTTTTTTTTGTTTCACAAGTATTCTATTGTCATTATCGTCTTCATTGTTTTCTTTTTCGATTGTTGTATGTATATGAAATCTTGAGTAAAGGTAAAAACGGGAGAAGAAAAAAAAAAGAAAGATGAGAAGCAAATAGATAAAAATAGTCAATGGCGAAACGCACAGTGATACAATCGCCTTTTTTCTTAGATTGTTTGTTTACGTAAGAATCACTTAATGGATAAGATTCAGTTTGCATATGATAAGAATAATATTATTCAAAATTTCAAAAATTCAGTTAGGTCAACTTTGAAAGAAAAATTTTATTTTAGAAAACGAATGACGATATCGTGTGTCTTTTTTATTTGTTGTCAACAATAGATAAGTGCGAGTACTTTGTACATCATCTGATAAATAACATATCGTACTTGCAGCTAAACATGTCCCTAAAATTACATTCTCTGAAATGATTCATAACTCGATAACCGTCAACATCATCCCTCCTTCGACAGTGCCGCTGTAATGAGTCTATTTTCGTATTATTAATAATTCATCGTGGGAGCAGGTTATTCTGGCACTCTTCAGGATCTCCGATCTTGAAAGGAAATAAACTCTTGGAAGCACGATTCCATTGCTAATTGTTGTATATATCACGTTTCGGAAAATCTCATTTGTCAATCAATGTCATCCTGGTTGGCTTATACTTGATAGCTAAAGCGTTCTTGTCACGTTCCATGATGTCACCACTATTATTGTTTTCATAGGATAAATAGCAATCATTGTGTTCCTAGGTTAGCGTACCTGTTAGTATTCTCTCGTTCATTTTCATTGTTCGTAAACGTTGTCGGATCGGTTTTCTTTCGCGAGGAAAAGAAAGTTATCAGAACATCTTGGTACGAACATCAATACTGGCATTTGCGTTTTTGTTTTATTATTTCTGTTTCTGCGAAGACATTACTTAACTTACATAATGGAAATGAACAAAGAAGAAAAGTGCTATTAAAGAAGTAAAGAACATACGAAAATGATAGTAATTCGCTGTCCTCAAAGAGAATAGAGAGATCAAACGAATGTATGCACTCTAGATTATAGTACACATACAACTAGACAGTACAAAGAAGCGAACCACCGAGCGATCTACTCTAAGAAAAAGAACCTGCTTAATAAACACGGATAAGATGAAGATAATTAGAAAAATAAATCAAGTGTGTCTTTTCGATGATCAATAACTTCTTGTCGTGTTTTAAACATTGGGTGCCAACAATTGACGAAGTATATCGTCTCTCAAACAACCTTCGACGAATTCTTCGCGTGAAATGTTTTTATCGTCATTCATATCCAATTTTTCCATTATTCTCTTCACGCGATTTTCTGGCGAATTGTCACCTTTGCGATTCTCCTCACCTAAAATTCAAAAATTTTCTTCCATGAACTTCTTCCAGCGAAGCAAAACAAACCTAATAGATCGTAGATAGCCGTAATAACCTTCGTCATTTCCTTCTTGTCGATCTAAATAAAAACAAAACCGTGTATCAAATTGTACAACAAATCTGAACTGTTCGTCTATGATTCTTATCTTCATTTTCCTTACTTTTCCATCTTTATTTATATCGTAAATGTCAAAAGCGAAGCCGAGTTTATCTTTTACATCTCCATTCGAATTCAAGTTAACTGCAAGTAGAAACTCGACAAAATCAATCGAACCACTGTTATCCGAGTCAAATGTGCGAAAGACTTGAGCGCTGTACTTTTCTGCTTCGAATTCTGGATAAAATTTTTTGTACACTTCAGAAAATTGCCGCGCGGTGAGTTTACCATTGGGACAATCACGTAGAAATGCTTCATGCCACTGGCGAATTTGTTCAGAAGTATAGTTCGTATTTTTGGTTAAACGCTCGATCGTTTCATCGTTCAACTCCACGCTGCCGGACTTGCTGTCTTTGTTACCCATAGATTCAAGAATAACGATAATTCTTTGCGAAACTTAAGTCGAAGGACGTCTTGTATACGGAGAGTGACTGAATATCGATGAGTGTAGAAAAAGTGAATGACGCGAAGGGATTGAGAATGAAGGCGAGATAAAGGCCCATAATATACCTTGATACAACAGGCACGGCCAACAATGAATAACATACGATTGTGCAGACAATATCAATCTAATCATTTGTATATTTTGTTTTTCGTTTATTCACTCTTTTCATGTGATTAGCAAAAATTATTCTGAGCTCAGATAACTTTGCACGACAAGCGATGTCGAGCAGAAAGAAAAGAAGACGACTGCCTATTGATGATGCGAAAAACGTTTTATGCATACGAACTAATTTGTATTCGGTTTACTAACCACTAATATTGATATATATGCATATGCATTGACGTTATAATACAATAATAATGTGCGATGATGCGATACTATCGCAAGCAAATGGCTAACTCTATATTTAGAGTATCGTAAACCTTCGATTGTATATGCGAAGAAGAAATTAGATATGATCGATCGTATGACTTACTCAGAGCATAAATGTAGAAAGGTGATTTTTTCCAATGGAGGAAAGCAATATTAGGATTTGTGTTTAATTCATACGGAGATATCGAAGGCAGCGTAAGTGAAAGTTGCAAAGTTGTTTTTCTTTCAAGAGAAAACTGGGCGCATCATTTCCTGTTAGACTGACTCATTAAAGCCCTCTCGAGAATCGTTTTCTCTCTCTCTCTCTCTCTCCCTCTTCTGCCTTGAGATCAACTTAGTTCATTCGATTATTGATAAAATACATTACATAGTCATTTGCTTCTGCTCATCTCTACGAGAACATTTCTTCAAAAATAAGATTACCTTGCCGTTTTTATTCATATCATACATGTCAAATGCCAATCGAAGTTTTTCTCGAACATCGCCTACAAAGAATTCAATTGAAATCGAAGCATGTTTCGTTTTTCTCGGTGTTTACCATGAGATGTTATGTTAACCGCAATGAGAAATTCAACGAAATCAATGTAACCATTATCATCCGAATCTAATAATCGAAAGCTATCGAAATGATAATGCTGGGTTAAGAGCTAATGTCTACCGAATGTTTTGAATACTTGTCCACAGAACTTTTCAGCTTTGCCTTCAGGGTAGAATTTCTAAAAAAGAAATCATTTTTTGTAGGGTTTCGCTAAATGACAATGGACAAGCGATTTGCATACTTTGTAGACTTCTAAAAATTTCTTTTTATCAAGTTTTCCATTTGGACAGTCACTAGGCGAATACAAAGTGAAACGACATGTTGGTTTTCAATTACAGTTTGCTTTATGTCATACCGAAGAAATCCTTGATGCCAGTCTTGAATTTGTTGTTTGGAATACGTGGTATTTTTCGTCAAACGATCGACATCTTCTTCGGTCAGATGGAGTAGATCCTTTTTGTTTTTTGTCGATTTTTGTCCCATTGTAGATCAATTAGTACACGAGTTTTCGATAATTAGAGATAATTCTACAAAAATAACGATCAATATGCAAAAAAACTCATTGAAGAAATTCGATCAAACAGCGGATTAACAAATATAGACGCAGTAAAAAGTGAAAATGTTTTATTGAGATTCTCTTCGGGTTTTTTCTTCTTAAATCTATCAAGGTCAGAGAGAACGAAAACGAAGAACAGATGAAAAACGATGCGATGAATAATCGTGAACATCACTTTCATTCCATCTGCGACAACTGCAAATGAATAAATATGTTTCAATCGATGAAAACTCTACTTGTATATGTACATAGACATGAGTATGACTCGTTACATCAGATGCAAACATAACACTCAACATTAAAAAAATGCACGTTCTGCTCTTTCATTGCTTTCTGTTCGTCTCTCTTCTTTTCCTCTCTCTTATAACAATGATCAACAGCGAGCAGAAGAAGTAGCAGTATTATTGCTCGGTCGTGGTTGTCAAAAAACACACTGAGACGGACAAGCAAATGCAAGCAACAGGGAGAGACAGACAGAAAAGGCAAAAAGCTTCTTTTTCATATATTAATGTTCTTTTTCTTTCTTTTTTCTTCTTCTCCTACGCTGTATTTAAATAATGATAGAGTGTTACACAAATTATACACAACGGTCAATCGAGTTCGTGTGTGCACGAACACTGAATCATTCGTACGATGATTGTTTTCGTTTATTGATGTGTGTAGAAACAAAAAGTTTGCATGGTAGTTAATAAAAACTTTCAGGAGGGTAACTAGACAGTCTGTACTGTTTGGGTAATGGTGGAATGTTTGCTGCTTTTGAACCGTAGATATCAATCGCATGTTCAGGTAGAAGACGCCAGCCAATTTTCTAGTTTGATGAAAAGAAAAAGATCATAGTTAATGAAAAATCATTGACGGAAAGACAGAGATTTGCTTTGGAATAATACAGATGTCTCATATGTACTGGAGAGAAAGACATGAATAGAGGAGCTCATCAATCAAACGGATATTTTCTTGAAAAAATACTGTTTTCGATATTTACATCATTTTCTGTCTCAGGAAATGAGCCCAATATACGCCTGCGTCGTTGTCCATCCAAACGTTTATGTAATGGAGGTAAAACAGTCGACGGTTGTTGCCATTCAGAACGTTTAAGTGGGATGACGCGATCGTCTGGAGGAATACCACGATTTGCGCCGATCGTTTCATACATCTTAACAGAAATTTCATCATTGGCCTTACACGGAAAAAGAATACAGATGTATATCTTCATCGTACTTCTTGATATGCATCAATTAACCATGGATCATATTTAGCTTTCCAAATTCGTTGTGCTTCCTCCTCTTTGCGTATAGTTTCTCTTCTGAGAAAAAGAGAGCAGTGAGAAAACAATAGGCATCTCCACACGTATCAATCATTTTCTACCTGAAAGTGTCTTCAGCAATGTAATCAGAGAACTCTCCACGAGTCTTTCGTGATGTTGTCTTTACTATTGATCCGCTACTCGTCGGTAACTGACTTTTAGGCTTTGATTGGATAGGTACGTTATTCGCCATTAGAGTAATTGAGTTTGATGTTGGATATGCAAGTCTGGCTGGCGAAAAAGAAAAGTCTGTGAGGCAAAATGTGTTTCTATTACTCCGTCGTTTTTGTTCTTATCATCGTAACTACCTTCACATGCTTGTGTTTTTCATATTAGATTTCTTGTTCGTTTGTCTACGATATACAGAATGTGAAAAGAAAGAGAAACGAAACATTCAGCTGCATGAATACAATGATTAATCTACATATACAGATGACACTTGATTTTCTTTTGTCTTTACCGAATAGAGGGAGAAGAAAAACCTCAAATGTAAATAAGTTTAAAGGCAGTTGTAAGATGAATAGGATGATCGAATTCCTCGGAGAAGTTTGCATCAATTAACCATTGTTGATAAATAACACAAAATGAAATACCAATCCGATCATTACGATCTCGGAGGAATTTTGTATGCTTTATATCAATACACGTGGGAGTATATAACATACTTAAAAAAAGGAGACAGACCTTATCATCGTATTATTGACATATTCAAATGTAATCAATGGACTTCGATCTGTTTTAATCGATTACAGACATTTCTTATTGAATCTGAAATCACCAGCATGTTTTACAAGAAGAAAAGCAAAATGAATGATTTCGACACTAATATAAAACATATCACTGTTAGTTATCGCTTAAGTGATTATCACGATGTTGACGTTTGTATAGTATCGGTGCTTCGAAGATTGTTGGTTTATCCAGAATAGGATAGTCAACTAATTCAACTGAGCATGTTGTTTGGGTGCCGCATGGTGAGGATTGAAGTTCAACCATTGTTAAAGAGTTACTTGCCGATGGTTTTAGCCACGGCGCGGGTACGTACAATGTCACTTGAGGACCCATTACTGGCCAATATCGGCCAAGATTGTATTGATTGATATAAGCTACACCTTTCGGCCAATATCCATTGGTGATAGTTGTTGGTAAAAGAAATGTGTCGGATGGGATCTTATCTGTGACAGAGAAGTTTCCACTGAAAATGCTTGGGGCATTGGGATCGAAGCTATACGAGAGATAATCGATAGAAAATAGTGATAACAAGATGTAATATACTCGTTGGCTTGATTTGCATTGAAATCCGTGGGAGCTTGATCGAATAATGCACCAGATGTACACATGGTCCAGTTGGAAAGTATTTGTCCATTCAAAGTAATGTTACTAACGAAGCCCTTTAGAAGAAAAAATTCGTGCCTATGAAATTATCGAATGGAAAAGGTGTACTTTAGTATCCAAAAGAAAACCACCGAAATTTAATCGACCCATATTTTCGACAATGATATTTAAATTTGTTTCACGATTTCCGGGTGCTTGAATTGTTAATTTCAATGATGAACTATTCGCACGGTAAGCTGTACCAATTGATTTCTATAGGTCCAGTTTCGAAGATGAAAACCAAGAGAAAACTTTTCAAAAACTCACTTCGCCGAGTAATACGTACGCACGATCACGTACTCCACTTAAATCAAGTACCTTTCCTTGGACCTCAGGATTACTCAATACCGTTGAGTAGACAACAAACGCTTGGTTCTAATCAAGAAATATATATAGCTTTTATCTGATGATTTCGACATGATTTACTTGTCCAAGTTCTTCAAATCGCTTGGGATACGTTGATGTTTCACAGTGTGGTGAATGACTCTTGATGTAGCTCAACAATGACTGTTTCTGTTACACACGTGAAAGTGGTTTTTCTATTGTTTGTTAAAATTGAAAAGACTTACAAATGTTAATTGAACACTTCCGTAAGCTTTCTTTGTATTATTTGCCGGTATTGGTACCGATGGTAATGGGAGATATTTACCAATTAAAGTTCGAATAGCCATATATTTTGAAGTGATGTCACCTGCAAACAAAAACTGCTCATTAGTTTACTTTCCTAAATACGAACAAACCTGGTTCTGAGATGGGCGCATCATAATCGTAAGATGTTGGTTGTGGTTTATAATCTGGATCAGCACCTATAAGTGGAAACGAAAACCTCACTGACAAAATCTACTCGACATAGAACTAACCTGAAGTAAATCCGAAATTTGTTCCACCATAAAACATGTAAAAGTTTACATTAACTCCGATAGACAACATTTGATCCAATGTTCGGACGATATCAGCTGTATCGACTGTGGAGTGTTTGTATCCCCAAAGATCGAGCCAACCAGGATAAAATTCCGTATTAATCAATGGACCGTTGGGAGCATACTGCCGCTGAGTACTAAATGATGCATTGATATTCGCTCCCGGGCCGAAATCAATGGTTGCATATGCTCCTTGAACCGTGCCACATTTGAGATAACCTAAACCATCACCATCTAAATAGTATGTTCGATATCCAGTACTCAAAAAATAAATTTTCCATATCATACGTACCAACGGTAAATAAAACAACGTTTTCACCTAAATATTGACGGAAAATATCGCGTAAATAGCCCATGTAAGCATGATCACATCTGAAAGTGAGACAGAGTAAATATGATGTAAAACATATGACAAGACGTAACCGACGCTGGATAACTGCCATATTCATTTTCAATCTAAAAATAATCTAATTGTTATATACGATTCATCAACGAGATGAATATGGCGCAAACCTGAACAGAAATAACCGATCCACCATTGTTGTACAATAATGGTCGAATTTTTGGAAGAAGAACGCTCATCCATTGGTTCACAGCATTAAGATAGACTATAAATACAATAGAACAATGTATTTACAAGAGTAGGAAGTGAATCGAACTGGAATTCATTTGTCGAAACTGTACATCAGTAAGATCGCGTAAGAGCCACCAAGGCAATCCACCAAATTCATGTTCGCCACAACCATATCTAGAGCCAATGAAACATGATCTTACATTTAACCAAATCAATTACGTACGGTCCAACACGTAGAATAACAAGAAAACCAATCTTTTGAGCTAATTGAATAAATGCAACGAGATCATTGTTATCGTCAAAGTTATAAATGCCTTTCACTGATTCATGTTGATCCCAAAAGACGTATCTAGAAAATGGCGCAATTCTTTCGATGATAATATTAGTTGAAATCATATAGCTACGTTTGTATCGCGTTCAATCCAGCCGCCCACATACGTTGAAGTCGATCAGCCCAATATTCTCTTGGCATTCTGTACATATGAATTGATCCGCTAACATATCGAAATGGTTTGCCATCTTTCACAAATGTATTTCGATCGAAATCAATACCAAACGAACGTTGTGCCTGACATTGAATCTAGAGATCAAGAATATCGATTCAAAATCTCGCTTATAGTTTGACCTAGACTTACGTGGACACTACTGATGAAAATTATCAACAGAAGACACACTTGTCGATACATAGCCCAAATATTTCTGATCTTTGTGTTACATGAAAGAAAGAGAAAGCCGATAAGATAAAGCGAATGTCTACATCTGGCGTTATCTTTTTTCTCAAATTTTTATAAAAGTTATATTTTATTAGTTTTTCAAACATAAGTTTGCGCTTTTCATACACACAAGCAGTTTTCTTTAATCAAGAAAAAATTGAGCTTAAAATTAATACACACATACGCGTGACCAAGAAAAAAAATATCAAACGATATACGAACGCCAAACATAGGAAAAAAAGAGAGAAGACAATGATTGAATTGATTGTAACCAGATAAACGATATGAGAGACGAGAATCTATTCTCTTATTCAGTCTTTTACATTAAACGGCAACGATTGAGATATCGACGTTTCTTCCGTTTCTTTCGCAAGGGCATTGGATTTTGATTTTGTCGCCTAATCGCACGTACCAGTTCATGAAAAGCGCCCTCGACACTGACTGGTGGCACTTTAGCACTTGTTTCGATGTAAGGAATTTGTAATTCTGCTGCTAACTCGCGACCTTCTTCTTCAGAAATCTTTCTCAAATGCACGAGATCAATTTTGTTTGCAACAAGTATCATTGGATAGTATTTTCTAAATGAAAACCAAAGACTTGCACATTTCTCGGAAAAAAACAAACCCACTGAAAAGTGTGCGGCTCTACCTGTCTTTAACACGAAGAATTTGATTATAGAATTGTCGAGTATTCTTACAAGAATTTGAATCAATCACAGAATAAACGATGAGAAAACCATCACCTTTACGCATATATTGCTCTCGTAAAGCAGAAAATTCTTCTTGGCCAGCAGTATCAAGTACATCGAGGATGCAGACTTGTCCATCAACCTCGACATGTTGAATATAACTATCTTCAATAGTCGGATCATAATCTTCGACGAACATCTTTTGAAAGAACTAAAATATTGAGTCTTGAGCAAATTCATCTTGTTCTATCGACAAAATCTTACTTGAATCGTCAGAGCGGATTTTCCAACACCACCTTTAATAAAAACAAACAATAATAGAAGATTTGTTTTTCATCTGCTAGCTGCGACATCAATCTCTGTATATGAAATATCTTACCATCACCAACAACCACCAATTTATAGGTTACTGCATTGTCAGGCGGAGCACTTTGCATGACGACGAAGCAAAATGAACAAATAATATGTTGAACACCGGAAGTATTCTGTAGATCGAGTTTTCAAAGAATAGTTCGAAGTAGCATTACGTGTCAATTGAGATGTATATGAGTCATCAACTTAGTGACGACAACAACAAGCAAGCCGGAAGAGGAGGGGAGAGGAGAGAAGGAAAGATGCGAGATAGATTGGACATGCCTGACAGTCGACAATACGCAAAGAAAGAAGATCTTGGCTAACAGGAAGGGGAGAAGAGGAAGCCGAAATGCTCTTCAAATATAGAACGAGAAGAAATTGAGTACGAAGAGGGGGAAAATAGATGTATAAAGAAAAAAAACAAGAAGGGGAAAGTTGTTAGTTAGTTTGTAATGACTCTCCACGGATTGCTGGAAAGATGTTTCCAATTGATAATTAGTTACAGAATAGAGGACGCTCTAGACGAAACATCTCCTATTTCCGACGTCATTTCAGGAGGCTTGTTAATCTTAAGAGAGAATAGTATTGTCAACGATAATTCGTTCTATTTAGTAGCAGTGTAGATGCACTTAAGCCAAGAATATTCATCTCCAATTTAATTATTCTCCTTCCTTTGCCAGACATGAGAGCGGAAAAAAGTTGTAAATCTCAGCAGTATTTTTCTACTATATAGCTCTCTTCTTCAGTGGCACGTGACGGGTTAATAGAACACTGATCCGCACTCTTCTCATTTAGATCTCAAGAAAACTTTCTCTTGACAATGATATATACGAAGATGTTTGAAACGCATTCATGTCATTCGAACTCAATAGTCTCTTGCGCAATTAGAAACTAAAACAAGTTGGTACATTCAGCATCTCGTGTCTTTTAAGTCACTTGAACGTTAATTCCAAAAAAGAGGAACGCTTTTCTAGGCGCGTGTTCAACTGACATGAGCGTTTGTCGATAAATGCCGACCATACAGCTGAAGCTTTTCATTTAAATTTGACACAATGGGCCAATTGTACATGTCCAAACGATGAATATAGGAGGAGAAAAAAAAGTCAAGTCTTACGATTAGTATCTACATCATCCAATTAACAAAAATAGTAGTTGGCTAGTATTTTCTTGCTCATCGTATAACGCTAAATGTAAATATTCAGTTCTTTTGTTTCTATTCTATGGCAATTTCAACAACTAAATAGATTTGATCGACGATTGACAAATGTCTTCATTTTTATTTTCATTCATATGTTCAGTCATTAATAATGAGGATACAGGAGATCAGTGAAAGTTTCCGCCGTGATTCCAGCTAAATATAGGATAAAACAAATAAGATAGAACTTTTTCTGCTTGTTTAATAACCTTCTTTGATTTTCTGATCGAGCGCTGATTTCTCTAATAAAGTTGCAAGATTTGCTGTTTTGGTATTGCTTGTTTCAATCGAATGTACAATGATAATTTTGTCATTATGTGTGAGAACATAGATGAAACAGAATATGTTATTATCGCCAAAGAAACCAGATGTGAACGCTTGAATTTGATCGGCAAAACTTGTGTTAGTGATTGAATCGTTTCCACCACCACAACCTGTGTTCGACGATAGTGGCGGACGAAAACGAAGGATATTCGAATCGCGATCAATGATGAATGTATCGCCATCGACAGAGGAAATTGTTACTATTTGGTTGTATTTATCCTTCTAATAAAATTTTCGAAACCAACGAAAAGTGTTTTGTTTTCTTAAAGGGGATAAATAATCTTACGGAGGGTGGTCCTACCCGAAGACCACACAAGTATCCAGTTTTGACACTCAATGGAATTGTATAAAGAATTCTATTGAGTTGATTAGAAAATATATCAATATGATCTGAACGGCGTATAGAATTCAATCTTTATCCGATACGTTAAAATATTCCTCCTACCATGACATATCGCTGCATAAACGGTTTCATCAACGAATCGATCCAACGCAATTGCTTCGGTCCATCCTGTGGTACCATTATTGCACATATCAGTTGCGAGAATTCGACCTAAATATCAGTACTGAACAAATGCAATTGACCGATGTTTAATCAATACCATTTTCTTCATTGGGATTGAATCGTAGAAGATTGCCACCTGGTTGTGAAACGATCAATTCATAATCTTTCACTGATATTCGTCGAGCAGCGATAGTGTAAATTTGTTCAGCAATATTGAAAACACTTTTCAAAGCAAATCGACCCGTCAACCGACCATCGAATTCTTCGATGACCATCGATGTAAATACACGAATGCTTCGATCAGCATAACCAATAATGATTTGTTTTTCATTGTCATTATATTCTTTAAAAAATCAAAGATGAAGTTTATCATACGAATATGAATACTCGCTACCTTGAATAATTAATATCTTTGGATTACAGATAAGTTGTTGACTAAATGCGACTTGAATTTGTTGCTGTTGCTGTTGCTGTTGTTCTTCGTCATTGACGATGGATGTTGCACTATGTAGGTGCACTTTGGAATCGTTTCGATTACCACTATTCAAAGTACCACCGGCACTACGTACACGGTTTCTTTGTACCTGAGAATTAAATGTCGAAAAAAGTTGTGCGCGTTCTTATATGTCATCGATCATACGAACAGCTAATCTGAGCAGAAATAAATGAATTGCTCCCTCGGCATTGACCACACAAATGATCGGTCGAGGCTCAGGAGTATTAGTCGTCACTGGGCCGACCGCAATGGCCGTTATCTATATGGTATCACAGAAAAAAGTGAGTCTTATAATTCAAATCGAAAAACTGACAAAACCAAGTCCATGTGCTCGACGCCACAATTGTGCCTGACTTTGGTTTCGAATCGCTTTGAATATGAGTAATTCACCATCTTGCGTACCGACTATCAATTCATTGCTCTAATCAAATAATGAAATATTCTATCAACGAGACGATCAACATTGGTCTTACTTTATTCATGTCGACATCGGCAAGCAGAAGGGCGTTCGATACGACATTGCCCGAACAATCCAATGTCATTGTGTTCACCGGTGAGACAAATGTCATTATTTTTCTACAGAATAAAGATATAAAATCATATCTGTTGACTTTTTCCTAGTAAATGTCCAAGTCTCTAATTAACCTATTTGAAAATTATGCACGATTATTTGTTTCTAAACGAGATCTGATTTTGAGATAGTTTTCTCACGAATCCTCAAGGAGGTAAATTCGATCTGAGTCTTGCAGTTTTCTATAAACAAAATCAGAAAGAAAAGTGCGATCTTGGTCGACCAAATCGATTTGTTTACGCATTGCAAAAAAAGTCATCGTAAAAAATATTTGACACACAAAAAACCAACAACAACAACAACAACAATAAGAAAAAGACAATATGTATATATATATACATTAATGTACTGTGTGAGAGACAAATTGTTGGCGAAAAAAAAAGCGAAATAGAAAAATTATGAAAGTGATGATGAGGATGTGGTTGCTGTTGTTGTTTGACTATGACTATTTGTATCAGTTGCAATACCCGATGTTGATGCAGGTAAGATCGTTGTCGAAGCAAAATCACTCATAGAAGGTGAGGACATCGATGGTAGATCTACATAATCTAAATCCGAATAATCGATTGGCGATGAACCGTAAAGATATCGCCGGAGACTTTCACAGATTTGAGTAAATGTTGGTCGAAGGCTTTCTTTGAATGTCCAACATGATTCAATCAGTTGAAAACTAAAAGCAAAAGCAAATAAGGGTATAAACAATCGTTCATTCTAAACACAAAATCATCTGACATTTCCTGTGGACAATTTGATGGTTGAGTCATTCGGTTTCCAGTTTTGAGATAGTCGAAGAGTTTCTCCGCTGCTATTGATGGATAGGGTGTACCGCCATAAGTCATGATTTCCCATGCTAAGATTGCAAATGACCAAACATCGCTCTTAGTCGAGAATTTTCGATCGAATAATGCCTCAGGACTCATCCATTTGACTGGCACACGACCCTGAAGACGAGAAAGTCAAATGATTGAACATGATGAACTTGACAAAAGATTTACATCGGTTTGTTTTCGATAGTAATATGTTTGGGTTAAGTCTCGTGCTAAACCGAAATCCGCTATTTTACAAATACGATTTTCAGCCAGTAGAACGTTTCGAGCAGCGAGATCACGATGGATGCACTGAATATTTCAGAAAGAAGGTAGCTTTTTCGCAAATATTCAAAGAACAACTGTTACTTTTTTCGAATGTAAATATTCCATTCCCGAAGCGACTTGTAGTGAAAATACGATCAAATCGATGGTGGTTAGTGAACGTATCAACTCGTCCTTATCATCATGTTTGTATGATTCATCATTTTCATCATGTTCAAATGAACCCGAAAGAACATGTCCAGGAGGACGTTTCCGACGTAAGTAATCACGTAAGTTACCATATTTAGCGTACTCAACAATTAACATAACTTGTCCTAATGTGAATACCGGTGAATTTTGAAGAAGAAAACGAAGATTTTTCTTTACCTCCTTGTGTACAACAACCAAGTAATGAAATTATATTCATATGTTGACCAACCATTTTCATTACAGATAATTCTTTAAGCAAATTTTCAATTTCGTCCGATGTTGCATCATCTAGAGCGCGAGCGATTGATTCCTATGTGTTTAATTATCGGATAAACCTACCTCGGACAGTTTTTATTGCAACTGTTGTAGCTTTTTCCTCAGATTTAATGGTTTTTGCAATTCCTTGATAAACAAATCCAAACGCACCTTTACCAATCAAATGACCAATAGTAAGACTAGAAAAATCGGACATTAATAGAAGATGAGAATGGGAGAAACGATGTGTTACTTTTCTCGAGGAAATTCACATTGATCATCGTAATAGGAAGAAATAATTGTCGAGATTGTCCCTTCGGTTGGAAAACGACGACAACCATCTTCAATCAATGGTTTTTTCGTTTTCTGATCAATATCACTTCGATAGAGTTGATTCTATTCAGCAAAATATCTATTTGTTTTTTCTTCTTTTCTCGAAAAGCGAAACGTTCACTTACGCTTTTCAAATTACTGATTCCTCTTGTCGCTAGAATTCGCGTCGCTAACAACGTTTGTCGTAAACTCTTTTGATTTCGATAATGATAAACCAGAAAACATATAAATGCGAATAATAGAATCGCGATTATAGCAGCAATTGTGATAATCAACTCATCAGCTAATCGATTCGATATGTAATTGCGTATGCCGGTCGGAAAATTCTTTAACACTGATGGACGTTGAGCAACTATAAAATCAAACTGGTGCCATGAAATATGATCAAACGAAAGATAAAACATACCAGGTAAAACAACAAGATAGTGAACCAAATCAGCAAAACCATATTCGTTCAAAACTCGACAGAGATAAGCACCTGTGTCGTTTTGTTGAACTTTTTTGATATTTAGTAATTTGACTTCATCTTCGGTCATTGTGTGTGGGTTATAGTCCTGTAAGTAAATGAATTTTAGCTTGAAATATTTGAGATAAATCAAGAAAACGAAATCTTCACAACTGTGCGAATCAGTGAGCAAGCAAAACACACACTTTTATTTATTTGCTTGTTTATAAACATAATCAATCATCATTAACTTCTTGATTATTCAAAGGCGTTCGATCGGATTGCCGTTTGTCTATTTTGTAAAGTCGATTATCAATCAGTCGTACATATGCTCAACACACAAGTGCTTGTAAACAGACGCTCGCATACGTTCAATCGTTTATAGCTTTCTTGCTTCAACAGACAAAAGAACGAGATGAAAGGTAATGGTCTCGGTTAATTGCTGATTAATTGAGTGGCGCATGTCTGCGTACACGAACATCTAAGCAAGATAAATGAGACTAGCACGTCTCTCGTATGTACGTATCTGTTCGATGGACAGCGTACAGTGTCGAATAGCCTCTAGCAAAGTATATCTCCGCTAACTTTTCAAGTATATGCAAATTTATCACCGTTATAAGCATTGTAATTGAAGTGATGAAACGCATTTGTTTCGTGTACAATCGGACCAATTGTTTTCGATAGCAGAACTGATTTTCCTATTCTCGTAACGAAATATTTTAAACATGCCCTAACTATTTCTTCATTCATTTCTGATGATAGCATGCAATTGATAACAATCGTAAATGGAAAATTCACACAAACACAGCATAATTGAAACAGAGTGCTGTTTTCATTCGTTACCTGTCGTTTTCCTACACTAAATCTTGATCCATTAGAAAACTATAGATAGATACAGAATGGTGATGAATTGAAGCCAATTTCTCAGATTTAGATTGGTAAGATAGAAGAGAAAAGCACGCTATTTGCAATTACCTTAATGAATTCTAATTCATTGTCGTCGGCTTTCCTTCCTGGTCGTCGAACGAACCACTGAACGAACGGACTTGAATCCGAATAGAATAAACATTCGAATGTAACATTATCTCCTTCATATCGTGTTAGATTTGCTGTCTTAGATATAAATACAGGACGATCAAGACTTCGGCCTTGAACAATCAATTGAAATGATCGACTTATATTTCCTAAACTATTTTCCACCACACATGTATACAATCCTGCATCGTACATTGTCGCTTTCGTTATATTCAAATACGCGTTTTCAATTATAAACTAAACAAAACAAACACACTGATTGATTGGAAATACAAACAATGCATTGATTGTCTTACCAATTCAGTCAACTCCGGTGTGAATAGTTGTCCATCTTTTAGCCAGGTTATTTTCGCTTTTGGCTTTGCTTGATACGGACATTTGAGCGATACTGTTGCAGATGTTGGATAGACTAACGTTTGCTTTTGTTGTACAACAGGTTCAGTCCAATGGGGTGGACATTGAATTGAACAGTCGATCAGATGAGATGGTTCGATTTGCTGCGGTGTCTCTCGGTCACCATCGTAATAAGCATCTTCATCGAATGATGGATTTGAAATGAAATCTTGATTATCATTTACTAAATACAGAATCTAATCAAAGCAAACGAAAATATTTTCGAATTACTTACATTTCTTTGCAAAGATAGTGCCTGAAATATTGATAATGAGAAGCACAATTGCCAGGAGATATTCGATCTCACGAAGAATAATCATCGTCTAAAAACAAAACACAGCCGAATGCCAGAGAATATTCTCAGAAAGATTTCCAGAAAATCTATTCGACACTTCTATATATATATACACACACGAGTAATATAATCAATAAGATAAACAATAACGATGATGCTTTAATAAGTCATTATATATGTATGCCTATCTGATCTGTTCGTGTTCTGTCAATGGTCTTCGCACTAGCTTCGATCGATTTGTCCTTGACAGACATCAATCAAGTTGCATCTTACTTTCTTTATCTCTTCTATTTGACACACGAGTAAAGATATTCTAATCTGGACATTTGTTCATCACGTTCGATGTTTATACCAGCGAGTAAAGTGAACGGAGTGCAAATAACAACAAGCGAAGAGAAAAGCTTAGCAAAGGCAATCTATCTTTGTTTTTTTGTCATTCTCTCCCTCTCTTCCCGTTGTCTTTGGAGAATGATAGAAAAATAAATAATAATAATAATAATAATAATGATGATGATGATGATGATTTTCTTCTTTTATTGCTCGTCAATCGATCTAACTGAAGGTGGGCGAAACAGTTCTGGCCGTCTATCTTGATTATCAAAATGTCACCCATGTCGTGCTTTCTTTTCCTATCTATGTCTATATCTAGTAACAGAAATAAATTAGCATTCTTTCGACCTACTCTGTTGATGATCGAAATTTGAGCTGTTCGCAATGAGAATTTATCTCTTTTTTCTCTTACTATTTATCTATTGACAGTTCAGGGACAGGAAACGATAGATTTCTTTATATTCTAAACTCTATACAACTTGTAATCGTATTCTGGTCATTAGCAATTCATCTCTTAAGATTAGAGGAAAAATTAGTTCTGATTTGCAGTCATGTGAATAAAGTAATTATTCCGAGAATGAGGTAACACGTATCAATCATGTAAGCATAGAACAATTGCAAAGTATGGGAACTTCGACTGTTCTATACTTGAACATATTTTGCGGTAATTCGAGTGAGAAGGGAAAAATCGATCGAAAACTTATGAAATGAATTCGTGCGAAAAGGACGAAAGAAAAACATATTCGTGACGGTGTATGTTTCTATCTTAATGATAGTCTACCGTTGCGAAGAAAAGGTTCTTGAAGTGCTTGACAAAGCAGACATGTTTACATTCGAATTTCGAAAAAAATTGATTTTAACTTACAGCCGAGCAAAAGAACAAATGTCTGATCGTTGTCAATAAAAGAGTAGCTTAAAGAGAGAGAAAATGTTATTTTTCTGCGCCCCTTATTACTCGAAATGTATGCATATTAGACGAAAAAATCACGCAAGGTGAAGTGAAGACATGTACGCTTATGGGCAGACCATTTGCCATGCGATTTCGAACACAAACACATATGTACACTAGAGTGTTTTATATTTTTGATGTTTAACGAGAAAAAAGGCACTCGCGATTGACTTGGGCGTAACAGCAAACAGAACAATTGACTGTTGATTTTGGTTTCATTCAAATAGATATCAGATCGGATTTTGATGATGAATAATCTTTGACAGAAAAAAAAGATATCGCATATAAATCACATCGGTTTCTAATCAAGATTCTCTCGATATCATCCCTCTTTCAAAGTCAATCGGTACTTTCAATCAAATGATAATCGAGTACATGTACATCTCCCACTGGCATATGACAATAACAACAACAACAACAACGATGCATGAGACGATCAAACCTACAGCTGCAATCAATCGATTTTTGCTCTACAATTGATTATTGATAATAGATCTTGATCAGAAAGATGTTTTCAGCAAGCACTATGGGAGGAATGGTCAACAAGAAAACGTAATCACTTAGCTGAACATATAAACGATTGTCGTGTATACATTAGACTGTCGGAAATTATGAACAAAACAATAAACAAATATCTGTCTATACATTCTCCTATTGTTGCTTTCCTACAACGATAATATGTCTTCTCATTGTCATTATTATGTATCGTTGTGTTGTTGTTGTTGTCAAGGCCATACACGAGCGCGTAATTATACTTACTTTTTCTCTTTGCCAACAAAGTATCAGGCAGAAAGACACGACGGTGAATGATGTTCTTCTCATTGCAAATATAATGCATACATGCATTCATACATACATATACATTTGCATACTTAAACAAAAAGGTATTTGTAACCTTCTGCTTGATTCGAATTAACTGAGAAGAAAAAACGAAGTTTGGTATGACGAAACGAATGTTATAGTTCAGAAGAGTATTCTTCTACTTGACTAAGAAAGAAAGAAGGAAAAGAGTGACGATTAATCAAAAGAGAAAAAGTTTTCTCTTGTACAGATTTGATATTCCTTTGGATATCGCACATTATGTCGTCAAGAGGAGAAGGGCAAGCGAGCGATTGTTGTTGCACTCCTTTGTGACATGCAAATGTCAACGATCATCAATCTTTTTTTGCCAGTTAGATTTATATTAGCAAAAGAAGATTGTGCAACAAGTGGATATGCGCATGTACTAAAGTTTTCTCTCTCTTTCTCGTTGATATGTGTCAACAAGAAGACAAACGATCGATAGTTGGTGCACATATCTTCCTAGTAATTTCTCGCTCGACCTTGCTTTATCAGGAGAAAACGGCATAAAAATTCAGCGAACTAGACGAGTGACCCTTTTACAATTCGATTGCTCACCTGTTCGTCGCGTCGTTTAAACGAGTTTCATTCGAGGTTATAGTTTTAGTTCTTATCTTTCTACTCGCTTGTTTGTATATCACTGAATGGTGATGGTCATCGTTTCACAGATATAAACCGAAGAAGAAATATAGAAATGATCGTATCAAAACTTTTTTTCCTGAAACTATACATATAGCATACGCTGACTGTCACAGAACGAAAAAGGACGCGAAACTTGCATTTAAAAAATAAACGCTATGAACCGAAACGATGTGGTAGATAAAGTTAAAGGAAAAATATACCATGGTTTATGTCGAATGATAGTTATGATGGCGAAGAACAGAACAAATAAAGACAACAGATGAAGTAGATAGGGAAAAAATGGCGAGTAGAGAAGAAAGCAGATATCTCACACGTACATAGAAAGGACCAAAGAAAAAAAAAGGTGACGGCGTGCCTTCTCTCTCTCTCTTGTCTATTCTTCATTATCGTTCTTTTCTCATCTCTTTCTTTCTGCTCACCATCATTACTGCGCATGATATCACTCGTCGAACAAATCATTATTGATATATGAAAGGTAGACACATTTTTACAATTAAAGAAGCAAATAACTGTTGAACGATACGCGACGTTCTTCATCTGATCAATATCACTTTAAACTATTGATGAAATTAGTAATTCAAATTGTTTTCCATGCTTAGATAATGAAAGAAATCAACGGAAATCCATAGACGAGAGAGTGAAAGAGAGGAAGTCCGAAAGAGAAAAAGCTGTTGGATACAATCATACTATTGTTCTTTTTCACACATAAGTATAGAGCACCCGTAGCCATTATCATAATGAACATATACAAGCATGTTCCTGCTTTCATTCTTATACATCTTGTCTTATGTAACAGAATGATTTCTTAATGAAATCGTTCAATTTCTGATTAAATATCTTATCAATGAAAAATTCCTTTCGCGGTTTTGATTTCATCTCGTTTTCAATCTGTAGTAATTCTCATTGAACCATAAAATTAATGTAAATGCCAATGAACCATCATCTAACAAGCACATCCAGTGAACACAGACATTCTAACGAGCTTGTTCTGATTGCATAAATACAACTAACAATGATAATAGTCAACAAATGATATAAACAAATGCCTTGTTTGAATACAATATATTACAAACAGCATTGGTCCGAATAAATTCGACCGGCGGGTGTCAAACAAACTCTTGTCTTTTCTATTAACCACTACAGAGAAGATAAAACATAGGAATAATGGTACCATATTGAGCACACATGTACACATAATACCGATTGATTGAACATATATAGAGAGAGAAAGACAAAATAAGATTTCTGTAAGTGCCCATTGGGGTGGAATCAAGATGCTTATTACTCGCACGTATGAACGATAAATTCAAAGTAGATGTGTAATCTGTCTCTTCTGAGTAATTTCTATTGAACTTGAAAATAATTGCGCATTTTCTTTTCGTTTGTATCCCATGCTCATCAATGCTATCATCTTCGAGTGAAGAAATCCTCTCAGTTTCATCGAGCTCATCTTCTCTATCTCGAAATCATAATGATGGTTCCGAATTGGTTTCGACGGAATGTATGGATAAACTGAAAGCCTTACAAATCGCTTTCAATGAATTAGAAAGTCAATATTTCAAATCTGTCTATGAATTCGAATTGAAGTTCTACCAGAACTGTTCTTATCTATTTGAAAAACGTGCTGAAATTATCAATGGAAAATACGAGCCGAATGAAGAAGAATGTCGCTTACAAACAGATTTTATCGACACAACTGATCAGGCATCACCTTCAACAAACGATATTCTCGGAATTCCTATGTTTTGGTTACAAACACTTAAACAAGTAGACTTATTCAATGGATATCTAAAAAAAAGTCATCCATTGATTCTTCTCGATACAGGCACCCGTCATTGCTCAGATGATTGAAGAATGGGATGAACCGCTACTTACATGTCTAAACGATATAAAACTACGATTACAACTTCATCCAGTTATTGGCTTTACACTTGAATTTCATTTCAGTGAACAAGCAAAACAATATTTTACTAATGAAACTCTTACGAAGTTTTATGAACTTCAAATCGAATCAGACGATCAAGTGTTATTCTATGAAGGTATGGGCATCATTCGTTCAGAAGGCTGTCGAATTGATTGGATCGATTCGACAACAAATGTCACACGAAATGCAAACACTGGCGAACGGCAATCGTCATTTTTCAATTTCTTCACTTCTCCATCACTTCATGATCAATGGAAATTAGCAACTGATTTTCAAATTGGTTATTATATTCGTGAACACATCGTTCCGAAAGCGATTCTTTATTATACAGGTGAAATATTCGATGAATACGAATTTAGTGACGAAGATCTGAATCAACAAGAAATATCAACCATTGAACAAATCGGCGAGGGCACACATGTAACAAACAACTAGAAGCAGAGTCTTACCATGATGTGCGACAGAATGCAGATTGAATTTTTCAATCCCAGACGATGCTTGGATCAGTTGTTGACCATTCATTCGTTACATTTTCTGTTTTGATCTCGCTAATGAAGTCATTGTTAATACTAGATACGACTGAATTCGTTGATGTTTCTGATTCGAGTGACGTGACTGTTGGTAGGCCCGTTGTAAAATTGAAATAACCTATGGTAAAATCATTCGCAACGATTGCCATTAATACACTGGAATAAACAAACATAAAGCGATGTTCGAGGTGTTATTTTGCAGATAAAATGCTTTCATAAAGAGCGAAGAGATAGTCTTCTTACGTGAAGCTATGTGTGATTACTGAGATAATCATTACCTTTGAATGTCGCTACTAATAGTTGCTGGTAACGCCGAAGACAGTTTGGATTTCAGATTAAATAATTCATCAACGGTGAATTGTTGATCACATGACATTGGCAAAACGAATATCAATGGTTGATCATCGGACTGTGTGCCGATAAAAAATATCCATTTATTTGTTTCATCAAAATACGCATGAAGTTTTGACCATTTCCGACCTGAATGATATGAGACGACAAGTAGGTTGAATTCTCTCAGGAGCTATGTGCTTACAAATCTTCAGATCTATGTAAACTCGTTGTGCAAATGCTTTTTGTTTTGCATCACACCGATTCATCTGGAAAAAAGGGACAAGATTGAGAGAGACGAGAAAAACCTAACAAAAACTACAAAAAAAATAAGCAACATTCATATCTGAAGTCAAATTATTCGTTGAGTGGCAAGTGTGGTCGATCGGTTGTTTTCGGTAGTTCCAAACCAACGATATTGGCTGCTTGTTGAACCGTCTTTTCACCTTTTGAGTATGTCGAATGGATTATTTTGCGCGTCCGAATACTTTCCAAATAAGTTAGATAAGTACGTGCGACAAAGAGAACTTCATCAGTATGTTTACAATACTTGGACGTGATTGGTCGATAGCGACGATAATCATCTTTGATTTTTAGATAGATTGGTGACGACCGGTAGGAAAACAGTAAGTTATTTGGTGATAACTCACGTATTAATCTTTTATAAACCGTCAAAGCGGATTTCGTTGCCATATCTAGAAGAAATGAAAAATATCTTATCACAAGAGTATCTTTTGTTTTCAGTTCTTGTGAATGTTTAAAAACGTGAATAATTATATAAAAGTTGCTTTTCACAACAAAAACGAGATTATTTCTTGTTATTCACAGTTCCTCCATTGTTATTTGATCATGATTGGAGTTAGCATATCTATCACGGCAACGCCTATGAAAGACAAAGCATAGATTTCTTTACGTGGATATAGTGCCCATACTTTGCTTCGTTATATTCATTTTCATATTGAAAATGAATTATATGTGGTATAGAAGAATAATCGCGAATGAGCAAATATTTCGCCAATGGATGTTCAACGATCAATGGCACGTACTTTATAAATTGATAATTCACAAAATAATACCAAATACAAGCAAATATTATACCAAGACACCCGCCGACCACGACCTGAGCAATTGTATGGTAGTAGAGATAAACTCTGGAATGAAAAGAAAATTCTCAGCAATGGTAATGTTTGCTTTCCCTACCGACTATATGCAACTAGAATAGCGGCAAGAATTTGCGCAAAAACAAAGAGACGATGACGTATTGGCCGAGTCTTTGACGAGCCAGGCATTTGAGATCTAAATTTAATGAAAAAAAAACCAACAACAACAACAATTAGAAATATACTTTAGAATAACGAATATAGCCATATAGGTCATGAAATAGAAGAAACTTTGAGCATGAGCACTTGGCATACCATAAATCTCATAAAAATCTACTCGATTTCGAGCTAAAAAAACAGTTTGTTCATTAATTCATTACATTATCCTTTAGACTTACTTCTCTCCGGTCGTTCCTGTTTACAAATTATCTTCAAAAAATGATTTATAATACCAGAGACAAAGAATCCACCAAGGTACATGATCTAGTCAAAGAAAGTTCCTTCTTCATTCGAATCAAAAACATCTTGATCAATTTACGGTCTGTATATCACGTCGAAATATTATTAATGTACATAGAGAGACAATGTATATAAATGGTAACATTGAAAACCATGCCAGAATTAAGCCAAGTTTGTCACCTATGGTTGTGGTGTAGGATGTAAAATATCAAATAGGAGATTTACTCTTACCGTCTTGATATTCGATGAATGTGACTATAAATCAAATAAGAAAATGCGTGGTTATGGCCAAGATAAATGAACATACTTGATAACGGTCGGTAAATAGGATCGGAAAGGATGCCGGGTGCTCGAAATGGAAAATCTATTAAATGCTACGATAAAAGTTGGTTATATTCTTCAAATCAAGAAGAAATGGACAAACCCTAAAAGGTGATTTCATGGTAGTCGCATTTACTACCAGTGGAAGTGGTGGCATAGTCTATAAGAAGAGCTAAATGTAGAAAAACGCTTGATAGTTCACTTGAAAACCATTGATTCGTTAGTCTTCACTCCTATTCAAATCCGATTGGTTTCACGTCAGCTGAAAGTAAATGCATTGGTATGTTAAGAATCGATGCATTTACTTCAATGAATATCGTTGCTAAGCAGTACACATTTGCAATGTAATCATCAGATATTCGAAAAGAAAATGTTTCATCTGTCTGTTTGTATTTGATTTGTTGTAGCACGATGAATTACTTGTGTTCAAATGCAGGACAACATGTTGCTCTTGGCCATGCTGATAAACACGTCTTGGCTAGTGAAGGTGCCGATAATTATTTGATGAATTTCTATATAACCCAAAATTCAAGTACTTATCGACCACCGGGTGTACGACCAACATCAAATCTTCTTGGAGATAAATCATTGACAACAGAAAATTTGTTTACAAAAAAACTGGTAGACGAGAGAAAGAAAACAGGTTATGTCAGTAATGAAAGATATTATTTACCATATACACGTTCACTCGATGAATTGGACAATCCAATATTAGGGTGGGTATCATATTTACTCTTACTCGGATCGTTGAGGAAGTTCTTCGTTGTTTTTCAGCCGTATGTGTACAGATAATTATGTCACTTCTCATCAGACACATTATCAACCGTATGAATTACCGAATGGTACAGAATCTATGCCACCGAATATTGCCAACCAAACATCTGGATTTTTTCGTGAACGTGCCGTGCATATTCCCAATTCATTTGTTCCACCAGTAGGAAATGTTTTTTAATGAATGTGTCTTGAAAAAGCGAATCGAATTGCTTTAGGTTGGCGGCAAGGAAGATACAACATATGGAAATGATTTTAGTAGACCAGCTCAAACTGAACCAGTAATTGTCGGTCAAGTTGGTCCAAAAGAACGATCTGGATTTGTTTCCAACACCGAAGTCGACCCATTAACAACAACCGTAGGAGAACGATGGCATTATCGCTCAAGACCAACAGGTTCCACTGAATATAAAGATAAATTCCCACAATATGACTACCCAAAAGTAAGCGTGTGAGATTCTTCGTAAACTCTCAACAATATGCACGCGCTTTTCTATAGGGAGACGATCCTTTACTTACAGTTATTGATCCTCATACGAAACCATCGTCTGATCGTATTATCAACAACTTCGTTTTACCAACAAATGAAGGACCTTACGCGGGTGGTAGATTCGCACCTGATTCAACGTAAGATTTCTTATTTTCTTTTCGGAAAAATAAAAACAAACATTAGTAACGTCTTTTTCTTGAACTAATTCTATAGGGAATACCGAAAGCATTATCTTGGTAAAGGATTTTTACCCGAAAAGATGGGCCATCTAGAAGTCGGACCGAAAGAAACGACAGGTCCAGTACGAAATGAACATGGTTTCACTCAAACGTTCGATGATCCACGCCGATTTATTACCACATATCAAATGAAGTACGAAAATAACAATACTTTCTTCTACTTTTCATTCAGCTTCATTTTCATAGTCATTTTGACATGAATCCAAAAGGACGTGATCGTGAAGGTTATGTTGTTGGTGGTGTACAAAAACCGCGAACAAACGGTTTTACCGACGATACCAAAATATCCAAACCATTCGATAACTATCGCGATGAACGTCTTACGCGCTATCATCTTGATCCATATCAAGTCAGGTAAAATCGTTAATCACCAATGAACGAAAGCATTATTTACAGAAATGAATCTATTCTATTTCTAGGAGTTTACGAGCGCGTGATCCGTTCTTTGATGACTCAACACATGATAATAAAGGTCATATTCAAAAGCCTACTGAAATGTTTTAATAGAACTCGACAGTCTTTTTTATTTTAATAAATATCTGACAAATTTTATCACCAAGAATAAATATGTGTTACCTTAACGTGATATTTATTGCATTTCAGAGAATTGTGAATTGTTTCTTTGCACGTAAATATTATTCATCAGATAAGTTCGATATACTTAATTTTAATATCTTTTCCTCTTGAGATTTCCCTTTGACAGAAATCTATCTTTACAAATAAATAGACTGCGCGTAAGTATGAATCATCGTATTCAAAATTTCTGTGAAATAACTTAAAAGCATTCAGTTAATTTAAGAGAATCCATTTCTTTTCTAATCTTCATGTCACATCGTCTCCGTGCTCAAAAAAAAATGAAATGGTACTTATTTGTTCCACTTAGAATAGAAATAGAACTACCTCTCATTTTCATTGGTTAATATTTTATAATATGAACGTTTGTTTTTTTCTTTTCTGCTATTTTGAATTCTATTCCATCCTATACTAAAGACATGCCATTAATTAACGTGACAACGAAATCAACCATGGCATTTTCAGGCAAATAGATATATATTCCTTAAGTTCAACTTCGTGATTGGTTGATCTAACACATGGCTCTGGCCACGTGCCAAAAAATTCAACGTCGTTGCATTGCCGATAATATTTACTTAAGGTTTAATGATGCTTCTTGTGATATGTAATCAAAATCTCTTTCATGGCCTCTCTATACACAACAATGTCTGATCTTGAAATTATGAAAAAAAGTCTTTGCCGATCACGTTGACCGACACGTGATGGGTCATGTAACAGTTCATCGAGGTCTAGATATTAATAGTCACATTCATGGCGCCCAAAGAAAATCTCATGAGATGAACCGCTCATTCATTTTGAACGGAATGCTTGCCGAAACAATTGGAAAGAAAGAGGTTTTCTTTGTGGTTGTTGTCTCTTTATTAAATAAAAGATAGTTATCTTCTATTTGTCTATTCAACTATCGCTTTGTTAATTTTCACTTGAAAATGAACATAAAAAAACGATTAAATCAAATACATTATCATGACAAGACTGAGAATAGATTTGTACAAATAAAAAAAACCAACAACAGTAACAGAGATATGTAGAAACGCGAGATTAACTGAGAAAATTCAATGTTCGTATTGACGACAAAGACAGGCTTAGTGAATGGCCTTTTGCTTGTTGACTTCTTTCGAAGCAGCATGACCAGCTTCCTCGCATTTGTCTTTAACATAGTCGATACCGGCACCAACGCGTTCACCAGCGGTGTTGCTTGAGTCTTTAGCTTTTTCCTTGTTGGCTTCAGCTGATGATCCGCTGATTACTTCCTAAAATGAACAGAAATATGCACTCGTTGATCTTTTTCCATAGCATTCACGATGTGAACTAGTCAATACGTACATTGATTTTGTCTCCAACAGCATTGGCGGCGTTCTTGATAGTTTCCATTTGTGTTAACAGAGAGTTAGAGTGCGAATAAGTGTAGTCGAAGAATTTGAAATGTTTTGTGAGTGCACGAAGATATGGTCTTGGTCCTTTTATAGGACACCAGTGAATCTACTTTTCTCTCTTTCTCTTTTTTTCTTAGTCCAGGATGACTATTTTTTTCTCTCTTTTAATCATATATTCGAGAAAGGAGAAGAACTCGAACTAAGAGAATGAAGAAGGAGGAAGAAAAAATATACCGTGTATGATCAGCGAGCAGAATTATAGGCCGAGTGCATCGAGTCCATAGCGTCAGCTAGTAGGATAGACAAGAGTGAGAAGAAAGCAACGTGATCGCAGTTTAGAAATGAACTCGAGCGATGTCTGTTTCTAATGATTCGTCCGTTCTTTCGCTTTTCTTCTGCATCGACCGATGGTGAGAAGATAGAGAGATAGCATCATAGAGAATGACCATTGGTTTAGACATCTGATTCAATAGTTCAAAATACGCACACCCCCATGAGAAAGAATCAACCGTGTGTGTACTAAACATATCCCTAGGATCTTTTATTTGATCAATTCACAGTAAAGCTTATATACAAATTACACCGATAATAAACTTGACGAAATTTCCTCGTATTTGATTTTTTCCTCAGAAAGGAATTTTTTCACGCAATTCACAACTGAATGACGATGACGAACGAGATAGATAAGGGCAAGTGCCGACGCAACCGAAACAGCCAATAGCAAAAGAAGAATTATTCGTCGACGATAGATCCATTTGACCAGAGCGGCATCGTTACCGTGCCAAGACGAAGCTACAAAGAACGAAAAACAAAATATGTTTATCAACAAATCATTAGCACTAATTTTGTTTATTTTACCCTTTAAATGTTTGAAAAGCGATCGAGTGGAATTGTGAGTATATTTTCCATAAAGGTCTTGCGAGAGAACATCAATTGAAGAATGATTCACATAATTAGATGCTTCATGGGTGATGTACATTGGACCAGTTGAAAACATGACTGTTGCATATCTATCAATTAGACACATTATGAAATAAATTATTAAATGACAAAACTATGAAAGGAATTACTTAGTGAGATAGTTTCGATTAGCTTTTGGTAAATTGTTGAGAAGTTGCAATAGGAACGGGTGCTTCGGTTGGGCAATAATGACATCATTCGATAGGCCGGCAGGCATAGTTTTCGGTAGAATAAATTCATATTCGCGTAACTGGTCGAGAGGTTTTAAACAAATAACATCAAGATCTAAATAAATGCCTCCGAATACATATAGAACGATTAAACGAATAACATCAGCACGTTGAATATCGTACGGATACGAATCGTAGGTCGACAATAAGCATGGAAATTCCTTTTCGATCAAACGACGACCTGCAGCATCTGTCCAGAAACGATATTCATAATTGGGGTGAAGAGATCGACATGTATTCGACGCTTGTTGCCAATTGCTTGGAATGGTATTTTCATCTCGCCAAGTTTGATGAATAATAGCAGGTATTTTCATTCGAGTATGATTTGATAGTGATATGATCGGATAGTTGATCGTACTCTTCTGCCAGATCAACGCTGCACAAAACCATGGCCATAGAATGCAGCCCAAAAGTATGAGAAATAAAAAGAACGATGAAACGAGAGTCGCCCGAGAGCGTTGATTTAAGAAATTAGACATCTGAAACCTTGGTTTTTCTTCCAAATCTAAAATTAATCTTTAGATGGATTTTATATGAAACGGCGGCATGCGTTTTGAACTTAATTAGTAACGATAAAAAAATGCGTGATATTATTCAGTGTATAGAATAAATGAGAAATATTTCTGAACATTCTGTTAAATCATGAATAAATATTCTTCGGATATCTAATAAAATTTTGCACTTATTAATAAAACAGTTAGCATTTCACAGTTTAAATATCCGAATCAATAATTGTCATTTCCTCTCTGAGCTTTCTCTCTAACGCTAACAAAATATGGTTTAATCATACTTAGACCAACAAACGTTTTCTAAACACATCCAGCTGACCACTAGATAGTCATTTCAGAGAACTTCTGTTGTACAATGAATAATATCACCATATGAATATACAATCATTTTAAACTTACACGCATTTGATTATAAGCATTTGAAAGTATTCTTTTAGTAATACGATCTAATTGTATGTTCGTCTCTTATTGCTCCGTAGCATGACGTCGAGAAGCAGACAAATAAAAGTACATTCAAACATGGTATAAACGCTTAGCTTATTAAAGCGGAATATGTCATGATACTATATACGAGCTTGAAAGTATAGAAAAAATAGGGAGAAAAAAAAATGCTACCGTTCTGTTCGATGACTCGTATCATTGTACGGTATGTTTTCTAACTTTCCACGCGACCTGACCGACGATGGTTTGGTATGAAAGAAAAGAACGCGTAGATTACTCTTAGGGCGTATACGTTTCCAATCATGCATGAGGGTGACAGGGGAAAGTGCATTATTAGATGAAAATATTTTCAAAACAAATTATTTTTCAGCAATACTCGAAGTACTGAAAACGGTAGGAAATGTTTACGAACAAAAGTTCTGAATCGATTAGATTTTACAAAATACATAGTGATTAGATACTTTTGTTTTACGCACTTAAGCTGGTATCGATCCAAGAAAGCTTGCCTTACTTATTCTTATTGAAATCTTCCGTTTTGACATAATGAAACGATGTTCGCCTACCATCTATCGTTGTTTTAGCGGACGATTCTAATTTTCTTCTTCCTCTGAGTGCAATATAAAAGTATGAGTAGCATCGAACGTACTTTTATTCAGCATGTGACAGCAGAGAAAAAACCTCAAGCTAGAAGAACGACATATAAGCAAACAAAGAAAAAACATCGTTGCTTTTTACAAGTACGTTGTAGCTGAGAACTAAAAGTTTGAATCTGAATGGTTGAACTGTTTCTTGTTTTCTGTTGTGCTTCTATGTTGACTAATCCTGAGTATATTTAACTTGGCATATTTTCCTTAGGTTTCTCTCATCAACTTTAATCTATATGATTATGCGCAGATAAAAAAAACGCGTTATTCGGAGCTTTCTCCTCTTCTTTTCCTTTTAATTTTTTTCCTGTGAAGCACTTTTTATAAATTATGGTGAAAAAAAAATCCTTGGCGGACGTCATGTTTGTCTTAAATAAGAATGTCTGTCAAACAGGAGATGGAAACTCGCATACTGTACGTACGTAGAAGAATTTCGAACAAAATTGAATCATTCGAGACTAAAATGACACAATTACGTATTGGGATAATCCAAATGCACTGAATAGCCACGGTTTTCTCGAGAAATTTAAATGTAAATACGACGTAAATATTCGCCTTGGGTTTGCAAAGTGTTTAATAACACATTGAATTGCCTGAAGTATGTCACGCTTGTTTGTTTTTTAAACAAAAGTACGATCATTGATAATACAGACCGTAGGCGTTCTACGATGGCGTTTTTGCTGTTGATTTACTCTATTTTTAAATTTCTGAAATGAGTTTACCTTGATGGAATAAACGTGATAATTCTTGTAAAACGTACTTGCTCAGTATAGCAACATACAGAAACGTCGGAATTGAAAAACAGTCTGGCAGTGAAAATGATTAAAAGAATTCTAGAGATGTTCAATGGAGCTTTGTCGTCTAATTAAACATGATTTGCGACGTCATTGTCATACTTTTGGCGCTGGTCTCTTTATAGCTAATGTAGATGGTTGAGAAAAAAACGATGGTTTGTGACCTGAATCCAGATAGCTTTTGTTGGAAATATACTGTAGAGCAGCTATCGATGGAATTTCAGCCTGGAACTTCATTTGCACTTACTTGTCTGCTTTCATACAAATTCACCTTTTTCGTGCATTATTGTTCTGTGACAAAAACAATTCAATATTTTCACTACAGTTTTTTCTTATAAACAGTACAAACGTACTCAGAACGCTGCGTACAAAGTCATGGCCGAATGAGTCATTTAATATTTGCAGCGGTTTTTTCTGTTCGGACAACAAAATGAGAACGTTCTCGGGTACAAAAAATGAGCTGAAAAAGGTGAAATCTTTCGTAGGAACTGTTCGATGAAGTTCACATAGTTTATAAAGTAGTTTATCGCCGGCCGCGTCCATAACCTTTATGAAAAATACGATTTCCATGAGTACCAAACGAAGGCATTCGATCAGCACTACTCTTGTGACATATACTACATGTGAATTGTTCGGTCATGTTATTCACCCATATTAAATGGCCATTCGAGGCTAAATAATGAAATATGTATAGATAGTTGTATGGAACGCCGTAACTCTCCAAAGTACTGTTCCCTTGGAGAAAAAAAGCCTACTCACGTTTTGAGCACAGGACCCATTTTCCGTCACAGATGAGACGATCTTTTTCGAAGTCATTCCATGTTGTGTCAACAGATAGAATTGATTGCCGTGAATTTCTATCAGTCATTGTTGCTTTGAGTGTTGTTAGTAAGGATTTAAAAAAATCGTTGTCGTCAGATTCACTTTGTGATTGATTGGGACAGACACTCGGGCATTCGTTTGTCGTTGCTTGACGATCAATAGATAGCAAACGTTTGTATTCAGTTTCTATATCCAACCATTGTTGCCGAGTGAAATATAACGAATCGTGTTGCTCGACATGAGCATAGATAGTTCTCAGAAATTTATCGCGGTCGACGCCCACTGTACCACTCAGATTTTTGAAGACATCTATTGTATTGATAAATAGTTCTGTGAGTTTTCGACGACGTGGATGATTTCTAAGTTGCCTAACAATTCTAATAACCGATTCGGGCAGTTCAAGAGCTGTAGCCAATAATATCACTTCAACTTCCGCAGAGGATCTTACTTTCTCAGTCAGTGTTGATTCAGATGCCAAAATATCGGCGATTCTATTGTGAATGTTCTTAATTAAACTTGCGTATCGTTTGCATTTTACCAAAGGCCATTGACAAGTTGGACAACCAGGATAGTCAATGCGAAAAAATCCGTTAGGGAGAGCTTGTCTTAAATGAAAAAAGAATCGAAATGAATTATTCAAATCATCAATGGAGTTTTTAAGTGAACTAACTTTTCTGCAAAGATTCTCACATGTTCGTCAAGTACGGATGCTTTAAATAAATGGCCACATTCGAGTTGAACAAAAGCAACATATCTTAATTTTTCTCCATTAATTGCATCGCGTATGGCGTTTTTAGATTTCTTATCCCGACAAGAAAAACAATCAATGCAAGGCTCTCCACAAACACCATTGCAATAATGTTCGCACTCGAAACGTCGCGAGCACTTTTCCATGCACGGATCACAGTCACATTCCAGTTTGCATCTTTGTGAACAGCGTCGGTGTTTGCATTTATTCTGACAGTAGCGCATACATTGATATATAGAGCATTCGAGCATTGAATCGGATACGGATGGTTGATCTGGATGATCACACAGCTTGATATAGGGTGACTCGCAGCGTGGTCCAAGCTCATGGCAACGTTGCTTACGACTATGACCACAAAGATAAACAATTAGCTCTTCTTGATCACATGGATGATGAAAGCGTCCATGATAACATGTTGTACACGAACCCTTGCACGGATGACCACATTCCTGTGCGAGATACAAAAAGACTCCCATCTTATTAAACAAAGTGTACTTACAAGAGTGAAATCACATGGATGGGTACATAATTCATCCCTTAATTCCTGATTTCTCAAATCACAACATTTGACTTCCACTTGGTGACCAAGAGGACAAGTATACGCAACAAGTACGTTGCACGCAAGTTTATTCGTTTTTCGCATACAACAGGGTACATCCGTTGTATGTTCACAATCCGGCATCTTCAATGTAATCAATTCACAACATGGCGTGCAATCTGTACCTGCATGACATTTCTTGCTACATTGATGATCACAATCATCATATTGCCTGGCACAAGGTTTTGTACAACGTAGTCCTTTGTGAGATGTACTATGACAACTTAATGGGCATTGGTGGCCACATTCAAGTCGTACCTCGCATTTCACACCACAACCACCAAGTGGTCGTTTAAGAAAATCATTAGGTTTTTCACATACTAATTGATTGTCTGAATGATTAGCACAATTGATTGGAAGACCTTTGGAAACAAAAAAGTAGGACACAGAAGATCTTTTCAAATATTGACACTGTGATTACAAACCTGTTCCGATGAGTTTTGATTCTTTGACTTTGTCGACGATGACTTTCCATGTTGCACTGTTTTCAGCCAGTAAATGAAAATTTCCGATAACATAGAAAGCATTTTGAGCACGAGATAAAGCCACACATATCCGATTATCGACAGCCAAGTATCCCAGACGTTTTTCCACATTACTTCGAACCAAACTCAGCAAAATAATTCGATTTTCTTCACCTTGATAATTATCAACGACCTACAGATTCAACTCACATACAAATTCTCCGAACAAGCCTAACTTACCGTAATCTGAATGCCTTTCAACTGACTAAAACTTTGACCTATAGTTCTGCTTATAAGTTGTCGTTGACCCAGATATGTTGTTAAAATAGTAATGTTACTTTTGTCATAGCCTTGGTTTATTAAATAGTTCGCCAATTGAATGATATAATTACACTCGAATGTATTTCTTTTCGATACGCCCTCGGAAACATTTTCTTCTGGATTGGAATGATTAATGAAATACAATGGATGACATACACCGGTAATGGGCGAACGATTCAAAACGGATTCGTGATTACGAATGGGAATATTATAAAAATGATGTGTCAATTTCGAAATGATTGGAAGCGAACGATGTTGTTCACATAATTGAACCGATGGCATTTCATTGTTAATCAATCGTTCGAATAATGACACATCAAGATTGAACTGTTTGGCTAGCGTGTAAACATTCGGCGACGGACGTAACTGAATATGATCACCAATGAGTATCAAATGTTCGATACCTTCGCCGATGGCTGTGATGATATGAGATTCAAATACCTGAAGAATTCATTAAATTGCTCATTGGTTTTTACTTAATCATTTTCTTTTACTTCAGCTGCTTCTTCGACTATGCAAATACGTGGAGCAATCTGTTTCAGCACTTTTTGGTAACGCGACGCACAATGCGTGGTCATAGCGATTCTAAAACCACAAACAGCGAATATACAAATACAGGATAAACATGGATAGTTACATAAATGCATCTTCCATATACAAACGATCATTTGCTAACCATAGTTCTTGCATTGTCTGATGATTATTATCATACTGTTCATTTAAATTAAACCATTCATCTATAAAGAAGAACGAGCCAAATAAGAGAACTAAACGTCTTTTCTGATATATACTTGTTAAGATATGAAGGTATTTACAAAGCCAATATCGATAAAGAGTTTGTCGTTGTTCTTTCTTTACGGCCCATAGATCTTGAACCTTTTCCGCATCATCTTCGGATAATAAACCTGCTCTCGTAGTCAATAAATATCGCATTGATTCTAATTGTTCTGTATCGATTTCCGTTCTTTCTCGTTCAGTCGTTGGATTCGAAAGCATTACTGGAATATAGAAGTTATCAATGTTTTCTATACGACGTAGTTCTTCTTCGTCGTCATCATCATCGAGATTATTTTGATTATCGCCTACGTCATTCGTACTACTCGCTATTGGTGGTGATACCATTGGATCGCTCAATATTTCTAACAATTAACAATAAAGTGTTGTTTTCTCTACGTTCAATGGGTGTGACTATACCTCGCAGAACCGCTGCTGCTTTGGCTTGGTTTTTCTGCTTTTTATTCTTTTGAACCGTTTGAAATTCGCCCTGGCCGTCATCTATTGAAATAGATAATAGTTTGAAAAGGTCGACAGCAAGTTCCTTTTCCGAATCTTACCTTCAATTTCTTCCTTATCATCAGGACGAATTATTTCAAGACGTTTCGCACCCAACCATTGAATGATCAATTCATTAATTAGCTTTTCATCTTTTTCTGATAAGTCATTCAACTTTTGACAATGAATTCGATTTTCCATACGCTGAATTCGTTCAATGACTGACAGTTGTGCATCCAAATGATCACCATCATCACTCGAATGATCATCGCTGTCTTCTAGATCCTCATCCAATGGACAACAATAGATTCCACCTGTTTTATTGTCCCAATGTTTCGTGAAGATGTCCAATTCATCTAGGATAGGATCAATTAACTGTAGAAACTGGCGTCTGTCAATGACACGTAGCAGTTGAGTAGCATTTAGTAATTGTTGACTACAATTAATATACGATCTTTGGCAAGTGTCCAATTGACTTTTGATACTTTTGAGTATTACGTATTTTTCGGATAATTCTGCGTTCGTGGAACGGATGTTGCGTCGCTGTTGACGTAACCTCTGGATTAAATATGGTTCGATTTGAGAATGTGAGCTGCGACCACCGACACGAACGATCTCACCAGGTTGAAGAGACAGTTTCTGTATAATTGACGATAGGAACTGGTCCAAAGCATGGTTGGTATAGCAAATCATCAATATAGGTTTGGAACATCCCGTTATGCGTCTCCGATTGTGATAAAATAATTCTGCTAGCCGAACACCGAGAAATGTCTTTCCGCATCCCGGAGGCCCTAAAACAGATTTCAACATGAAAAAGTCTGTACGATCGATATTTCGAGTATCATCACTTCACCTTGGATAAGAGCGACGGCTTTTGTCAGAGCTAGTTGTAATGCTTGGTATTGACTTTCATCTAATCCAAGTTGTGTAGCATTTGGCCATGTGGTTCGATCTTTTACATCACTTAAACCACCGTCATAACGTTTGCATGAATCATTATGCTTAGCTAGAATCGGTTCGAAATCGATTCCGGAATTTTCCTGGAAATACCCGGGCAATCCGACGTTTTTATCACAGTGAAGCAGATATTTCTCTAAAGGTATTTGATCATCTGTGATATTTTGTAGGGCTTGTAAAATTGGTCGATAAGCTTCAAAGTAAGATGTTGTTTCTAATAAGGTAAATGGTGTCCCAGGTGGAATTCTCATTAGTTTATGATCACACAATTCTTTTTGACACTAAAAGTTTAAAAAGAAACAAATCACAATTGTTTTTCTTCGAGCAAATGTTCAACTTACTCGAACCAATATGCTCCCATTTTTATCAAGATTAGAGCGGTCATCAACTGTCAATAAGAAGCAACTCGTGGCAAAATCATCGAACGTTGCGGCGAGTAAATTCCCATAGATTAATCGTCGTGAATTCGACCAAATAATCGATTTGGGTAGTATATTTAGATCGATAGCAAGTGAGAACAAGACTCCAACATGTGAGCAGATTGTTCCAGTTAAGATTGTGTTTCGATATAAACGAACGTTAACATTTCGAAATGAAGTATTCCGATTGTCATCACTTATGTACTGGCATATCGCTTCACGTAATGGTTGGAGAAAATCTTCTCGCAAAAGACGGAAATGAATCTACAATAAGAAAATACACAGGTAACCGTTTAAGGGAAACTTGTGGGATTGTTACATCTAAATAATGTGTTCCGTTCTTATATTGGCCGGTAATGATATTCTTTCGTAGATAAGGCATTTGTGGTTGAAAGATATCTTCCAATGTTGGATAAATCGAAAGCTAGAAACATTATCGGTTTCTTTGCATGAGCAATAGAAAAAGCAAAGAAAATTTTACTTGATGAAAGTCGTCCGGTGGTGGGTCGCTTCTGTCCGTCTGCCAGTCAATCTTCGGCTTTGATTGCTTGGTTTTCTGCTTATATTCTTCTTGTAATTGGGTCACTCGGGAGATTAACTCAACGACGATTAACATAATCTCGTCATTCTGAAAATGAATGCATTATGAATTTCGAGAGAAAAAGAAAGATTACTGACCGATGTCTTTTGACCGTACATTTCCAGGCGATCGAATATACCTGTGGAATTCAGTTGATCGTAACATGACGGGTGCAGTTCCAGCAGATGTTGCAAAAGTTTGCATAACGTAGACACGAATTTTTCTAGAAGCACTTTTTGCGCTTCATCCGATACCAGCGAGGGTTTGATATGTGAATGTGCGAAGCGGAGTATTCGAGAGCCAGGTATGCGTAAGATAAGCTTAGCTGCATCTTGTCTCGAGCTGTGCATGGACTGAACGAGAAATGTAAAAAACTGGGTGAGTAGAGGCAGATTATTCATTTCTGAATCGTCAAAAAATCGATCGACAAGTTTCGACTTGTTTTGTAGTAATTCACATCCGTTTCGAGCATGTTCAAACTGATTAAGATGAACTGAAAGCTTCTGATTCGCTGTCTCGTCGATTCTTAATTGAAAAAAAGATCGTAACATTCACAATGGATATATATTGAAATGCATCTGCTTTACTTCGGTTGACTAATTGTCGTCCTCGGCGGTTTTCTGAAAGCCATTTTAGTTGTTGAATGATAAAATATAACGCAAGAGAGAAAATCTAGTAAAATTTTTATAAGAAAAAAAAAAACCCAATGAGTCATCCGTTAATGTCGGCTTTGTTGGTTTATTTATTCTATGTGTTCGTTTCATTCTCTCAATGCGGCTTTTTCCTGTCAACATGCGCAGAAAGAGAAATATGTTTATGAAGGAAAAAATGTGTAGATATCAGGCCTGTTCCGATGACCATCGGACATTTCTATTCGTTTAAAACTATTGTAGATCATTTGAACTCTTGTGAAGTAGATGACTACATTCATATTAATGGCAAATACGATTGAGTATCGATCTGAATCATCGGTAGACTTCGAGTTATTATTTCCGTTGAGTTCAATAATGACCGAGTGAGCAACTTTAAATCATCTATTTCAGAACGAAATTGTTTAAATAAAAGAGTTGTCATGAACCTGAGTTCGTCATATTAGTTTCCGAAGGAAAATGTTTTTCGCACATTCGTTTCTCTCCAATTGAGTATAAAAATATTTTTTCAATTACAGCGTTGCAATGCGCGACGACTGCATTCAAGGAGAGCTAAAATTGAAGATCATGTCTATGAATATGCACGAAAACAGCACCTCAATATGCGTACATGTAACCTTGTCATCAATCGCATTGTTTTTTCATCAATATAACCGTAATGCACCAGTCATACATTTCTTTATTGCCGTCTAATTAACACGAATCAGGGTGCGATTCATCAATGAAGGTAAGGATCAATCATCCGACGTCTAACTGAATAATTTCTTTCAATGTTCGCACATCAGATCGAACTGATTTCCATTATGATATGATAAAATATATTTTCAACTGATTGTTTATTATCAATATTTCCAGTTAATTAAATGATAAAAATGACATAGTTAAAGATCTGATGTTAACGTTCTCATCGAACTTGTCTGACGAACGTGCGTCTGAGCATTGTCAAACAGGACAATGTTACATTCATCAAGGTATCCTTCTTCAAGCAAAAATAAACATTTTTCAAGAGCGCTACTCTTTCCTGAATGTCATGTTCCTTATATTAGATTCAAATATAAGATTTCTGATGCGTAAATTCATGTGATATTTGATACGGTCGACTTAATTCACGCGAAGCCTGCAGACACAATAGGAATCTATTCATCACGCATATTACCATACAAAAGACGTCATTGAAAATTTTTCACCGGATATATACTATGTGAGTAATACAGCAGCGATGACTGGTATCGAGCAGTAAGTGAACGATTTGACCGATAACTGCAAGTAACATCGAGAATAAATGTTTAATTATTCTGTGATATGATTAATAAAAAGTGAGAAAATCGATCAGAAACTGTCAATCATCAGATTCATTTAATTACTATTGATTGACGTTTGCTTTGTTAAAATCATTATTATTATTATTATTATTATTGTTATTCGTGATTGCCTTTTTTCGCATTCCATTCAATTTACATGATGATATTGGACGCGTTCGAGAAAAGAACCATAGTACCCAAATATCGAATCGGTCGTCGATGACTGTTTAAATTGCTAACTGGATACAGATCAGACTCCAATGATTTCCATTCATCTTGAGGTACTGACTTTTCATTCTACTTATTTGCTATTATGTAGGAATTGACGAATCACTGCAAGTTCATTCAGTAAGATGTCGACTCAGAGAAAAATTAAATATTCTATACTCGTGTTTGTCTTCTTTCAGGAAAACAGTCGAGTATCACTGCTATTCCGCCTACCGAGCATCGCTTTGATACATATGAAGAAGTGAGATGTCGAGAGTCTGTCATTAATATTAAAAAATATAGGATATGCCGAGTAAATGAGTCTGTAATACTGACGCCTTTTGAGTTTAAAGATTTTCGAGAAAAACAAGAACAAAAATATTTTTTTTCTACAGAGTAAATTAGCTTACATCACTGTGTTCGACACAGTTAAAGCATGGAAATGTCAGAGGAGAACGTATATTCATTGCCTAATCTACGAGTGGCAAGTAATGGAACTGAAAATGTTTTTCCTTTGATATAGTCGAGGCATAATTCAACATGGAGCACTTTGCGTTGAGAGATTGAGCGAACGGGAGATAATTTGCGTTTGGTATCATTTCAACCTGTAATTTAAGCAATGTTAAGTACTTATTGAGTATTTATTTGTTGCAGAAGATAGATTCAAGCAAGGAGAAGGACACGGTGAACTCGAAGTCTGTAGAAATACATCTAATTGGTTTGCGCATCTCTTTCAGTTGTATGAGATTTACCGTTGGAACTCACGCGATCGTATGGGTGACTTAATTGCTTCTAGATTTCCATGGGCTTACATTATTTATTCATAATTTTCATAGATAACTCGAACGAACGGATTTAGTTCTTAGGGTAAAGTATCCACCGAGGTAGGTATCTTCCCTGAGGTAAAAAGAAGCTAAATATAAATATATTTGAATAGACGCTAAAACTTGAACCGGTACATTTTATTAATAAGGTTATATAATAGACAATGTATTACCCGCGTCCCGTTGTCTTTTCCTATTGACAGCTGATAAGTTTCGCGTCTGTTAAGTGGAACAAAGAACAAAGGTTGTTTAGTAGATAGCTCTTTAGAAAAACTAGATCGTTCTTTTCTTATGAGAAACCAGCGACCTCGAAACAGATCCAACTAATCTTTTTCAGATATGTAATCAACGTAAGGTCATCATACCATTACAAATGAGAAAGAATGTAACGGAAAAGAGTTCCTACGTACACTATTTGTTTCGAAGGTGATTCTGTTTAGGCTATATTTAATTTTTCGTATCGAATCTCAGTCAAAAGATTTGAGAAGTGTCTCCTTGTGATTTCTTAGTGTTACTGAGTAAAATTTCAAAACAATTGTTCGGTGTTTACCAATATGTCGAACAGTTTTGTTTCTTTGTGACATAAAAGAACATGTTAGAAATGTCCTTGGAAGGTATACGAGTTCGAATTGAAATAGTTCGTTTCTAGAAAGTCTTTCGTCGAGACACATTCTTTGAAGAGAATTGGAATGCCTTTGAGCAAGTTACCGTCGCTACTTCAATTCACTCTTGTATCAAAGTTTGATTCAGGTCACGATGACCCCGATGCCAACAAGCTTCTTTTTCTTTGTGAAAACGCACAACTTGTATTATTTTTCTCTTTCTTTTCCTTCCATGCTATTCTCTTCATTACCATTTCAACACGGTCAAGACGCTCTTTAGATAAAAATAAGAATGATGATTATTATCTAAATGCTACGAGTAAAGCTCAAAAACAGAATGAAAATGACGATAATAATAGGTAATATAGTCATTTGACACTTTCTTTTTTTTCAGATTGTCAATGTTAATCGGCAAATAGAACAATTCGCTCATTCTTTTCAAGTGTGCACTGCTCGAATCCGTTGCCCTATTACTTCGATTTAGTTTTCGTCCATTATTCGTCATTCTACCCTGAATACAACATTTACGTCGTCTATAAAGAGTGATAAACAGTAAGAAAAAATATTAACAGAACAAGAAAAAAAAACGCGATCAGGCTGAGAGGAGAGAAAAAAAAACGCGGAGACACAACTACTTGAATATTACTGTCATACGTTAACATTGACTGACGACGCTGTCGTTATTCAAAACTTATTTTCTCCTTTGTTGACTGTGTTTTGAATATTTGATTGATTATGAATGAATTAACTCCTGAGAAGAAAACTTTTACAAAATTATCTAAATCTATGATGAAGACTCGCCGAACCAAAACCGAAGCGTAAGTGAAACTTCGTTTTTCTTCGTTGATTTTGATGAACTTTTCATTTGGGTACTCTTCACGTTTTCAGTAAACCAATTACAATCACTGTTGAACGCTTATCTGACAATTCACGTATGACATTCACTATATCATCTGACAAGACTATCAAACAACTGCGTACGCTATTAAACCATCATTTACCACCGCTATCGTCGGGTCGCTTTGACTTATACTCGTATCAACGTGGTGCTCTAATACACTTTCATCCTTCGTCGTTTAAGCTCGATTACTTCCCCGTTATCTTCGATCAATCTGTACTCGTACTAAAAATGGATGACCGCTTAAACATGAATGTCGACACCGATAGACCTAAATCGAATCGAAGTAAACAGCATAAATCGTCGCTAAAGTCAAACAAATGTTTACCTTTAACTGATATCCTATCTTCTAAGACGGCATCGACGACGAAAGTCTCCTCTGATCACCAAGCACAATCGCCCTCGTCAGCTTCATCGAATGTAACTTGTCTAACTCTTCTAAAACAGTTCTTTCATCGCTCTTCGACAAAGAATGTGAATCAAGCAGATGATACGAATCCTCTAACTTACTAAACGAGATAGTTTGCTTATAATTACGATATGTTCTCTCTGTTTTATATTTCTTTTCTGTTTATTGAATAGAGATATGAGTATGTACATGCAAATGTATAGCATAATGTTGATTGAAGAAATAAGAAATTTTTCTTTCTTTTTTTTTCAATGGTTTATAACGCTCGCATTCGGATCGGATTGTCACTTCAATTAGACCTTATCGGTTGATATGTGCATTGTAAGAGTATGTAATATTTTGCGTCGCCTACGTCCCGTGTTTATTGACTAATTATGAAAACGATGTGAGAGAAAGAGAAAGAACTTTCTTTTCATGTCGTTAAGGTAGATGGTTATTTGATTTCTAGAACAAACGTATGTCAAAATAACGGCGCGGAGCGATCTTTGCTCTGTAACAAGAGATATTCCAAGATGAATGATGTTCGCCAAAATTGATCGTAATGAGAGTCAAGTACGATCTTTGGTAGTTTTATTTCAATAGTGATTTATAATCATTGAAGTAAAGGTACTTAATATGACGGAAGGAAGTCAGATTCCGAAAGGTCATTGTGACCTCATTCACTATATTTAGAGTCAGAACAGCGTATCAAATGCTGTTTACCAGTAAAGAAGAATTGTTATTGAAGGAGAAGGCAAGACATTCTCTGATAGATTGGAGTGAATTTGATGCAATACAAATTTACCAGTCAGACTTTTTCATGTCCGACTATGTCCGTATAAATGAATTTATGTACAAATACTTCATGTAGGAATCACTGTTAACGGGTTGACTCTATAAGGCAACTCTCTGTGCGGGTGGTCACATATTCCTTCTTTTCCATGTATCAGCACCTCATATTGTAATTTCACTTCGTGCTGACTTTTCTTTTCTTCTTGTCTTCTTTTATATATGATATGTGTGAACCTTAAAGGGACAATGAATGCGAATGAAGAAAAAAATTGCTGCTGATAAGAGACTCAACGCAGTGATATTTTTTATGGGCATTATGAACAAATAACGGAAGTGAGTTTGTGTTATTGCATTATAAAGTAACAATAGCTTTGTCAACATCTGGAAAGTCAGCAGGCGTTAATATTTCATAGTATTCTATATTAGAATTTTCATTAGAGCGCCTTGCAAACAGCTCGTTTCATATTCTTGAATAATCAGGTGATTCATAACGTTAAAGGTGTCACACGAGCTGATCTTGATTTGAATAGTTAGTCAGCTGAAGGCCAGATGAAATATTAATTGTTCTTTTGAATAGAAAGATGCACTAGTATAGTCTTCTTAACCTGAACTGAAGATAGTCGAGTTGATCGAGACCTTTGCAGCGTATAGTTCTGATATTTGCTGTTTAGTGACAATTGACAGATGGGTAAAAGTTTCTTTTTCTCTTTCTCTTCATATTTATCCAAAGTAGAACTAAAAAGAATGGAAAAAAAAGATAAGAGATGCTATTTTTGAGACGACCTCTTTCTGTTCGTCTACGAAAGAGTATTTTGAAAGGTACTGGTGACCCGATGAGAACGAATGTCTATCTTCACCGGTGATGTTCTCTGTAATCACGAAAGCTTAATTAAATTCCTATTCGGGATTAAGAATGTTCTTATTGTGAAATGAGTGAAAGACAGGTATTCTATAGATAATCATTCATCAAATACCTATTTGACATCAGTCGTTTAGTTTTTATGCATGAAAAATTTTTCTTAAAAGGCACTATTAATTATATATTGAGTAAGAAAAGAATGACAGATTATTTTCAAGTGATATTGACTTTACAAACAAATTTTAGAGAAGAATGCCTTCATTCTCTGACTCATCCGTCGATGGGCTCGTTTCTGCTAACGTTAGCGAACGATTTTGATATTTATTTTGAATAATTTCACCCCATAGCAGGTCTTTTTGACATGATGGACACGAACCATCGATAGGAATGATATAATGTTGTTGCGAATTTCGTAGGAAGTATTTCGATAAGCATATAATATGAAATGAAATCGAACATTTTGGACATGAAACATTGACAGAAGGCTAAAAAAGACACATTAAACTACTATCAGAGTTGTTTTACAAGAATATATGTTATAGAAGGGAAAAGAAATGCTAACGACAAATAGGTCAGGTTATTGTTATCTCTTTAAATGTCAAGCGTGCTTTAAATAGGGTTCATGTAACTTATTCAAGATATAACATACCTGAACCAGGTCAATGCATAAATGACAGGTCGGAAGTGATTTGGAAGCTTCAGTCGTCGTCGTTGTAATCACTGGATTGTTGACTTTCTTCCGTTTGGATGGAATTGTATTTGTATGTTTGGAGATATTGATCGGTCCACTTGTGATCGGCATATGAAATGGTGGAATACGTTCGAGAGTTTGCTTTTTATCCGTTAACCATCGGATGGTTAAGGGTAAACGTGTCCACGGACCAATGGAAAGCATCTCAGCAAGAATTTGCAGTTTGAATTTCAAACTCGTTCGTTTCGTCTTCGGTAAATTCAAGTGTTTGAGACGCACTGATTGTTCAGGATTTTGCCATGCCCATTCGAACTAAATCTCCAGAATACAACGAAGAACAAAACAAACAAATCCTTACGCGTAGCGCAGAAATTTCATTGGGAAATCCATGCACGATTAAAACCATCTCCCTAAGTAAGACAAGTATTGATCATCCGAAAACAAACAAACAAACACATTGCTTACCATGGCCCTTTCCCACTTGTTCGCTTGGCTCCGCCGAAATCCTTACCTTTATTGTGTTGCTTTATTCGCCGATTGAGATTGACAGTAAAGCCAATGTATGTTCGACCCTTGCATTTCGGATTGAGACTATTTAGTAGATAACAACCGAAGAAATTCTCCACTTCAACATCAGCGATTTGGTTAAATGAAGTTTGCAGGGGATTGTCGATTGATACCATGGAAGTTTCATCGAAAGACATCTGAAATTAGCAACGATTACAATGAAACACATTCCATTAGTCTTTTTCTTCTGATAATTCATTGAAGTAGCGAATAAATTGAAGAATAATATAACCCTTAAGTCAAAAACACTTCAGAATTCTAATGAGGATTCGATCTTCTGTCTAAACGAAGTCAACATGACATTTTCTATCAAATACTTTATTATTTGTAAAAAAAAAGCACATTCAAAGTTCCCGTAATCCACACCTCAAAAGTGTTTTCAACGGAATATAAACATCCTGTTTCTATTCAGCTTTTGTTTCACGGATAAAAAAAAAGGAACATCTAAAATAAAATGAGTTTCGTCTATTAGGATGTTTTTCTTTTAAATCTTTTCCATCAAATGCAAATATTCACTATATTTTTCCCATACAAACATCTTGCTGTAACGAGCAAATTAGATATATTATCGCGCATGATTTAATGCTCAATAGACGCAATGAGGGGGCTTTTATTCGTTGTGATCATACGTGAGAAAATCAGATTATCTTCTGATTTCTTTTTAAATTTTCTCTCTTCCCACGATCATAGTTCTCGTTTCGAGAAAATCAATCAGAATATAATCAAGTAGTTTATTTTCAGTCCCTTTCGGAACGGAAACTGATGGGATTTGCCTTCTTCACTATCGATTTTTACTGAGAGAGAAAGAGAAGAAATTCTATTGGCTGCTCCCGCCATTGATGTTCGCAAAAAAGCCACTATGCTCTACGCATCTATATCTGTTTACCTCAAACACACACCTTTCGAAATATACATACATTCAGCTTTATCCTTGAGAATATTTTTCGATATTTTTCCCAATGAAAAAAATCGAGAAAACTCCCAACTAAAGCTTTTTTTTCTGCTCAGAATTTAGGAGTGTCACTACTAGAGATGAGATATATTTCTTTCTTTTCCGAAGATTCTTTCTCTGCCATGCCGTCTGCCTCCTCTACCTGAATTTTTTCTCTTATACTTTAAACTTTTCCTTTTGTATTCCTCATTTTACGCATTTACATTCTTTCTTAGGATATCGCATCACACGCTTTTCTTCTAACCCGGGCGTATATATATATCTATACACTTACTAGCAATTGCACGGTGATTGTGCGTGTGTGATCGACGGAGAAGGTATTTCATTTCGCTTGTTCGAAGTCAACCGAAAATATTGTCCAAAGTCTGCAACGAGTACCAAGGGTGGGGCACTTCTACTAGGGTAAGTTTGAATGGAATGATGCCGCTTAATTTTGATTTGATTGTTTTCGAAAAACTAGGGCCTTATCTCGAAAATAAACTTATTTTCGGTACACACTCATTCATCTGTCTTGCCTGAATTTCCTTGGACGCCCGGTCCGCTTCGCTAGCACCCGCCACGAGAAATTAATCGCTGAACAAGTCCCTTTCTTCGTTTACGTAAGTTTGCTGTTTTTTTTAAACTTGAATTCAAGTAGCATCGATGATTTTTCTTAACTGTTTTTCAGTAATTCGACATCTCCTATTCAATACAAACAGCACTCCTTTTCCAAATTAACTACTCTTGAAATCAAATCCAACATGCATTTCATTAAGAATAACGCTATTGTTGTTACTAAAACTCCACATACAGCTGAAGAATTCATTCAAAAGAAAATCGAATTGCTCGTACGATAACTTCAGATTTAGTTTTTTTCTTTTCTCTAGTTCAAATTTGTTTTCAGACTGATGAAGCTGAACCTTTCTTTGCCGTTGATCTTGAAGACGTGTGCAACAAACATATCCGTTGGCTTACTTTAATGCCTCGTGTAACACCACACTACGGTAAAATTTATTATTTATCATCTGTTCACAACAATTTCCTATGTTCTAACTCGTAGCTGTGAAATGCAACGATGACATAAATGTTATCAAACTCCTTGCTTATCTTGGAGCTGGTTTCGATTGCGCAAGCAAAGTAAATCTACTTTTGTTGGGAAACAAAATAACTTATCTGGATGGATTTTTATAGGGCGAAATCAAAAAGGTTATGGATTTAGGCGTATCATGTAAGACATTAATCGCATTACTCGATGTGAAAATCTGAAGAATTGTTTTGTAGCCGATCGCATCATTTATGCTAACCCATGTAAACAATCATCTTTCATTCGTTATGCACAAGAGGTTGGCGTGGAAGTTATGACATTCGATAATAAACAGGAATTATTGAAAATCAAACAAGTATATCCAAACGCCAAGTAAATCGTTGGAAGTTTAGAGAGATTCGAAGTCTGAGGTTTGTTTTTCTAGACTTGTTCTACGTATCGTTACTGATGATTCGAATGCTGTTTGCCGCTTTTCAATGAAATTTGGTGCCGATATGAAAACAGCACATGAACTAATTGAAAAAGCACAAGAAATTGACATGGAGGTGATTGGTGTCAGGTAAAGAACTAATTTTCAAAAAGCGACCGAAAATTTTCTATTCTCGCGTTCGAATTGCCAGCTTTCATTGCGGTAGCGGTCAAATGACAAGCAAAGCTTTTGTCGATGCTATTCAAAATGCACGAATCATCATGAATTACGGAATCAAATTAGGCTTCAACATGCATCTTCTTGATATTGGTGGTGGTTTTCCTGGAAACATTGGCACTGAAGATTATTTTGCTGAAATTGCTGGCGCTGTTAACAGAGCGCTCGATGAACATTTTCCTGACGACGGAACTGTTCGTATTATCGCCGAACCAGGTCGATACTATGTTGCTTCGGCATATACATTAGCAACGAACATCATCGCATCACGTGAAATGATCGAACCAGGTCAGTTGACTGAAATACGTGTTAGCGCATTTTATCACATTCGCATTCTTCTTCGTGAAAAATAGAAACAGGCAATGCGAAATACATGTATTACATCAACGATGGTGTTTACGGGTCATTCAATTGTGTTCTTTACGATCACTACGTTCCAGTGCCTAGTCTTTTCGCTAAGGTCAGTAGAGATTTTCTCGTCAGATGATCGAATCTCACTGTTGATCTATAGAACGCATCAAATGACAAATACACATCGTCAATCTGGGGACCAACTTGCGATGGTCTTGATTGTATCAATACAACAATCGAACTTCCAAAATTAGAGATCGGAGATTGGATGTATTGGAAAAATATGGGTGCATACACAATTTCAGCAGCTGTCCAATTCAATGGTCTTCCATTTGGTAAACCACTTTACTTTATGTCGAAACAATTTTGGTAAGTAATAGACATTAATTTGGTTGGATTGTCTCGAGCGTATGAAACGAGAAGAAACGACGTTCGAATCCGATTGGCGGTGATGATGCTTATTCCTGTTACGCAGTTTCCACTCGAATTTCTCACATGTGAGGCCAGTCATTTACTAAAATGCCTTCTTTGGAAGTCTGAGCCAATCGATTCTAACGAGATTTCTGTCTTTTTTTGTCAGACAATAACCTTTTCTTTTCTTGTATTCTCTGCAGGGATACAGTCAAAGCCGCTTTTCTCACTGTCCCACGTAAATATCAAGCCGATACATCTGCAATTCGTCTCAATTCAACCGATTGCTCGAACGAAGTTGAAGACGACATGTTACCTTGGCTTCCGGAAGATATTGCCGAAGATACAACCGTGGTCACTATTCAATGATCAAAAGGCAAACCAAGAGTTCTTCTTTTCTACTTTTTGCTCAACATTCTTCTTTTTTTTTCGCTTCCATTTTGATAAACAACGAATCGAAGAATCTCTCTCCCTCTGCTGTCTGAATTGAATATGAGGTGTCGAATTAGTCCTTTTCGTTTCCCATTTCCTTCCTAAAACAAAACACGCTTGTGGCATTTTATTATCTGGGATATTTTTTTTTCTTCTTCTTTTTTCTTTAACTCATCTATTCAAAGTTATATTGTTCGTTCGTTCATTATCTTGCGTCGTTCATTTCGTTTTCACATCTGGAGCAATGAAAAGCAAGCCGAAAAGTGTGTTCTTTGACCGAATACACTTGAAGAGAGAACGTAACGCTTGACAATTTCGTTGATTCAGTTCGTTCTTCTATGGGCTCTGCAAAGATATTTTTTCTTCTTTACTTATTGTTTAATCTATCTGTTTTCATCGTTCATCATCTTCTCAGTATTACTATTATCCTTTATTATCTCTGGAAAAATAAAAACTATCAAAACAAAAAAAAAGAAAGCTGATTTGATCTTGTTGTCTTCGTTGATTCAAGCATGAATTTATCTGAGGAGAATGTGCGAGAAATATTCTTTTGTGAACGAACGTGGGAGTAAAGAATTGTTTGTCAAATAACATCGGAATGCTTTTTCTTTAATGTCTGTCATTAGTATTGATGTTCGGAATTTTGTAATGTTAAAAAAAATATTCTCCCTTCCGTCACGATGTCGTGCACAATTTCGCCATGAATTATTAGTTTTGAGTTGATGATGTACGCTAACACTTTAAGCTCGAGTATGCTTCATTCCCTTCGCAGGAAACAAATGAGATTCTAACGTTATGCTAATTAGTGATTTGAATATGAAACAAACTGGGCTGAAGAAAGTGCGCCATTAATATACTTAACAATGGTGCGTGTGAAACATTTGGCCTAGTTTCGCCAGAATGCACGACTTGCTTTTATTGAGGAATGTGTGAGATAAAAACCAGATGAAAATTGATCATATGATGATAAAATTCTTAAGTTTGGCGATAAGCTTAACAATGTGAGAACGCTCGATCAATCATTCAAAATCATATTGTGTCAGAAAAGTGTTCGGATTTGCCTTCTGGAAAACAAATGAGCAGAAATATACATGTTTGGATCTGTATCGTTCGAATGCTGTCGAAAGTCAACGATAAACAAAACATTGTTTATATTTCATTGCGGGAACCTTTTCGCTGTGTTGGTCTTCAACCAAATATAATCTTTTGCGCATTCAGAAATTAAGTTGATCATGTGATTCCACATATTGAATTGCCTGATGTTTCATTTTAGAACATCTCTCTTACCGGTATTGAATTCTCTCATTAAAAATGTATCCGATATCGTATCGAGATATCCACTGAATCCCGTGTCAATATGTGACCTTATATGAGTAATACCAACAACAACATCAAATTGCAATCACATTCAACTAGTGGCCTATTCACCATAACAACAATGTATTTATGTGAACAGAAACTCTTCCATAAACATCATCTCCTTCACTTACCTAAATTCTTATCCAATAGCAGCTTCAAGCAGTGCACTCAACCATTTCGAATTATTCGAATTTTACAAATACAAACAAGACAATTTCTTAAGATTATTCCAGCAACAATAGCCTGTGGTAGTATTCAAGCTCTCGGCTGAATGGTTCCAAGCAAAAGTCAGTTCAATATAGCACTAATCGATGCATGTAAATTCACAAGTACTTTATCGGCATCCATACGATTCTAATGTACCCTTATTCGGATAAGAAGAATGAGAAGTTTTGAATAGTATATTTGCCTGACGTCTATCCGACGACAGCGTTGTTACCTGGAAAACGATTGACTTCTACTTCAAAGTCAGATTACTGTTCAAAACCTATTTATTTTATTGGCAGTGCTTATACTTATGGCGCTTTTCTAATTCTGAAAAAAACGAAGAAGTCAGAAATCGTTCCCTTTCCCCATCGTACTGAAAAGGTGCTATCAAAAGTGATGCCCATGCTACCTATGAGTACAAATTGCTTGCGTATTCCATTTAAGCCTTATGAAATATCGAGTAAGATGAATCATAGCATGTTTTCTGGACCAAGTAGATAGCCATCAAGCAGCGAAAACTTTGAATATATTCTCCAGCAGATTTCAAACGAATTAAAAAACTACTAAAGTTTTTTCACGAGCACTATTTTCGTCGTGTGTCTTACTATTATCCTCGTTACCAATATCAAACATTTCATCGCCAGCATCCTATATTGGCTTCGTTTGAACCGATTACTCCACGTATACAAGTATTGTTTTACATTACAACAGTATATAGTGACTAAGACGATTGGCCTTGTTGTTAAGGATGTCTATTTCTCTTTTCTTCTTTAGTTCTATCTTCATTGATCATGGAAACACCATTTCTTATGCATATTACAGCTTCTTCCGTAAAGATCGTCTTCTACAGTACTCATGTACTTTTCGTTCGCATAATTCACAAAATATAACCTAAAATGAGAGCGTTTTGCTTTCGTTTTATATGTTTAACTAACCGATTAATGAATTAAATACACAAAAAATTCATTCTAGTATTACTTTTCTCTACGAGAAAGAGAATAAGACAGGTCAGTGTTAGACAGTTCTCTTGTTTGTCATTAAAAATGCACTAAAGGAACGAGCTATCGCGCATAGATGTATCAGTGTCAGAAGATTTCACAATCTCCACCTTGTCGATACACTTACAGTGTGATATCGCGAGATTTATGCTTTCTCACATCGGCTACCTTCCGATCGAACTCGATATTAGCTATTAAAATGATTAATTTATAACAATTTACCTTTAATCCTGATACAAACAAATACAAAAACGCACAAACAATTTTTTCTTATGATCCTTCTTTCGGTCGAAGGAATAAATATGATAGATTAGAAAGAATTTATTTTACGTTTGAATCGAACCATACATGGTGGTCTAGGTCCAACAACGAGAACGGAATAATCAGGTAATGGATGTTCTTGGCAAAGTTCAAAATCAAATTTCCGTAATAATATCGACCAAATCGTTTTCACTTGTAAATAAGCAAATCTTTCTCCTAAACAACTATGTCGGCCACCACCAAACGCAATGAAACTAAATTTTTCGACTTGATCTTCAGCATATTCGCCTAAGAACCGTTCAGGATTGAATTCTTTCGGATCTTTGAACACATTCGATATTTGATGTGCTACAGGTGGTGCAACGACAGCAATATCGCCTTTGGACAAGACATATCCATTGTATGCAATTGGTTCTATGACTTTTCTCATTAACAATATCAATGGTGGATATAATCTCAATGTTTCTTTCATCACTGCATGTAATAAATTCATTTCTCCAAGAGAGTCTACTGATAGTTCATCTTGATATTTTACCATTACTTGTTTTTGTTCATCTAATAATTTCGACATCCATTTCGATTGATGTTGTATCATTAACAATCCCATCCAAGTACTTGTGATATTCGATGTGTGCTGTCCAGCGAATAATGCAGCTAATAATAAGCCAGTGATTTCATCATCAGTAGGAAGGGAATCATCGAGATATCTCGCATCGATAAGCACTTGTAAGAAATCGTCGTGTTCGACATCTTCTTCCGTTCGGCGTTGTTTGATGATTTTAGAGAAGATCTTGGCAATCTCTTGTCGAGCGAGATCACGTTTCTTATGTGCTCGCGTTGGCGCATTTGGAAAGAAGAATGATAAATGGCTCATTCCGTCGGATAATTGTTGATAGAAATGTGCAAATTCTGTTTGAATATTCTCACGAATTTCTTTGCCCAGCAAACAACGTGATGCTGTCAAAATGATTAATTCAGAAAACTCTTTCATTAAATCAACTTCTCCCGAATCAGGCCATTTGTCAAACCATTCTTCGGCTTCCATAACAATTTTTCCGACATGAGCTTTCATATTCATTTGATTTAAACCTTTATTAACGAATTTTAACTGCTGTTGCATTATTTTTGGCGATGCATCATAGACGATATTTTTGCCAAACACTGGAATTGTAAATGTGTATACTTCGCGTTGAGATAGCTGATGGTCTTTTGCTTCGAAAAAAGCCCGATGTGCTTGCGGACCAATGAGAAACACGATGGACCGATAAAATAATTGAATGCGAAAGATATCTCCTACTGTTCGATACCCGTCTTGAATAAGATCCAGTGGACCTCTATTAATAAAATCATATTTACCACGTAAGATTGAGATAAGCACTGGAAAACGTGGTGCAGCTTTTCGAAGTTTTATAGAGAATACCAGATAAATGACTGTTACCAGCAGTAGAAGTAGAATTAAGACGCTGCTGGTTGTCCATGGTAGAATTGGTAACATGTTCAAAATAAGATCTTTCTATGCAATGATCATCGATAGGATAGGCGAATTCGAAACTTTGTCGTTCGTGGAGAAACACGTACAAGTGTTTCTTTTCTTCTTATCGTCGTGATAAAGGAGAAAACTGTCAGACGGATGGCGTGATCCAAAACTTAAGTCGGCCAGTCATTCTTTTGAATGAAGTACATTTTTCTTCATAGATAGCAACGAAAGAAAAGGATCCATGAACTCATTTCTGTAATCAAGACTTCATTTTTACATCATGTTTTGTTTCGTGGTGCTTTTTGCTTTACATCGATACAATTAATGTTTTCATTCGAGTCGTTTGAAGAATTCAAAGTCCTTATGTTATGAATTCGAAAAGTAAACACTTTACTTAAATGCAAACATTGTCAAAACGAGGTAACTTTGTTGTTTTATTCATGTCTTTTCATCACATGGTATAAATTATCAAAGTTCAAAGTATACTGTGTTAGTCCGATAAGGACAAGAACAGATTCTTTCAACAGTTACTGACCTCTGTCAACGTTGATTGTAATTTAATTTGCTTTTCTCAGAGGTATAACCAAGAATAGTGAAAAGTATCATGTCGGAAATAGGAATTTGCGTTAATAGAAAAAATAAAAGATGAGCGATGAGGAAGACGAAGTAAGCGAAAAAGTTTTAGATGAAAAACAATGAGTTTTGTGCGAATTTTTTAGCCGCGCATGGTCCATGATCAACCATACGATGAATCGATGGATGTAAGTAGAAACGGATTATTTTCTCTGTGATTTCATGTGTTTTTAATTTCGAAGATTGTTGATGGAGAAGATGTAGCTAGTGTTTATACACCACAAGCAAGTAGTCGAAGGCCAGCAGGTTTGTGTAACGAAACTAATATACTGATATAACGTATTTGAACTATCAAAGGATTAGGTTCACCACGAAGTGGTTTAAAACACTCGAAAATTCCCCCTGTTCCAGGTTCTTTCCTATTGAATATTGTCATTCTCTGTATTGAATGTTGTGTCGTGTAAAACTTCTGCAAAATGCACAAAGATTTGTCTTAGATGGTTTTACTTCTAATCTTTTAGCACCAGATTCGAACTATGCTTCTGGAGGATCGAAATTTCTACGTGAAAGACCCATGCACCATCGACCCGATGAAAGTCCATATGCTAGTCCTCGAGTATGAGTGATCTCAACATAAAAATTCTTACTTTAAGTTAAAATCGTAGAACGATGATCATGATGAAACTCAGGGAGATTCCGATTCAGATCAAGGCTCGTCTCAAGCATTACATGACGCTGGGAATGGTCAAAAGGAATACAAAGCACCTGACCCAAACGCATACGATCCAAAAATGTACCGAGATTTACCAGTATCAGCCGAAATCAAGGATTTATTCAAATACATTGACAAGTAATCTCATAGATTGCATTCGACGTGCAAAATATGCTTGTTTAGGTATCAACCACAAGATATTATACTGGAAACCAAACTGAAACCATTCGTTCCGGAATATGTACCAGCTATTGGCGATATCGATGCTTTTTTAAAAGTAGATATACTTGATACTAGTTGATATGATGATTTCTATCGCATTTCTTTTGCATTGAATCAAGGTACCTCGACCAGATGGAAAAGAAGATTCACTTGGTCTCATCGTACTCGACGAACCATCCTCAAGACAAAGTGATCCGCACGTACTCGGCTTACAAATGCTTTACACATCCAATCAACCGATTGCCAAAGCCTTACCAACTGTAAAAAAAAGACAAATTCGACATCTCATCCTATTCTTCATTTGTTTCGTAATTCATCTAGAATGTTCGGCATGTCGTCCACGCCGATAAAAATCCGAAAGCAATTGAAGAATGGATTCATAACATTAGTAAATTACAAAAGAGTAAGACGGGTGATACCGTTCAGTATCGAAGGTACGTTTCAAATGGAACTGTATCGGCATTGAACATATCGTCTGATTGATAATCTAGACCTATGCCAGATGTTGACAGTCTGATGCAAGAATGGCCAAGTGAATTTGAAGATCTACTTCGAGAAGTTCGTATTTTCTCAAGTCAATAAATCTCACTTGACAACTTATTTTATTAGACAGCTGTGCCACCTGCTGATGCCGATGTCGATCTCCCAACATACATAGATATAGCTTGTGGTATGCGAACGAAGATTCTCTTCTTCAGTTCGTCTAATTCTCTACTTTTAGCATTGTTGGACATTCCTGTCTACGAGTCACGCGTTCAATCGCTACACGCTCTATTTACACTTTATCTGGACTTTAAAAATTCTGAAGTAAGACATTAAAGATAATTTCTGAGTGCAAATGTTGTGTCGGCTTGGTTTTTTAGCATTTCAAAGCAATGATGAATGTATCAGATTCACCAATGCGTCGGGGAGGAAACGATGACAGTGCTGATCGAATGGTCATTGACTGAATTTGTGTATGTTCTGCTGTCGCTTTTACATATTTTAAATAAACTTTTTCGTCAATCGTTCGAACAAATTTACGCGCGGAATAAAGTTGAGGAATAAAAGAGTTGCGCGATGCTAATTAACATCCATGAATCACCTATTGGACGTTCACTTCATAGAATAACAACTAAAAGTAAATTTTTCATATTGACATTTGTAATCTCGATTTCATCCGTTCTAAAGTGTTATAAAACTACGTAATCAGATCGAATAGGTGTGGAAATATGTTTTAAGAAAGAAAGAGGAGTGAACACTTCGACATCATCAACTTGACAAGTTCAATGATCAAGTGGCGACCTCTGTCAATTGTTCATCATAAAGAAAAATATCCTCAAGAAAAAGCACCGGTTTTCGATTTCTAATATGATTTCTCAAATAACTTCGTATCCATAGGAATTTCTCTCATTGAATATTGACAATTAATTGTTTGTTCAAAACGATATCCATCCATTATATACCTTGTGAATATTCAATTTATCCTTGGATAATTTCTCTGTGTGAATACATCTATTCTCTTGTCTTTTTCTCATATCAATCAATGGGGATTGTGTTTTCATTCTGGGATTCTCTCCGGACAATGAATTTCGTCTATTTTTGTAAAAATTTCTTTCTAGATGTCTACAATCATTCATGTTGTCCATTGTTTCCGTCCTGTATTATTTTCTTTCATCAATCATGACATTATCTATTAATTAGAATTTATTTTTATCGATTACTTTCCATTTATTACTATCGAGGTAAGAATAGCTTACCATATTCCTTTTTTTTTCATTCAAATACCATTGCTTTCTTTATCAATCTATACATATTACATATAAACCATCGAAGAGAACGAGAGAGAAAAAAATCTCGAAGGCAAGAAAAAAAAGAAAAGGTACAGCAGGCGGACTGGATGAGAAAGAAAGAACGTGCATTTTTTTTTCTCTCTCTTTCTTCTTTTATGTAATATATTGAACGTGTATGTATGTATATGTTTGAATATTTAACAAGAGGAATCATACGATGAACAAATCGTCATTCGTTCACTTTTTTTTCTCCTATTCAGATTGTATGGCATCGATCGAATGAAGACAAGAGAGGTGATACAATAAATTCAGATAAAACAATTTTTTTGTCTTCTTACTTCGACTTCGAAATACTCGTTTTCTTCTTCTCTTGATCGCTTCCAATCCGAGTGGAATGGCTGGGAATGGTGCTGTTTCACGCCCATCGACTTCGAATCGTTTGTTACTTTCAACAACAACGACGCTTGGCTCACACTACCAAATCGGCCGAATTCTAGGTTCGGGCAATTTCGGTGAAATCCATCTGGGTAGAAATACCGAAACGCATGAACATGTCGCCATTAAATTAGAACAAACCTCGACCCGTACGCCACAATTAGCGCATGAATATCGCTTTTATTCGATGTTAGGTAAACATGACGGTGTTCCTCAAGTACAATTTTATGGTCAAGCTGGTCCGTGTAATGCATTAGTTATGGAATTATTAGGGCCGTCATTGGAAGATCTATTTGATCTATGCTCGAGACGTTTTTCATTAAAAACTGTTTTGATGATTGCATTGCAATTACTAGACAGGATTGAATATGTTCATTCGAAGAACCTCATCTATCGAGAGTAAGATTTACTATGGCGTTGATGATTGAGTCTTGAATTGTGTCCTTCTTTCTGTTCCTTATAGCATTAAACCAGAGAATTTTTTAATTGGACGTGGTAGTACGAACCGGCAGCATATTATTCATATTGTTGATTTTGGCTTAGCAAAAGAATATCGAACAGCTGATGGTTTGCATATACCTTATCGTGAACACAAAAGTTTAACTGGTAAATCTATAGAATGAAATTGAGATCATTTGATTTCTATTGGCATATATTTAGGCACTGCTCGGTACATGTCAATCAATACACATCTTGGTAATGAGCGTGATTTTTTAAATTTAAACTCATACTTGAATATTCAGGTCGAGAGCAGAGTCGTCGAGATGATTTAGAAGCATTGGGCTATATGTTTATGTACTTTCTGCGGGGCAGTTTACCGGTATGACAGTCGAGGTTTTATTTATAGTAGTCAAGATCTTTGTCTTTTAATAGTGGCAAGGCTTAAAGGCGGATACATTGAAAGAGCGTTATCAAAAAATTGGTGATACAAAACGATTTACAACGAATGAAATTCTATGTGATGGTTATCCTCGTCAATTTTTGACTTACATGCGAACTGTGCGTCAAATGGAATTCGCTCAAGAACCTGATGTATGTATTGATCTTCAAACAAAGATATATTCAATGAAATCACATGATATTTGTAGTACGATGGTCTACGACGATTGTTTCACAATGCTCTTAGTGAGAACAATCTCATTAATGATGGCGATTTCGATTGGGTCAAACGCTTGCAAGAACATCGACTCAATCGTAGTAAAACACAAACGACAGCCGCCATGAATGGACATACGACAGGTACAACATCAACGAATCCTGCAACAGCACTATCAAGCGGTATTAACAGTAGTTCCAATAAGAACACCAATACACTGACAAATTTATCGTCATCCACCGTACAGACTCCAACGAATCGAAATGGTAATCATCACGACTCTCGCCATCGTACAGCCATTCAACGTAATACATTTCAAAATCATCAGTTACCCCTCAGTTCAACGAATCGTTCGACAAATGCGACAACGGTCACATTGAATGGCGGTTCGAAAACGACCCTATCGATGGCAAGCACGAGTAAAGTTCAACCAGCATTACCATCATTGTCATCGTCAAGAACGGCAACTGAAAATCATCGACCTGGACCTCCTCCAACCAAACGACGTGGCTTAGTACCCGAACCGCCACCTTTACCCTGCTACTCTTATCATCACACCCATCAACAACAACATCCGGCTAATGTAAATAACTCGAATAATTCTCGTACACATAAAGAGCATCCATCATCTAGTATCGGCCCACCATCGGAGCCAACATGTTGTTTCTTCAAACGGAAAGCTAAACGTGCTTTACAAATAACGACTACAACGCCTCGAAGAACCTAGCGATCGATCGTTTTCTTTCCAACTCTATACATATACATAGATTATCTCAATGTTGAATAAACAAGAAAATTTAAACGCAGCAGGCGTCAGATAAATCGAAAAAAATCCTCTTCGTTTTTCTCCTTTTTCAATATTTATTCTTTCATTTTTGCTCCTGCTGCTCTATTCCTGCCTCGCGCTTTCATATAATCATTCTCAAACTCTTGTGTTTCTCTTTTTTCCATTTTGCTATTACATACTTGATTTATTAGTTCAATAACTATCCTTCATTACATTTTTCGACAACAGTGTTTTGTCTATTTGATTCTCTGTTTCTCTTCTTCCTGCAATATGTTTTCGTCAATTAAAAATAACACAATCTCGTTCATTTTCTGTATTATTTCATATATTTCTCGTTTACCTTGGGATAAATAATAAACAACCATTTAATGTATGGTTATATTTCAGAAAAAACAGTTTAACTCATGTCATCGGACCAGAAGAAAACAGGAGCAACAACGGCGACGACGACGAGCTCATCAACTGATGCCACTCCGGGTTTCCAACTTAATCAAAAAAAGCTGAAAGAACTTGCAGAAAATGCACAAGCAATCAAAATCGGTGGCAAGGTTGGTCTCATCTACTCGAGATTTCACCGGCGATTGCATTTCACACCATAAACTTGTCTTTCTAGGGCACAGCTCGACGAAAGAAGAAAATCATTCATCGTCCAGCAAATGCTGATGACAAAAAACTTCAAAGTTCATTGAAAAAACTTGCCGCAAATAACATTCAAGGAATTGAAGAGGTTTAATTGATTGTCTTATCTTTTGACAAAAGACCTTACGATTTCCTCTTTTCCCTTTTGCATCGCATAGGTTAATATGTTTAAAGATAATGGTGAAGTCATTCATTTTACTAGTCCTAAAGTACAAGCATCGCTTGGCTCAAACACATATGCTATCAGTGGTCCTTCGGATACGAAATGTATGCCGACGAAGACGAATCTTTCTTTCATTGACTATGATTATCCTTGGAATTGTTTTTAGCTCTTCAAGAAATGTTACCGACAATTATGTCACAAATGGGCATATCAACTGATAGTGGTTCAGCTAGCGAAGCTGGCCGACGTAAATTTGGTACGCGCGGTGATCAATCGCAACCTGGAAATGAACCAGAAAGTGCTGAGGCTGATGATGAGGAAGTACCCGGTAGGATTTCTATTCGTTAATTATCCTCGTCGTTTATTAATGTTTTCTTTTTCATTCGAAGATCTTGTGGAAAACTTTGATGAAGTATCGAATACAAAGTGATAATTTAAACCTTATTAACATCAGCATTATTATCAATGAGCAGCATTTCAAACATGTAACAGTTGTTTTCTGCGATTTTTTGTTTTTTTATGCTGAAGGAGACAACCAAAATAAAAAGAAAAAAGAAAAGACAAAATTCGATGAAATACAATCTCGTTCTACACTCCTACTAAGTCAACCGACTTGTTCTTCATTCAGCCACTTAGGAAATACGATAAAACGAAGAAGAATGACATTTATTTAACACATCGTATACACAATAAGAAAGAAATGGCTGACATGAATACATACAGACGACAATATAAGATAATTATATCTTGGCGTGTGATATAAATGTCGTTTTATTTCTGTACGCAAGCTGATTGCCTTTGAAGAAAAACGTATTGAATGAGGTAAAAGGACGAGGAAAAGCGAAGAAAAAAAGCCGATGTTACAAAGTTATGATTGAGAGGAGCTGTCGATATATGAATACAATCACACAACTGTATGTTTACTTTCGAGCGCGATCGATGAGCCTCTCCGAGTGATATTCATAGGGAGTGTAGCAATTCGTTTCGTTTTTTTTTTCTAAGCATATCTTTTCTTCTAAGAGCTCTTCAAAGAAGAAACATACGAAAGTAATAATGCATACATACATACGTACGCGTCGATTATAAAAATATACAGATAAATCAGTTTGCCATTTGCTTTTTCGCGTATTCTAGGTGAGTTCTATTAGTTTGTCGACAACACATTTTCATGTTCGATGAAACATAATTCTGTCTTTGTAGACAATATGTTGCATATCCGGAGTATATTTGCTCTCAATCTGTTAATTATCTGTGTGAATTGCAAAGATAAGATTCCGACGTTGAATGTTAATCGAACAATTGTCTCATCACGATCTATTTATGATTTAGTACAAGCCCGTCGTGTTGCATCTCGATTAGCTGCGTATCACAATCGAACACATCGAAAGAATCATCCGAACGCGTATTTTTCCAACGCAAATATTGATTACATTTACTCACAAAGAAGTCAAACAAATGATTTGAACAGTTCCCATCAACAATTCTTTTCTGCACGTTTCAAAATCGTTATTATTTTTAGTGCAATTACCCTGATATCCATGATAGCGATTATTATAACATGTATAGTTACGAAATACTATCGTAGTAAAAATCCAGCAACAGTTGAACAAAGAGAGCCATTGAACCAAACACGTCGAACGATCGTTTTTTCTAATCCAAATTATGATCAAAGAATTTTCACTCGAAAACCAAGAGCAATGCCAACTGAGGTGTGAACACTGGCATTATCATCGTGATCAATTAATCAGTCGTGTTGCGCAAACAGAAATCGAACAAAGAACTGTGATACATACATTTCAGCTTTCTAGTTATGGACGAAATGAGTGAGAAAAAAACATATGCGTGTGTGTTTTTTTTATCAACTGTTACGTTCAATTGTTTGATTTATCCAACGAATATAACGTGATACTCGAGTATAAACACCATACGTACCGTGACGAGCACATTCGACTCCCCATGAAACAATACCTATTAGTACAGGTTTATCGTTGATATAACAAGCCAGTGGACCTCCTGAATCTCCGTTGCATGCATCACTACCACCATGCCAATAGCCAGCACAGATGTGAAAGTCTTTAATACGTTTTGGTCGATGACCTCGCGCACTACGAGGAATTTATACAAAGAAATAGATAGATAGATCAAATTCAAGACTGGTTTTTCTAATACCATTGTTCTCGTTCAACAATCGGTACTGTTAAATATTTGAGTATATGACTTTGACGAGTATCTTTGATCGTACCGAATCCTGAAACGATACATTGATGCATTTGCTCGGAAGAAATTTGATTGTTGGTTCGATTAGGCAATCGAATAGGTCTGACGCGAGTGGAGAATCGAGCACGAGTCTGCAGTTTTAGTAGGACTAGATCATGATCATTCCGCGTGATATTACCATTACTTGGATCACCCCTAAATATTATATAGATTACGTCAATCACAGAATAGAAAACTAGCACGTTATTTACCATGGATCATAGCGTGGAAATGGAAAGTGAGCAGCGATACGTGAGATTTGCACATGCTCCGTATCCGTTTGATCCAAATAGATAGCACCCATAACGGCATAAAAGTTTTGGATCGATGTAAAACTAAATATTCAAATAGCAAGTATTTATTTCGTAGAAGTTCAGAAAGCTTACTATTTCAAACAATGAGCTGCACTCAGTACCCACTTTTCATGAATAAGAGCTCCACCACAGAAATGATCGCCGTTATTATTAATCGAAACTTGATAGGGTAGCTATACAATCGAAGTTTCAATTGATTGCTAGAAAATATCTCTTCATTACTTGTCCTGGTTTCGCCAGATGACCTCGAATGATTCGACGAATTCGTTTCAGTCTCGTTTCTTGCTTTGTTGCGTTTCCTAATGATTGATTAATATGGATTAAATGAATAACAATGATAAATAAACTAAAGAAACGTTTGATGTGTTCCATTGAAATTGTGATTTGAATCAATCGAAGATATTTCGTTTCGTTGTCAACAACGATCGAATTACTGAGACCTTGGCAATGATAAAGTTGCATCGCATTGAGTTTAATGTTTTTTGCTTTCGACAAAGAACATACGAATAGAATAACTAGTTTTTTTTTTATCATTACAAAATCGAAGCTCACGACAATATACTTACCTTTGATCACTCATAAAAGAAACTACAGATGTATTCAATGCATACATTTTAAGAGCGTTAGGAAATATGTGAGAATGAGTTCAAATTCAAATGATAGGTAATCGGGTTCTTCCGACGAGCGTTATTTATCTATAACTTTGAGTGCGATATTTTGAAAAATTAATAAAATGTCAGCATCTATTTCACTTTATACAAATTCTTTGTGAATATACGAAAAACAGGTACATATTAGAAGGAGACAATCGTCAGGAACAGTGTGTCACTTATAAGCTTTCACTTTTTTCCACATGTCTTTCGCGAAATGTTTACAATTACGCTCCAACGTATCATAGTCGTCGCCTGTCGTATTTGGCCACGTGTCGGACCATATTTGTTCCAGCTTCTTAAGTGACATTTCATGCTTGCAGCTCTCCACAGTGTAGGCGCGGTCATATGCACCACAACGCGCTTCTTTACCTAAATTTTCAAAATATCTCAACTCTATTACGACTATACTATGAATACATACCCACTTTGGAAAACTCAAATGTGTAATATTCGGTCTGATCACATCTCGAACAACGATATTCACATTGAACTGCTAAATGAACTAGAGGATCACCTAGAGTTAATGTAGCCAAGTCTGCCAAAACTCGAGTAAAAAAGTTGCTGATCGATACTTCAATCAAACAGATGTTATAGGCTTTCTTGTCACTTTTAGCACACTTGCATTCAGAATGATCTCTCCATTTACCATGTTCTTCAGCGCTAGATTTGGACGACATGTTTGTGCTCGTAGTAATTTGTTGAAACCTAAAAAGCGAATATACAAATGGAAAAGGGAGAAGAAACAGATAACGTGCAGTGTACGAAAGAGAACGGGTTACGCACACATTATATGTATGCAGGTGTGGGATAAATCCTTTGCATATCGTGATGTGTAAAAGGTATATTTCGAAACGTTTCTTTTGGTATTATCCCTACTGACATTAAAGGTTAATTTTTCATTTTTTCCGACGCTTATAAATGAACGAAATAATTTTCCCACCTAGAGAATGATGAGATTTTATCGGAATTTTTTGCCCTTCTAAATGAACAATTGCCGAAAGAAAACATTCGAAGAATTACTACATTCGTTTTCTGGAAATATTCATCTGCCTTATCTAGCTCAATTTCTGCCGTATGTTCCGAAAAAGGTGCAAGCTACATGAACACAACAACACTTGATAGAATGTCAATATAAACCATTCTTTCAAGAATCTAGACTTTTCCAAATATCGCTATTTTTCTACAATAGAACGAATACATGCGATAAATTCACGGATGAATTATAAAGCAACGTTTTGCCTTAAATTCCTCAATATTCGTATATTTTAAATCACATCTACCATCATCTTTGTGTTTAATTAAGAGATAGACAAAGGATCGTCATTATTCTTTTCTTCATAGAACTTTGTAGTTGAAGTCAATGAAAAGAACCTTAACATCGACCACTGGCATATTTTTCAATACCACCCTTGCAATTCAGTGCAATCCCAGGATCAGTCAATTTCACCTTGCAGTTGCCTCAAATTAGATGGTTATGAGTACCAGGTCATCAATCAAGACTGGTGTAATCAAAGACGTAGACATGTCATTTGTTAACTACAGAATGCAGTCCTTATCGCTCTCTATTACTTTCTGTATGAACCTGAAGCCAAATACTACATGTACAATGATTCTATATGTTATTTTCTTACTACATTTTCCAAAATATGATAACCACTGTTCTTTAAAATAGAAGATGTCAATATTGATTCATAATCATAAACGAGAACTACAAATCCTTTTTTTCTACGTCATCACGCAGTACATTGAATGTACAATCTCGTAAAAGAACGAAAAAACTTTCTTCCTCTTGCACTTCCATTGGAAAGAAAAAAGAATGTAAGACTATAGAAGAGAAAGAGGGAGAGAAAAAGGACACGATGGAGTTTCACCTTTTGCACAAAGCCATTCTACTAGAAAGAGAAAAAGAATGAAAAAGAAAAGCAAATGATCAGTTTTTTTATCGTTATAACGCGACAAAACTATGAATCAAGATGCAAATCAACAGCAGCTGACATCTGACTCAACGATAGATATACATGAAGTACCAGTTACCGAAGAAACACCGTTGACTGATTTTCAAGAAAATCAAGATGAAGGTATACAGTCAGTTATACCTGAAGCTTTAGATTGGAATACGAGTATGATTAGTGGGGTAAGACAATACATTCGTCGAAGCTGTTCTACGTTTTTTTTTTGTATTTTTCCATAGATATGTCATGATGGAGATCTGGTTCGTTTACGGAATTTTGTGGAATATAAGAAACAGACTTTTCATTGCGGTCGACATGCAGCTGAAATCGCTGATCGACTCGATGCTGATTCGGGTCTGTCTCCACTACATCACGCTGCTCGGTATCAACAATTAAATATTTGTCTTACACTCTTATCCAATATAGCCTTTGCGTAAATAAGAAAAATATCTGAGTAGTTCCATATTGATAATTTTCATTGTTGTAGTTCAGGTGTCAACATCAAAGATGCTAATCATCGAACACCTCTTCATTCCGCATTTCGCTCATCGAGCCGCAATATGAACACCAATGAATTAGGTCCTGAACAACAATTCCAACCCGAATCTGATTTCGGAGACGAAGTATCATGCCAATTCTCCTCCTAATCTGAACATAACTTAGTCCTTCATGTAGATTCAAAGCAGCGAAGCGTGGCAGCGAGACTATCAAAATAAAATTCTCCAAAGTGCTCATCCACTGGTTTGTCTCTTCGCTCTGGTAAATGCAGATATCAATGCCTGCGATAAATATCTTCTAACACCCCTTCATTACGCAGTTGCTCGTAATAGCCTTGCTGGTGTGAAACAATTAATTGAATTGAAAGCAAATATTGAAGTATGTGTAGAAAAATCAATGATTCTTTTCCTCATGCATCCGCATCTTCAGGCGAAAGACCGACAGGATATTCGTCCATTGCATCTCGCATGTAAGGAAGGCTATTTGCCAATTGCCGAATATTTAATTGAAGAAGGCAGTCAAATCGACGCTTGCGATGCTGACCTCTGGACACCATTACATTATGCATGTAGTAAAGGACATTTAGATATAATTAAATTATATAAATCGAAAGCACGTCATGATAAATTTCAACAACTAATTCAAATGAAAACAAATACTAACATGTCGTGTTTACATCTAGCTGTCCAACATGATAATATGAGTATAGTGGAATATATTCTAGCGGAAATCGATGATGATATTTTGAAAATATTGATTAATGAAGAAGACGAATCGTTTGGAACACCGTTTCATATCGCAGGTAAGTAAGTAGATCTTCGAATAGATAATTCCCTTTTTGTTTAGCGAGATTTTGCGATCCGTCCATGTTAAATCTTCTCGATCGATATGGCGCTGATCCACTCATATTGAATTGCCAACATCAATCAGCACTGCATATTGCTTGTGCATCAAACCGTCTAACAACTGTTCAAGAACTCTTGTTGTTAACAAAAGAATCTCTACTCGAAATAAAAGATAATCATGGTCATACTGCATTATCTGTAACAACAGATCTGGAAATTGTCCGTCAGTTAATCAACCATGGTGCTAATATATCCAGTCTTAATGATAATCACATGAATGTATTGATGATTGCCGTCAGTAAAGATCAACTGGACATTGTTGACTACTTATTATCGAATATTCATGATGAATCGCATGAAATATTCCATCAAGTGACTCTTGACAATCAGCGATCAATATTTCTACTAGCTGTACAAACAGGATCAATAAGAATGTGTTCATTATTACTAGCTCATCCATTTATTCGTTGGGATACAATTGACAAACAACGTATGAATGCATTTCATCTGGCTGCCCAATTCAATCACTACGAATTCATCGGATATTTCAGCAAACAAATTCAAAATCCGAACAAATTAAGAGCCTTACGAAGTCGTACTATTTCAATGCTAAGAACACCAATCGATTCCGACTTAACCAATCCAATGCAACCGTCACCAGTTTTACGTACTTATATCGATGCTCACAACGAAGATGGAAAAACTCCGTTGCATCTAGCTGCCGAATATGGTCATGCATTATGTGTGGATGCACTTTTAAAGAACGGTGCTGATCCATTGTTTCCCAGCTATCTTGGCCAATTACCGCTTCATAGTGCTATACAGAATGGTTTTGGTCAATGCGTCAGTTTATTACTAGATGCATGTGTAAGAAACAAGGCGAATTTTCAATCCGCTCTGGCTCGGAGACAATCTCCATTGATTACAGCGTGTCAAGAAGGTTTTGCTCCTATCGTTCGTTTGCTTCTTGAACAAGAAATTGAAATCATTTACGATAGTGACAAAGAGAAAAAGAATCCGTTAGAAGTGGCTATTGAATATCGACAAATCGAAACCATTCACGCACTTCTAGATCATCCATCTGCTGAACAATGGCTTATGTCAGTCAGAAATACCAAAGGTCATTCTCACCAAACGCCATTGAGAGATATGATCCGCTATATGCCTGAATGTGCAAAACATGCATTCGATAAATTAATTTTAAAAACAGATGAAGTTGATGCGAATGGTAACACATTCGAAAGAATAACGTTCGTTTATAAATACATTGATGATTATTTTAAGTAAGTTTGATTCGCTGTAATGTTTTCTCAATATTGCATTTGTCTGTATAGAAACGACGATGAATTATATACAACAAATGGTCATTTACTTTATCGCAATCATCCATTTATAATCGCTCTTGATACTGAACATCATTCTTTACTTGAACATCCATTAGCTGAGCAGCTGATAGCACGCAAATGGAAATTATACCGTCCATTTTTCTATTTAACTCGTACTTTGTCATTATTACTATTGCTTGCTGTGACATTCTATGTTCTCGTTGTTCCAGCACGCTATGCAAACCCGAAAGAAACTCGAATTTTAACGCTGAACACATCCGCGATTTTACTCCTGCAAAGGATTATTGTTATTTTAGGATTAATGAACTTATTCAAAATCATCATGGAGATTATACTTTTCCGTGGTCTGCGTGTTCCATTTGCGCAAATATTTAGTATTCTATCGTTTTTAACCGCAGCGATCGCGTTCATTCCCTACGATAATCGTATCGAAATGTTTCATTGGCAGATGGAATTAGCTGCAGTTTCAGTCCTGTTGCAATGGTTCAATATGGTGTTCATACTACGCTCTGTACCATTTGTTGGCTTTCGTATTGTAATGTTTCAATCCGTCTTGGTTAACTTTGTTTCACTAAGTTTTGTTATCTTACCGTTGATTGTCGCATTTACGATCAGCACACAAATGATCTTCTTTAACCATCCGTCATTCGTTCGTCTTCGCGTGTCTTTGCATAAGATCTCGGCGATGTTAATCGGAGAATTCACCTATGAAACGTTGTTTTTTTCTAAACCAACACTGGTTGCAGCAGCATCACTTCTATTTGTACCGTTTATTATAATAATGACAATTGTTTTTATGAATCTTCTCCTAGGTTTAGCTATCGGTGACATACACACTTGTATGACGAATGCTCGTGCAAAAGCCCGTAGGTCTTTGCGAGAAAATACATTTCCGATCACGTTTGATTATTACATATTTTAGATGCCTATCGAATACGCGAACTTGTGTACATCGAATCGACCTTGCCGAGTATCGCATGGTTAAAGTTGAATATCGTACAAGAGGAATATGCTGATACTGCTGTGAAGAACACAACATCGAAAACTGATAGAGAGGAAAGTGATGCTGAATATGAAAATTATACTCAATTGTCGTCGAACCAACTAAATCCTGTTGAACTTAATAAACTACTTGAAGTATTGATTATGCTTTGTGCACAGGCGAAGCAAACTCTGGAACAAGAAGTTGGCTATGAAAGACTGTTGAAACGGCTCTTGACGATTGCAAAAGTTCAATCTTCGAATGAATGAGAGCCACTTGTTTTATGTGAAATAAAAGATCAGAAACTATGTAAAAGAAAGCTTACAGATTTTGAATGATATTTTCTTCATGGATGCTTTTCAGACATAGAATAACATCAGCAAGCTTTGTTTTTCTAGTGATGCTATATCTACAAAAGCAATTATCTCCTGCCAATAGTATCTCTAAAGAACAAAGCTGACTTCAGCGTGGTTTAAGTGACAATTATTACATGTATGTAAGTAGCTATCTTTCAGATCAAAATAGAATTGCTGATCTGCTTTTTAGACTACAAATATTGTGAGCATCGTTGAGAAAAGGACAGTTCAATTTAGAATCTGTATGAATTCTTGCTATTTGCATCGAATTGTCTACCTTTTTCAATAACATAGCGTAGAATAGTTTTCTATGACCTTGACAGCAACTGTCATGCCAGTAGTTTTCTTTCACAAATGTCTTCAAGTGAAGGACCATTTGTGCTCAAATCAGCCATTTCAAATCAACGACAGTTAAGATTTACCACTCTAGACATCGAGCAAAAACATGTTCGACACAACTTAAAACTTATAACGTATATATGACCTCTCGATGTTTTCATGCGCATTACAGTCCATTGATTCTCGAGAGCATCGCTTCGTATATTCCTCGCAATGATGAATGAATTCAACTGATATTTAACTCAGAAGAAAAAGAAACATAATACTGGAGAGTAGACACGATATTCACATCAGTTTTAAAGCAGGAGTTCGTCGAAAAGTTTGTCTTATAGTAAAAACGAGATCGTTTGTTTTATGAGTGATGTACGTCCGCGGTAGTATAGTGGTTAGTATCCCCGCCTGTCACGCGGGAAACCGGGGTTCGATTCCCCGCCGCGGAGTATTTCTTTTTTTTATTCCTTTCGTTCTGCGGCTCTACAAAGAAGTCGACTACACGTAATCGTGCACAACGAAGAATCACTGTGAAACCATGTCAGAGTCAAGTTAATCAAAACTGACTATTGATGGCATGGATATGGAGAGTAATGTGATAGTATAAGTATTTCAGTCATGTCTGCTTATCATTCTATCGCAGACAATTAGAAATATGCTTACGATCATAGTACGCATCGAGAACATTGTTATTTTTTAGTGTCATTGACGTAATTAGTAACAACTGGTGTAAGTATCTTAGGAGAATACGTCTAACCCGCTATTTACAAAACATTCGAGGATAGATTTAATGAATCCGAAGCATGTATTAAAGGAAACGAGAGGAGTAATTAGATACGAAGAGAAAACATTGACAAAATGTTGTTCATATTTATCTGTACTTATTTGAAGGACAGATAAATAACTTCGTTTCATACAAGATTATCTCCCGACCTCACATCACTTTTAAATCTCGAAATCCGTACTTAACCGTACAATGGATCACGAGGCAATATCCCAATTGTAGTAGACTAATTCAAAATGAATAAACAGCCAATACATCGATCTCATTCGTTAATTCGTTTTTAATTTCACTCGATGTCGTCTAGCCTGTAGGAGACCTTCTAACGTAATATTATCATTGAGATCTGACACTTTCTTCGCCATCGACAAGCTTCCTATGATTCTATCGATCGTTCACTCTTTTCTGAGCAAAGAACCTCTTCGATATTATTCTGTTATGTTTTAAAAACCACATATCTTACTATATGTTCCAGCTAATTCCAAGGATGTTTTGAATTTCGATTCAACGTAAAAGAACCCGACACAACATTCTGTTATTGTAGATATTCATTGAGATTAAAAGTGTAATCTCCGTGTTATTTGTAATTTGTTATTATTCAGTTTTTGAAAACTGTCTCTCTTTCGTCTCACGTCTGCTCTACGCATGTAAAAGTTCGCCATACAAAATGTAAGAAACTACGATCGAAATGAAGGACGTATACCTTTATACAGGTGATGAGTAACGAAGATTGATTACAGCTACCAAATTATACGCATAGCTATTCAATAGTTAATGTATAGTGGTTATTTATTTGTTTTCCTTTTTCTCTCTTCTATTGACAATTTCGGTATATTGACATACTAAGTTGGACCTTCGTTTTTCTCTCCATTTTTCTCGACTTTTTGAATGTGTAGGGTTGAGTAGACGTTGACTGTCTTCTTTCTTTTTGCACCTTTGCTGGAATTCTTGACTTCTGCTATGTATATCTTCCAGGCCAATCGACAACCGTATAACATCGCATATTTGTCTCCGAAAAAAATGGGCGTAGACCACTACTATTATCCGAAGAAACGCGCAAATTCTTCAACAAACTGTCTACGCCACATAACCATACCAGCAACATCGAGTTTTCTGTATAACAAAAGTGATTTCATCTGGCAGAATCCAACCGAATTGAATCTACTCGATGTGAAGAAAGCGCCACTAATGAACAACATCGATGAGCATTGCTTCATGCGACTTCTACCATGTGTCCGTCGTCTATACACAATATTCAATTCCGTATGTCCCAACATCTATCGTGTTCGCTGTACAGATTCCTATCGGGTTTTACAAGAAATGATTTGTTTAATTGAAGAGTATTTACACTTACGTTCAATCTCCATCAATGATATACTCCTCAATGAAGATTATTTTCATAGTTTGATCAACAAAGTGCGTCTATCAACGTATCGTTTGCCTGCAAATACACACCGATTGGCAAGTAGACCAGAAATCCACTGTTTCGGTCAGGGTATTCACACCAACGACGAACGTAATCAGCTTTATCAAACATTATTATTCTGTTTCGAACTGAGAACTTCGATTAAACACCATCTGCTATCGCCAATCGAAGTCTTGATTCTCGATCCGAATAAGAACATGGTCAGAAATAATACGAAATATATCAATTCGTATCAACATGGTTATATCAAGTTATTCTCGTGTAGTTACAAACCGATAACACAAGCTGGCTTCTATACTATATCGTTCTATTCAAATTCTATCGAAGTAACAAATGACCCATTGACAGTTCTCATAAAAAGTTCTGATGAGAAAAAGGAACAATTATTATCAGCAGCAGACATGGAAAAGATAAATGAACAAGGTAAAAATAATTATTTCTTGTCAAGGATTTTCTTCTATATCTGATCAACGTTGCTGATAACAATCTTCTCTTTTGAGTATAGTTTTTCTCATTCGTATGAGAATAACATCCGTATACCTATCGAGTCAATTCACCATGAGTCATGCCATTAATTGAAACAAAACATTTCAGTTAACTACCATCATATTTTCGAATTAACATTTCGATGTTCGACGTGTTCGATGCATTTATAATCCGAATGACTGAAGAATTGATCTCTATTATTCACCGATGAATTCCATGGAATGTTGTAGTAAGAGTTCGAATGAAGTTAAACGAAGAATTTTGTCGGATGAACAAAACTATGACTATTCTGTTGATTTAGATGTTCCTTCGTATGAATTGGAAGGCGAGGGATGTTCAACAAAGATTATTGTCAATTCAATCGTACGTTTTCGCTTACGAATTACTTCTTCGACGAACGTACACACAGTTGACTCGTTCGCTCTCTCGATTCTCGATCCATTCGGTCATGCGATTGTTGTCAAACGTCGTGTACTTTCCTCGGACCTTCTGGAATTAACTTATCAACCAATGTCAGTCGGTGCACATGAATTATCTATCGTATTTAATAACAAATTGCAACGTCAAATCACGATTGATGTTAAAAATGATGAAATGAACTCTTCGTCGAAATTGAAACCATTCGGACCTGGTCTCAAACGTGCTATTGTTGGTTGTCCAACGGAATTTTACGTTGATCTTCATCAACAATCATTGGCAAACGGCATGATCAATCAAAATCATCTTCAATTTTCTCTCGAACCATCATATCACGCAGAAATCGATTACGAACAAGAAATGGCAACATTGCGTTATACTCCCCTGAAAGAAGGCGATTGTCCAATACATATACTTCAATACAATAAAGATATTACCAATTCACCATATATGGCTTATGTCAAACAAGAGTGTTTAGCAGAAGGTAAACCTCGTGTACAAGTCATCGGTTTACCCGATGAGATTATTATTCATCGTTTGATTGAATTTCGTGTAAGATTGAAAGTTTCATTGATCTTCTCTCCACTCTTATCTTTTTTTTTCTTCGAAAGGTACTCGTTGAGAATCCATTTCCTGATCCAATGCACAGTCTACATGTTGAAATCCTCACTCCAGATGACGAATCGCCGTCAGTTTCTATCCGTCGTCAACAGGATTTCTCTTACGAATGTTCATTTATTCCCGCTACATTAGGACGACATCTGATTTCGATTGATTATGCTGGTATCGTGCCCGAGAAAAATCCCATCTATTGTCAAGCTATTCAAGAAAAAGATATTCAACTAACTGGTCCAGCCATGCATAATCAATGTTTAACATTGAATGAGCCAACGCACTTTTATTTCAAACTCAATGATTTTCTCCCCAAACCATCGAATGCACTTCCGATAACATATGAAAGTGGATATAATTCATATGATGATACATCACTGCCTGAGCCAACCCAAGAAGAAGAACAAGACAACGACGACGACCAGAATTATCGCATTACTATCACAGATGCACAGGGAAATGTCAAACCAAATATTTCGATCAATGAAAACCTCAACAATGACGTGCGAGTTGACTTTACTCCAAATGAACAAATTTTGTTTATTAATATTTCTTGTACTTGGTAATGTTTTTGTTTTCTATGAAATAAAATGGTTTTTCTAAAATAAATTCATCGACTGATCGTTCAGAATAAGTTCATTAGACGAGAGAAAGAGAAATGAATTTATGTCTGACGCGATACGTTAATTAATCAAAGAATAAGAGAACATAATCTTGTTCTTTTCTCTACCTGAGACACTCAGCTCATATCAGAAACAATTACATCAATTAACTTTCCTTGATCACATCGAGAGAGATTATTATTGGTTTGCATTATTGATTGCAAGCAATTTATTCTCGATTCTAATTACTAATGTGATATTTATTCCCAACTTACATTCTATCGTTCATCATTCAACTGTCCTTTGCACGATTTCAATAAACATTTTTCTATTACATAAATCATGAAGTAAGTAGTTGTTTGTTCTTTCCGAACGAATCTATAAGTGACTTTTCTTCTCGTAGTTTTCTTGCCTTCGAACCACAATCAACATCAACACCAAAAAAACTCGACACGAGTTATCGTATGTTGCCCAACTCATGTTCAACTCCTCGCTCATCCCATGTTCGATATTCTCTATCAAAATGTGCACCACTACCAATCAATTGTTCGACACCCAACACAAAAAAACACCAAAAATCTTTCACACCAGATATTCATCGTTTGATCTATCCAACAACAAGTTCGAACCAAATCTGGATTTTATAAACCTCGTCGTCTTTTTAACAATCTTTACGTTTCGTTTTAAATAAATTATTTGTTTGAAAAAAGGAACTCGTTTTCAATCACCGGTTACATATCATGCGCTGATAATATCAGTTTGATCGCTTAATGATGGGCGTGTAGGAGGACTAAGGAAAAAAGGGACTGATGATAATTGCACTTGAAATTGGTTTCTTACAATTAAATATAATTGAATAAATATGTTATTCGTCAGAGAATGATGTTAAACGGGTCATATACAATCATTGGTGTAGTTTGATAGAACGAGCGGTTGGGAAAAATGATTCATTCTTAAACCTAGTGGATCGAATCGTTTAAGATATAACTAGATACTTGTTTATTACATATGCCGATTAGCTGGTTTACTTGGAGTAATCATGATTATTTCGGTACGATGGTCGAAAACGGATCTCTTTCGTATCCTGAGATGAGTAGGGACAGTAAACTGATGACTTATGAATTACAACGAAGTGTTAGATGGTATGGGTTTATGTGATTAATGTCTGATCGTATATTTGATATAAATAGTACTATACAACACAAGAAGACTTGTTCAATTTTTCTGTAGGCGTCGTGGACGAGGTCGTGAGTGTGCTGCAGGACGAGTTGCTTTCATCTGATGTACCAAAGAGAGTAGATTTTGTATATACTGTCGTTTGTAATTGAGACGATTGATTTCTCTATTGACCAGAAGTTCTGTGGAATTGATTTGTTCGAGTTCCAGTAGTTTGTCTGCGATTATGCGACATTTTTCCGATGTTAATATTTGTCTCAATCTTTTCACACTGGGTGTAGCTGGTAGTGGAATGTGAGGAGGAGAAGGAGCAGCAGCAGCAGTTGTTGTCGATGGTTGAGAATCATTGTTTACATTTGTATTGATTGTAGACATGGTCGGCCGTTGAATGAGAAGATGTCGGGTTGTAGTGACATAAAAATGGAAGATGCATCCAATTTATAGTTGTCGTCGCCTACGAGAAAAATATAAAGTAGAGTAGACGAAAAAGAAAACGATGATTTGTGCACTCGTGTGTATCGTTTAGGAAAGAGAACGATCGTTTACTAGGCAGCTAGACTACGTTGTAGCAGGAACTAATAGTATCGATTGACGTATATGGAGAAGTGAATAGAAAGAAAAGAAAATAGGTTGTGGAGACGCATCAACGATTGTCGCATATCAGTTATGCAGAATGACAAGTTCACATTTATGATTAGTCCAGTAACATGTGAGAAACACCCGACAGTATGAAATTTAAAACACATAGAATGAAAAATATGTGAACATTAGTGCAAATGACACTATTCGTTAATGCGATATATCGAGGATATAGAAGTCTGGTATGAGTAAGTACGTTGTCGATCAAATGATCTTTGTTTTGCAGCGTTGTTGTCATGCGTTGAGAAACTAGATACATCGTAGGATTTTTCGTGCCTTGATTGGTTTTGAAAATTTTTAATCCTTAGTTAAAATGAAGGTGAAATTATCTATCTGGATAGTTCTATGATTAGCTAAACGTGTTTTTTTTAAGTGTCTATCAGTAAATAGACGATTATGTATAGGCTCATACACCATAGAAATATTTCGATATGACTCGAAGGAGACATTATCTATCATACTCGATGACCTCAGAGATAGATGTACGCAGAGGGCCAAAGAAATCCATGTAAATAATCATTTCTTTCTATCCCGCTTAATTTCTACAAAAATATTTCAATTTTCTTCGTTTGTTCGATGTTTATATTGAATATTCAGGTTGTTCATATATTTTTCTGCTCAATTCATTTTTCTCAGTTCTTGTGTGAAAAATCCGAAATCAAATTCGATTTATACAATGTCCCAACAGTGCTTCGCTACGCGAAAGAAGGACGCTTATATCATTTCGGTACTTTTCCCAGTGATGATAAATTCTATGCTTCGATAGGCTCAACAAAGAAGGCTACAAGTGATCTATCTCTCTTACCTGTCGATCAACGTTTCATTATCAAATTAGATAAACTTGAAGTCTTATGTGAAGATTCTCCGACCATTAAATCCACAGGTGAAATCTTCTATTTTTCATCGAAATGTTCGACTGAATTATGCAGAAGACATCAACCTTCAACAGCGACAATCTTCTCCGAATCAGTTAACAGAGAAACAACTATGAGCCAAATTAATCTCGTTATCACTTCGGATAGTGCGGTCACACAACTCGTCCTTAGTCACTTTTCCAATGAGGAAGATCTCGTAAGATGCATTACCTTCTTCATCATGAAAGAGTATGGCTTTACTGTCTTTGAGAAAAAAAATGTCTCGTTGAGAACCGGGGAAATACGAACACATCAGATCATCTTTAAAAACAAAGACAACGTTCATTTCGATATGATGTGTGAGTACGTAACGTCAAGGAGATTTGATTAATATGTATTTATGCATGTTTTGGTATTCATATTTGCTTAACCTCACTGCGAAGAAAGGTGTTTGTCAAGAATACGTTTGGTGCTCTAGCAGTGAGGAGAAGAAGCAGCAGCCGTGGTCATGGATTTGTTGTAGGTTATCGCGATTGAAGATGAGTGTCGAAATTGAAAGGAATTGTTTCAGATTATTATCCATGGAACACGGAAGCTCCTTACGATCGAAAATTGATTTATCAAATGGTGAGAGGAATAGAAAATAGAAAATCAGATGGATTTTCCGATTTCCTTTCTGGAACAGGCTGAGGAATATCGCAAAACAAATCTGGACAAGAAACCGATTTTGTATGTTGTTACTTTTGCCGTCAAATTTCAATTGAATTCTGTGCAAACTCAACTAGGTTACGAGAATTCGATCTAGGTGCCGACAATAATTCATCGTTGAATAAAACCGACAACACAGATGCATCTAAATCGACGTTATTTGTCGTGATCGCACCGATTGTCATTGGTGGAATGTATTATTTCTATAAAAAATCATCGAAAGATGAAATCAAGAAGAGAAATAGTCGATTATCGGAAGACAGTCAAGATTCGCGTGAATCAATTGACGATGTTCTCTTCGATTGATTGACCAGCATCGTCGATGTGTTTACTTCATACTCGAATATTCTCTCTTTCCCTTTAATTTACCAAAAAGAAAATGAAAAGCATGAAAAAAGGGCATATGGGGCTTGTTCGTACTTATTTTTCCTCCTGTTTACAAGAGAGAGAAAAAAAACAATTATTATTTCGATTCTTGCAAAACATACGTGTGTATATATACGGACGTTCGAGAGAAAGACCATATTAGCATTTTGAAAGATGAATACGTGTGCAGCGTTTGACAATGATCCATTTTTTTCCGATGTAACTCAATTGCCTGAGTTCTCACTCACTCCACGCGCGAAAAATGATAATCGTAATCAAAAACCGGGTCAAAATCCACCGAATAACAGCAATCAAAATTTAGATTTGTTCGGAGATACCTTTGCATTTATGGAAAGTCTTATGAATACGGTGGGACAAAACATGAATCAGATACAAGCAGCAATGGCGAATAAAAATCTAGTTAAACCGCAGGGTCAGCAGGTTTCATTCTCGACATCGGCAGTGACCAGGACGAAGAAGGAAAATGGCGGCAAGCCAAGGGTGATCCAAGCAACATGCGACCAATTTCGTGGACCTGACGGTAAAAATCATTGATTCGAGAAGACAGTTTTGTTGAAATTTCATTTTGGTTCCAGGTCTTGAGCGCACACGAAAAGCTGTTCGTGATACAGGGCGTGGTATTGAGAAAGCCGAAATATCTCATCGACTTGGTCAACGCGGTCATAAGATAACAAAAGAACGTGATCCGAAGAGTGGAAAACTACTTGAGAATCGTGAAGTTGAACACGTAGATGACGAAAATCAATTTGAACGTGAATGGTTGAGTCGAGCTGAGCAAACAGGCTTAAAAACCATTCGTGAAAACGGTTTTAATTCTCATGCTGATAAGTTTTTAACCAGACCACCTGTCATTGAATCACCTCCGCCACAATGCTCACAAACAATTCGTGCGTCTACTGAATCCACGCCGGCACCAAGGAAAACTAGTTCACCTCGCAAACCATCTCAATTCAAAGAACCTAAAAAGAAATGAACATTTTGCTTTTCATTTTATCAAAATCTATCTATAAAGCCCGATTATCATTTTCTTCTCTAAAAATTCTCATTGACATCAAAAGTAAACTGTTTTCAATGCATACATCGTCATCGATATACCGGTGCGATTTCTTGCGTCAACCTCATATGACACATATGTGCATGTTGTTTTTGTTACATAATGAAAACAAACTACCGTTAAATTAGAATAACCATGACATCGTGCACCATGAAAAGAAACGAGCCTGATGCTAATTCTGACAGTTGTGCGTAAATAATCACTGGAAACAGTGGTAGGTGGTTTTCCTGTTATGTATCCGAGTGGAAATCACTGTTGTCAATGTTAATCATAAAGCACAAATCTTACAATTACTTATATGTTATGTCCGAGCACTCGAAGAAAAACAACTTTACAGCTATTTCACTCCGGTGCCTTTTACGTAGTTGAATAGAGTAGAGTGATTCCTTCGGCAACATATCAATTAAATATTAAAAAAACGAACACTCAGAATTTAAAGAGAAAAACCAATCCTCGTTGTACAATACTAATTTGTGAAGCGAATGCAACGATATTTTCAGCCAGAAAGGAGAAAACATCGTACCGTATGGTATTATGATACTTATGTTCAGCGTATTTTGCTTCTGATCAATTCACATGAATAAGTTCTTTGTTTCATATTTCTTTTGTTAACTTATGATTGTTATGGATGACCGATCCAATTAGAATAAGACAACAATCCATATGTATTGATTTCGTATATACGTACACACGGATAAAGTACAATAAGTATTATTCCGAACAATTTATTATCAAGTACACATCCAGACGCTAGCGGATTTAATAAAATCTATAGCTTCTAATGCCTGGTTACTATATTCTAATTCGACAATCATTGATATATTTGTTGATGATGAAACTATAGAACGCTACAGTTCATTACCAGCCAGCGCTGGAGAACGACTGTGGATATACCAAATTTTACTCATCCGAAATCCAATGCCTGAATGCATCATCTCAGCAGCTATTGATCAGCAACTACAGGCAGAATGATGTAGTAACATGCGCCTATCAATCACAATCCACCTGTTTCTCTCTCTGAGCGTACATGCGACCGTCAAGATATTATTGGCATTCTTCTGAAATCAATTATCATTAGATTCAAGATATCGAACTGTATGAAATATGTTTTTGTCTAAATGCGCCCATCGTTTAATTGTAAATTGATCGAATTTATGGTTTATACAACAACATTGATACTATACTAAACAATCCAATTATTGATAGCTTCGGTATCGTCAACAAAGAGATTAGTTATCACCACTCGAATGAATTTGTTATCCAAACTTTAAATAATATCACGATTTTCATATATAATCAGTTTCTGTCGACGACTTGCTTTGTATTGTATAATGACGTGATTATGTTTCTGAAGTGTCCCTCTCATTCAACTTCTCATCGAAACCAATAATAACCTGTTTTGATCGTCTACAAGAGAGCACACTGGTTCACGCTCTTATTCATACAACTTTCTACTCTTGATCTCACCGAACTCGAAAAATCAGCCATTGTAATGAAAAGATAAGGTATGGGTCATATCTCTGTTTATTCAGATCTGATTTCATCCGTAAGGTCGTGAATAATATCCGATTACGAAATATGAACGAAGCAAGGAACGATTCCTGTTAATAAGACATGTATCAGACTAGATCGTTTACTGATTCGTGTTCATATTCTCAGTGCAACAGATAAAGCTAACAAACAAGTGAAAGAATTCGTTGGATTGTTACAACGACTAAAGAATAAAATATTAGCACTACTGGAACATAAAACAATCAAAGGACTTTTTTTTATATGGATTTAAATGTGATTATACTGTACGGACTGGAGGAACGGGCGGTTTGGTAGCAGATGGCGGAACTTGGTATTGCTTCATAGGTTGCGGTGTGCCATACCTTGAAATATACACAAAATGATATGAAAAATTCATGAGACCGAAACAGACATATTTTATTTACTTATAGTTAATAAATCTGGCTAATTGCATTAATTGCGCGCATTCGTTAGCGAAATGACAAGCAAACAAAAGTCGATTCTTTGGTTTAACTTGAAGAGCAAAACGCATGAATAGCATTGAATAAAAACATAAGGCTAGTCGGAGAAAAATTCCAAGACATCAAATGAAGAACCCGAGAAGTTCATATTTACCAACGGTCATCTTCGGACTAATGATTTCCGGATCTTTTTTCAAATCGGCGATAGCTGCTAATGGCAGACCCCAATTGGCAACTAGAAATAAATGTTATCTTTGTCATGAGAAATCTAATTCTAATTACCTGGTCCCCAAAAGTGCTAATGAAATTGACAAAAACGACAAATAAATAAGCTATTTTTTTTCCTCTTAATCACTTTTTCTCGCCTACCGTGCTGAAAGTCGAAAAAAAAAGATGAAATTTGACATCAACAATTGGTGATATTGTTTACCTCATTAAATAATCACGCATTTCCTTGCTTTTCAGCTGAGCTAAACCACGACTTATTAATGATGCCATTATCTACAAGAGGATTTTTTCGAACAAAACAAAATCTGAATCAATCATACGAAATAATCAGACTTGAATTGAATAAATAAAGCACATAGGAAGGAATAGCAATAGGAAATAGGAAAATCAACATTCATTTCGATTTGTCTATTTTCCGACCCAGTTAGTAGACCATATTAACCGTTTCACTAGCGACATCTCGGTAATCATACTGGCACAGATTTTTACTAGGAAACTGGAGATTGATAAGGTGTGATTTAGTCAGAAGGAGTTGTGCTTTTCATCATCGGGTACTCGTTATTTTTTGCTCGTCAAGTTTTTCCGCACACTTGAGTGTGTAATCGTTCATCTAATCCTTATTTATTTATCATCTTTCGCGAAGACACTAGTTTTTATTTTACATGGAGTTTTTATATCTCTGAGGTATATACAATCATGTTTTTCTGTTTGGGAGAGAATAATAGGAAAATAATCATAATATGAAGCAAAAGAAACATTCGAATAAGTTAATGAATTGCATGCAACTCATTTCGAAATCCCCTGTGTTTTTAACACATAGAGTTTGCATCTGTTCGTGCATGTATACAAAAGTTTGAGTAGTATTTTCATCAAAACATGACGGAGAGAGAGCACGAGCGAAGGAGGAGAAGGTCAACATTCATCTTGTTGTATATTTATACTCTGCTCAAGATCACTTGCTTTTCTCGTAAAACATTGAACAACATATATTCGTATACGCGCATAGCATACCTTGCATACTAAACAGAAGAGACGATTCGTTCTGTTGTGCGTCTCTCCCTCTCTCTCTCTGCATTCGCAATAACAATAGAGATGAACTACAAGCACTTAGTCGCGCACATACTTCAACTCGTTCTCTTGTTTCGTATGTATGAATCTTAGCCTTAACATAATATTGTTGTCGAAACGACGGCGGTGACGGTATGTAGTTTGTAGATAATGCATTGATTGACCTGAGCCGATTGAGCAGAAGAAGACGAATAAAAACAACAATAATATTGGCCAGGTATTGCTTCTCTCGATTTGTCGATCAGGATTATTACTTTTTTTTTCGTTCTGATTAACTGTCACCATTTTCTTTCGTCTTTTGTTTCTTAGTTTTTCTATATATACAAAACGGAAGCGAAATATAAATAGTACAGACAATAGCCGGTTTAGGAAAACAAAAACGACCGATAATGTGTTGTTCAGGCGATATTAAAAACAAGAAAAGGGAAAAGAAGAAGAAAATGTTTGACGAGTCATTTAACGCAACCATCTACTTTCGAATGTTGTATTTTATCTGTCGACTCAGGTAATGAGTAGATACATAATACAATTGATGTCTAGGATTGATAGTCGACATTATATATATATATCATGATGGAGATCTCGATGTCGTTTAATTTATATTCATTTTCATCGAGCCGTTTTCTCTCTCTCTTTCTTTCTTTCTTTCATTCATCTGTTCATTCACTTCTATTTTTAGTTGAGTGTCGCAAGTTCAGTAAGCATGGTTATTGTTGTTGTCGTTGTCATTGTCGTTTTCCTATAATCTATTTTATCCAACCATAGAGCGGAAAATAAATTGAAAATACTCATCATCATCTTCGTCATTATCTTTTACTTCTTTTCTTATTTTTCTTCCGAAAATACAGAACCGGATGATGATGATGAAGAACAGGAAAAAAGCAAGAAGTTGGGTAAGAGAAACTTGATCGAAAACAAGAGCAGAAAAAGAAGAAGAAGAAGAACAAGACGAGAGATACAAAACAAGCAGTACGGTTCAGTTGTGCTGAATATAGTCGTCGAGTTTGGTGAGAAAGACGAAGAAGAAGAAAAATCTAACGTGACTTGATAGAAAAATAGAAAAATTCTCTTCCGTGTTTTTCTCTTTTCTCTCGTTTTTTTTTTGTTGTCAGCATAACAAAAGTCCGCATTGCACTATTATTTTTCCTCGTTCTCCGACAAAAACAAGAGTAAAGACATCTTTACCACGTCCGTTCGTTCTCCGTAATTGAATGAACGGCATATGCAGTGTTACTGCTAGTGATGATGACGATGATGGTGCCTGTGTCTTCTAAATATTCTTCTTTTTCATCGTCTTTTCAGTTATATGACACGATGATAAAAAAATATTTGTGCGCACTATTGTTGTCAACGGGAGCACGAGTATGATGTTTCATATATTAACATTTATCATAGATTAGATGGTGATTTGTTTTCTTCTTTAAAGTATTGTATAGCGGATCAGAAACGTGAATATCTGATCGTTGAGATAAGATCTTGGATTTATTTTTTGCAAATTTCTCACAGCAGATCTCATTTTTAGATCGTTCGATTCGCATTTTCCTTATCAGCTATTGACGCACTATGGACACAGGCGGTGGTGATAAATCCAATGCCGATAATGATCTTTACTTACCGCAGACCGATTCCTTTTGGGAAGTACGTACTTGTTATGCAAAACGCGATTTGATTGTTTCCTCTCTCTCTTCCCTAGATCGGCAAATACAATCGAGCGGTGAAACGTTGCGATGATGGAAATAAACTAACCACTGACCTCATCGGTATGATTAACGAGCGTGCTGAGCTGGAGAAAACCTTTTCGAAAATGTTGAAAAGCTGGTCAAAGAAATGGTCGGATTATGTAGCGAAATGTACGTAAAAACTTATTGTTTCTCTTGCTAACCTAATACTTAATTGATCTCGTTTTCGTGTCGTTGTTTCTAGCTCCTGAATTCGGCTCAATGGCATCAGCTTGGAAAGCAATCATGGGCGAGGCTGATGCATCAGCTGAAGTTCATCAAACAGTTAATGATGAACTGCAAAACGATATCATTCCCACTATAAAATCATGGCAGAAAACGAAATACGTTAAGTCAATGATGCACATCAAGCCTACCAAAGATCTCGACGACGAGTTCAAACGAGTACATGACTTTACCGTGTTCTTGTTCAATTGATTGAAGTGTATTACTTCTAGGCGCAAAAACCATGGGCAAAATTATACGTTAAAGTGGATAAATATAAACGTGATTACCATACAGCAACGAAGAATCTGAAAATGGCTGAATCACAAGAAAATAACTGTAAACTTGATGGATCTGTTCCCCAAGATCAAGTAAATTGAGAGACATATTTGTTCTCATATCGAATTTCTTTTCTCTAGCGTGCTAAATTCTCAGAAAAAGTCGAGCGATGTCGTAAAGAAAAAGAAGTGGCCAAAGGTAAATATGCCGAAGCTTTACAAGAAATTAATCGAGCAAATCCTAAATATATGGACGATATGAATGAAGTATGGACTGGAGTTTGAAGGAATCATTGCATTGAATTCGAATCGATTGGTTTTTAGGTCTTTTCCCGGTGTCAAACCTTTGAAAAAGATCGTCTTGTTAAATTCCGCGAATTCTTTGCTGCTACGGAAAAATGTCTTGACCTCAGTCATCGTTTACAGTAAGTAAAAAGTCACTGACGTATGATTTTGAAAAGCAAAGCGTGTATTTCTCCGGAAAACTGTTTTCTATATTGATTTCCACTGAGTCGAAAAAAATCTCGTATTTCCTGGAATATTTAGATCGTCGAACTTTCAACAATTCTCTCAGACTATTAAAAATTGTGATGCAGACAGAGATCTTTCCTGGTGGTCGGACACGTACGGCGCTGGCATGAAAATGAATTGGCCAACTTTTGAGGTATTGCTTCTTGTTCTGCCTTTTCTTTCCAATCAGATAATCATCTTTGTCAATCATATCAATAATTCTTCTCGGCTTCTTCTTTTCCTTTTCTTTGGCATCAATCGAAAAACAAATATCTTGCTTCTATGTTACATTGATCACCCTTCCCACTCCTTAGGAACCAACAAATCTAGATCATCATCAACAACAAAGCCATTTCTCTTATTGTGCTAACGATTTATCGTTGGGTTATGATACATATCATCGTCGACAATTAGCACATTTTGTTAGTCAAACAAGTGCGGCAGTTGCGTATGATACACGAATATTGGTGGTCGATTCCTATGCAACACTTCGTCGATCGATGCGACGAACTGCTGCTGTCGTGACACGCGTTCGCCGAGATCTCATCAAGCGTGAAGTAGTCTATCACATCTCTATCATTAGACTTCAACTATTAGTTCTAAAAATAAACAGCAAACTCATCTGTATTGGTTTCTTTGTCTACTTCTTGCTGCACATTTACTGACAACTTTGTTCGTTCTCGCTCGCTCTTTGGTATCTGTTACATGCATATATATTCTCTATAATTTTTACTATATTAGTTTACCTCTATGTTTCTTCTGGCTCCTATCTAGCTAACTAATACTGACGTTTATAAACGTTATCATGTATACCGATAAGACATTCGAATTTTTTGTTTTAGGAATACACGGATGCACAACGCACACTATCCCGCCGTGCTAAAGGTGAACAAGAAAAAGAAAATCCTGTTGTTGTTACAGCTATTCGATCAAATCACAACAGTCAAGCAAACATGGCACCTGTTGATAATCGGTTATCAACAAAGTAAGAAAACGAGTTTTTATATGCCATATTGACTAGAAGACAATGAATCGACATATCGTCACTAAGTACGATCTCACGAGTTTTTCTTTCTTATCTGCCAGTAATGCGGCATTCAATGAAGAGACTGATTCAACACCAGCTTCGCCCTACATGGGATATCATCAACCAGCATCGGCTCCCGCAGATGCGTCACCCGGTTGGGCAACTAACTCTTGGGCGAATGAGTAGGTTTTCCTATCGATATTGTACGTTTATCGTCTCGTCTCGTCGTGTTTATTTGTTATGTCTACTGACAAGTCTTTCACCCGTTCAGAGCGAAACAAAGAACAATTCTTCAATGAGTGTAATAATAATTAATGAAGTCAGCGAAGAAAAGGAAAATAGTCGAACGCGAGTGTGTAACCCCACTGATCTTCTTCCCGATGTTTTTGCGTTCTTTTTACATGTCAGTAAACATCAACAATGATATCTTTTCTATTTTCCTAATCAAATTGATGTCGAATCAATAGAATTCATGTCTTATTAAACAGTAATGGAAATATGCTTATCCATCCATTCAAGCTAAGCTTCTATTCTTTCTACTGCAATCTGAAAACTAATTTATTTCGTGATCACAACTGTTGTATTGATGTGCATGTGTTGATTTGATTAAGAGTTTTTCTTCGTTTTTTTCTTACACAAATCAATACCGACATGCAAGTATTTTCTTTCTTCGTGTTATTTCAGTTACTCAGCAATGACAAACAATAGTGGAAATTCGTCCTTACCTAGTTATCAAAACAATAATGCCCCACCGTATCAAACTCAATCGTCGTATCCACCTCCGGCAAATCCATTCTATGATGATGATGATGTAAATAATGGCGATTCATCATCGTTGCATCAGATGCCACATCAATCGCCCACATCACCAGGTGTTTCATCATTCGATACAAGTGGAGGTGTACCTGTTCGAGCTTTGTATGATTATGAAGCTCAAGAAAATGATGAATTATCATTTAAACAAGGTATTTCTTATTGGAAACGAAGATTAGTTTTAGTTGAGTTTCTGCTTTTGTTTCAGGTGATATTTTTACCAAAGTAGAAGATGAAGACGATCAAGGCTGGTGTAAGGGTCGTGTGGGCAGTCGAGTAGGACTCTATCCAGCAACATACGTTGAAGCTCTGTAAAAACATCGTATACACCCAAACATATTCGCAAATGATACTTATAAAAATATTCATTCTATCTGTGTTTTTATTTTTTGTTTCTTCTCTGTTGTCGTGTGGATTCGAACTCACTTATACTTGCGCACACCTCGTCCATTCGAACAGTAGTAGTTCCCAAACACGAATACGTTTATACATGAATATATATGTGTACTTCTGAACATATTTACTGTTGTATTCCTTCGTGCGTGCGTGCGTGCGTGTGCCTTGCTTTCATTCCATAAGTGTATTTTCATTTCAGTTCATCTTTTTTCCATCTTACATCGAAAGCTTTTTTCGCTTCATGATCATCCTTTCATTTATTGTTATAACAAGCATTGTATAGATATTCTACCCTGCGTTTATCATCGGCTACTGTATACATAAAATAAGCCTGTAACCTTCAATTGATCACGTTCCTTTCTAAACTTCATGTTATTCTTGTTCGCACGCATCAGTCTATTCAATTTTTTGTTCATTAGTCTATTCCGTTCATATGCACTCCTGTCAGTTTTTTTGCGTATTTGAAAAAAAATTAGCTAAAAAAAATATACATACTTCTGTCGAATTTACTATTGGCTTTTCGCAACCAAAACTATCATTGAAAAGGAGCGCGATAGATGAAGTCTGTTTGTTCCTGCGTCCGTTTTATTATTTAATTCAAGAAAAGCGTTCTGGCCTACGCGTGTATGTTTTGACCTAGTTTATTTTTAGTCTGCAAGCGTTGAATTGCACACTCCAGTGTGGAATAATGAAGTACGAATGACATTTTCGAATATCTTTAGGATTAGACATCCTAGACAGGTTAATAAGCATCTCAGAATTACATTTCTGGTGTAAATTTTAATGAAGATATGATTTTTTAATGAACATATAGTGCATAAATAAGTATTGACATTTCTATATATGTAATTGCATGACAATGCCATGTTTCATTTATTTGCCTGTAATTAACATAAGGAAAGTTTTTGATTATACTTTCAGCATTCACTTTAATTGCTTCTACGTACCAGGATTGCAAGTTTTGGGAGGAAAGATACTCGGTGCTTAGATTCAACGTTAGTTTCGACTAATAGAAATCTGTTCGACAAAACAGAGGTCTGGACGATCTCAATTAGTGTAGAATAAATCTGAACTTTAACTGTCGATCTCCCGCAGCGATGTTCCTGATGATGTATTGAATAGTAATGAAAGCTGATCTTTTGCTTTTTTTTTGAATAGCATCGTGTCTTTAATTCGGAATAATGCTGGCTGCATATTCTCTTTTCGATCATGAGGAAGTTCACTAAGAACTTTCTGTGTCATCCTATAAATCAATAGTTTCTTACGCGTATCGTGTACTATGCTACTAAAAATGATGAATATTATCTGAAGAGATATGTTTCTTAGGCTAATCTCGTATATTTCAACGACTGTCTGCTGAGGATTCGATAATGTTGATGGACGGCTGTCCATTGCGCAGTACATTTGTTATCTGATTTTTTCGAAACACGTTATTTACATGGAGCCGAGAAGCAGATTCTGAATCGACGAATTTGTTGAAATGACGTCGATAGTCGATTAGAAAATAAATGTGATTGAACATTTAACTAGATTAGCAAAAGAAACTATACTATGGTAGTACTGCTTTTGTGAATAGTATGTCTGTGTGCTTATGTTCATCAAATCAGTTAATTCTCGGTTCCAAATGGGCGAGACATCAATGTAGAGATGAGTATAGATCGTCGTGTCTTTTTTGTTACGGGCAGACTTGTGGTGAAGTTGCTGGACATAATCGTTGGCAATCCCGTCGAAAAAAAACGCAAACAAATGAAATCTTCGTATCGATCGATATTCTGGCGACATTTCTGCTATTCAGAATAGTACAACCATTGTGGAAAACTTAAGCGGTGACGAATATATCTCAAGTGACAACAATCATCTTCACATCTCATAACAACTGGATAACATGGTTCCATCTGGTCCTGATCAAAAACAGTGTTCAGGTCAGAGAATCAATTCAAATATACATACTCGGCAGAAATTTCGCTTCTGACAGATTCCATAGGAGTCGTTTTTCAAAGTTGAACAGTGTGAAACTAAACTATTGAGAACAACGATGTGAACGAACATTAGTTCGATCGATTTTGCTGCATACAACAATAAGAATATATAAGAGTGTTCATTGCGATCCTTTATTGATTTATAGTGTAATGAGAAATAACTAGGTCAAAAAAAGGAAAACTGAGAAAAACATCATTTACAAGAGAGAAACTTAATAGAATTGCTAATTCACTCAATAGTAACTTGCATTTGTACATAATTACGATGTGGTCGGTGAGATCCTTCTGTTATATTAACATAAACTAATTGAGAATCGTCTTCGGTGACTTCAGGAGGTTGAACGGGCTTTGTTGCAATAGTATGAAGCATATTCGTGCTTGATAAATATAAATGAGCGCATGTATTTGAAACGGATGTCAAGTCGAGCATTTGATGGATAGAAAATAAGCCATTTCGAGGCAGAGCGATGGGTGAAAGACAAAGAACTTGTCTTAATAATGCGTAAACATCCGTTATTAGCACTGGCTCATTAATATGCCCCTTTTTGAACAGAGGCCCATGCGCAAATAGAGCAGTGCGCATGGATAAATGACGAGGATCGTCGCTGTGGTCTGCTAAGACTAAAAATAACTGACAGTAAGTGAGAGATGGAAGCGGAACAGAGGTTTTACTTGATCCTTGACAATTGGGACTATATTCGTTTGGACAGTAGTCTGCATTCTGTTCATTTTTGTATGAAAAATAGAATTTTTCTCTTGCAAATACGATGATTGGTGATGGTTTGTTGCTGGGTGCTGGCAGACGAAGTCTAGGTGGTAAACGATTTTGATCATTTGTGAAGATTTCAATTTGTTCGTTTGGGAAATTTCGCAATTGACTCAACAAGATCTGTTGTGCGTAATCTGTTTTATCAAACGAAAAAGTTTTCAACGGAAAAGACTCGGTAAATCTCTGACCTGATTTTGGATAAACCACAAAACTAAAACTTGTTCCGCTATATCGATCAGCATAATAATCTAATTGTTCTTTGCTAAAGATATTATGTATGTGAATGGCTTGACGACAATCAATCGATGCAATCCCATGATCGCCAAGAACAATAAAGTTAATCTGATTTTTGGTTGTAAAAGACAAGATCCGTCCAATCAATCGATCGATATTTATCATTGTTCGACGAATACTATTCGAATGGATTCCGTGATGCTTCAACGTCACGAATGGATCATCGACGAAACTCATAATGAGATTCGTTCGATCATTTTCATCGGTTAAACTATTGAAAATCTTTGTTAAATGCTTTGTTAAACGTTGTAACGGCATTCGACCCTGATTCGAATATGATTCGAGAATTTCTGGCTGACTTTTACGTCCTGAACGTAAATGCTCGTAGACAGAGTCACTTGCATCTCGGTCAAACCATGGCCAATGAAGTAAACGTGTATGACCGCCGACGTGTTCATTGGTAACAGGAATTGTTTCGATGAAATCTTGTCGGGCATGGTGTTCAACATGAAGACCTGACATCAGACTAAGAATGTTGGTTTGACTTCCACCGAACTCGGCGTCTACCCACAGTGCTCGTGAGCCCGTTGTCGATAAACGACGAAAATTGGGCAAATGGGAATATGAATACGGCAGATCCCAACGGAAACCTTTTAAGCATAATATGAAAACTAATGGACGACGTTTAACTGTTAATGCTAACGTAGTGATTCCAGAAAAGAGACAAATATAAAAAAGATGCTTAACGAAAGCCATTGATCTCAACAAAATGACGGTTGTCTCAAGCTTTGCCTCATCAAATAGAAGAAATCCTTGCGATTTGATGATGTAATTGAAGAAATAGATTGACTCAATCGCGATGTATATGTATATACAAGAGTTCAAGAGACAACTAACTGTTAGTTGTAATCCGTCTATCAATATGCACTCAATTCTTGTCATCATTGTTCAAGAAAACCTCATGTGTCATGTGCAAGGAGACCGATATCAACACTGGTTACTATCTGATAGAATTACGCAGATGAATAAACACTTCCGTAAAACGTTATTCATTATTGATTAAGTTCGACTTTAAACGATGTTGTTTATTTGACCTTCTGCTATGCTTTTTCGGTCGTATTGAGTAGAATGGATTCTACACATCTATACATTATATTTTTCACCTTGTTTTTCTTCTCTTAAATATGTCATCTGTACAGATTCCCTTCGCATAGACGAATAATCTAATATCAAGACGAAGAAAATATATCGAACCATTATGAAATCTTCATATGCTCTTCGTTCCCATCACCCACCTTATCGAGTCGAACACCATTAAATATCAACTGAAAACTAGCCATTCATATGCCCATTTCTTCTTGCATACTCAATATTTGAAATCATGCGTTCTCTCGTACTCGTTCTCTTCCTCATCGGCAGTGCTCATGGTCTTTTCGGCACCATCACCAACGTCATCAACACTGTTGGTAACACAGTTCAATCCGCAGCCAATCAAATTGGTCAAACTGTTTCAAATTTATGGAACGGTGCAACAAATCAAGTTGGCACAGTCGTCGGTAATGTTGTTGACAGTGCTGGAAATATCTACGGACAACTAGTTAATACAGCTAATGGTGTTCAATTTGCTGCTAATTTCCTCTGGGATAACGTTTTCGGTCCAGCTTACGACTTAATGATCGAAGGTAGGAAAATTGCTTGGAACGAAGACAAACTAATCATTTTTTGGGAATTTGTATCCTAGGCGGTCAATTATTTCTTGACGATAAATTCGGAAACATTGTTAGCACTATTGGTCGTCGGTCCATTGTTGCTGAAAATATTCTTTCAGAAAAGTTCGCTGAATTGACAGCTCGTTTCAAATCAAATATTCATCAATTATTTAACGATTTATTTCAAATGGAAAAGGAAGCTCTTATTGCTTTACAGAAAGGCGAAAAACAATTAGAACAAAGCATCCGAGCATTCTACGCCCGTATGGCCGAAGTCGAAAACCAAATCAAACAATGGGCTGCTGAAACGAAATACGAATTACAAACGCATGCACTTACCGTTCAAGGCGATTGGGTACATATTCTCAATCAATACAGTCAAAACATCGACCTCAGTGCTCAAACACTCACACAAATGTTCCAACGCTTAGCTCAAGATTTAATGAAAAATCTTCTCGAAGTTGCACTCAGTGCCGTGCCTAACGCGTTAGCCATTGTTGATAACTTGAAACAACAAGGCCTTCTTTCATTTTATAATCATTGAATAAAATTAAATATGTATCACCAGTGAACAAAGTCTTTCAGTCGAAGTTCGTCTTGTGTTTCTTTTTCTAATAATTCTACTCAGAATCACTCGAAGGCCGTCTGACATAGATCGAATATCGGCACCACTCTTTCGTCGCTTCTCAACATATGCTTTGGCTTTCTTTAGTATGACATCGCCACTATTAATATTTGATTTGAATAGAAAACCTGTTCCTCTCGCCAACATTCGTTTGTGGGTCGGAATATTAACCGGAAGTTTTTTGGTCATTTATGAAGGAAACAATATCTTCCTAATGATTCGCTCAACAACATATCTTGTCGACAACTATGGACTTAACTATGTATTGAATGATAGAGTGTAGATCTATGATAGGAAATTAAATGATAATGACACTTATTTGAAGCATTTCTCTTCAAAGACCGTTTGAACATCTTATATGTTATCAGTTGAGCAAATACATCATCGTTTGACATAGTTATTATAGTGAACTTATATTAACCATAGTCAATATGTTTTTTGAGAACTTATTCTGTTCGGAGGTAGAAAAGGGCGCTGAATATGTTATGCTCGTGTCATTGTACATCGTGCATATAATTTTATGTACGCTTTGCCAACGCCGTGTTGTTTTACGCGCATGAGGGCAATGCAATTTTCAAGATTATTCTGGTAGTAGGCAGAGACTCAGGTGCTCTTTCTCTCTCTCTCTCATTTTATTTAAGTAAGTTTTTCAAAACCACTTAATTCAATACGATAATAGATGCTTTTAACTTAGTGAAAAATAGAAAAAAGTTCTTCGTTTCTGATGAAACCTCTCTATCTTTAGTCGTCCCATTCAGTTTTTTTTAAGTAGTCGGTACTATTCGATTAACTCATATGACAAGCATGAATTATCCGACAATGCATCGATACATATTCCAGAAACTGATGACCATGTATTTCATAGGCTAAATAGAAAATATTTCTCAGTAGAGAAAAAAAAGCCATCTTCTTATTATAAATAATGGCTCAATTAAAAAGCCATGTCTAAATAAGAAACTCTCGAGGTACATTTCTGTATTTATACTCGTTAGTCGTTTTTTTTCTTCTTATAGGATATACTATGCGCAAATGTCTATTTATTTTCCGTCTTATTTAAACAACTGCTGTTCGTCTTTCACGACCAATTAGTAGTGAAATACTTGTTGTTTCTTGTTAAAAGTGCTTGTTGCTTTTGAAAAGAAATCGAAGATGTTATCGCCAGTAATCGATTTTTTAATGTATATATATATAACATAGTTAAATATTCTAAGTATGCGTGCTTTTTAAGTACTCTGCTTCTTTCAACTTTCCCAAAGTAATAGGAACAGCGAGAGAAATGAACGTTGATAATCGTGAATTATTCACTTGCTACCAGGTCGCCAACAATCGCTCGATCATTGGAGAAGAAAGCATTCGAGATTCTGTTGAAAAAGTAAAGACAGAGAGAGAGAGAAAGAAATAAAAAAACAAATTAATGTGGAAGAGATCAATCAAAGAGGAAAAATGAGAATTTAGTTCGATGGAATAAGAAAAGGAAAATGCGAGCAAAACTGTGCGTGTTCTTCCAATCGTATACACATGCACACGTTTAAACGTTTTCCTACCAGCATCCGGACATTCTTGTTCTTCTCTCTCTCTCTCTATTTAAAGAGGTAGAAATCATTGAAAAACAACGAAAAGAGAATAAAAGGAAAAAAAAACAGAAATGAGAACAATGGGCAAAGAAATCATTATCAGATAGAAACAGAAAATACGACAAAGACAAAGTAATCTTCTAATGAAAAAGAAGAAAAGAAAAGAGAGAAAGAAAGTCTGCTGAAACTGAGCCAATAACTTTCATTTTTCCAATAGCATTCTTCATGACAAGACAACTTTGATGATTTTCTTTACATACTCCAACATTGCTTCCGATATCTCGTTCGACGAACATTACGATTAAATATTCATCACAAGGTATGTTACATTAGTCGAACGTCATCAAAAGCAAACGAATGCTCTGCATAGATGTACTTTTGTTCATTTGTCATGGAATTTAATTATAGGATTCCGTTGAACCTCTTAATTATTGTTAACGGAAAAGAGTTAGACAAGACTAAGTTGATTTGTCTTGATTTAGCTTTTCATTATAGAAAACATGACTTTGCCGCAACAATGATGAATAGAAATTGACAAGTGATTAGTAGTCTTCTATCTCTATTAGTCAAATAGTGTTGACACAGATCAATGATATCACTATCTTCTGCCCTGCCACGTTTGATATTTTTATCCGTAGGATGACAAATCTTTCGTCGATTTTTCTTCTCGAGCTCGTTCTCATACTATTAATGTTATCGAAGGCACGATCAGTATGGAGCCCGTCTTCTCGGCCGTATCTGATGTTTATACTTTGTTCTTGACAAACGTTCGACTCACATTCAAGAGGTTTCAGATTAAGATATAAAATACATATGTGTTATGATGTGTACGCATTGGCTCGAAGCTATTTGACAGACGAAGAAAAAAACTTTTTGAAAGGCTTCTTCTAGGATTACATTTTCTTCTACATACATAATAGATAAACAAAATATCTTGCTCTCCGACAAAATCTAAGGATCCTATTACGTCGATAGATTAAAAGCAACTAGAATCCAGCTACTGTTATATTCTATGCTTGAGTAAATTTTAATGATTTTTCTTCATTCCCAATCACTGCTTTCTACTTTTCCTTTTCTTTTATTTGCCTTCCAGAATCGTATTAGTCAAGAAAAGGAAACACAATGTCAACTGAAAAAAATCTCGTTCTTATTGAAGTATAGGAATAATATATTGATTCAACAAAACATGACAATGTTGGCAACAAGCTTGTTTCTTTTTTTTCTCTTCACTCGCCCACATTTGTCGCTACTTTCAAGCTCATCAACACCATTGACAATGCACCCAGGAAAGCCGTCTGTCTATCTATCTATCAGGTCCCCACCCGTTGCGCCTCGTTGATTGTCTCGTATATATGTTTCTCTTATCTGAGTAATGCATTCTGAAATAATATTTAAATGTGTGCGGATGAATGATCTTCCATTTTGTCATTCTGCGAAGAACAAATGAATTTCTGATGAATTTGAAAAGGGGAAAAGGAAATTTTTAGAGTGATAAAGACCGTCAAATCTACGTGCTTTGTTACATCGGTATTGATAATAGTAATCATAATGATCATCATAATAATGATGATGATGGTACACTAATGCTGCCTTTTTTCCGTTACATTAGTTGAAAATAATTCGTTTCCTTTGATGTATTCTGCACGCTATTACTTATTTCTTCACTTTTCTTTCGATGGTTCATATCTCTCCAAATATGCCAGCAATACTCCAAAATCTTATACAAACGACAAAAGAATTCTAGTAAAGTTCTTGTCCGAGAAGACATAACAAAGAAAAACAAAGAGAATTTGCAAACACCACTTGAACGTGCCCCTTCTTTCCTTTTCTTCTAGCCTCTGCGACAAATATGACTTTCCGATTCTCGCTTTTTCTTCTTCTTCTTCTTCTTCTTCTCCTTCTTCTTCTCTCTTCTAGTCATTGGATCGACAACAGCAGTAACTGATTAAAGGATAGAAATCTCCTTCTCTTCGTTCGATAGGAATAGTTGATTCAACAGAAATCAAAGTTGATCATCAGATAAACCGTAATTTATCCAGTTTCGTTCACCGAAGTACTATCAAACAAAATCATGTTTCGACCATAAGTTCAAAGCAGCACCCCGAAAGTAGTAAGCTAATCATGTCGAGTGGAATGAAGAGACCTTAGAAGCATTAAAAAGGCGACCCTCTTCTTCCACTTGGTCTCGTCGGTCGTCTTATTATTATTTTTTAGCCCCATTCAACACAGGTATGCTGCGAATAGATATATCTATGCTTGTGTAATTGATTATAGCCGACAGAAGGTTGTAGCGACGGAACTGTGTCAGTATCAATTTCTATTTAGTTGATAAAAATCTATGTGCGTGATTTTGCCGAAGAGACATTATTGCGGGTGGAGGAAATTCTATCTAATATACATTCGACTTAATATAATAGAGTGAAACAAAGAGAGAAGAAGACTTTCGTTCGTAATGATATGTAGGACACTAGGCGGAGTGCGAGTTTCTTTGTGTGAAAAAGATTTCGTAGTAATTAGAGATGATTTGGATATCGATTAAATCATTGTTAGATAAAAGATTCGCTTCTTTTCTTATTTTCAACTGGACTTATCTGTGCGCGTTCTTTTCTTTCGCACAGGCAGAAGAAAGCAAAAGAAACATTTTGTTAATTGTAACAAAAGAAGCTTGCGTTTTTCTTTCCCAGATAGTTTTGTCAGATTCGACACTTCAATCACAGAATGAAAACAATAGATTGAATATATAGAAGGGGGAAAAAAAAGCACGACTTTCATATGTATATCAGGTTTATTTCTCGATGTTCGAATCTAGATAAGAGGTTATCGACCTTGAGCTTGCTGTAATTAATCTTGTCGCATGGTGAAAACAGAGTGTCCCATTGCTTTTAATCACAGTCGAGTCAGCCACCGACGAGAAAATATGTTCGAGAATAGCAAATAGAATTGTTTTCTTCTGATTGATTTTGATATGATTAGAGGAAAATATATGGACGTTTGGTTTGATTGGGAATAGAGATCCTCTGACTTCGATGGAATATTGTTGATTTCAGACTCGTCAAAACTGGAAATATTCGTGCGGAAAATAAAAGAAAGAAATCAAAGTATCTAATCCGAAAAACTCGATTCTTTGAAAAGACATTAGTCGTCAGTATAATTTTTCATGTGAAAAATAAGTTTGTTAGCCGTATGTTCTATTAGTTGAATCAGTCAACTAAGCGAATAATGTGCAAAACTGATAAGAACGTCATTGTTGGGTTTACCAATCTAGTTGTAAGCCTAGTTAGTCGCTGTGGAAGAAATAAGAGTCAGAGAGAGAAAGTAAGAATAAGAAAAGCGACGGAACGTTTTGTGTAATAGTTAGAAAAGACGTTAATCGGATTATCATCGATTACGACGACAAGTGTTTAGACGCGAGAGAGGGAGAGAAAGGCAAGTAAGCAACGCGATTCAGTGTATTGCAGACTTATTCTCATGTGTCAAATATGTTCTATGAGTAATTGATTTCAATGAGATATTTATCGTGTTAGTCTATTGATGAGTATGACATGCGTAGAATGTGAGAGTGTACGAGATCAAAATTTATAATGAATGACAAAAGAAACAGCACAAAGATAATCAGTTTATTTATTTGAATTTCGTTTTTCTCACATCATTTTCATATTCCACAGAGTATTTCACATATCTGCGTTGACACACGCATCTTGTTTTGCGTATAGGCAACGTATTATACGAAGATGACGTTGAATCCTCATTAGGATGATTTGCTTCGTCAAATGACAAGTAAAACATAATGAAAACAACGCAATGATATGTTTATTTAAATCTGAATGGGTTTAATTGAGGCAGAAATTTGAACAAGATCGATAATTTTCCACTCAGTTTCAAATTTATTTTCTCGACAAAGAATCAATCAGGACTAGTTTCTCTCCTTCTTTCTCTTCTTCTGTAGTTTCAATTTCTTTTTGGCACTATTGTTGGAGGATTTCCGCTTGAAGGTTGCTATACAAAACGCAAGTAACCGATGAGAGAGAGAGTGAAAAAGAGAGAAAAGAACGGATATATAGATATATATATATATACTTCTCTCTTTTCTCTTACTCTACCTTTTTCCCCTGAGGAAAGTATGGGTATAGAAATCTTCACCAGCTAGGATTGATGCTCATTCTTCTGATGTTAAGTGCATCGAAGGAAAAAAGAAGAAGTTAATCAGCCTTGTCAAAGGCTATATTAGCAGTAGGATGATGAAAAAATGAATATTCAATCATAAAAGAAAACGAGATATTCGACCCAACAACAACGTCAGCTTTTTTCTTTCTCGTTCCTCATTAGTTTTCTACTAAATGATTCTATCTAAAAGCAGAAGATTCCCTGATTACTTTTCTTTTTTCCTTTATTTTAGATAGCAATCATGACTATGTAGGTTATCATAATTATGGCTAATCTTAACACGACAACAATGACTAATCTGAACCTTAAACCCCATATAATCGTTTACGTATGTATCCATTTCGTCATGCCATGTGCAGTGGCGATCGGCATCATTGGCAATCTTCTGTCAATCCTTGTATTTGCGCGTCGTGAAATGATCAAATTTTGTGTATCAATATTTACAATTGTACTTGCACTCAGTGATATTCTCTTGTTAACAACGTCCCTGTTCAACATCATCTTACCAGATTTTCTTGGTGAATCAATGTCAGATATATCCGCATTTTGGTGGTACGTAGATTGACTTGGAATTCATCGCTTTTTTCTCGGATGACAAATGAGACAAGTTTGAATGGAGGAGAATAGGTATAGATTGCATAAAATTGGCAAGTTTACGAATGAGCGGAAGGAAGTAAATCTATATAGATAATTTTTGATTTTCAAATAATAATCAAATCTCTTTTTTATCATTTGGATTAACCTCGTTGATTTACGTTTCCTCTCTTGAATTTTAGTCATTTTCATGGTTATTTCGATCTTCTATTTGCTGCATTAAGTGGTTATTCAGTTGTCTTTATCTCTGTCGAACGTTGGTTTTCAGTTTGGAAACCGTTTGACAAAGCTAAATATGTTACATTTAAAACGACAATTATTACTGTTGTTAGTTATATCACAATATCACTTATTACTTTTTCATGGTTTCCATTAATATTGGAATATAGCCCGGAGAACACAAAGTCTGGTGAACGATGTCAATTGAAACTATTGATAATATATAAAATCTTCGGAACCCTCTCAGTCATCTTTACTTACATCGGTAAATGAAAGAGTCAAGTAGTTTTCTTGTTTTGAATCAACTTGTGTCTCGTTTGATTTAGTTCCATTTATATTTCTCGGTATACTCAATACCTTGATCGTCTACCGTTTACGCGCACGACAACAAACATCTATCCAACGTTCGATGACATCGTCGAGCAGTACAAATGTAGATCCAACCTTAGGTTCAGCATCGACGCGTAAACGCCAGCGGCAAAGGAACACTGATCGAAATATCACGTTTATGTTAATAGCTGTTGCCATCGCGTTCATGGTCATGTCATTTCCATTCCAGTAGGATATTTTTGCAAGAAATAAATTTTTTACGACTTTCTATTTGATTTTTAATAGAATCTATTGGTTCTATATGCAAATACGCAAATTAACTACGCCTGATCCTGTTCTATTTACACTGACACAAACCTTTCGATATCTAAATTGTTGTTGTAACTTTTTTCTCTATTCAGCTACGTCATCTTTATTTCGTCGAGAACTACGCGAGATATTTCAATGTTCAAATTCTTCAGTCAATCAAAAGAAAGACAATAACATTTTACAAGGCGGACCTGTGTCGCGTACTCGAACAACGTCGTCTCCTCCTACGTATTCGACTAATATGAACGATGCCAAAGGAGAAAGAAAGAAACTTTTGACTATTTCAGCGCCAGTAACAACGACGACAATCGAAAACGTTAATCTCTCCGTCACACCTACTGGACCTACGAATGGACATGTAGTAACATTTAAAACATAATCAATCTATATTTCGTCTTTGTTTTTTGCTTTTTATTATTATTATTAATAAATGATGATATATTGTGTGCTTGTTCATTTCACAAATGTATGAGAAGTGTGTGCGCATGAAAAAAGAAACGAAATGAAACTTTGATTTCAATGACTACATGTATATGGACGGACATAGGAAGGAAAAATCTGACAAGCAAATTGGTCCTTATGTAAAACGTCAGACGAGTAAATAGATTTGTGTTCGATCTTCAATTATTGGCTGGTGTGGAATTGGTATTGTCGTCATTCATGGTCTAAATAGAAAGAAGAAAAACAAGAGAATTTGTCATTTTGGATTCAATAATCAAGAAGAGCAGACAAAGAAGATTTCATTGATTTACTATTTTTTCTATCACAATAGAACTAACAACATAACAAATCATTTCCTGAGATTTAAGAAACAATAGTCGAAAAAAAAGATTAAATGCGATATTCCTGGTATTTATTCATGTAATCACGCTTTGCTTGTTTAACGTAATTATCTAACAATTGAAACCATTCATTAATAATAGATCTATCAGCGTGAGCAAAGTGAAAATTATGTATGGTATTTGAGCCTTGAGGTTGCTCAACTGATAAGACGAGTAAATATTTATCTCGTTGAATGTTCACACCGAGTATCAAATGCAAGTGAACTTGTTCGATAAGCGTTTGTTTATCTTTTGACATAATGTTTAATGTTTGATAATTATCGATAGATGAGAGAGACAGCGTGCGTTGGATGTAGGATGGAAATTGAATGAACGTGTTCTCATATTGCTGAACTTTGATTTTGGTGATTAAATAGGTTAGTCGTTGAAGAATGTTCGAACAGAGAGTGTAATCATTGTCGGAATGAATCACTTTGAGAAGTGAATTGAATAGACAATGAAGACGTTCGTAATGATTTAAACATAATGTTCGATGGAATGTCGAGGAAAGTTTTAATGGTATGAACGAATCGAAATAGATGTGAAGAGTGACAGATAATTTCGATGTCGAAGTTAACCGTTTAATGTGTTTCTCTTGTTCATCGTAGGATTGTAATTTGTCTTTTAACAGGTACAAGTAATTCCATTCTTCGGCAAGAAGTAGATTTAACCAGAATTTATACTTTTTTTTGTATTGTTCAGTCGTAGAATTGAAAAAGCAATTGGAAATCTTTCGACGTGCACCAAAACATGTTGACAAAGATGAGCTCAACGTCTGTGTTGCGCTGCACTCGGATGTCAAGGCTACATGACTTCCGTGATTTTCGTAATGATGTGATGGAGAATCCACTGTTTGAGATATATCATCATATGTTTCTTGATCCTGAACACATAAGAAATGGGAGAACCATAGATTGCATTTGTTGAAAACTCCCATTTCGCTTCATGGTATGACTTCTCAAGAAGAAGAACGTACAAAGAAAAATTCACACGTATACGCGCAGAGAAGAAAGACGAGAAGAAGAAATCATGAAGTGGTTTCGAGTTTGCTTACTTCGAGTTCGCGCATGATTTGATCAATGAAATCTGCTGTATCTCCGTTTCGATAGGCTTGTGCAACACGAATAGCATCACGAAAGAGTCGAACAACATTGGTTCCATCAGCTGCCGAGACAAAGTACAATGGCATGTCATGTTTCTTGGGGAATGAAAAGGATTTCTTTGTTATTTCCATTGCTGCATCAATTTTATTAACAGCGCACAAGCATGGAATATGTGGACGGATATCACGTAGTTCAGTATACCAACGATCGAGATTTTTATAAGTAATTTTTCTTGTTGCATCGAAAATCTGTGACAAAAAAAGTCAAGATGATCTTCTTTTTCGGATGTTTATAAGACCTACCATAATACAAGCATGTGCTTGATGAAAATAGGAATGGTGAAGATTGTCGAATTTCTCTTGACCAGCTACAAATGAGATTACAATTTCTAGACGATCACAAATATATGCGAACCTGTATCCCAAAACTCCACTTCGACTGGTTTCCCATCAATTTTCGTTGTGTGTTTGAATATGTTGATTGCATATGTTGAGTATCGCGAATCTTCACTAAACACGGGATAAGAATGTGGAAAATCTGTGCCTTAGAAATCAACTGCTGCTTACAAATTTTTGGCTAGAAATCGTTCTAATAGTTTCGATTTGCCTACAGCACTATCGCCGAGAACGATAACTTTAATAGAATCCGAAGTTTTACTATAGTTAGATGATGATGAGGATACAGACTCAGTCATCTGAAATTGAAAGTGAAAAAAAAATCGTGATGATAAGGTTTTGTTTTTCTGTCAAGAAGAACTTCAATTTCGAAGAACTTTTCTCTCGACTCTCTTGAATTACATTCGATGTAAAAATTCAAGAAAAATAATTTTTTCAAATCCATGCTTTACCTTTATTTACCAATCATTTCCGATCATAGATGGCGCTAGGACAAAGTTTCACTTTGACAAACACTCGTTATTCCTCTCGAAGATTTGCATTTGAATGGTTTTTAATTGAGAAAAACATCGCCTTCTCATTTTATTTATCTTCTTGTTCATTGGTTTTGAACAGCGAATCTTTCAATGTACTTAAATGCTTGTCAGTGGTTCTTTCCTTCTTGAACGTAGCACTCTATAGAAAGAGAATAAAAGCAGAAAAACAATAATCGACAACCTAATTGTTCGACAGACGACAGAAACGCTGAAAAGGTTTTCCTGTCAAAGTTCTACTATGACACTTTATTGTTTTCAATCGACGATGCTCAACATGACAGTTTAACAACAGTGAACATCTTTAAACAAAGCAAAATCGGAATGGAAAACTCATCTCAGTCAACTGGTGAAGATGACGGTAAATCCTTGATTGGAATAAACGATCGAAGAAGAGAATTTGTTTTAGAACAAGAACAACATCGTCAAAAACTTTTATGGACTGTTAAACGAGAGGTTCGTTACTAGATGATCATTTTTGAAAATAGCCAACTGCTCATATAGGTTAAACAAATGATGGAGGAAGCAGTGATGAAAAAATGCATTCATGAAGAAAACTGTAGTGTAACAACACTTTGTGGTTTGTATTCGCACTTTCAATCATCATCATCATCGTTCGTTCGTTCATTTATTCATGTTTTCAGCTGCGGTGGAAGCGTGTTTACTTCATGGTCTGAAACGACGAGCTGTTGGCTTATTTAAAACGAGTACTACTATGGCACTTTTACAAAAAATTGCTAAAAGTTGTCCGTCAGCTGCCGAAGTTAAGCGCATGGTTGATGATACTGATCAGCCGAGTAGTTTATTGACTTTCTCCAGGTAAAGAAATATTTTCTCTCCGATGATTTTATATATTTTGAGTTTTTGTTCAGGAAACTATCAAGTATTACCCATCAAATACCACAACTGCAAACAGTTAGTGTCGATGACAGTCATTATCGTTCAACACGTTCAGCAGTCTATAACCGATACTTGTGGATCCGAATGGCATTGACTCATCGATTACTGCATAAAATCGTTGAATATATCGTTGATAATAGCTCGTAAGTACTCCTGATCTTTTAATTGAATTTCTAGATAAGCAACGTTTTGTAGAACATACTATGAACCATATGCTCTTGTTTGCAATTCTGTTCAAGGACCTATTCTAGCTTCCCTTTTAGGTAAGTAGGAAAAAATAAATATCCATTCCTTCCTCAGTGTTCTATTAATTAAATAGTCGGACCTTGTGCACTTGAATTTACTCGTGTGAAGACAGTCGATCACCTATGGTCTGACCCACATGCCGATGAACTCGTTCAACGCCATCGTCTGCATAATAACAATCGACCAACAGTTAATTCAACGTCAATGGCTATGAATAAGAAAAATCCGAATTCCGTTAAATGTCGACCGAGTTTACAAATGAATGTAAGAACAAAGACAAGTTTAATTGAATGTTTGCACTGATGATAATCATAAATTTTAGTTAAAAAGTCACGCAAGCTCTTCCGGTGAAGAAACTCAGCGACATATTCAATTGATTTCAATTAATCCGGCCAGAGAATATGTTGATTCATTGCATCAGAATGCGAAATCACAATTGCTCTACGGAAAGAATAATATTTTTGTTCAACCTGTAAGTTAATGAATTTTGATGGGAACTTCCTCTCAATTGTTCCTTTCACCTTTCTAGGCTTCCGGCCACGATCCCATACCTGGCTACTTATCATTACACCATAATAAACATGGTCTAACACTAAAATGGACACCCAATCAACTGATGAATGGCTATAATGAAAGTACAAAAACAACGAAAACTGAATCCGAGGAAACGAACAATGACACCATTGAATCTCCCAAGAAATACAGGTTTATTAATTATTTGGAAAAGAAAATCTTTTCTCTACGTATTCATTTCTGTTAGTGTTTTTTGGGATTATGCAATAACGATAAACATGTCATCAATTGTTTATCTCCACTGTCATCAGCATGGTGAAATAAACATCAAGCATCTCTTTTTAGTATTGAATTTCTATTTCTGTGTTTAGTTGATGGCGATCGAATTGTATTTGTTGGACGTGATGGTGTTCAATATCCGCCATTCCACATCAAAGATAAAGGTGGACACCTGTTAGCTTTTCTGACTTGTTTGGAAAGTGGTCTAACACCAAATGGTTATCTTGATCCACCATTAGGATACGAGAAAGGACAAGGTTAGTTCATTCATGTCTTCCGATTCTGAACTTGGTATGTCTTACTAGGAAAAGTCTTACCCAAACTTCAACGTCGTATCGATCGTTCGAATATGGCAGTATCGCTAAGTACAAGTGATAACGATGCGAATATGTGTTCTGATACGCCTGAAGAAGAAGAAGAAGAAGAAGTATCGTCACCAACAGCAGATTATGTTTTTCGAATTGTCTTCCTCACTGATCGTTAGTGATTGATATTGTCTTGTCATTGTTCATTGTACGTGTCTACTTCTTTCGTAGAGCAGTTCATAGCACAAAGTAGACATTTATTCGAATCATCGACTAAGCGTCTTCTTCTACTACGAACTTTGCCAAAGATAAAACTTTTACGATAATATGTTTTATTTTCTAAATAGATGAACCAATGGGTAGTAATCGATTGCAGTGGTCATCAGAAACAGGCGATACATCATCGTTATCTTCTCAGTCACCTTTATCGCCATCGACACAAATGACACCACCACCAATCTCGCCGATCGATGGTGTGTTTGTGACTTCGGCGATGTATATCTCACCAGTATTAGGCTTACATCGAAGTGTTTCGGTTCGATCATCGATGGCTTCCTTATGTGATACGATGCGACGTCAAATTCTATCCCGTGCATTCTACGGATGGCTTGCATATTGTCGTCATTTGAAAACAGTTCGCATTCATCTAACATCGCTTGTCAATCCCGTTCCTCGAATCGAAGATGCTGAACAACTAAATCCTGAACTTTGTTTAACATTTGATTCTTGGTCAGAGTTATTTCTCACGAGACAAGAAGAACATTTGCATATTGATCGAAAGGAAATCTATCGAAGAATTTATTCCGGTGGTTGTGAACCATCAATACGAAAACAGGTAGACAAACAACCTAAATTCCAAATCTTTTTTATCGATAATTGGTTTTTAAGGTTTGGCCATATCTATTTTCACATTATTCACTGGAATCAACGATTGACGAACGAAACGATATTGATCGTACAACAATTGATCGATATAATTCCTTGACACACGAATGGCAAAATGCTGAACACATCGTAATGCAGATCGATTTTCAACATTCACTCCATCGAAAGAATTCCAAAAGCAAATCTAATGATACAAATGAAAATGCCAATCCAAGCTCTACTGAAACAACGCTAGCATCAATCAAAAATGTTCTAGCTAGTATACCAGAGAAAATTTCATTACCAAATTTTAGTAGTTCCGAACGAAAAGATTCCAATGCATCGAATGATGTTTTCTTTGACGTAAGAACTTCTTTGCATTTGAATTTAGTTTAGTTTACATCGTATGATTGTTTTCCTTCAAAACGATTAGGAGTCTTCCGTACATACAGTAGCGATACCAATTTTGGAAGAAGATAATTCATATGCTGCTCCGTCGAATGACCAACGTTTAACATCGACATCGTCAAATTCGGGAGTTTTAATCGCCCGAACACGTACTGAATCTGTTATTGACCGTTCATCACCCTATAATATTATTGAAACAAGTACAGACGAGAACGATGAAATTGACAGTGACAATCCGAATGAGAATGTAAATGAAGATTTGGACGCCGATCTTGATGATAATGACGATGTTTTAACGCAATCAACTGAAAAAGATCAAGATGACATGATGAATAAGGAAAAAGAGAGCACTCTTTCGCCGTCGTCGAGTTTAACCTCCGGCACGGATGTTTATATGGATGCAGTGGAAATCTTTCACGAAGATAACCAAGAAGATTTATCTGGTAAATAAAAATCTTTTCAAAAAGATTTTGGTAATTCTTTCTCCTTCGTTGTTTCAGACGGCACAATAACACCGATTTGCTATGGATCGTTTAGTAAAGATATAATCGATGCATTTGCAGTGAATTTACATCGAATTGATAAAGACGTAGCGAGATGTGATCGAGCCTATCCATACTTCACAAATATCAATAATTTGAAAAAACTACGAAACGTCATGTGCACGTAAGCATCGACTTTTTTTTTCGAAGTCGGATATGATATGAGAAGTCATACGTCTATTTCATTTCCATTGGTAATGTGTGAGAGATTAAAAATTCTAATTCGTACTTTGCTCTTTTTGGAAACTATTGATTTCTCTAAGGAGAAGAAGAACCACAATGTAGAGAGCTAATATTAATAATTGATGAGATACATACAGTTTATGACTGTGTTGTACTTATATCGTTCGTTTTTTCATAGATATGTATGGGATAACTTGGCAACCGGTTATATTCAAGGAATGTGCGATCTCGTTGCGCCATTATTAGTCATATTCGACGAAGGTCTGTTCAATTCTTTCGTACTACAAGTCGATCATCATCAGTTTTGTCTTCAGAGGTCATGACTTACAGTTGTTTTTGTTACTTAATGAAACGTCTCTTACCAAATTTTCCTCACGGAGCTGGTATGGACGAACATTTCGGTCACATGCGTTCATTACTACAAATTCTCGATTACGAACTCTACGAACACATTCATCGCACAGGAGATTTCACACACTTCTATTTTTGCTACCGGTGGTTCTTATTAGACTTCAAACGAGGTAAGAATTCATTTTTGACAGGTCGATGATTGAGTGTTCGTGTTAGAATTTGTTTATGACGATGTCTTTCTGGTATGGGAAACGATTGGTGCCGCACGTCGTACGGTTTCAAAGCGATTCGTTCTATTCATCGCTTTGGCAATGTTGAAGATCTATCGAGACATTATTCTGGACAATCGGATGGACTTTACCGATATAATCAGATTTTTCAATGGTAAATACTATTGTTCGCATCCGAGATGTTCACGTTCAAGTATTTTTCTATTTTTCATAGAAATGGCCGAACGACACGATGCGCGTGAAGTGCTTCGCATTGCGAGACAGTTAGTACTTGAATTGCAAAATCTTATTGATAATAAATGATTAGACAAAGCGAATCGATGGGATAAGAAGACAAATCGTTGTTTGTTGTCAGTAAATGTTGTTGTTTCTTTGTATTGAAAAGACACTCGTGTTTAGAATTATCTCTATATTTATTGATTTAACGTTGTTTTCATCTATTTATTTCTCACAAATATCTATGTGCAATCTGTTATTGTTGTGATCGATTATGGCAAAATTTAACTCTATTTTCAATGTTGTTTTCGATTGATCATTGTTGTTGTTGTTTTAAATAAAAATATTTATTCGGACAGTAAAAACCAGCATTCAACAAGAAAATATACAACGTCATTTCTTCGTTTTGGATTTCGGCTGAAGAATTTCCCTGCAAATGAACTTTTCTTGTTCTAATTTAACTGCTAATTTATTGATTTTGTTTGTAGCACATTCTTCCTGTTTGCTTAGGCGTTTTTCCAGCTGTTTCAATTCATTCGTTTTAGTATCTAACGCTTGCCGCTGTGCAACGTACGTCTGCTCCATCACCAATGTCTTCGCGTACATTTCGGAGTTCTTACGAATTTCATCGGCAGTTGTTTGACGGATATGTTTGAGAGATTTTTCAAATTCAGCGCGTTCAATATCGATTTTACTACAAGCTGCTTCTAGAACCGTATATGTCGAGGTTAATTTTGCATGCACATCATCGAGTTCAATTTGTAGTTGACTGGTCAGATGATTGGCTGCATCCAGTTGACTTTGTAGATCATTCGAATGCGCTACGGATGTTTGAAGTTGATCTTGTAGTTCGCATGAATGTGTTTGACACTGATCATAGCGAGCAAGTAGTTCTTCATATTCACTACGAGGCACATAAGTTCGAGCGATCGAATCGCGAAGTGCTTCGATCGTTGCACGTTGAGACGCGATTACTGAATGTAATTGAGATTGAATAAACGATGCTGTACTTTCATCCTATCGTATAAACAAACAATAGCTAAGATCGGTTACCAACAATCAGCGAGTGAACTCATTTCCACAACTTATAACTATTCACTTAGCACAAATCTTGTCTCGTTACAAGAATCATCGACTGATTTGGTTAATCAGAGTATTCAGCAATGAGTTAGACAACTAACCTTTATTTCTTCCATGAAAAGTTCAGTGTGATTTTGGAGAGAAAGAAAAAAGAGGACAACATCTAAACAAATGATAATGACATCTATCGGACCGATGTTTGAATACATATCACCGTAAAGTTTTATTTGATTCGATTCGATCAATAGGAACAAACGTGTTTAAACCATTATCTATAAACTATATTCGAAACAATCGCTCGAATCGAATAATTCAATTAACGTGATTTCTTCGTTTTAGGTTTCGTAAGATGTTCTTGAATGTATTTTTCTTGTTGCTGGTTCACATAGATTCGACGATATTTGACCGTGATTTTTTTCAAATCTTCCGTTTTATTGTGCAATTCTTGTTTGAAATGCTCTTCATTTCTTTCCATTTGTAATTTTTCAACCGATAATTGCTCATTTTTAGTTAGTTCATGTTGAATGGTCTGTTTTAAATCCCGTACGAGTTTTTCCAACACATCTCGTTCCTTCGTGGAATGCTCGTCAAGAATGGCGAGTGCTTCATAAATATCCGAGCATTTACCATAGACATTTTTCAGTTGTTGACGTAGGGAATGGCATTCAGCGAGAGCGATTTCATACCGAAGATCAGTTGACATTTTCAGCAAATGACTTTCATTCGTTTGCTATTCGCTATCAGTTATTCGATTACGTCGATTTTCGATAGTTGCGCTGTTATCTGAACAAGATGAGATAGTCGATTGAGTACAATCACATTTTATACATTCCTTTTCCTTCTCTTTGATTGTTGCTAGACGAACATTCCGATCGTATTTGATTGTTTTAGATTAGAAGTAAAATGAGTGATAATGCGGATATGATGGAAGCGGTTCCAATGGATGAAGTATGTGTTAATTGAATTGATACTTCATCAATTTTGTTTGCCACTTATCTTAGTCGTCGAATAAGATTCATCAGCAGAAAGAGGATGATGAACATCACCATCAATGTATTGAAGAATTACGTACGATATTTCTTCGGGTTCATCAATGCCAACAAGAACCGGATAAACACGTAGGTTATTTTCTTGTAATTTATGGATTCGTCGTGTCAGTCGTCGTGTTCGTCGTTAACTGAGAAAAAAACGCAGATGGATCATACTGATTTTTCGACTTTTTGCAATAGAACCCTTTTGGTTATGAGTTAAAATGATTTGTATTCAATGAATAGGAAAGCAACTAGTCCGTTATTAATAATCTAAGCATTCGATTGAAGAACTATCGTTCATAGTCAATAAAAAGATCGTTCCGATTCCGTCCTTAGAAAACGTTTCATCGATATACCTTTGATTCGACCAGACAATAGAACAAACCTCATGATTGATGACTTGCTCTGCATTTTTTCCTTTAGAAAGATGAACTGGCTCAACTTCATACACGTGGAATGCATTTATGTAATAAGCTTCGTTCATTAAATAGAAATGGCCGTATGCGTATACAAAAAGCTCGTGAATTGACGATCGAGGTTGGTTGTTATCAAAGATGAGACATTTGATTTACATATGTAAACATATGCTCATGTCTAATTTAGCATCGCAATCGTCTCGATGATCAAACACTTGAACAACAAAATCTTCTCTACGAACTTTCTCATATTAACAAAGAAATTGCACGTTGTGAAGAATTCAAGTAGGATGCGTTTGAACAGAACAATTTCGTCCACTGATTTTGCTTGCGCATTTAGATCGAAGGATGAAGTATTAGAACTGGTCAGTCTGGAAGATTTCTATGCCAATGCACCACCTGAGCTTACTGATTCAGTAAGACAAGTATGGTCTACTTTGTTTGAAAGCAAATTGATTTTTTAGACAGTCACAGCCAGTGATCCTCATCGACTTCATCTATTTCAACTCGATTGGGAATTGATGCAAAGGGAAAAGTGAGTACATTTAATTGACACAGTCAGTTCTTTGAGTGCCTCTTCTCTTTCCATTAGATTGCACGATGACTGCAAAGCATTACAAACAGAAATAGGCGATCTTAAAAAGCAGATAGTTCGTCGACGAAAACGACTTCGTTCATTACGACCTAAACTAAAACAAGTTGTTAAAGTACGTCGAACGCTTTCTTCTAACTATTCGTTTATCAGTCGATCTCCTTAGTCTACCGATCCTGTTCGTCGTTATATCGAATCTCAATTCGATGATACAAACAATCTTTCACAGTCCATCAATAATCCTCTAATAGCAAAGCTACCAGACTCGCTCTATGTACTATATAGTCTTATTTTGGCTTATCAGCAATGTGACGGTGAGTTACCACGTTATTTTTCTGACATATCCTCAAGATTTGAAGTCCGATCTTGAATATATGATATGTCTCATTATTGTTTGTCTGTGTGTAAACGCTCGCGTGTTTCTCTCTCGAGAAATATCTTCTAATTATATTATAATTAGAAAAGGCATTTTTGTATGAACTGGACTTTTATCGACTACAGAAATTTTTATTCGTAGGTCGTCACGTAACATGTCAAATTGAATCGAAAGAAGATTCGTCAACGTCAAATTCCTCTCTTGAGATCAACGTCGACGGTGTTTTAATCAATGGTGATCATCAATCTCTAATGCGAGCACATCCGTTGCATGTGAAAGTCAACCTAATGCTTTCTCGTAATTATCACCATTTAAAATTCTTCTTTCTATTGACACACTTATTTTTCACTTCGAATTTATCTAGCTGATCATACAGGGGAATTATTATTCACGTTTTTACCGCAATTGAACATTGTTACTGCTGATGCAAAACTATCGGGACTACGCGCGCAACAAAGGTAATAAAGGGAAGACCAGACTTAATCATTAATAATCAGAGCGATTTTAGTCAAACATTGACGTCCAATTTGCTTCATAATTTACTCGATGATAATGACAATGGGCAATTATCACCCAATCCAACAACAGACTTTCTTTTCCAACAATGCGGGTCTGTTCAAATATGAAAGTGCAGTAGTTCATTTCTTCTGGATCCTTATTTTAGAAAACCTGCGCCTAACTTTTCGGAATTGCACGTTGGCTATCCATATCATTGGATTCAGCAGTTATGCAAATGTCAAATAGTTCCATTACAACGGCAAGAACTAGTTGTTGATTGTTCAGAGATCATCAAACGTTTAACTCAACGTATGCGAGCACGAATTGCACTCGATCGTATATTAGTCAATTTGGAAAAATGTGACATGCCATTACTAGCTGATGGAAATGAAACCACAAATATTCTTAATTCCACAGCACGTCGGTCGATAACGACTCTACCAATCTTTCGCTCTTTTCGTGAAATATCATTTGATGACGTGAATAAACATGATTTCATTCGAGTAATTATCAGTGAAAATCTTGTCAATCGTACAACAACATCGATTTATGAATGTAAATTTCACTCATTGGCACAAGATGAAAGCAGCCGAAGCGTGCTTTATGCATACATCTTCATCCCCGCAAACTATCCTCAAGCACGATCGATTATCCTACTCAAACTAGTTTCACCGGTTAATGGGAACAAAACCATCGAGAAGACCAGACTCAATAATGAGAATATCAAAGTAGGTCGCGCAATTCCTTGTTTTTTCTCTCGAATAATATTGTTCTTGGCTAGTTTAACTTGATTATATGTGCTAATCCTATATTTAGACTTTCGAACGATCATTAATGTTTGATGTTGTCTATACATCAACTACAACAACCAGTGGAAGTGGATTACTTGATCCATCTCAGCACTTTACATTACTTGCTCAACAAATCTGGCGTTTAGCAATTGGTTTTTCTTCCTTACTCGACGCAGAATCCAATCCAGTTTGCACGTATGACTTTTGTTTACACATCCTTATCGTATCACCTTTTCTTTCTTTTTTTTTCTTGTTAACAGAGGTCGTCGTCGTCAAACGTTATTAGCTCGATTAGTCGATTAACACGCACTTGTGTGCGAGTAGTCGTGAAGAAAATGAAGACTCTCTATTTCTTTATGTTTCTTTCTTGTGGTGTCTGAAAATAAAAAAGTTCAAACAAGACAATGACTTTGTTAATATTCATTCTAGATATGAATATCCATACAATATCGTAATGCCATGGTTGTCGATTCGACGTCGATTGCTCTTCAATATGTATCAACGCACATTACGTAGTTCATCGCTTTGTTTTATTATTCTCTGTTTAACGATTATCATTGTTATACTTCTTTCCAATCGGTTATCGAATGTTCATCAAGAATGCTCAATCGGTTTGGAACAAGTTCGACAGCAACAACGAATTTCATTGAATACTTCTTCTGAACAACCAATTATATTTATAGGTGGAATGCCACGTAGTGGCACAACATTAATGCGTGCTATTCTCGATTCCCATCCACTTGTTCGTTGTGGAGAAGAGACACGAGTCATACCAAGAATGTTGAGTATGAGAGCAGCATGGAAAAAATCAAGTATCGAATGGAATCGGTAAGTGAACTGTTGTCATGTTGACCTTCTCAAGTGCGTGCTTGGCTTGCTTGTAGACTTATGGCCGGCGGTATCAGTGAAACGATGATTGATTCAGCTGTACGAGCGTTCATCTATGAAATACTTGTTGAACACGGAAAACATGCTGACGTTCTTTGTGATAAAGATCCATTTGTTTTGAAATATGCTTCATACATATCCTCATTGTTTTCTCGCGCAAAATTTCTTCTTTTGGTTCGTGACGCACGCGCTGTTGTACACTCAGTAATGACGCGAAAAGTAACAATAACTGGATTCAGCTTGAGTGATTATCGACAGAATTTGAAACTATGGAACAAAGGCATTGAAACAATGATAACTCAGTGCTCCGAAGTCGGAAAAGATAAATGCTTCATGGTGTATTACGAACAACTCGTTTTACAACCGAAGAAGACCATCGAAGCTATTCTCAAATTTCTAAATATTCCCTGGACCGACAATGTATTGCATCACGAAGAACTTGTTGGAAAGAAAATCTCTCTTTCGAAGTAAGTCTGAGTAAAAACAACAATTCAACATCATTTTATTCATTGTGTAGAACGGAACACTCGTCAGATCAAGTTATTAAACCAATCAATCTCGAAGCGTTAACAAAATGGGTTGGTCACATGCCGGCAGATGTCAAACATGAATTAGACACATTGGCACCGATGTTGAAGAAACTTGGTTATGACACGCAATCAGATGTCCCAAATTATGGTGTTGCGGATCAACTAGTGCTTGATAATATGAATGCGCTCAAAGAAAATGCGGCATTCTGGAATGAAAAGGCGAAGATGTACGCTCGTCAATTACCGAACAACACAAATCTGTCCCAAAATCATTCAAGTACTCGACTTATTCGCTAAGATCTATTCTTTGTTAATGTTTTCTTGTTTACTAACAATGCGAAATATACATTGAGGAATAAAATTTATTCGTCTGCATTTTAGTCATATATACGTGTTTCTAGTAGATCAAGTGCACCTTGTCACATATATTTGTAAAACTTAAACAAGGAATTTTCTTCTCCCACTGTATTTTTTATTTGAGAATGCGTAGACGAAGAAGATCGAGCTTGTTATTCACGAACAAATTTTCTTCACACTTGTATGTTCTTCTCTTCTCTCATATTGGTCGATTCTTTTGACGGAAAGTCTATTTTGGTGAAATTTGCAATGCGCTGAGCAATGTTTTCCTATTTCTACATATATCCGCACCGTTCTGATCACATGATACTTTGTTTTGTAAACAATTTTTTATACGAAAAGCGAGATTTTTTACACTTAGAATAGATTGTGATTAACAAACATTTTAAGTCTTCCCGTGTCAGTCAACATTCGATGTATCCGATTGAAAAAAAGCGGATTAAAACCTTTTCAGATGTATTCAGTAAACAAAAGATAATAAACATCACACAGATGAAATCAATGTCCCAATTACTTCTTCTTTTGTTTCGTTGTCGGCTTCTTCGCTTGTTCATTATCGATAATAATCATTGCTAATTGACTACGTGATGCTAAACCTTTCTCCTTTTGTATCAAACACCGATTCAATTCGAGCTTATTTGATTGCTTTATCGAATCGCATTTGATCGGATGATAACGAACACGCAACGCTTGGTCAGGTGCGCGCAACATATGTAAATCTGTGAACTGAACAAATAGATCATAGAGATTAGTTGAAGCTAAAGAAATATTGTTTGGTACAAGAGATTTTAGCTTTAAATAATCGCTTATATATAAACCCACATGATCGTAAGCATACGAGTTGAACCAGCCATGAGATTTGTGTAATTCGATCGTGGAATTTTCTATCAAACGATATGTTTGTGCTATGATACGCGGATGGTATTGATAGAAAGCAATCGGATAGGAGACTTGAACGTTTTGGATAACATTTAAACGACAACGATTCAAAAAGTCCGATTCGATGTCAACGTATGCATTGGTTAGAAAGACGAGTGAATCCTCGCGGAGTTTTGTTTCAAAATAATCGAGTATGTGTGTTGAATGTGTCGAAGTGGTCACTGAAGATGGGATAAGAATCGTGTGATATGAGATTGTTAACTGGCTCCTTGAACGACGGATCGATTCGACTTCAAGACGGATATTTGTAAACCATTTTTGTATTTGTGATGAGTCTTGTTTGCTCGTGACAATATGTGTCAAGAGTAGTTCAAATTGAGCATGAGTTTCTTTGTCAAATAAGGTTCGATTTGCGTGTTGAAGAAATCGGATAGCAGCGGATTGTTCATCGGAATAGATGGGCAAGATCAGGAAGATTTTGGTGGATTCAGTGACGAATGGCATTGGAACAATTTCTACCAGACCTGAATGAGAAGAAAATAAATGTCAGACTTTCAAGTTTTAAATCTTCAAGAAACCGTACCCAATGGTCGCATGAGCTCAGCACGTTTGATATATTCAATATTATTGGCATCGGTAAGTATCAAATCGATAATATAATGTGTACCACGTGTTGGATCAAATTGTCGATATCCATTGAGTAATTTTTTAAATTTCAGACTATAGTAGAAGAAGGCATGTATTTTTTTTTTCTATTTAACGATGATGATACATACTGAACTCCATATTTCTTTTGGAATTGTTCAACAGCATGTCCAATGACTTCGTGAACGTCTTCGTAATCATCGGCTAAATCGAAATCGTGCAGAAATATCGAGCGAAATGAAAATTTTCAACTTACGTTTCATTAGATCAATGACATCAATATCTGTTTTTAAATAGATATGTGTTTCATTGAAATAATCCCAGCGAAGTACATCGAAACGTGATGAAGGTTTGAAAGGAGGTGGTATACCAACTGGCCAAGGTATATTTCCACAGCCTTCAGGAGCATAGCAGGAGAGATTTTCAATTGTTTCTTCGTATTTCGCGATACTTCGTGTCATTTCATCGATTTCGACTTGATGGAAATATCTATTCGAAACAAAAAAATACTCAATCAGCGCTTCGCACAAGAAATTCGTCTTACTGTTGAAGTTTAAGCATCGTTTCCAAATCACTAATCGGATGCACAGTTAATGTTTGGTTAAATTCTTCTTTCTTCGATAATCTCTCAATATCAGTATCGAATTCAAAGCGATAATTCACATAAGCATTGAACTTGTAATTCTATACAAACACTCCTTGTTTTCAAATAAGCAACTTCAGCTCGACTTACACTAGCCGTGTTCACACACGGTATCTTCGCTGCTTTCAATATACATCTTCCGATATTATCAGTCACATCTTGTGAGTAAGCATTATTCGTGCACCAATCGATTTCATCAAGGACTTTGCGAAGTACAGTCTAGAAATTGATATTGCAATTCATTTTTATCAAATAAACATACATCTTTCCTATCGATTTCTGTCTTTGGTTACAGAACAAATGCTTACATTCTAGTATAACTTCTGTCTGATACATATCCTCCTACGAACGTAATCAGAATGAAAATACATACTCCCGAGAGAATGATTGCTGAACCGAAATAACAATACACAGCGTGAACATCATCAAATGATTGTCCCATGTATAAGTCTTGACTAATACTAATGTGATTTAGAAATTCATTCAACTAAAATGAGAAAACGTTCGAACAAAAGAAATCTCAAATGGTGAAGCTTACTTTAAAACCTCGAACGTATGTATTATCTGGCATCAGAACAAACCAATCATATAATTTAATCATTTTCTCGGCGAGATATTTCAATACATAGAAAGGTTTCAAATACGCTTTCTTATCATGTATGGCGATGACTTCCATACTCCGAGGAAAATTTTCGATGTCTTCATTAACGAAAAATAATAAACGATTGACATAGTTTTGCAGTGTTTGATTGAGGAAAAATGCGAATGTGTTCAAATGATTTGCTTCGGTTAGTACAGCGACAAGAACTTTCTCTCGTATGCCTAATTCGTCAGCAATATACCGCGGACGTGTGACTTTCGGTGTATTTGCTGCTTGTGTTGATGTGGATGATGATTGATTACCTGAATCTGCTTGTTGAGATGGTGCAGGATGTATCCGCGGTTCGTAATCTTTGCTGCCGTAATCAACAAGTGTTACATCGACGACTGAACGTGCTTGGCGACTTAGGATACGAAAAGGATCGCGAAATGAAAACGTTTCGTTGAGAAGTTGCAGATTTATCGACGAGGAAAACGGATCGGAGAAGAGCGAGAGAGAATTATCACAAACACTCATCAATGGTAAACATGCTAAGCTTAATATAAAACCAAGAGAAAGACCAACAAATATTGATAAGATATAACGAGACTTCAAACGAGTACGATGAAAGAGAAGTGACATAAGTGAAGATTGATAACGAAATAAGGCAGGCATTACGAAAGCACCGGTTGCTAACGAGATTTATGATTGTTCAATGCAACTAGAAGAAACAGAAATCGGCAGATGTTTTTCTCCTTTCGAAGTACATTAGATGTAAGTGACAAAGGAAAACATATCAAAATGTTTTCTACATACTTCAATTAAAAACATGAATTCAACAATGTATTCAAATAAACATATTTGAAAAAAAGAAATGATTAAAGTGCTGTCGCTCACATGATCTTATACTGAATTAGAGGAAAGAAATCGTTTTATGCATCTCACCTTATTATAATCGTTCGCAGTCAGCTTTTTAATATAAAATGCCTGATTTATATTCATATTTTCGTTCCTTTTCTCTTTTTCTTACTCGTATTACACGTCCTCTTCAAGGTACGACGAGAATGAAGTTGAAAAAGAAAGAAATGCAGAAGAAGAAGAAAAATGTATTTTGTTAGCCGTACAACGGTTAACAGCTGTACGACGAGAAGAAGAACAGAATGATTCTCTACGTCTGAATATTGTCCGTATACTAAAGCGTAATGCGAGAATGAGAAGAGGACAAGACTTCTTCAATATAATTATACGTACAAGTAAACTCGTTTTTGTTTCCGTCGACTCACACAGTAGTAATTCGTCAATAGTTATGTTTAATTATATCAGACATCTGGCTATTGTAAACAGAGCGAAGGAGAGACAGAGAAAAAGTGCAAAGGAAACAATTAGTTATGTATATATCAGAACTGTGCCCTTTTTTGATCGATTATCCGGCTTGACTTCAGATTTGAACTAGGAATTTTCTCCAAAGATTCGTTTGGATTCTCAACATGTTCCGTTAACCTAATAACGTATATGAGAAACTGTCGAGAATTATATAAAATGGTAATGATTAGAGAAATTGTCGCGAAAACAAATAAAACATAAAATCGATCGGCAATTACCGATAATTTTCTTTTACAAAGGCGAAATTCATTACAAAAACCAACAGGAGATCGAGTACATATCTCTAAACCTTCACCATCACGTGTCTTTCTTTACGAAGGACAAATAGGTACATATTATGCGAAACAAAACAAATTAAGATTGCTGACAGACATGAATCGCTTGAAACGATGAAAATATATGATTAAATGTTCAATCGACTGTACTATAAGCACTTCATTGTTCAGCAAACAAACAATTCAGCTGTGATGCAATTCGATAGTGTCTAGCATCGATGATTAGACATAAGCATTGAAATCAGAAGAGATTTTGTTTGATTGCAGTGAGCAATTTTGTTTTATCGCTAATTGATTGAGAAAGATGGCGAAAAAGGGCATGCGATTCAATGAGTTTTTCGTTCGAAAATATGTCATTGATGAAATTACAAAGAAAATAAAATCAGACGTACATAAGAGGATTACTCTTCGATAAATTTCGACAACAAAATCTTGAAACTATGATATTGGATTCTAAGAAAAATATTGCACGAAGGAGTAAAATCAAGTTGTTTTGTTTGAAATCAATTTCGTCGGTCGTAAGAAGATATAAATAGCTGATAAAAAAAGAGAAAAGTACAAATGTAGTGCAAGGTCTTTATCACAAGCATGCTATTTGTTTTTTACTCGAATCTAGTGATAAAGGAACGTATTCTTTCCGATTCAAGTGACTCTTCTGTATAGATTAGTCAATTTCCAATATGAAAAGTAACGAGATTCGATTGTGCAAATGGCAATGATGTTTCATTTTCTGAATTGCAATGAAAAACGCGGAGATTTCGTGAAAAAACAGTAGCATGTGATGTACTTTTTTTGTAAAGTAAATGTTGACAGATGAGATTCAAGCTCGAGTACCAACTTCTCGCTAGGTCAGCGAAAGACTTCAGGTAGATAAGAAATTCAACATATGACATTCTATTTCAATCCACATTACAAACAGATTGTTAACTATGGGATCGGCGTTGAAAAGACAGCGTCCTAATGAGAGCCTCGAACTGACAAATCTAGTGAAAAAAGTACGTACGAGATCTATACTTGAGACTCAAGATGATTTTGAAGAATGTGTGCTTGTGTGGTTGGATGCATCGCTGACATACAACGATGACTGGACGGAAGAATTCAATCATGCACGAGAAATCATTCAGAATTTGAAAATATTCGATAAGCTCAACGATTGCGTTAATTTTATGAAAATGATTGTCAATGATAAAATCTTTCTGATCGTTTCACAGTAAGATGAAGCATTCATTTCGATTTTGATGTTTCATTCCTTCGTTGTTTTTCTAGCCAATTCGCTCAATCGATTTGTGTAATTAAATCTGAACTTCGCTTCCTTGCATCGATCTATGTCTACTGCGGCGATAGTCTTCCATTACCACAACTCACTCAATTCGAGACTTGGGCAAAAGAAAACGAACCGATAATCGCTGGTGTTTACACAAACCTCACTGATTGCTTTGCACAGTTAACCAAAGATGTTCACGATATTTGCGATCATGATTCTATTCCTATGACATTTCTGAGTCCACAATTGAAATCCATGACTCTGAAACAAGCAAGTCCATTTCTGATATTCCAACTATTCCTTCGGAATATTCTGTTCAATCTACCGAAACCAACGACAAATCAGGACAAACAACGCGTTTTTCGTTCGTGCCTGTTTTATTACGCGGAGAATGAAAAACGTACGGAAGAAATCACGCATTTCGAACAACATTATGAATCCGCTGCAGCGATCGATTGGTACTTACGAGCGAAATTTCTTTCGCGTCTATTGCATAAAGCGAGTCAAACGATGAATTTTGCTCTTTTATTCAATTATAATTTTGTTTTACAAGACCTTCAGCAGATAATGAACGAAAAAGCCATCATATCATCAACGGAAATCTTCTACCGAGCGCAAAATTTGAACGCCGATGATTTATATCGTTTACGAACGAATCTAAAAGGCATCATCTCCATAAACAGTTATCTTGATCTCTGCAAAACCTCTACGCAAGCCATCAATGAAGTTTCGTTAACATCGAACACTCTCGAAACTGCTCTGTATCATTTCTCCTTGAATCACTCGTACATACCAATATCAGATGAAAAAGTTCTCCTGACAATTGGCAGTGCATTTCGGATCGAGCACATTGGAATGGAAATGGACGGTATCTGGCATGTACATTTAAATCTGCTGACAAAAGAGGAAGTTAACAGTCAAATGGAAGTGTTTTTGAAAGATATTGACCAACTTTCACATGAAATGTTAACGATTGGTTTGATTTGGGATAAACTTAAACAGTCAACTAAAGCTGATCGGTTCTATCGGCTGTTAATCGATCACTTATCGAAAGATAACATCGAAACTGCAAGTATTTGTAATTATGCCGGAGTTATGACACGTGTGAAATGTCAATATACATCCGCTTTAATGTATCATCAGCAAGCGTTGCAGATTTATAAGAAACAGAATGACAATGGTTCATCGTTCGCTGAAGAGATTGACCGAACATATGTACAATTGGCACTTGTCTACCAAGAATCAGGCGATATGTCTCGTGCAATTCAATACTTTCAATTAGCTAGTAAATTAGGTGAAGAAATCTTTAATTATCTTGGAGAAATCTACCGCAATTTAGAAGAATTCAACATGGCCCAAAACTATTACCAAAAAACGAACTTTTACAACAATATCAGTCTATGTTACATTTACCAACGCATGTTCCCACAAGCACTCATCGAAATGAAGAAGGAATCACCGGCGATATCCTACATAAACTTAGGTTTCTACCATCAACTACGCAAAGAATATAGTACAGCACTGATTTTCTTCGAAAAAGCTTTGGAAGCTGTTAAAGATCAACATCCATTAGATACGGCAATGATACATTCATACCTGGGTTTACTACATTGTGATCGCCGGCAGTGGTTGTTATCATTGAGACATTACGAACAAGCACTTGATCTTTATAAACGTCATTTAATTACTAATCACCCGACGATCGCGTTGATACATGATGGTCTCGGAACGTTGTATCTAACAAAAGGCGAATTTCGCGCGGCACAACGTGAATTCGAACGATGTTTAGAATTGCAATTGCGTGTTCTGCCGGAAAATCATCCGGATATCGCGGGAACTTACAATAATCTAGGTGGAGTCTTCAACGAAATGGGCCAGTATGACGAAGCATTGCTGTATCACTACGAAGCATTGGCGATAGCCTCGGCAATCCTGCCCGCAGAACATTCGGATACGAAATTATACAAACATAATGTCACTGAGACAAAACGAAAACTTTCTTGAACTTGTGAATAGCGAAGCTTGTGTTTTTTTTGCGTTAATAAAGGGAGAATATGAAAATTTATTTTTAAAAAAAGTCAAAGTTAATATGCTATTGTAATTGCACAAACTTGTTGATTAAAGGGATAAATAAAATCAAATAAAAAGAAGACCAAAAAGAAAAAAAACTGAAATCAAGGTGATAATGATGGCATATTCTTAAAAGAGGACTAGAGGACATGTGGTTGACGTGCAATTCTAGTAGAAGACGAAGAAAGTTCTTTGGTGAAGTGTTTGATTGTTTAACTTCTTCATGTTTGTATTTAGAAGCATTTACGGTGAACAATTGATGGACCAGCTTCATCGTATTCTTGTTTGGAGATCCACATTTGTTGAAAGGTTGAAAGTGAAGCTAAGATTGAACCACCAATCCATACTGAATATTTACGTTCAGGTGGAGCAATGATTTTGATCTTCATTGTTGATGGTGCTAATGCGGTGATTTCTTTTTGCATACGATCAGCAATACCAGGGTACATTGAGGTACCTAAAAAATAAGATCTCGGTCGATTTATTTCTCCAGTTCGACATCGAATGATTTACCTCCTGATAAGACAGTGTTAGCATATAAATCTTTACGAATATCGATATCGCATTTCATGATTGAATTGAATGTTGTTTCATGAATACCGGCAACTTCCATACCCTAGTTGAATGAATGAATGAAGATGAAATGATTTGTTTGAGACGAAGAAAAGCACTTACCAAGAATGATGGTTGAAAGAGCGATTCTGGGCAACGGAAACGTTCATTACCAATGGTGATGACTTGACCATCAGGTAATTCGTAGCTCTTTTCGAGTGATGAAGTTGATGCAGCTGTTGCCATTTCTTGTTCGAAGTCCAAGGCGACATAACATAATTTCTCTTTGATATCTCGGACAATTTCACGTTCAGCGGTGGTAACGAATGAATAACCACGTTCGGTCAAGATCTTCATCAAATAGTCAGTTAAATCACGACCAGCCAAATCAAGACGAAGAATAGCATGTGGTAAAGCATAACCTTCATAGATGGGAACATCGTGTGTAACACCATCGCCTGAATCGAGGACAATACCAGTTGTACGACCACTAGCATAGAGTGAAAGTACGGCTTGAATAGCAACGTACATAGCTAAAAACAAACAAAGATGAATAGAAAGGGAATATTGTTCGTTGTCGGTCGAAATCTACCTGGTGAGTTAAATGTTTCGAACATGATTTGTGTCATTTTTTCACGGTTAGCTTTTGGGTTGAGTGGAGCTTCGGTGAGAAGAACAGGGTGTTCTTCTGGTGCAACACGAAGTTCATTGTAGAATGTGTGATGCCAGATTTTTTCAATATCATCCCAGTTGGTAATGATACCGTGTTCAATGGGGTATTTGAGTGTTAAGATACCACGTTTGGATTGAGCTTCATCACCAACATAAGAATCTTTTTGACCCATACCAACCATAACAGCTTGATGACGTGGTCGACCAACAACCGATGGGAAGACTGATCGAGGAGCATCATCGCCGGCAAAACCAGCTTTGCACATACCTGATCCATTGTCAATTACAATAGCTGCAACGTCTTCGTCACACATGATTATGTCTTAGAGCAACGAGTTTAGATGATAAAAAATGTGTATGTGGATATGTCTCCTCTTCTGAGATTGTCCGCAAAAAGAACGACAACCGCAATATCTTCGCAGCTATATACAAATATAGACCAAAATAGTCTTTTCCTCTTCTGTTTTCTTCTCCGATTTTCCCCTTTTTCCTTGGATATGCACATCAGTCAATACCAAATCGGGTAGCACATATATCGTCAAGACAACGGACGATCGAAAGAGGAAAAATACAGATAGCTACTAACCGCTCTGCTACCACAGCTTCCTCTTCTTCTTCATCGTATATATCTTTTTTTTGTACCAGTAGGATTGCAGATATTTTCAGACGGATAAGGAGCGGCATATGGCGAAGAAACGATATTCATCCGTACATATATATTGATCGCATTCTTCATTTTGAGAAAATAATACTACTATTCGCTATTCTGTTTATCAATATTAACACCCGATAAGACGAAGGAGAAAAAAAAAGAATTGCTATCTTCGAATACGTGAAGCCAGATAGATGGAAAAGCAATAATATGCAAGAATAAGAAATAACAATGTTGAAGGATACGACTATCAGATTAATTTCTAATCAAAGTTCACATTGACGATGAATTTCTTTAAAAAAGACAGAATATGACGTTGGTTATCTTGTTGAAATCAAATGATTCACTGAGAGGCGACATCAGAGAAGAGAAAAAGAACGAAAAATGAAAAGCGCATGTCAGCGGATCGAAAGTTAACCAGTGTGCGCACATTTCTGAATCGGTAAACACGCTAACACCGTTATCGCCGTCCTTGTACGTTTTGCTATACAAAACTTGCATTTTCCTCTCTGTATCGAGTAAGTGAAACAGTTCAACAATCGACTATCCATATCAATCGATGCCTTCTAGTCAACAATGAGTCTTGATACATCAGCAGTTAGTGGTCATTTAGCTCAACGCAACGTCTTTTCAGCTACCATAGTCAACAAAACATCCCATCAAATTCATTGTTTCGTTGAATATCACACGAAATCTGGCTCGGATAATGAAGTAGCCGATTTCGACGTCGCCGCCAATGACGAGTATAAATGTGAAGAAAAAGTTCATTCAATGTCAACGCACAATACTGGTCAATCACCTCAATCTCATATTTTTCCAAAAGTCATTCATTCGATCAAAGTTTGCAAAGCTGATGGATCAACTTTAACTGCAAAAGCACCATTCGATAATGTTCCTCACAAGGATGTGCGCAACTGGAAATTTGTCGTCGAAAATAATCAAATTCGCTCGGAAAAAAACTGACCATGTTCTTTCCTTTATCATATATACATAAATTACTAATTTGAATAAATATACTCTCGCTACTTAGCTACTTGATTAGAAAACTTCTTGTAGCTGAAATATTCTTCCTCGTTTTTTTTTCGTTTTCATGTTACTGATTCAACAATCATCATTCTGCTTTCGTCTATGGACTAGCCGATCACTGCCTTTTCTTGTTGTTAACTGTCGGAAACGATATGATAGTGGTCATTTAGAATTTAGCGATGCTGAAGAATGTACACTTGTAAATGAAGTCGATTCTTACGATGACAGAAGTCGTTCATCGATAACACAACAATTCGAACCATTGTGTGATTATTCAGATCAAAGGGCAAATTCTTCAGGAAGTGTAATTGATATTTCAAACAATGAGAATAACGCATCAGCTGTTTGCGTCTATCACCATCAATTAACTCCGCTCAAGTATCATCATTATCATCGAAGATCTACTCCACGACCTTTCGATCGAAGAAATTATTCGTCAATTCGTTTTGATGCCCATCGTTCATTTGAACCAACAATGCTCAGAAATGAACAATTAGAAACGTTCAAACCATGTACATCCAGAACTACTCTTCATCAACTGACAATGTGTCATTCACTAAAGACAGCTGAAATATCAGATCTTAAACAGAATAAAACTTGTCGAGGTCAATCAAATCAAGAAGTTTTGTCAATAATGTAAAGAAATTCTTCTTACTTCACGTTGCCTTCGCAAGTTTTATTTTATTAATCTAGGATCGATTTACCATACAGAATAGTTCATGTTGGTTGAAACAAATCAGTCACCCAAACCAAACCAAACACTTGGATCAGATCTGATTGGTTAGACAAACGTCCATTGAGAAAACGGATGTTCTGTTCTCTTGAATCGTGTCATTTTGTCAGTCTATTTAAACTATAGTTTTCAATGGTAAGTTCATTACATTTATCTCTAACTTCAAATTAAGAAATTTCTAGGATGATTTTTCGAAATTCTTCGACGATGAATTCAATGTTATCGACTGGCTTAATCAAGCATTTCGATTGCAGAAAGAATCGAATCAAAACATCGATAATTACACAGGAATTCTAATCACAAAACTGCAAATGTACATTCAGGAAATGAACAATACAATTGAAGAAACCAGTCAGCAGGCTGTTCAACAATTTCCTCGGTAGTTTGAAATCTATAAATATAAGTTTGATGTTGTTTAGTTGACAAATCGTTTTTTAGGGTTCTTCGCGAAATAGATGTGCTTAGACATGAAGCAACTTTGTTACAAGAACAGATGCGAACCGTACGAGGAGATATTCAAAAAGTCAATCAAGACACCGCGGATGGCATGCGCAATTTAATTCAATTGGATTCAGTTAAAAACCGCATACAATCGGCAACTAAAGCTTTACAAGAAGCTGATAATTGGGTAACATTATCTGCTCAAATTGAGGATACATTCGAATCGAAAGATTTCACACAAGTAAATATACTGAATTCGATTGCATACATATTTGAAAGACAACACAATTTTGTAGATTGCAACAAAACTAATTGCTATGCAACAATCTTTGAAAATTCTCACTGATGTACCGGACTATGCTGATCGTGTCAATCAGTTAGAAAATCTCAAGAACGGCTTAGAAGCAATGATGAGTCCAACAGTCATCGCTGCATTTAACACGCAAGATGTTGGTATGTACAGACATCGATCCTTTTCCCTTGAAATCACATTCTCAATATAGATATGGCTCGATCATTCGCCCAAGTATATCAGTCCATAGATCGAGCGGACCAATTAGAAGATTTGTATGTCACCTCTGTTAAGGTAATCTATGATTTCTACTCATTTCTATGCATGCATTGCTGAATTATATAGAGTCGATTAGATACACGTATACGAGAGTTATTTCATAATGCTACAAGTGAACATCAAACAATCTTTGTAACTATCTATGACTATTTGTCTAATCTTTGGCAAGACGAAGTAGGATCATAGCGACACGGGAATGTCGAAAATACTTTTCTGTTTGTAATAGATACGTTGGTGTACAAAAGTGTTCAATCATCCGGCTCGTGTAACACTTTCAATTGTTCTGAATGGTCTGCGAATATTTCATGGAAAGTATAAAACGCAGTTTCATAATGAACTTCAACGACAACAAATCTCTGCAAAGAAAAGATTGGAAATTTTATTAGCATGTAAACAGGTAAGTTTTGAAATGAAGAAGATTTTCTTGGTTAGTCTCGTATAAAAGAAATCAAGTAACACACACACACATGCATAGTTTTAAATATGTAAGTGATGGTTCCCGCGTTCCGCGACATTTTGTTTAAAGAGATAGATTGAATTCTCATCCCGATCACCGATAATTAAAGTATGGTCACGTTTCATTGCCAGTGCACTAGGCCCTTTCAATTCTTTACAGCACCAATAAGTGATCAACTCGTGTTCACCATTTCCATGCGACTTTTCTCGTCTTTCAACCAAACGCGATTCCGGATCGGAGTAACAGACTGTCAGCCAATTTCCTTGATCGTCGAGTAAAATCCCATGTGGAACATGAAGTTTAGCTTCGCTATTTGGATATTTACGCGACTCGTGATCATAGATCTTTTGAATGTAGCCCATCTTATCAAAGACGTAGACAGCACCACGGTAATTAGGAGCGTCATCACATGTCACGACGCATTGGTTCTTTCCATTAATTGCGATAAAGTTCGGTTTGACTTTGTGTTGAGTTTGTTCCCAACGAGTTAGATACCATCGACGATTAACATAACGAAAATCAGGTGAAAACACACAGATTCGATGATTCCACGTATCACACATGTAAATCTCGCTAAAAGAAAAATCATACTGACAGTCGTTCTCTCCACAACTTTCAAATTTCAATACCCATTATCGGGATCGACAACAATTCCAGTTGGAGAATTAAATCGGTTATTCGCATGACCACTTTCTTCTATGCCTAACTTTTGTATAAACGTTTTCTTTTCTAAATCGTATAGAGAAATTGAATGTGCTTTGGTCACATATATTTGCTGTCGATAGTTTGGTCGTGGTGTCACACACTCCGGTGTAGCGAGATCGCCACGAAATATTTGTAACAAATTTCCATTATCATTCGAATTGAACATCAACAATCGATTGTTATAGTGATCACAGGCAATAATTTCTTCAGCTTCAGTGTTCAGAACACATATGCCATGCGTGTGTGCCATAGATGTATGCGTTGTTTGACCAATCGCAGGATTTTCATATTGAAGTTTTCTGATTGTCAGATATGGTTTTGTTTCGTAATTGGTTATCGATGGTAGAGATTCAATGGAAGTTGACGAAGAATATTTACTTGAGCGATCCTCCTCTTCTTTCACAGTTTCGACCGAGGGTGCTCGAATGTTCGATAGATCCGGAAGATAACCCGGTACAATCGACGGACGACGTTTGGTTAAGTTGCTTTCCATATTACTAATCGTCTACTTCTTCTTTTTTGACTTCGAGATAAGTAACAATAGTTAAGGTTCGTGTTATTACATTATTATCCTATCCGTTATATATATATACGCTTAGATTTGCTCGGTTAGACAGATAGTTCGAGTACAAAAAAAGAGAAGAAACCTAGTCGTATTCTTAGACAAAGAAAACAAAATCAAAATCTATCAACATAACTCGTCATGACAAGACATCTTACATTCAAATGAATGTCATGACAGAAAAAGATAGACAAGAAGCAAGTAGAGATAACTAATATCATCATAGTAACAGAGCATATTCAATTAATATCAGCTAGACGACATGATAGAAATCTACTTCACGTTGGAATTCTCTTATGTCTTATTCATACTGTCTGGACATAGCTACATCCGAGCACTTTTCACACTAGTCTTCAAAATTTGACCATTCATATGTTTAGTTAGTGAGTGTCTATTGAAAGTTAATCAACATATCTTTCGATGACATTAAGAAGGTTAAATAAGAATAAATAACATGATAATCAGAAGAGCAACAACTAGTAACTTCTGTTGAAATATATAACTAGTGGTGACATTCCTTAATTGTTGACATGAAATATTTACGTCGTTCGCTTTCTCCTTTTAGATTACAGATCGATTTGGTAAATCTATTCAAAACCAAATTCAGCCATTATATCGAAATGTCTCCTCGAATGGTATGTTGATATTTTTTCATTTGACATTTGTTATTCTTGTTCTTCCAGAGACGATCCCATTATCGACAGTGGAAGTATTTGTTTTTGAATTATATTCTCCATACACCGATGTTTTTCAAAACTATACACGTTATGAGCAAGAGCAACTGCAGAATGCACTTGATACCATCCAATTTGTAAGTAGTTCTCGCTTCTCACGAACATCTTGGCGTGTCAAAGAGGAGAATCTATTCATGGGAATCGTTTGTTTAGTCTATACGCATGTCACAAAAGAGTAGAGAACATATCAATCAGAATAACCGATAAAATGAGTTTTCATATTTAATGAATGATGATTTTCTAGGATACAAGTGATACGTCAGGCAGTATCCAATTGCTTTCTGCATCGATTCCAAGTGTATTCGCTATTGCGAATGAGGTAAATCGTATTGATTGAAGAAAATTATGTTACAAATTTGTGCTATGAATAGACTATTGATCGATGTAAACAATTAACCAATGGTCGAACAATCATTAGTCTCAAGAATGTTCTACAAGTATGAAAATGAACAGAGTTGTTATTTATCTAGTGGTAAAATCGATTTCAGACATTTTTTATTGCGTACATCAAAGAATTGCGACGTGTTGTGAACAATATTCGTGAGAGACATGCGAAGATTCTAGGAAGTGAAGATTGGGATTTATTCCGACAGACCATTCGTATTCTGGAGATTTGCGGTAACGTATCTCTCTTTTCTTCATACATAATAATCGATTTTGATTCCATTGTCAAGGTGATCTTATTCTTGCTTACGAACAATTCGAATCGTCATTAGCCCAACAAATGTTACAGATGATCAGCGAATGGTTCTATAAAACACCGAAGTATTTATGCTCTTCAACAAACTAATCACTCATCGGTACCGTACTTCTTTTCGATAGGAATAAACAACATGAAGATATCTATGACATAGCGGTTGAATCGTTCATTATCAACATAACTTCATCAGATAAATATGATTTCATATCCATTGTTGCAGGATTAGAAAGTAAATATATTTAGTTTTCCTATGAGAAAAGGAAAGTAATTGTTTGTTTACTATCATAGATGCTACGTATACCATATTTCCGGATATACCAAAACAACTGAGTGAATTCAGTGATGAATGCCATCGATTTAGTTTCGATGTGGTATTTCTGCCGATTCAATCGCTTCTCAATGGGTTTTCCAAACTATCTGTAAAGATATTTATTTGATCGTTTGTTTTGGAAAAAGTGTTTCTGTTCGCAAGGTCTGGGCAAGTGATAATCGAGGTACAATTGTCGCTGATCTACCTTCACTTAGTTTCGTTCCACAAGAAAACATTACTAAAGTAAAGGGAATATTCTGATCTCATCGATTTTGATTTTCATGTCCATAGATTGGTCAATATCTTCTTATGCTTCCACAACATTTCGAACCATTCAATTTACAGGATAATCAACAATTAGGCATCGCATTTAAAAAAGGCAAATTACCTTTTCTCGAGGATAGAGGTATGCTTTAGAAAACAAGTGATATTCATTTTAACTCTGCTTTTTTTCTCGTTTTAGAACTATTCAATGATTTAACATCCTGTTGGCTTGATTCGATTGCTATGGGCACAATGCGCTTATGTATGGAACAAACATTACAAATCCAAACATTGACCACAACGGGTCTTAAACAGTTATTGATGGATTTACGTAAATAGATGCTCTGCTTTACTATGAACTTTGTTTAATGGGTTTTATTTCAGGGTATCTCTGTAGTGTTCTGGAGGATTTCGGTTTAAAAGATATCGCAGATTTTGATGATATGATTCAATTGTTTGCAGCTGACGAAGTCAAATTTGAAGAACTCGCTCGGGAGAAACCTGCACGTATGGTCTCAACAATACGAACAATGCGACATTTATAAAAACTTTTTCGTGATAAATCTCGTCGTGAAATCGCACGCCATCTTTATTTCTCCGTGAGATGACGTGTCTCTCTTTTAAACTTGTTATTCTCTTCTGCTTATATTTATTTCAATAAAAGAAAAGAACGGAGGCATCGCGATAGAAAACGCGTAATCAATGAAGAATACATTTCGTTAGAAGAAAAGTTTTCAGTTGTTGTAAACATTCCGATGGATTTGCTGGCTATAAATCAGAAGTTTGTTAGTGATGACGAGAATCAAGGGCCATCTTTAACATCAGAAAATCGAGAAGAAAGAATTGCAGCTCGCCGTGCTCGTGCTCTACAACGTCTAAATCAACAAAAAGAGTAAGGAGTTCTTCTTCCGTCGATCATGCTAGGATTGATATTTCTTGTCGTGTAATTTTAGTAAAGACGATCGTCATACTTCGACAGCAGAAGCTGATCAGAAAGATGCAGCGACTTTTGCTCGCAATCAGATCGAACAATCGCGACAACGTCTAGTTAAACTCGAAGAAGATGGCTTAGAATTTGTATGAAATGAAACGATCGATCGGTTTTCGCGAAGATAAGCATTTTGATTAATTGTAGGTGACGAATATCCGTGTTGGACAAGATCTGATTGAACATCAACATCGGCTGGAAGAGGAAGAAGCAACGAGAAAACGAAGAGATCGATTGGAGCAAGATTCGAAATCATCGAAAGAAAAATTTGAAGAAGTAAAACCAAATGTTTGACGAAAATGATCAAATCTTCCTCGCGAATCTTATTTTCAGATCATTAGAAACTGGGAGGGTGCTCGAACAAAGGATGTCTCCCGAGAATTACATGAAGTACTGCAGAAAAGTCTTGATCAATTATCAAAATCCTAACTATTTGCATACTTTAGTTGCTCATGGCTCAAAAGCATGCCTGTGGAGCGATGTTGGAAGAAAAAAACAAACTGATCGGTGAATTGGAAAAAGTCTGTTGATTTTTCAAACGTCGAATCGCTATGAATTTCTTTCAATTAGGATTTAAAAGGTAAAGATGATTATTATGTGAAAATGTTACACAAATTCGACGAAAACATCAAACTTCTCGTCGAACGTATGAATGAACAAGTGAAAAGCCGTCGGAAATACTATGCAACAGAACTGCATGCTATCGAAGAAGCGTTCATTAAAGAGCGACAAGAATTATTGGATAAATACAATCGTGAATGGACAGAAAAACTGGAAGAGCGTCGTCATAAAGAAGTAATGGATTGGATACACTAGCAAATCAATCTATTTTCGTTTTTTCTTTTTTAAATTAGGAACAATTCGCCATTGCACGATTCGAACGTCACGAATCGTTCGAGCGTGATTTACATCGTTTGCGCATAAAACATGCAGAGGAATTTAACGCCACGAAAGCCAGATTAGAAAATCAAGTTCAGGAACAGCAACGTAAAATCGAAGAGATGAGAGCAATCTATCACCTGAGTCAAGAGAAATATGATTACAATTACAAAGTCTTGAAAAAACGAGACGAAGAGAACTCATTAACGATTGGTGTGCAGAAAAATCGGAAGATTCGATTGAACGATTTGTTAACCAATTTGAAGAAGAAACTAGCCGAGAAAGAGAAAGCTTTCAAGGCACAAAGCATACAAGCAGCGGAAGAATACAAACGAACATTGGGAAATACGCAAGAAATCAAACGACAGGCCAAGTAAGCATTGCATGCTTCTTACAAATCGTGGTGTACGAAGATCATTCGTTCATTATTTAGACATTTTCTAACTGCTGATATGGAGAAATTTCATAAACTATGGATTATGAATGAAGATCGTTGTCGAGAAATGACTCAGAAGCTACTCGATGCTGATAGATTAATATTCGAACAACAACTCGGCCTTCCTTGGACGCCATGTGACACTGAATTTATGAATAATGTCGGTCCGATTGATTCGAAGAAACTTCCAAAGCCATCGATCGACGTCGTCCGGGAATTATTAACTGATCAGCAAGATGAGAGTGCCCCGGATAATCTCTTGTCTGGTACATCAATGAAGGCTATTTTAGAATTACTTTGCGATGAGGGAGTAAGTTAATCGTTTTCTTTCGTAACTAACGAAATATCATATTGTGAAAACAAAGGACTTTCTTGTTGAACCGAAACTATTGGCTTTGCTCGAACCGTTGGAAAAAAACGAAAGAAGTTTGATTAAACTAGATGCCATTTTCCGAGCATTGAAAGTTGAAAACGAAGAAGATATTAAATTGATGGCGAAGTTTTTCGTCGATCACATCCAACAACAATCGAAAAATTATGTATCAAGTGGTGCTGGACCTGAACAAGAAGATGACGAAGAAGGAAGACATGAAGAGAGAGAAGAAGTAACGGAGGTTAGTTCGAATTTCAATGAAAAGGAAATTCGCATACGAAAGTATATTCTTTTTTACAGAGTGGTACACGTCAGATCATTGATGCTGATGGCAATTGCATCGAATTAATTCATCCTAATCACGTACTCAAAGCATTGAAAGCCTTTCTTCAAGAATACCGTGGCCATCAAAAGTATGCTCGGTTTGATTGTTTGAAGAAATAAAAACCGTATCATTTGTAGAGCAACGTCACAAGTACAGTATCAAGTTGCAGCACTTGACGAACGCGACGATTCGCAGGATGCAGAATACTGGGCAAAGTATCCCAATGTGATTGACGGACAACGAGAACGTCTTTGGGATGCGTTCACTGTTGGTCTTCAAAAATATTAGTAAGCTTTATTCGTTTTAATTGCCTATCAAAGAATTTGCTGTACATTTAGCGCGACATTAACCGCTCGTGCCAAGTTAATCGAAGACAACAATGCATTAGCAAGACAGAACGATGAACTACGTCTTCTTCTTTCGAAATACATGCAATCGAAAGTCAATCAAGAATTGCAAATTCCTCCTTCACAAATCATTCAACTACAGCTGTCCGAACAATCGGCAGGCAATGGGCAAAATGGTTACTGAGCTTCGACGTAGGGAATATCATCCGAACTCTAAACTTTTTTCCTCTTTCAATGCATTATATATTTTTTGTTGATGAATAATTCTGTCGAAATATACATAAAATATGAAATCGTCAAGAGAATTTCATGTCTGCATCGTTGTCAAGGAAGTGACTTCATTTATTTATTTATTTTCGTCGAATGAATCTGGTTAGTTGGAGTGATGAGTGGCATCTTTTCCTAGAAACAATCAAACGACAAGATTTCGAACACGTGTTAGAAAAATCGCATCGCCGTGATCTGTTTCTTACAGTGAAATGCGTAGCGATAACTTCGATAAGTACAACGTTCGGAGCATTGGTTGGGGGACCGATTGGTGCACTAGCGGGTGCCACAACAGCAACAATGATCGGCTACGGTGCGAATATACGATATAAATCATTGTATGAACTGATTAAACAATTGACAACTGAAGAGAAATTTCAATTATTGACAAAAATCAAAGCACTGCTAGGGGGATTGTTCGACGAACAAACGATTATTTTATGTGCAGTTCGTCAGTAAAATATATCTCTTAGAAAAATCTTGATTCAATATCCGGTGATGATTATTTTTAGTTGTCGCAAAAGAAATCTATCGTTTTTTCAATGATATGAAAGGAAACACCAATTATCTATTGTCATCATCTAACAATTTTATAATTATTGAAGGTTTAGATGAATAAAAAACAAACTAATCCGAATCTCTTTTATGTATCTGTCGATGTTGCTGATTCTGTCTGATCAGTTGATTCATATGTTCGATTCCATGGCTGTTCTTCACCATTGAAGAATATACAATAGACAATGCAACCGAATACGCCGATACCAGCCGAAATATTAAATATATATCGCCATGCTTCAATTGTTTGCTATAATCAAACAATTACCCCGATATGAGCCGTTGCTGAAAGAAGAGTTTCTTACATTGTTGTTTGTGAATGCGCCAACCACTGCAGGTCCAATAAATCCAGGTATGGTTGCTAATGTATTTGTCATGCCGACTAATGTACCTGTATACAAAAGAGAAGTAGATATTCGATTGAAATATATGGTGAAATTTAACCAGCATGATTTGATGCCACGTCAAGATGAGATATTAATGATCCGCATGTATGTAAACCTAGGAAAGCTACAGCAAATACACAGCAAACAACAGAACCAATGTGATCACAGCCCATAAAACCGATAGCAACTAAGAATGCACATGAGCCAATTGTCCCTAAATATTTTCAACAGAGAATTAAACGGAGGAAAGTCTTGAAGTAGGTTGTTTGCTATTACCAACAATTGTTTGTACTTTGCGTAGCGTTGTAATCGAAAGAAGTTGGCGCGCTCGAATACGATCGACTATATTTCCAGTCAAAATTGTCATTAGAAACTGTGCAAAATAGGGAAGAGCAAAAATAAGGCCGTTCTAAATTGCACAAGATAAAAGAAATTTTCTCAAAATGAATTTAACTTAAACCTCATGTAAATTGAAATGAAGAACAGTGGCAAAATAGGTTGGCAGTGATGTTAACAGTGTATAGTATATATAGTTATTGCAGAGATGCATGGCGGCAATAGCGTATACTGGTGGGCAAGTGAAAATTTCACGCCATGGTGTTCTAATTTTCTGAAAGCAGGAATAAATTGAGAAGTGTATGAGCAGAACGCATGTGTATATACTTTGCGAGTATGTGATGCGATCGATTTTTTAAGGAATACACGTTCTTTGTGTGATATACGTGGATGTTCATCTGGCGAATTGAAACCGAAGAAACACCAACCGATAAACCATACACAAGACAGAACGCCTGAAACAGTTTCATTGAAGGCAGGACTTTACATAATGAGCAGATTACCGAATACATAGAATGCTGACGGCCATCCGCCGAGAAAACTTCTTTCAATCATTATACTTATCAATGGTGTTGAGATAATAATACCGAAGTTGGCGCCGGATTGAGATGCTGGTGGAATTGTACTGCGTTCGGATGGTGGTATCTGTGGAAAACAAAGAGAAAGTTATGAGTAGAAAAACATCGAGACGATTGCCGGCACCCATTTGCCCCAAAGAGCGGCTGCAGAAGGAAATCCTGGACTTGAAACGATTCCAGTGACGAAACGAACGATAAAAAACAAACGATAATCAATATGAGCTGCAATCGGTGCTATGAGTGTCAATAAGCCAGATATTAATATTCCTCCACCAAATATCCATTTAGCACCGAATTTTTCAGCTAAATTACCTACGCGAGAAATTTTCTCGTACGAAAACACATGCATACGGATCTATTACCTCCAATACTAAAAAAGAACTTGTTTAGAACAGATCAAGACATTTTGTTCGTATTTGCCTTACACTTGCATTAGCAGATAACCATAGAAGAATGCTCCCAGAACAGCACCTTCAATCTGTGGACTCCAGTCAAAATCATGATGCTAATATAAGCAAAACTAGTTCAGAGCATTCACCATAACGAGCAAATCTCTTTACTTTTTCTGGTGCTGTATTATTTTTACTCGGCATTGGACACGACGTAGCGGATTGATTTAATTCACTTTGAGGTATCACCTAAGAAAAACTAATCTGATATGTCTAGTTCATTCTGATAGTGTACCAACCATAGCGACAATGGCAACAGACAGATTCACTCGCATGGCATAAAGACAGAAAAAGCCAAAAAAAGCCCATACAGCAGTGATATACCGTGCGGGTGCTTTGGCACAGATCAAATTACTGCCAACGGATGGGCCAATTCGAACTTCATCTAACAGGAATTCTGTGTCTGAATCTTTCGTATAATCTGAATCATGTACTGGTGCTGCATCATCTAATGTACTTAACTTAATTCGTTCATGCTGATGATCAGAAGCTGTTGTAACTGATAATAATGCTGCGTCGTCATCATCGTCGTCTCTCGTATCTGAATGAATACTCGAACGTCTCTCATACATTCTACTGTAAAACAGAACTTTCAGATGCAAAAGTTTTTCTTTATCAGCTATATATATGGAGTTTAATGATGCTAGAGAAAGACATTACCTAGTCTTATCTGACTAGGTATAGCTGTGTTTCGTTATCATTTTTTGTATATGTGAACTCGATGAATATTAACATCGTAGCAGATGATTTCATATATCTTTGAAAACAAATCTCTCAAGTAATTTTCATGCCATAGAATTGTGCGTTTGAAATGCCATGATTTAGCTTCGATATGTTTTTTTTAATATGCATTGAAACCAACAAAATTTACTCTGCTATATATAGAATATTTATTCTTATTTCAGCTACATTCACGTTTATTAAGTACGTGCAGTTTGTCTCAAAATATTTTCATTTACAACTCCTAGTCCAATCATGAAAAAAGCTCTTTAAAAAAGGCAAATTTCTATGGTTATTTCTTTGGCGAATTCTCATTGGTCGAAATTTGCCATGATCGTGTTCTATCGATTCCTCAATAAATAAAAATTGATGTAGTTATTTTTCAGCAGCATACACGTTCTTATGGTTTAGGACAAAAATAAACATATTTCTAATAGGCATCCGAGACTTACATGCGAAATGCATACATGTGTTGGCCAGCGTTTGTTATATCCTCTTTTGCTTTTTATTTATCCAGATGAGATAGTTTACATATTTTTTCCTCCTATTAGCTTGTTCGTCTTCGTGGCATTTACGTGGACACTTTGTTTGATTTGATGAGAGAATTTCGTTGGCTATTTTTAGATCATTAACGTGCGTGTGTTGAGTGAGAGTGAGAGTGTGCGCGTGAAGATCAAATCGAGAAATCATCATTTGGCAAAGAACAAATCATGATCGATTGGGTAACTATTTTGATTGCGCTGGCCATCATAGCTGCGTTAGTTGCCGGCTTCGGATTCGTGGCATGGAAAATCAACATGTCCGATCCGTTAACAACGGACAATTTAACTGGTAAAAAAGATGAGACAAGTCAACTTTTTGACTCAGTTAGTGATAAGAAACGTAAGGATAAGAACACAAACGAGCAAAAGAAGAAAAAACGCAATGTTCAAAAGAAATCGAAGCGTGATAGCAAAGACGACGAGGAATCTCAACATGTCACATTTAAAGAACCATCAACACAAACAAGCGAAGAAACTGATAATGAACGTGAAGAGAGCGAGCAGGTAGATTCGAATTTGAGTTAGAAAAAGATTACCATTTGTACAATCTATTGATCTCTTGTAGGAATCCTCATCGACTGCAGCAACATTGATGCCAACAGTCGTCGGTGCTTCCTCGAAAGCTCGTAAACGTAGAAATAAAGCGCGCGCAGGAACGCCGCCACCTTCATCTGGTCCCGTCGAAGGTATTTTGCATAATAAAGACGAGAAGAGTCCAGTTACTAGCCGAGCTCCACCACTTGCTCATCCAAAACTAGTTAGCGGAGTACCGAAAGATGAGGTGGAACTAGCGAAACAACACCATCAACAAGGAAAAGCGCAAGTTAAACCATCCCACGCATCAAACAAGCAAACTGTACTCGGTCCTGTTACAACCGTTAAAAAGACGGCACCACAACCATCAGCAACAAATGCTAATCAAAACGCTCAAAAGTTACAACAACAACAACAACAACAACAGGAACAACCATTCACTACTGTAGTTGGTAAAGGACATAAAGGCCCAGCTCAGCAGCAGCAGCAGCAGCAGCAGCAGCAACAACAACAACAACAGCAACAAACGAAATCCACGGCTACACCTTCCACCCCAGCACCGCCTGTACCTGTCCCTACTCCTCAACAGCAAGCTCCAGTTCAAGTTCAACAAGAACCATTAGCTCAACGTCAACCGGTTCGTCAACAAAAGGAAACATCAGCTCAAGCTAACGGATATAATTCAAATTTCCTACCTGTCAAACAATCAACTGCTCCCCAAACACCTAAACTCGCTGATTTAGTTAAGGGTAAAGTATATAAATATCTGATCATTCCCTTGATTGAATTTTTCATTATTCTTAGCTCTTCCTACCTCGCAAGTTGTCGTTACTGAGCTCATGTCAGCACTTGATGCATTTCCTTTAACAACCGATGAATTAAACATAATCATGCAGAAAATCGCTAATAAACAATCGCTTATCAAACAAGATTGGTCAAAAGTATGTTCTCATCGACTGATAATTAGATTCTATGTGTTCATTTCTAGTTACAACATGGTCAACGAGTCGATCCTCAAGCACATATCGGTCAAGTGTTGGATGAGTCTGCTCGTGCCTATGAAGAAGGTATGTTTTTTCTCGCGTGAAAGACAAGAAGCGAAGGAGAGCATGGTTTTTACTTGATAGATTTGAAGACAAATGCGATGAAACGTATCAAAGAGTTAACAGAAGAAGCACACAATGACAAACGTCGTATAAATGATTTAATCAAAGAAGCGAACGAGAAAGATATGAACATTCAAGCTCTTCGCTCTCAATTGAATTCACTTCAACATCAACATCAACATCCTCAACAACAACAACAGCAATTTCAGACATATGAGGTGGAGTATCGACGACTTGCAGATGAAAACATGCAGTTGAAACAGCGCTTAGCTCAGCAACAGCAACACTTTCAACAGCAACAACATCTGTCGTCATTAAACTTAATCAATAACAATAACTCCGATCCTACAAACGTTCAGGCCCGTGTCGTCAGTGATCAAATTAAGAAATTGTCCATTGACAACGGTAAATTAGAAAAGCAACTAGCGTCGAAAGATGTAGCAATTCAAGAATTGCAGAAGGAAAGAGATTCTTTGATTCAGTACGTTGTCAACTCATGTTAATTCCAACTGTCAAATTAAACATTTCTTTTTAGTTCGAATCAGCAATTATCTCAAAAAGTTCAAGAAAGTCAAAAACAATTTCAACATAACGAGAAGATCCTGAAAGAATTCAACGAGAATCGCACATTGCATGTCAATCAATTGAATGAATATAAGCATCGGATAGAAGAGTTAGAATCAAAAAATGAGCAACTACGTCAAGCGGAACTTGCTCGTGTTGAGTCAACTAATCAGTCAACGTTGAATAATGACGAACGTCAGAAATTTGAGCAAAATATTAATCAATTAGCGCAAGAAAATGAACAATATAAAAAGAAATTTGATGATATACTAGTAAGACACCTTTAATGGGTTTCTTTCAATAACTTTTTTCTTCTACAGTCACAAAATCAATCGAAAGAAAACGAATTACGGCAGGAAATCGACCAGCTAAAGAGCAAGGCTCAACGAGAAGAGTAAAGATCATTTCAAGAGACTTATTCATTGACGAATTTCAATTTTTTGCTTAGATCTCTTGCCAAGGAATTAAATGAAAAGAATACCCAACTGGAATCACTACGAAATGAACTCGAAGAAGTCAAATCAAGAAATGATGTAAATAAATTTTGTTCTTTGTTCTCCCGAGATCAATCGAGATATACGTGCGATTCGCTATGATACAAAATTCACTCTTCTCTGCTGAATTTTCTATGATATATCTACTCTAATTTTCTCACTGAGCGAATGCACTGATTCATCATCGTTTGGTTTTCTTTTTTCTTCTCATAGACAGTTCGGAGGCGAAACTGGAAAGTGATGAACGAATTAAATCTAGCCCAAGAGAAACTTCAAGCTCTGATTCAATCGAATATTAAAAGCCAATAGGAAAAACGAAATTTTTATCATCATGGGGTTTTTCATATCTATCGAACTAGTGCAAAACATATATATTTCTATACTTATTTGTTGCATTACTCGTGGGAAGTGCTTATTTCTTTGAATGAAAAGATTGCTTTTTTTCCCTTTCTTATACCGAATGTGACCGAAGAGTTTGTGCATGTGTTAGAATGACGTTTTGTTAATTTGTTTCAGACAACAAATTCGCAATTGGACGAACGCGTTCGAGAGGAGCATGAGAAACAGAAACAGTTTCTTGTTAATCTATTAGAAGCAGATGTTAGAAATCAGTTGCCAAACGATAATCAAGTAAGTTGATTTCGAATTTCTCGTAGCGAATTGCAAATTTCGTTGAAAAAAGGATTTCAATCAATGGCTTTCATCATATCAACAACTATTCGCATCCAGTAACGAAACAAGCAAGGTAAATATTTCTCTAGTTTAGTGGTTTCAATCATATGAAACCATTTGAACCCGAGTTCGAACCTAACTAATATCATTGCGAAAAAAAAACGCATAATACAATTCACATATCTTTTCATGTTATGATGAACAGCCTTAATCCATTCTCTGAATGTATTATTGATTTATTTCATCAATGCCTTGCCCGTGCCAACCCACTATGCATAGTTAGACTTCCTTTCCGAGTGTCAAGGTTCTCTTGATCACAGTATAGAAAGTGAAGTTTACTATGTTCACTGGCCAGTCGCATTATAAGGCTCGTCATGGTAGATCAATCATACTAAGATTCGAAAACATGGCGTCTGAACATCAGAAAAAGATATTCGGTGTTTTTTTTTTCAGAGAATAATCATTATTTCTCTTGATTTGTTTCAGCGTGCTGTGCAAGCAGAATTTGACAAACTTAAACATGAAAATGATCAACTTCATAAAAATATGAGTGATGTGGTTAGTTGCGGCGAAGTTGTTCTATAATAGATTTTGTTGATGATGCAACATTTTAGGAAACTCAGTTGAAAGACATTGAACAAACAGTGCAAAGTAAAGAAGAAGTTTTACTTGCCGATCTTAAGAATGTAAATTAATCCGTTCGATATTTGATTGATCTGTTTGATTCTATTCAATAGAAAGATGCAATACTTGAAAATATTCAACAAGAGAATGCACAACTATCGAGTGAAATGCAGCACCTTCGTGCCGAAATTGATCGTTTGCAATCAATTAATCAAACCGTTCTACAAGAAAGTCAAGATTTAAAACGTCAACTTGACGAACGACCTCTTCTTCACAACAATCAGAGTTCATCATCGAACGCTGTAAGTTATCTCATATCTCGCCCACTAACTGCATGTTCCACTAGAATCCTCTAACTCTTAGACATAAACGAAAACTAACATTCGTTTCCTCTGCTTTCGTTTGCATCTTTTGCACTAATATCTATGCTTCTTTTCTAACTCATCATTAATCTAGGATGCTTTATTTCCATTGATAAAACAGACACCAGTATCTCCAATTAAGGGTGCGACACGCATTGATCAATTGCATGAACTAATTCGATCAGGCAAAGAAGCTCTTGAAAACCAAGACTCAATTGTTCAACAGCTCGATAGACACTTGAACGATATGCACCGTAGTGGAACCGGAGAGGTACGCTCCGAATTTCGGCCACTTGCCCTCTTTTCGCTCAGGGAAAGATTCACAAACTAACACTGCATGCTGCTTTCTGCACTCGATGTCTTGTGTTGTCACCTGATCACAGTTCCAGTATTGAAATGTTTCGATCTAATTGCTTATCTCTTGTTTTTAGACATTGGAGATAAATGCTGATGAAGCAACAGCGTTATCTTCTCCGTCTCCGTCCAATCAAGACCCAACGCCATCGGAGTCTTGATCGTGTACTGAAAAGAAGAAACCTGACTTTCTTGTCTTTTATTCTACTGTTAATTTCGAATACATTTCTTTTGTTAGAACAAAATCAACCGCAAAGAAATCATTCGCTTGTTAGTTGTTACTATTTGTGTTCGAGCTGTTTTTTCTCTTTCTGGTGCTGTTTGTTTCGTTTTTCTTTTTCATAAATATGACTTTAGTTCATTTATATCATTCTGTTCTTCATTTTTTGTCGCTTTTTATTCTCTTCTTCTTCTTCTTCTTCTCCTTCTTGTTATTTAAAGGAAAAAAAACAAACCAACACCTTTATTAATGATTTGCATTAACGATATTAAAAACATTCATAATTATTTATCAACAAACAAAAGAGCTGTTGTTTTGTTTTTCCATCTTACAAAGATATATCTTAAGTAAATGTTCTCATGTTTTCTCTACAAAATCAACGTGTCTTTTTTAATCATGGTAAACATGTTCGATGAAATAAAATTAGAATATTTACACTGCTAGATTTGAGTCTGTGTTCGTGCGGGGTGAAAGATATCGCGACAAAAGTGTCAGATGTCGTTGAATGTTCACCGAAAATACGATGCTTTATATTTTTCTGCTGTTAAAGAATGAATTCTTCTGAGAGCGAACGGTTTTGATTGGTGTCCGACGGGTGCTCTTGACAATCGATCGGGAGATCCGACAACTCTCTTGAAAATGACGTCACACATGAATGATCAGTGTACAATGATTACAAATTCGATTGATAGTTTACTTTTTTTAAGATCTCGTTTCTTATCTATGGCTCAATCGACGTCAGCCACTATTCGTCATATTTTGATTACTGGTGAACCAGGTCAGTTGTTCATCTTCTCACGTCTTATTGTCCGAAGTCGCCATTAGCAAAAAAATGTCCCAACAACTCATAAAATCTTCAGACTCGAATAATACGCACTTATCAAGAGATATTCATCTTCCGTTATGTTTCCTGGATTCTACTGTTCAGAAGAATCAGTGCGTTTGGACTCAATGAGCAAAACTCTAAGCAGACGGTTCATATATGACTCTCTGAAAACAAAGATATCCTTTCAGGTGCCGGTAAAACAACACTATTACGACGTGTATGCGAAACATTACTTCAACAATCTCAACAGCTACCTTGCTACGGTTTTTATACGGAAGAAGTTCGAGGAAATACTCGCTCACGTATTGGTTTTGACGTGGTTACCTTAGATGGCAAATCACATACTCCTTTAGCACGAACCAAGTAACAATTTTACTTTATCATTCACAAAATGGAACGACCATTGAACATTTTATTATGTTTTAGTGAGCATACAACATCACCGTCAGCAACATTCCCGCGTATCGGACAATACAATGTCTTCGTCGATGAATTCGAACGTGTTGCTTTACCATTGATAACAGTAAATTTGCCATTCTCAGTTTGTGTGAAAAAGCATACATTTCACTTCGTTTAGGATATTCAAACGCCATGCATATGTTTCATTGATGAAATCGGAAAAATGGAGTTGTTATCGAGCAAATTCAAACGACAGATTCAAACATTATTGGATAAACCAAATATGATTTTGATTGCTACTATACCGATTAAATCTGTTCCATGTGTTGATACTATTCGTCGAAGAAAAGACTGTCATTTGATAACTGTAAGTTTTCAGCACGATTGACTTTTGATTAAAACTTTGTTTAGGTTACACGTGAGAATCGTTTTGGAATGACGTTACGGAATGAATTAATGATTTATATCGAAGAATTGAAGAAAGATATATCATAAACTTAGATTTCATCTCGTTATTTTTATGTTTTCGTTTCCTCTTAAGTCGGAAATAAAAGATTTACATGTGAACTACTTTTCTTTCTATCAGCAAGATAGAAAGGGATCAGTTTGATTGAATTCTAATGAGAGTTTGTCTTCTACATGATATTGACGCGACCTTGTTCCTAATAGAAATCTCGTCAAACGAATGAATGATCAGAAATTATTCCGAGTTAGTATATTTTTATTTGTTTATTTGCTCTTGCTGTATCAACATGATCGGAAACGAAGAAAAAAACCTAGAAATGATTGCTCCGACTGTAACATATATGAATAAAATATGTTACTTCATATCTGTTTATCATTTATTTGATTATAGGAGATCTTGTTGTCCGTCTGGGAGTGGTACTTTCACATGGGATTAGCAACTAAATTGGTTCTATGATGGCTTCTAATATAGTATATAGATAAAAATAATATATAATCTTCTCGCTTGTGTTATTATCATAGTTTTGAAGGAAAAGTGTTAATAGGACGTGTTGCGATGTTTGCGCATCTGTTTTGTCAATCTTTCGTACGAGGATTTCGCACGAATTCTTCTCTTTTGTTATCTATCTGACAAAAGTTTACCAAGTCCGTATACTCCGATGGTTAAATTCAGCGGAGTAATGTTTGCTGTATTCTCGGATAATCATACTGAGAAATAATGATATATGTTTATATTCATCTGTTATTATACCAGAAATCATCTAACGGCAGGCGTTTATCTTCTCTCTTCGGAAACTTTCGATAATGGTGACATTTGAAAATTGTTTCCTAGGCATTGACGTCGTCCAATGAACACATTGTTCTTTCCAGTTGAAATGAGATTGAAAAGGAAAGGCATACTTGAGGGACATGATTCGAAAAAACAAACGGGAAAAATAGACTCAAGTTTGACGATTTGTTGAGGAAGTTTTTCTCTTTAGTCATTGATATCATTCAGAAACGATAAATTGCCTTATGGAATAGCTAAGAACGATACGAGAAGAAGGGACGTTGATTTTCTTCGTCTTCTTTTTCTTCTTCTGCTTCGTCTTCGTTGTGCTTTCTCTTTCCGTCTCTCGTTTATTGTTATTATTTTTTCTTGTTGTTATTCTTGGTGATGTGTTCTCGATAGAGTGAGTTTTGTTATCGTTCTCTAATGCGCTGTTCATTGAATGCGTTTTGGAAAAGAACAAAAAAAAATGGAGGAGAGAAAAAGAAAGAAAGAAGAGGCTCGGATTCTTCTTTCTTCTTCTTCTTTTTTCATATACATTTGTGTCTAACTGAAGATGATGGTGAAAAACGAGATGCTACAAACACACCGGCAGCAACGTCAACCGGCTGTTAGAAATTGCAATGATGAGCAAGCAACACGCAAGTGCCTCGCAAAAGATGTAACAGAAGAGAGAAGAAAAAAAATGCAAGAAAAGAATATGTAGCGATGTCAAGCGCGCAAGCGGTGCTGTTGACGGTGATGTTCGGGTGTTAGCAGCTTAATTGTGTAGAACAACCACCATCAGTTAGACCAGACATCGAGAAGGCGTCCACGTCTCCGATTTCTTTGCTCTCTACTTCAGCAGAGATACATAGAGAAAGAGAGAGAGAGAGAGAGAGAGAGAGAGAAGAAAAAATGGAAAAAAAAGAATGAAACACGAACAGACACACGCACACATACAGAAAAGCACATAGATATTGTTTGTTGCTGTTAGCAATGGTGTCTCAGCGTTTGACATGTATTTTACATCAGCGACATGATTTTAGGTAAGAAAAAGAAGCGAGATATTTCAAAAAGACATAACTAGATAGGTTTTGACAAGTTCCGTGTATCTTAATAATATTTCACGTTGTAGTCAGATATAATACAATGCGTTATGTATATACATCCGGTTGTTATTCAATATATAAATATATTCGCAGACAATGAGTAGAAATGAAAAAGAAATTGAAGAGTTCATATTTTGTATGTGTGTATATAGAAAGCCGACAAAAGATTGTGCTATGATTGATAGAATCGAGATATTGTGTGCTGAAATAAGCAAATGTCTGATGACTGACAAACATATGTAGTCAAGCCGTATTTTGCTCATTCATAAGTCAATCTATATTACATTTTTCTTGTCTAACTATCATCTATATTTTCTCATTCTGTTCTATTTGATGACGACAGCACGATGCATTTTACAATCAAGACGATAATGTGTGCGTCTTCACTCTCACGAAACATCACATCATCCGTGAATATTATCATGTCGGTTGATGTGCTGAAATAACCTTGATCGATATAGACTTGTGTTATTCCAGTTATAATTATTTTCCTTTTCTTTTTATTCTCTTTCTGTTTATCACTTATTTTTGGCAGTTACACATGTACTATGTTGTTTGCTTTTTTTTCATCTAACTCGTGTCATGAAAAAACCACATAACGGGAGAATCGTCTGTGAAACGACTGATATGTATATTATTTTGTTCTTCTAGAAAAAGAAATAAAGAACAATTTATTTCAAATATTCTTATTCTGTGTGCGTCTAGTACGATTATCAGATATCTGTATATACACAGAGGACAACGAATGGTGGGGATCTGATTTGTGTGCTCACTGCTTTTTTCCCAGGATTATTGCATCGATAAGAATGGTGACACGACAACGACGATGTTAATCTTTTAGTCATAGGAAATCGGAGTGCCAATTCGTCTTCCATCAATGCAATGCATTACGGTTGTACTTGTCTATTGATGGGGGAAATTCTTTATCGTCTTGAAGGTGAGAAAATCAAAAAGATGAAGAGAAAACTTTGACATGTTTGAAATTGAAAATGAGAGAGGATGAAAGCTTCTTGATGCCTGAATCGGTTTTTATTCGTCTAGGAAATATTCTTTACCTTTTTTCTCTCTGCCGCTTTGAACTTAATTTTTCAGGCAGTATTAAAACGCGTAAGTGTAACTGTCAGAGAAGTGGATTAAAGAATATACTTTCTCTTACTGCCGTTTTTTCCGTAGCTTCCATCTTCAGCAGACAGGTTTTTCTTTCTTATCTATGAAGAAATTTTTTTCCTCGTCTTTTCTGATTATCATTATTTGTGACTAAAAATTAGTTGAAGAACACACACCGACGACGAGTTTACAAAAACAAAAAAATGACGACGAAGAAGAAAATCCTATTCAGATATATTTAAATAGTGGAAGACATGTTTTTTATGAGGGAAAAAACAATAAAGTATTACGAAGTCAGCTTTTTTCATGAGAAGAGAAGAAATATCGATACTAACTATCGCATGACATGCATTTATATATATATAATTACTTGTTTATTTTCTAAATAGAAGAAAAATGATCTTTTTTCAATCTAGGAGACAATGCAAGTGGACACAACATGGGTTCAACCGGCTGTGTCTGACTTAGCGTCTATTCCACTTGAAAGTCATCAGTATAGACATAAACTTGAACAATCTTTATCTGTGAAATCTCCGCCTCTGTCAACATTAAAAGCATCATTAACAGCGACAATTCTCTTTCCATCAAAACGTGTCGAACCACTTGATATGGCACGTTCGCATCGACAAACCACAGAGAATCGCAATAAAGCTGGCTACACACAATCAGCTACGACTGATGAACAACGCCAAACGACAACATCCTTCGTCAGAAATCGTCCTATAAAACGTGTCAAACATCCAGCTGATCGTTCATCTATTCTCAACTTTCTACAACGTCTCTCATCTGCATGCTTAACTCTAATCGTCTCATTGCCATGCATTCTATTCCTCACAATCTCAATACCTATTTGTTGGTTGGTTCGCGCATTCATTCGATTAACCTGCCGACATCATTGTACTGTTATGCCATGCAATTGTAGCTATCTAACCGCTAGTGATCTGTTTTGGTTCTATAATAGTAATATATCATCAAGTCGAGATAAACCAGATGAAACAACAAAATTGAATTCACTAACAAGCTCTCCAACGGCAGCGGCAATCTTCTTTCTCGAAGGTAAAGTTTCATTCGTTCTCAATCGGATAGAAATCTCAATAAGTGTTTCTACATTTTCCAGGCACAATTACTGAAAATTCATTGAAAAAACTGTTACTTAACCGTCTTGTTACAAATAATGCTCGACGTGGTTCAAATACTGGTCATAAATTATTTCCACGTTTTTCCCAAATCATTATTCCACGCTTTTCTGGTGCCATGTGGGTGGATTATTCCCTTTTTACTATCGATGAACACGTCCAAGAAATTCCACATAATATTCAATCCGACGAAGATCTTCAACTGTATGTTTCCACGTTATTATCAACTGAATTGACACGTACACGTCCTTTATGGCAATTACATTATAAAAATCGTTCGTCGTCACGTCCAAATGACAGTGTTCTTGTGTTCATCTATCATCCTGTTCTATCCGATGGAATATCATTATTGAGAATCCTATTAAAGCACATCGTTGACAATCGGACAACGCAATTGGATCTGAAGCCACGTTTCGTCGGTCGACATGACGAATATCTATTCGATTATGTCAAGGCTTTTCTTTTCGGACATACACTTATCTTCAGTAAACTGCTGTTTAACTTGGCAAAAGAGAGTTTCTTCAAAAGACAACTATATCGAAATCATCATACGACAAATAACAACATTTCAACAGTCGACTCACATTTTCCTTCGCTTCAAGATCAACGGAAAGTCGTTTGGTCAGCTCCATTTAGTTTAACTCAACTCAATCGAATGAAACTTGTCACCCGCACACGTATGAACGATCTTTTGTCAACTTTAGTCATCTCAACAATTCGTCTCTACATGGAAAAATATGGGTAAGACAAATGAAATTATTTTGATAAATGTCACATGATTAGATCGAATGTTTCGATGAAAAGGGTAGAGAAATTTCTCGAGTTAAAGAACTCGGATGTCATGTCATGGATAATTTCTTTCTTCTTCATTAATCCCTTTCTCTTTTCTATCTAGGGTATCCAATTCAGTGGACATGAATTGCATTATGCCTTGTGATCTTCGGTCAAATTCTCCGAATATAATTATGGGCAATCAGATCGCACATTTATGTTTACGAGTACCCATGAATATCGAGGGAAACATTCCACTCCTCTGGTCGTTCTTTGAAAATACAAGAAATTTCAAAGAAAACGGCGACTACGCTACCATGTATCTGTTTGTACATATCGTGTATCTAATCTTTCCTTTCTGCCTAGGTAAAACGAATTTGTCTCATTTTGGACTCGAACTGTTTTCGTTTTTCTAGCTAATAAGTTAATCGCTCGGATTTATGATAGCGCTAGTTTCTGGTTAACAACATTGGCCGCCGGAAGTAGTACGGCACTAGCAACAATGTCTGTATGCAGTCGAGATGTTCGGAGTTTGATATGTCTTAGTCCAAGTGTTGGAGCTGCTAGTTTGAATTTTTGTGTGACAACGTATGCGGATGAAATTCGGCTTGTTGTTATTGCGGATCCAAATCTTGTGCCTAATCTGCAATTTTTCACTGATTCTTTCATTCAACAGGTAAGTCTTGTTTATTTCCAGTTTGTATTTATATACGTATGACATTGTTGACTTCTAGCTCCTGATTGTTCAAGATCTTCTTGCTCATCGACGAATACCGGGTGAGATCCGTCGAATCGTTCGGCCACCGAGATTACAGCCGGCGAAAAAGAGTATCAGTAGCATATCTGATATATCAGATGACTTGACCATCGAAGAAGTAAAATAAGAAATAGAGTTTTTTGTTTTCGTAAAACTAATTCATGTTTCTTTGTAGATTCAGGCGAAGATGACGACATTACAACAAGAATTACTTTCGCTCAAAAGTCAATTTGAAAATGTTGATATGTCCGATCCATCCAGTCAAACTCAACGTTTAATCATAACCACGAAATTAGAAGAATTAAGACGAGAATTTCGGGAACTGCTAATTAAACTTCAAGAACGTCAATGTGAACTGTCAGGTATGATACCAAGTGACGAAGAAGACGAAATGGATCCACATGTACGTGTTCGTCTACGTTCGGCAAGTGTCGCATCCAAGATATCTTTGAGATCCAACGATCAAAGACTACTATCAGCCAAGTAAAAACGCAATTTTATCAACAACATTTTGTATTTTCTTTCTTGTAGAATGTATCAATTGGACAAAGAAGAAGGTAGCAGTGAATTCACTGCTGCGATCGTTCCTGCGAGTTTGTCGCCATCTAGAACAGGTCTTGCTGTTCATCAAAACGTAAGAGAAAAGCTATGTTCGACTGCAATCGCCAAACTTTTTCCGATTTATTAGAATGATTTACAAGCAGGAATGCGTCGTGCACAGTCCTTGAGTATCTATGAAAACTCGTCGGTTGATACACAGTCACGAACTCTGTTGAATCCACCTCGACTAACGACACCATCTCGACAGCCTAGTACAACAACGAATACAATTATTCATCTTGATCCGAGTGAAAACTGGAAAAATACAAGTGGAAATTAATTTTCTCTCATTGTTGCTCAATTTATTTTTATTTTCATGTTCATACATCCTAAGTTTTGATCAACTGTGTTATTATGTGTGGTTTGTTTTTTTTATTGTTGTCTCGTCTTGTTTGTTTTTCCTTACAAAAAGACATTTCTTTCTATGTGAATCAATCGAGAAAAAAGATGAGAAGACAAACAATGACTATCGATCTACTTCCTTTATGTATCTCAAACAATTTTCTCATACGACAAAATCATTATAATAGAGTCGATGCTCAGAAATAACACAGAATTTCATGACAAATACATAAGCAGGGATTAATTGTGAAATTTTCTTGTTATTAGCCATCCTTCTCGTTGCCGCTAATTAGCAACATGCATTCTAGGAATAAAACATTTTTAGTAGGAAATGCATCGGTGAGAAATTTCCTTCAATATCTAACCGATATGACTTCCTTTTCATTTGGGCATCTGTTGACACGACATCGTCTGCTTACAGTCGACGTCATTTAAATGTAATAAACGTGAGATGGAACTGCTGCTTGTCAATGTAATCTATTCAAAACGTATATGAAAACTGACTTACAACATGAAGCTAGTCTTTCTAAATGTAAGATGAAGCAGATTCATCGATATACGCCATAATTATATTCATTCCAAGCTTTGTCATGTAATCGATGAGAACTGCTGTCAACAACTTTCATCTTGAATTAATTCAATATGTTACTTATGCCAAGTACACTTAGCTCGAAGAAAGTTTTCGCATCAGGGCAATTATGTCGAGAATCGACTAGGTAATACTAACGATCACTTGACTGTACAATTGCGAGAGCGATGTTCTCCTGATCATTAAATTTTTTTTAAAACAAATTCTTCTGTGTTTGTTTTCAAGGTTTTCCTTTTGCGCTGCATATTATGCTTAATATATCTAATGTGCATATCAAATAAGCATAAAAAACAACCTTGAGTCATTTGAGTATCATTTCTTCGCAAAACAACGATTGGGTATATTTGAAATGGAACTTGAACGTGATATACGCTTTGTCATTGTAACTCAACTCAAAGATGAAAATTCGATTGAATCGTCGAAAACGAAACCAAATGAATATAAGATTCGTTTTATTGATCAATTCAAAACCGTTGAGGAATTCAATTCGCCGGATGATAATTGTACACCGGAATATGTCGATGGTTTGCAAATGAAACGTCGTTTTGTCAAATCGAAACATATGGAGACGTTCACTAAAGGACAGGACCGTTTGATTGAAATCACTGAGCCTACTCGTGATCAACCGTATATTGATGTTTACAAACATTATCCCATCGATTCGTTCGATTTATGCATTATATCGTCGCGCATAACGCACAAAACCATGTCCATTAATGACTGGTGGTCAATTTTCAAGACATTACTGCCAAAATCAATTGATAAGAACACCGATGACGATGGTGATAACGAAAAGTTGATTCGACTGTTGTGTTCACCGGCATTTAACATTCCATTACCGAAGCAATTATCACAACAAGCAGCTTGTTTGATCAAATTCTACGAAATGTTCAAAGGAAGTTTATTTCCTATCATCCGCCAATCGGCATCATCATCGAGTTTATTATCCACAGTTAGTCATGTCCTTCCATTGATCCAATTATCCATACGACCAAAAATTGTCGAATGGTTTGACGAACGTATTCGTACTCATAAACGGTTGAAGAAATTCCGCGAAAATAATTGTATATGTTTGGCAGCATCAGGTTCAAAGGCAACTTCGTTCCAGTACGATTTTTCATTGATGGAATATCATATTATCAGTCAATTTAACGCAAGCGAATGGCAATTGAATACGCTGGTGAAACGGTTCGCGATGAAACACTTACGTTGTACATTGGATAATTATTTTCTTCGGACAAGTGTGTTATGGATATGCGAAATACATGAATTGGAAAATTATCATCATATTTTCGAAGTTTGGGTATCATTTATGCGTGATGTATGTCGAAAAAAGCACTTAGCACATTATTTTCTGGAAAATGTCGATATTTACGAAGAACATCGTGGTTTAGCAGACACCATCAATCGCATTGATTATACAAATATCGATTTATTCGTTGAAAAACTTCAGGAAAATCTCATCTTCCCATATGTTCATCAATACACCGATCGAATGAAATGCTTATTGAAATATTTTCAATATCAACCTGTTCTATCATTCAAGATGAAGATGATCTATAATGTTTACATCAAACCTCAGTTTCCGAATGCAAATTGTTCGATCGAAGAAATGTGCAGCATACTTTGTCATTTGTCATTTCTAGAAGACGATGATCGAGAGAATATCACGAACTTTTGGGACCAACAGTGGAAACCGTTATTTATTGATTTCAATCGCGAGGATATTGCCGTTATTCAATCGAATTCTCTTGACTATCGGCCAGATCAATTAGCACAACAAATGACAACGAGTGTGTTCAAACTAATTCAAATGGATCTACAGCAAATGATTAGCGTGTTGAAATCTCCATCGACAACAAGCAAATAGAATGACGTGTGTTTATTAGAAAGATGAAAATAAGACTAGTGAGTGCACGGACTGTATCACATATACGAAAAATATCGATCTATTCGCTTCGACCTTCAGCTATGGATAAGATCGATTGAACAGATTTCTGTGCTGTTTGAAGATATGTATTTGCTTCTTCTCGATAGTTTTTTGGTGGAACCTAAACGATTAGCGTAGAATCAGTTGAAATGAAGAATTGTGTTGTTACTTTTGCTTGAGAATCACTTTCTTCGCTTGGATTTGTGTCAGCTGTTACGATTAATGATGTGGAAAAGATTTCAATGCGTTTACACGCACCATAGGCTGCTGTTTCCAAGCACTTAACACTAACCTGAAAGGTTGAATTGAAAAACAAGTTTGTTATGGGCTGTGTAACTTACGAGAAAATCCGTTTTTGTACTGAAATTAAACAATGGAGCTAAACGTTGGAGAGGTTCCCACAGATCATTGATTTGCCGCATGATATCTAATGAGACATCGAGATATCGTTGTAAACAACGATTCTCGGTAATCTGTTTACTGAAATCGAGCGAATCTTCAATTGAATATCACGAGTGTTCTCTTCGACTTACAAACGTTTTTCTTCTTCATTAGTTTCAGCCATCTTCTGAACTGTCAAGAAAGCATTCAACGTTTCAGTATCACTATCCAGCGTATTCATTAATGTTTTCGTTGTCGCATGCAATGGGGCAATGATAACTCGCATTTCCTGCTCTAATGATTCCCACTAAACAAAACGAAATTCAAAATACAACGGTTTTCCTCTTCATCAATCACATTACCTTTTTCATTCCATACGTTAATAGTGCACACATGGTGCTAAGCGCTGTGCCAAGTGTTGCAACAAGGGACGTAACGCAGCTTCCACCAGGTACCAATGATCGCGAACTAATATGTTTGACTAAATCTTTAATTTCCATTGAGTTAATGCTGTCATCATGCCCTTCGCGTTCGCGAATGATATATTCGATAATTCGCTCTTTCGGAATGAAGGGTGCTATGGAATTTAAACCTAGACGTTGGATAACCAAACGGATCTTTTGGTCTTCGTCGAGAATGAAGAGATTTTCCTTTTGAATGATCGATTCTGCAGCCATTAGCAATGGTTTTAACGGTACTAGACCGACGATTTGCGAACCACATATACCTACATTGAGCGCTTCAGCTTCAGTGACACATTGATTGTAAGCAGTATGAATGTTGGTTATTTCGAAATCAGTTAAATTCAGTGAGATCTGTGCTAAATTCGATTCTTCAAGCCACCAACCCAGACCACGGACGCATTTTAATTTACCAGGCTAGAAGAAGTGTTTTTCTACGTTACATGATCATTCAGAAAATGAGAAACGCTTTACTTCATCTTTGCCTCTTCCTTGTTCGCGAACATTGAGTGCAATTCGATGCGCTTGTTCCTTCGTACCAAGTAAGTTGATATTGTACGCAATCAGGAATTTTCGCGCACCAACACACGTCGCACCCCACGATGGAATGAATTCCGCAGGACCTATAGAATATATCTTCATCGGTAAATGAGAAGTCAAAAATAATGCTATCTCTTACCGAAATCAGGTTTCCATTCTTGTTTCCTGATCTGAATAAATACACGTCTATGATCAAATATGAGTAGTAATTAGCAGTAATACAAACTTTGCTATAGAGTGTTTCATATTCTCCTTCGCGAATTTGTGACAGATCTCGACGGTACTCTCGTTCTTGTGCTTCGCCGTACAAGTAAACAGGCACACTCAATTCCATGGCTAATCGATCTGCGAATTCGCGTGCGATTTCAATACAATCAGCCATTGTTGCATTTTGAACCGGCACAAATGGCACAACATCCTAAGCACCATTTTCCTTTTGACTCACACTCTTGTCTCGAAAGAAATGAACGTACCATTGCGCCTATACGCGGATGTTCACCGGAATGTCTTGTCATATCGATCAGATTGTATGCTGCACGACCGGCTGCTAAAGCAGCTTCGATAACTGCTTGTGGATGTCCAACAAACGCTTAAAGAAGACAGAAATGACGCTATTTTGATACAACTAGAAATTCAATCGAATTTTACTATAAATCGTTCGATTTGTTGACAATCCCGGATCGATATCCAGGAGAGCAACACCTTCTACACCAGCAATCGCATGAGCAATTGTATCAATGACCTAGGAAAAGCAGACAATTCCGTGCTTTAATTTCATTGAAATCAGACTGCTTACTTCTTTTCGTTGACCTTCAGAAAAGTTTGGCACACATTCGATGACTTTATGCAAATCATTCATCGTGAAACTTCTAAAAAAAAACGATGTTTTCAGCAGCTGATAATGTTCTGTTTTTTCTTTTTTTCTTTCTTTTGTCAATTGACAAAAACCTTCATTGAAACGTACATACACGCAAAATTTCTTTTAATGTCTCACTTTTTTTCTCGACTTACTAAGAAACACGTCAGTGAAGAAAAAGGAAGCTGCACAAACGAGAATGAAGTATGCCAATGTAATTCTCAAGTTGCTTTTCATTTTCTTTCTTTTGCTCGCTCTTTTTTCTCTTAATTTCATCTGCCACCATTATTTTGTTCAGAACGCACGTAGTCGAGTAAATGTAAGGACAATTTGTTTTTTTTTATTCAGACAAAAGAAACTATCTAGATGGAAAGTAACTGTGGACGATCATTGCTTAGGAACGAATAACAGCAGCAAATTGAAATAGAAGGAAATAAAATTTTCTCTGACTTGACAACAAAGAAAAAGGACGACGAGAAATAAAAACTTCTCAAGTTTCGACCCAAGCTGTATCAAATACTCGACTGTTCGTTTGATACTCTTGTTTTCTGCTAATGAAAATAAACCATATCGAATCGGATATGAAGGATTTCCTGAAGTTCTTTTTTTATCAACATCATTTCAACAGGATGTATCCATGAAAGATAAAAATACTTTGTTAAATCAAATATGCACGATATAGTAGAGTCGAGATTGAAGTTCTCCATGTCTGTCTGCACAGCACGTCGTGTTAATGTTATTATTTGATTGGAAAAATTGATTTACATAGAAATATGTATTTGGTAATTTATTGTTTACAAAGAAAACAGATGAAGGAGAGGATACAGTTTGAGATTATGATGTGGTGTTCCATTCGATTGCTTTACAAAATTCTTCTTCGGCAAATTGAAGCATTTTCGATGCTTCGAGATGAAGCTAAAGAGAAAAGGATTTTAGCAAAAATGAGATGAAGAGAATTCGAAATTACTTTTTGTTTTTTTAATATATCGATTAATTTCAATTGTCTTTTGAAAGCGTTCATCAATTCGAGACGTTGCTTTTCTAATCGGCGATTTTCGCTCGTTAATTGTTCGATTTTCTTCTTATCTTGTTCGCTGAGATCTTTTGTTGTTTGCTGCGTCTTCGCTAATTGCTGTTTGTATCTCTCAGCTTCTTCTAACGCACGATTCAGTTTTGTATCGGTTTGTGTTTGATCCTGTTGTTGTTTTTTAGTTTGACGTTTACTTTGTTCGTATTCTTTCCGCAAGGAAGTCAGTTCAACTTCAGTAGTGTCGAGTTTCGATTTCGTATCGTTGCTCAGCTTCTTGTACTTTTCTAGTTGATCTTGTAATGTTGTAATGACGCGATTGAGGCGTGTTCGATCGTCATCCGATTCTTTGACTTTCAAGTTAATACGTTCGTTTTCTTCGTCCTAAAAGCAAGTGTGCATAGTTTTGTCGAATTTTGTCTGTACGTACTCGCTTGGCACACTCAGTGTGCATACGATCCAGTTCTTCTTGCATAACGCGAAGACGTGCTTTCAAAAAACGAATTTTAGCCTCTAAAAATGAGTCGCGGATTTTCTTGAACGATCTTCATCGGAGGTTTATCCTACCGGAACCCATGTCTTTTGCTGCGGCAGGAAAGATATCATCTTCGTCTGCGTCCAGAGCGTTGGCATTTGTACTCATTTTAGTTCGATTCATTTTTGTCTCGATATCCGCTATTGCTTTATCGAATGTGTTCCGCGCTCGATCTTGAATTGCAGTCGGATCGATTGACTGATCATAGCGATCATTGTCGTCATTAACAAGTGCCACATCGTTGCCTATCTTTGACTGAGGTCTTCTGAAATGAAATCGACCTTCGATTACCTATGCATTCACTTGTGAACTCTAAACGTACGTAGCCGATGGTTTTCTTGTTCTGGCCGATAGGTTTGGTTGTTGCCCCGATGGTAAACTTTTCTACATGAACAAACAAGAATTGCTATGATGATTAGCATGATTGAAAAAAGATCTTACCCTGTGATCAATTGGTCTCGATGTTACACTTTGCATATCTCTAGATAAACGAGAAATGACAAGTAAAATCGACAAATACAACTCAGCTCACCGATACAATTGATCATCAGTATCGACTTGATCGAGTAAACTATATGTTCGATCATTGTCTGCACCAGCAGAAAGTAATCGATCTTGATTTCTCTACAAATAAGACAAACTATGAATTTAAATCGTGAAACGTCGTGAAAATCATACTGACCAACACTTGTTCTGCTTCTTCAACAAGTGCTTGGGTTTTCGCTTCCAATTGCGCATTCAATCGTCTATTTAAAAAAAAAGATAACTCTCACATTCATCGTTTCGTATTTCAATCTACTTGTATTCTTCTTCCTGATCCGCGTAATCTGTTGGTGGTTTCGGCGTTCGTGTACTTGGTCGTGATGTTGCTGATGGCTGAGTCGTCGCGCGATGTGATGACTTGGCACTCATCTATAAATAACCATAATAAAAATGTGAGCATTTACAAAAACAAACAAAAAGAAGAAGAAGAAAACATTTGTCATTAGTCAATCACGTGATTAGAAAAGAAAGAATAACTTATTCTTATCCGATAGAAAATTCAAGAGAGAAATAAATCATAGCTGAATAAACAAACGAACACGTAGTTCATAATAGCAAAAAAATTGTCATCTATTATTTCGTCTTCTTTCATGCAACTATCTTTTAGACGTATCCATACTTTCATTTATAATACAATAGATCTGCACAAAGATGTCATCAATTAAATGAACAGTCGAATAGAAGAAAGAAGAGAGAAAAGAAACAGAAGAGTAGTTATTCGATAGAGAATTGAGGATTAACGATCGTGAAGACGCGATTTCGTGCTTGGTAAACGGATTGATTGTTGACGTTGAAAAGATGTGGTTATGGCAGTATCTTGAGCATGACGAACACCTGTTCGAGTATATGGATAGACACCGAAAAGATTACTACTTGACTGTTGTCTCTATAAGAACGAAAGTATTCAACAGAAAGATAAACAGACGAATTCGACGCACTCGATTAGTTTCTAAGGATGGTTTTGGAAATGTAGTTTTCGTTTGTTTGATTAACGCTTTGCTTGTTTTGATCAAATCATGACTGGGATCCTTTTTTTGTTAAGAACAGAAATGAATTTCGGCAAAGATGTTCACTTATCACTTACTCGTTGAGGTCCAAGTAGAATTTTGCTTATGTGAGCAAAATCACCTTTAGTAGGGTGATACTAAATGAAACAAAACATAGTGCACTGATTGAATATCATAAAAACGTACATATGGCCGAGAAAAAGATGAACCGTACGTGTTTGTATTGATCAAATGACTATCACTAGCATACAAAGATTTTCGTGATTCTGGAGTACTATTCATAAACAAAAAGAAAGGAAATGAACACGTCTATTATTTCGATGAACGATGAACAATCTTACCACGAATATTTATTGATATTTAGCTGTTGTGGTTGATCCATAGGACGAGTGTAAGGGTGTGTGGCTGATACTGAACATAGAGAACGATGTATTTCGATGAAAATCAACTGAAAATAATACTAACTAGTAGTTTCTATGTCAGTTTGATCCATGATGTCCGATCCCATTTGGTAAGTCTTTAAAATAATTTACTTTAGATTATTCAAATGACATGTGAGTTTATCTTACGGAAACTGCAGTTTGTCTCGAAGGTGCTCGTTGAAGATTTGACATTGTTTCCAGCGGTGGATGGCATTCAACAGTTCGACTGCGAATTAAATCTCTTGACTGAAAAACATAATATTCATTCGATAGAAACAACCGAAAGATTTACTTTCGATCTCGGTTGGATATTACTATGAAAATCATCCTTCTGTTGTGATAGCTTCATTGTCGATAGATTATGACTACTGTTATTATTTACTGGAATACCGTAAGCATTTGTATTAAGAGTTGGTACAATAGCCATAGATAAACGATGTATATTTGATTCGGGCATTTGTTGATGCCAACGATTTTCTGTTGTATCAGTAGTGAATCGTTTCAATCTTTTACCTGCATCTTTTGATGATGTTTGAGAAACACGCGCTGATTGTTTCTGTTGTTGGTGCTGTTTAGGTCTTAATAAGACTCCTTTCAATGTTGAAGATGATAATAGCGTAGGCTGTGATTGTTCAGGTACTGTTTGCGATTGATTTAACAGTAGTGATAGAGGAGCTTCTTGCGGAGCTTTGACATACTTGCGTCGTAAGCGATTGTTATTTGAAAGAACATTACTGACATCGTCGTCATCACTTGAGTCATTGGAACTCGTCAAGTTGACAGGAAATGGTTGCACATGGTCTTCACTCAATGATGATCGAGGACTTGTAGATGTTAAATCCGTTTTAGATTGTTGCTGTTGTGAAGCAGGTGCTTGATCACTCAACTGTGTATTACTCCGATACTTGTTCGGTTGTAAAATGAGTGAAGAAGGAACCGTAACAGATATTTCTGTGGTGTTATCAATGCCATTGTTTATAGATGATGCAGGAGATCGATGACGAGGTTGAATATCGCTTGTATCATCACGCCTTGAAGAAATCGAGTGAACATTATTTTATTCAGTTATCGACTCTTTCCTTAAACATACCATCTACTTATACGGCTATCACCATAAGGTACATTAAAACTAACTAAATCAGGATTATTGTTATTGTTATCATATTGAGTTCGATGCATATCAACAATACCAACAACGGTTTTTCTAAAGAAATTCACTGTGCGGTTAAGAATAATACTTATTAGAATTCACTTACGGACGTTGCTGACGCGATCGTCTCACTGGTTGTTTTTGGTTTAAATGTGTAAACGCTATATGCTGAACGCATGCTCCCGATGCAAGACGCTCAGGTGCATACAAACGTAAAGTTCCCTATAAATCACCCAACTACAAGAGAACAAGTCTCAAGGTAAGCATTCGACTTACTTCGAACACCGACATAAGATCAACGGGAAATATATGTCCAAACTGTCGTTCTAAGGTATTCAACTGCTGAATAGTTGGAAACTAATAGAAAATAATAGTTAATTGTTGTATGGAAAAGAAGAGATAGAATAGTAGAATACTTTTAAACCATCAAATTTTGGATTGGTTTTCATCGCTTCTACATACTTAGCTGGCAGCGGTCCTAAGCATTTTTGTATGCGATACAACTGATCGATGTCACTTTCACCCGCTAATGGAAAAAAAAGAATATTCATAATCACGGTATGAGAAGAAATAGTAAATGCAATACCAAACAATGCTTGACCAGTAGCTAGTTCTGCCATAATACCTAAAAATGCCAAATCATCCTTTTGGAAAAACACACAAACGTTTTTAGCATACATCCACATGCCCAAATATCGACTGGTTTTCCGTATGGTGATCTAAATACAATTTTGTATTCTAAGTATGAAGATAAACACTCTAGTAATGCGGTTAAGACGCGCATTGGTTTACTTTTGTTGAAAGCAATCCTCACAAGTTCACACTACTCTCACACGTATTCATTATTTGTATAAGAACAAAAGCAAAATTGGATTATGAACGGCAATCACTTCAGTCTCGAAATTGAATGATGATGACATTTTATGCAGACGTAGACAACTGATGTTCTGTGCGCGAAAGAGTAGTACTACTTTTTCATACCCGATGAGTAATTCTGGTGATCGATACCATCTTGTTGCAACCTTATTGACATAAATATATCGAGTGATTTTCTATGGAAAGTAAGTTCTTACATAATCAGTGTAGAAATCAGCCGTTGTTTGGGTGTTACAGAACCTCGCAAAGCCAAAATCACATAATTTCAACGAAAAAGATTTTGAAATCAGTAGATTTTCCGGTTTAATATCTCGATGAATGATTTCATGCGTGTGACACCAATGAATAGCACTAAACAGTTGATACGACAACTGCCGTACTCGGTCTAATGCTAAACCATCAGGATGTTCCTGAAGAACTTGCAACATATTCCATTCAACATATTCGAACACCAAAAAACATTGTTTCTTATGTCGAAACCATTCAAGTAGTTCTACGACATGTTCAAATCGAAGCGACTGAAGTACTTTCAACTCCCGTTCAATGATATCCATATCGGGACAGTTGCCTAAATTAGAAATAATAACATTTTCTCACGAAAACAATTCGTATTTCAAACCGGCAGGTGCTTGTTTAAAATGTTTGATGGCAACGATAGTGTTCGTATCCTAAATAGACCACATCTTCTGTTTCGCTTTTTCAAATAACTACTATTCACATACTTTTTTACGAGCTTTGAGAACTACGCCGTAAGAACCTGAATAATTTTCAAAATGAATAAATCGAAAACAAGAATCGATCCTACCTTCACCAATCTTTCCAAGTATTTCATACTTATTCTTGACGTTCGCTGGTATATGTTTCATTGTCAACGATGTGTTTGAAATTTTTGTTAAAAATGATTTTACTGAAGAACTCGTAGAAATAATTGATCGACGAGTATTTCGATGTCGTTCTTTTCTTATCTGACTATTAAATGTTTGAAGCCCCGATTTATAATTTTGTTGATAGTGACATAGCTGTCTTTTTACTAATGCTTTGTTTGCTTCTTTCTTAATACCTTTTCTTTACTTTCACTATTCGCCTTCTTCAATCCATGCTTTTAATTCATCTTCTCTCGTTTGCCATGGTGACAAATATATTACAAAGAGTGAATCGTCGATAGAGGTCGCTTCGTATCAGATCACAGTTACTGGACAGACACATACAAATCGTTTATAAAGATAATCTATTTGTATGAGAATTTGAAAAATAATTTATTGAAAAGAATTGCCTGATAAATCAAGGCTAACATCTCATGGAGATATTTTACCAGATAAAAACAAACAGAACAGAGTGTTAGATCATATATCATGTAAAACGTATTCTGCAACAACGAGACGATCTAATACAAGAAATGCTTCACGTATTGCTTTCTTCATATAGCACTGTATGTTTGATTTTCGTGAAAGGAAAAGCGTATCATACATATATACAAACTATACACACGAAAAACAAAAACAGAAGTATCGATATTAAAAATCACATCCATCCATTCCATCTAAATAGAGTTCGAATTCTTCGCGATTACATTTTCCATCGGTAGTAAAGATATGCTTATGAAATGTGCCATCAAAACTTGCGGCAACAACATGACTAGGACCGGAGAATGCACATATGCATGGCCATTCAATAGCGACTTTAAAACTGCATAAATCACCAAAAGCTTCATTTAGCGCATGTTGAATTGAAACCATTCGATTCAATTTCGGATCACGTATTCCGTATAAATGAACGGTGCCTTTGTCACTTGACACGCAGAGAAAACTGGAATCAAAACTAAAGGCTATGCTATGGATATCAGCGGTGTCCGATCCACGACGAAATTCATATAACTTTTCACATAAGCCTGTCGTTGAAAACACACGTATCAACGTTCCCTAAATAAAATACAAAATACTCTACAAATCCTTCCTCCACAAACATACTCGTTTGGAAGCAGTAGCTAACAACGTTCCGACTGGATTTAGAGCGATCGCTGCTAGTTCACTCGTATGAGCTTGTATTATTCGTGGATTATACGACATATCATTTTCGATTCCGTTCATATTCTAAACGCCAATATAACATGTATTTTGTTGTACATATCTTCAGCTTGACTTACTAGAAACTGTACAAAGCCACCTTTTACCTTTGCATTGAAAGGAAAAACTAATAATGATCCATCATTATTGGAAAGTTCACAAAGTCCTAAACATAGCTCTTTTCATGTTGAATGCTCTTCACTTAAGTATTTACCTCTCGGATTGTCTCTTGTCTCAATTGTATGTAAAAGTCGACATTGATTTGGAAACGAGAAAATATGCACCTTACTGACAAGTACAACAATCAGTCTACAAGAATGCAAATCTTTTTTAAGCTGATAAGAAACTCGAGGATTTCAAAGTCAAACCTTGTTCGTGACATTCGGATAGAAACAACAGGTAGACTAAAACACAGTTCAAGCACATGTGTCTTTCGTTCATCATCGTACACATTAACTAAATGAAACGAAACCAGTTGATTCTATTCACAAGTACTCAATATAATTATCGACATTCTTACCAACATTTGATGGTAAACCAGTAACACGATCAGCAGGTACATATGCGATTAAATTTGTGCGATAGAGCATTTCTGCATAAGTGACACGATCCACATCTAACGTAGAAGAAGTGTCTATTCGAACTGTTCGAAAACACAAGATTCTCATTTACCAAGGAAACTCTTTTGAGCAAACGGTTCGACATTGAATATTCGGATACCATCACTTGTGGCACAGATGAAACAACCTAAAAGTGAATGAAAATCTATTGGCGTTATTTCTTTTTTATATCTCTTACTTGAATCTTGATTGAAACGTAAACTAAGAACGTCAGTTGTTGTCCGTGGATAACGATACATCGACATGAAATATCTGAAAGAAAAATCGAAAATAAACTATTGATTTTATTCCTAATGATTTTATTGGTTGATTTTCTCGACAATTGGTTTCTTTTTATCCTTCTTGTTTTCTTTTGCCATATTGAATCACACGAAACGCAAAAAAAAGAACGTAGAGAAGAAGAAAGATTTTGACTAAAATGAAAATTTAACAACTTAAATATATATGTATATACAAATACACTGGAAGTAAACAGGGAAGAGTAAAGAACTAAATAGAGGACTTGACAGTGGAGAGGAGAAAGCCGTCAAATTGTTTTCATTCAATTTACCGGTTTATATTTCTAGTAGACAAAGCACCAGAGAGAAAGAGACAAAAGTTTTTGATTTACGTATCAATGCTGGATGAAAATGTATAGTCACGAGCGTTTTCTTTCGACCAATCGATTTGAGAAAGAACTATATCGACTTCACCTAATGCACGATTACCGCTCGTTAGCACATTGTTCCAAACACTGACGCGAAGAAGACGTCTAAATAGAGAAATTTCATTCGTTTTGTCGTTTCATTCGCTCAGGCAAGTCTTACTTCTGAATTTCGGATAATTCCATTTGGTACGTAAACTAAAATATGAAAAACTTCTCTTTCGAGGAAAAGAGATGGATCAATTGGTTTACTCACCGTATCATTAAAAATCGGATTTCTCGTATTCATAATCGTTTTTCCTTTTTGTTTTGTTGATTTACATTCATCCGGAAACAGATAGCATTTACAATACGGATTCGGATCGTTACCACTAATCAATGGCTAAAGAAGGTACACATGCATTCTTTCGTTTCAATTCATCGAATTATTCAGCTTACCAAATTGTTCGCATAACGAACCATGACAAATAATTTACCAGCATCGTATCTCAACTGTATGCGAATTTTAGTTTGGCTATTCGAAGGATTGTCATACATCGAACGCGATGCAAAATCTACGGCAGATTTTCAAAAAATGAGAAAGCAAGTCGTTTTAGGGAGAATACCAACCATCATGAGATTTTTCTTTGGTATCATTTATCTGTTGATCTTGTTGGATTTGATGGAAGAATGTTATGACAAGATCAGACTAGATGAATGAAAAATGAATTGAATTCAATCGATATGACATGACTTACTTCGATAACTTCAGTTGTTAGATGGAATAATTTTCCGAGAAAGTCATTGATATCACTAACGCGTCGTTGCGCGACCATTTTATCTTCTGCTTGACGAGTAAATTTCAAATCGAGATTAACCAGCGGAAATTGCTTATTTAAGCGTTCGAAAAATTCATAGAATTCATTGTAAGTACGATAATGATATGTACTATATAAACTTTTACTATTTTGATAATGAATCATTGTGGAATCGTTTAGATTTTCACGTTCAACTCTGACTTTGTATACGTAATGTTTATTTGGATGAGTTCGTTTTTCGTAACTGACGACTTGACCGCATTTGATCTTTCCATCTGTTGCTATAGTATATGTTTTCGGTACAAATGATAATGTTGATCCCATCGGAATCGCGTTTGATGAACTCGCTGAGCTTGTTGTTTGTGCGAATGCATGAATGAGAAAGTTCAATGTTGTCCAAGTTGAATTCAAACTATCGACGATTAATTCCGTAAAATTCGTGATACTGTCAGCGTAGGTTGCCGAGGGCGACAGACGATCGTAGACAAATCGAACGGCATCGTAATTGAGATTGGCGACATTTGACGAACACAAATGTGAAAGAAGCAAGAGAAGTAAAGACGAATTTTGTCGAATCGTGCAGAACGCATTGCAGCATAGATCAACAAAACGATGTAATGCATCATTCGATGTACCACCGTCGGACATGGCATATAACATTTGTTTCGTAAACACAAATGGAGCACGATCACTAAAAATGCACGTTATTTCGTTGAAGTTTTGCATTGTCAATCAACTTACCGATTGAACCAACCGAATTTCTGCGTATCGCCGAGATACTTTCCAAAATCAATGTGAAACAAATGTCCCGATTGTTTAACCATAATGTTATCATTATGCCGATCACCAATACCTAGTATATATGTTGCGACACAATATGCCGCACATGAGTATGTGAGATTTTCAATTGCCGTACGAAATTCTCGCTCTGTGGTGTTGTGTAAACGTAGCCAATCATAGAGAGCAGATTCGCCAAATGATCCTTTAATTGTACCTGAACGCGATTCAATTTCTCTCAATGTTTCACTCTCGGTGACCATTTCGATGAATCCACAACGTTCTTGTGTTTGCACAACATTGAATAAGCTCAAACGAAAGTCGAAATCGTTGCCTTTCCAGATCCGATCCATACATGAAAACAACTGAAGAACGATTTGATCTTGCTAGAAAACAAAACATGATTTACAGAGAGAACGTCGAAGTTCAGACATACCCGCAAATCGTCACCGATTTTGTAAATTGAGTAATATTTCTCGCATGATGAATCCGTCGGATTAAAAACCAGTTTTATTGGTACAGTTAAGGAATTATAAAATGAACACGAAGGAATATCCAAATTATTCGTCATAAAATTAAATTGACACGGTAAACGACACGTTAACTTCCTCGATTGGAAGAATTCATTGTTGATCTCTTTGAATTGTTCGACTAGAAAATTTCCTTTATTACTCGATTTATAGCCTTTGAGTTTCACTCCAATCCGTTTTAAATTCAAACATAAATCATATTCATGTTGTAATTCGGCACGAAAGTTGTCGTCTAAAACGTAGAGTAGCGAAAGAAATAGATAATAATACCGTATATAATGCAAGTGCTCGGTTATGAGTAACTGTCGTAAATGCCAGTATAATTTGTGTGCTAGACAATGGTCATTAAGAGATTGCTTGAGTAAGTATTCGATAAGGATCGAAGAGTAAGTATAATCAAATTTGATTATTTGTAATAATTGCGGTAGATAGATCAAAAGATCTGCTGGTGTTAAACATGATATTAAGGATCGGTAGGCAAATTCGCGGATATGCATGTCAGGAAATGCTGGAAGGAGAAGTTCTAAAGATTCGATTTCATCAACGGTACGGTCGTGTGTAACTTCGTTGAGAAGTGCATAAATGTCGATTAAACTTGGATAATCCCATACAGTACGAGATTTGAGTAATTTTGGTAGAGCGTATGATTTGCGAATGACGACATGACGATGTGACCAGAGAAAATGACATTCGTCAATGGAAAACTCACGTTCTAAAAAAGTCAGAAGAAAATAATGAAAACAATTTTGAGTAAAACGTGTTACCTTCATCCGACGTGTTCATTGGAAATGTTTGTTTTCGATGATCATTTACAATCATAACACTATGATCAACTAATAATAGACTTGGTCGTTTAAGCAATCGAGATAATATTTCTTGTTTATCTCGACTTATTTCATTGAAATTCACTGTATGCATATCATTTCGAGCCTGTACTTCAGGTAGAACGAAAGCTTGATCGAGAAATGACACACTCAATATTGGACAATTCCGTTCAAACACATTTCTTAGCGAATAAAAACCAGTTCGACTCGTAGTTACTGCATCGAAAACACCTAAGTATCGTTCACCAGTGATCAGATGATGATCATCGTCAAATAAGGCTTGAGAACACCAACCAATCAGACGCATAGGCACACCATCAAATACTTCATAGAAATGTGATGAAGATAATTCGAGTTCATCGGCAAAACTGGCAAAGACTTCAAACAGTAGAAGTGCTTCGCGTTGTAATGCACAATGACAAGCGTCGTCGAATGAAATCCATTGATCGAAACGAACTTGTGGTTTTAGTGAAACATTCTCACTATGATAACTATCCCGGACAGTTGACTTCGCTTCGCTCATACCTCGTGCTTTGGTTTCGTTTCCATAACAAAGACGAACGACAACACGAAGTGTTTTTATACTCGAATCTGGTGGAATGGAAAATAGACTATCGATATAAACGCTGAATGGATCGGAAGATTCGGTTATTGGACGTGGTATCACAGGTTCCGTCGTGGGCTAAAAGAAAAAAAACGAGCAAGTAAAGAAATGTTGATACTCGATGAAATGAAATCAGCATACCGGATATTTTAATTGTTCGATATTGATTGTTTGGTTCTCATTATCGTACAATTCTACTTCGTAAGGAATCAAATATGCATAACAATACGTTTGAATGTAATTTACAAGTGTAATCAGAAGATCGTATAATAATCTCGTTAAATTTTGATGTGTATTTGGCGACAGTTGTTGTTCACGATTAGTTTGAGATTTTCTTATCAATTGATCGGCATAAATTTTCAATTCACGCTGTTTCTCGACAATCAACGAAGACTCAATGTATGAACATGTGACTTGAATGTTTCGGATGAAACCAATCAATTCATTGATCGTTTTGATTTGTTCACTAATGGATAGTTTTGATTGTTGAGATATGACGAGACGATTGAAGCGTTGTTCAATTTGGGAAAGAATATGATTGATATCCTTACGAAATTCATTTAACCAACGAGGATCGGACGCGAGAAATGGTGCATTGGATGAATGCGCTATGTGTGCTTGATGAGAATATGCTGCCTGTTTGGTTGTATTCAAAGATTTTGTTCGATGTAGACTTGATAGTCCATGTGAAGATCTATTGGAAAGAATAAATTGGCGAAAGAGAGAAAACAGATGATATCTACCTAGATTTTTTAGTTGTTGGCGATCCAGTTGGTATATCAAGTGATGAGGTTAAAGTATGATGAGTTTTCTCCTGTTGGTCTAGATAGAATTGTTCAAAGCTAGCGTAATTCGTTTGTTCCTCTTGATTTTGTGATGAATATGTTGGTTTCTGTACAAGAACAAATTGTAACTGTTTCAATGAATTAATACAATCATAAACATATTCGATATCACAAAGAACATCTTCGTTCCGTAAGTATTCTTCCCGTGCACGTAATTTAAGTATGGATCGATCGTAATCAAATCGAGTGATTTCTAATAATTGAAACAGAATATGTGCAACTGTAGATTGTAAACTGATTTTCGTTAGACGTATAGGTTCTTTGGCACCGTCGACAAATATATGCAATGTAACCGGTAACTGTTTTTGTTCGAGATGTTGAGCTGTTAAACGTTGAACACGTTTACAATAGAATATTTCATTGGCTGATACCTACGAACGAAGAATAGAAACAGTCATATAATAAATCTTTTTTTCTCTTGTTATCTACAGAACTTGGCACTCGATAAACACTCAACTAGCGAGATATTCAAAAAAACATTATTCTCTTATCTGGATATTGTCATTCGACCTAGACAACTTGCATATTTCTATTTCATTGTCGAGGTTAATTTTTCTATTCGAATGCTTCCAGGTATCAATGCCATTTCTTCTTATCGGCAGAACTTTATTCGTACCTGTTCTGTTTGGGCCTCATTTCGAATTTGTTGGACGACTCGGCTAAAAGACTGGATCTCAGGAAATGTTGTTAATTTCAATCGTAATTTAATTGGATGCGGGTAGGAGGATGTTGATGATGCTTCAGGTGACTTTGGTAATCCTCCTGCTAGGGATGTTGGTGATGCCTCACTTGTCGGTGTCACAAATGGAGGTGTACTCGTTGTCGTTCCAGCTTCGTTGAGTTTTGCTGGCCAAGAGCGTGGCCGATTTGGCTGTTGTAATGGATCAAATAACTCGAAGACATTACCAGTTAGTAACGTAGCTGATGGTGGATCAATAGTCATATCGATCAAATTTGAACTGTCACTTGGCGAATAGGTAGAAGCTGCTGGATCTTTTCAATACAAAACACAGTCAATATAGAATTTTCAATTTCTTTCTCTTCAAAGCCTTACTAGCTGTGTTAATCTTTTCCGAATTGTCTTCTTTCTGTTCCATGTTGAATGTTCGAAAAAAATTCTTGTCAAGTATATCTTGTTCAGGAGGCTTGAAATGAATTGGCTTTCTCGTTAGTGCTGGAGCTGGTGGTGCTGCATATCGCGGAAAAGCAAACATATTCGGTTGAGGAAAACGGATCTGAGGGACAGGAAGAGGTGTATAGAAGTTCGCCGGTGATGTCGATGTTGGAGTTGTTGCGCATGATGCCGATCTTCTCAAATCATCAGTGCCATTTACATTCGACGGTACAGGTAAATTAAAACGAGGTGCATTGGACAGGCGAGGATGGTGATTATTTGAGAACACAAACTCTGATGATGTCATCAGTTGAATAAAAAAAGAAAGAATCTACGAGAGAGAAAAAAACCTGAATGTCATCGTTTATCGAGGAAAAAGAGAAGTTCAAGAACTGCACAAATGCATTTTATGCAAATAGAAAGCTTTTGCTCTCTCTCTCTCCTCCTTCTATTTATTCGTTTTTATATATGCATATATACAATGGAGAATATTATTTAGTATTTAACATTGATCGATACTCGCCGAGCATCGCTATATATGAAGTAAACAATCGAGACGAGAAAAACATAGTAACAGGTGTCAGTTCGGTAAAAAGAGTCAGATGACTTCCTATTTGTGTGAGAACGGAGAAAGATCAGGAGGGAGGAAAGTATTTATTTATCTTTAGTGGAAGGATTTCTCGTGCTTGTGAAATAAACAAAAAACTTCATGTGGGACAGGTTTTAACATCACTTGTTCTTCTTTGCTAGTTGAGGATCAGATGATTATTATTGGCGAGTGACGGCATATGTACGTACGCATCAAAAGGAAAGATAAAGAGGAGAAAAGGAAAACATTCTTTTTTCAATGGACACGAGACACGATCGAATGACAATCACTTGGAATATAGATGGCGTTATTTAGTTGCTTTCCTGCGGGATTACATCGAATGTATCTATTAGATTTATTCGAAATCAATAGAAATTGTATCGCCAGGAATTTATGACTTCGAAGGAGATATATGTCAGACATAATTCAATTTTAAAGATCATTCTGAAGTGTTAACTGATAAAACCTGTCTCCTTATGTCTCCAGGCACAGATTTATCAAAATGACATTGACTGTTATGTCGTTAAGATTTCATCAAGCAAAATAGAAATGACACGGTATTACGATATAATATCGAGAGGGCATATCCACACTTTCACTTATAATCAGTACTTAATAATGTCATCTTCTTCTTCATTGAACAAAGCAAGCATCAAAGATTGATATTTAAGGAATTCTTGAGAATACCTGCATGGTATAATCAATTATGTAGTATTCCGCAAAGAGCAAGTCTTCCTTTATCTATGATAACTTTTATTACGGAATATACATAGCACAGTCGATCAATTAACAAGCCGCGGTGTGATTCCTGTTATCAATCATCACGTGCGAGATTTTACTTGACATATTTCTCCCTTTTTTTGCTCATATGAATTCCAACCAATGAAAATTCTGGAAACAGTACTGCCATCTATATAATATTTTCCTCGAGCAGTAAAATCCTAAAAGTAAAAAATTATTTTAAATATGATTTTTAATCGATCTTAGCAGCGACTTGAAAAACAAGAATGTCAACACATGTTTTCTCTTTCTCATTCAAATTATTCTGATCATATGATTGGCTTGTAAACATGAGACAAAGGCATGAGTGTTTGTAACATCTCCATTGCCCATTGAAAACAAAAAAAATAATCTAATACACTAATATTTCGCACTCGGCTATTACCTACATAGATTATCGCACTTGGGTTTTTACATTTTAGAATCTTGTTTTTCTTTTCGTATTCTCAAGTTTCTCTTCATTAATACCAAGCAATGCTGGCAGTTGCTTCACTCAAACGCTCACTAGAATTCGATCCCGTCGAGCAAGGTGTGAAAAGAAAACGAGCTGAGTTAAAACTATCGCCACCATCCTCGCCCGTCTCATCTTCATCGACAACATTTACTAATCCATCTTCTCCATCCAAACAACAATCGATCTTCACCTCATCGCCTTCAAAAAATGCCTCATTAGTTTTGAAAAAGCCCTGTTCGCTTACCGCTCTAACTTCCACATCGTCATCAACAACAACCGACGATATTCCCATGTTCACGTACGCACAAACTGCTCAAATGTGTGCTCATCTACTCCGTGAACAAGATCGGTCCTTACGCGAACAGTATGAACAACTTCTCTCGACGAAACTTACTGAGCAATATGATACGTTCGTAAGATACACCCACGATAACGTTCATAAAGATCAATCAAAACAGCATCGACTCTTTCATTTTGGTCAACCGCAAGACACGAATAATAATACAACAACCGTTTCCTTTTCATATGTTTCATAGACATTTACGAACTTTAACATTTTTTTTCCTAGTATATCCGTTATACATACGACATTTTTTTTCGTCTTTTGCTGGCTGTTCTCTGTTTTCGATTCTCTTATTTCAAACTTCTTTGAACGGTTTTGCCATATGTTATAGTTAAGGAAAAGCATCTAATCGAAGTTTTCTTCTTCTACTACTTTCTGCGCGTGAATGTGTGTAAGATTGTTCGTTTTTCTTTTCGAAAATAACATCCAAATACAAGAACATCAGTTGTATTTTTCTCTCATGGCCGACCGATTGAGGAAATGTTTTATTCAAAAAAAAATGAAAAAACGATTCTGTTCTGTTTTGAAATCACATCAATGAAATATGAATGTGCTGTAATACGTTTGAATTTCTTGAATAAACTTTTCTCACACGTCAACTGCTAATTCAGTTATTTGCTAAAGACACTTGCTTCTACGCACTGACATACTTTATTAATAATTTTCCTTTTTTAAACAGAACTAATTCCGTACTTGCAGTACAAAGTGACTAAAGCAACTTTATGCCGATGAAGTACGTACATGCACAACCGGTCTTTGGCGCAGTACTGTCAATCGAACTACAATTCGTTTATCACGTTGCTTCTCGTTAAAAATGCAACAAAGAATCTGTTCTATAGAGATTAGACTACATTCATGGAATATATATGAGCTGAATATGTCTTGCCTGACAATATGACAAAAAGATTTTATGAATTATTCTGACAGAACAGCTTGTCTTACGATGACAACATGCAACCGCAATTTTTTTGCTCGAGAACTATTATGATTGATTAACTTCGTTTAGGCAAGGCAATTTAAGCATTTGCAACTTTCATATCGCGAATGAACTGTTGTCTCAACAGACAGGACAATTTATCAATAGATTATAGTACAACTGATCGACATTGTCACGAGCTGTACTTTATCGAAGGTAACAATAACATGTGAACATTGTTATATACAGAAGAAAATGACGATCACGAAAACGAACTTCTATCGTAGGCATTTCGTTTTGACATGATAGTGCTCGGAGATTTTTGTCTTTCGTCAATCATTTCGAGCGGAAAGATCAGCCAACGTTATGACCAAATAATGATGAACTATGGCAATTTGATGATGAATTACAAAACTATGTCTCGTTCGACTATTTATTAGTCATACTTTTTGTTTCAAATATGAACTTATAATTGTTCGCTGTTTGATCATTTGAAAAATAAATTGATGCGCGGTCGGTTTTCTCCATCTCAACCATGAAATATAAGTGTATGATGTGTGACTCGTTTTTATTCACTATCATCATTCAATTTCTTTCATCGATGAAAGAAATGTTTTACCCAAGAAATGTGTATAGACGCACGTGCACGAAAGAACAGAGAGAGAAAAAGAAATACAGAGAAATGAGGTTTTTCCTAGGCGTTTTTTTTTCTTATATAGTTACTTTTTTGTGTGTGATCATGTATCTATTGTCAATCGAGAAAAACAAAACGTCGAGCTCTGGTTTTCTCGAGATTTATCTGTTCGAACAACAAGAAATAGTGATCACACATACACACAAACAAACAGACATAAAAAAAGAGAAGAAGAAAAAATGAAGGAGGATGAATGAATGAAACAACAAACAAACCAAAGTGTGGGAAGGAAAACACAAGAACAAATATACATATGCACACGCGCGCATACACATTAAAGGGAGAGAAGCCCATAATGATGATAAAAACCAGAGAAACACAGATTTATATATATATATATCAAGAATCGGATGTAGTCACCGGTGTTGATGATGCAAATTTATGCGTATTAGTTGGAGGATGAATACGATGAAGCTGAACTAATTGAACGAGACCACATGACGATGGTGGTTGTTTTGCCGACATTGGCGATGACGGTTGAATAACAGTCGTAGTTGACGATGACGTTGTTTGAGAGGGCTGTGTTGATGGAATAACGTATGACTGATGTGCAGAGAAAAATTGCGTCGCTGGCGACTGGACATACGATGCAAATGTCGATTTCGTGGGAAACTCTTGCTGTTCAGCGTGGTCCTGTTGTGAAATGTCGATGTCGTTATTATTTATAGTTGAAGAAGGTGGTGGTGTTGGTGGTGTTGACATAAGCATCATCTGTTGTGTTGTTGAAATAGAATTTGACGAAGATAATGGCGGCGGTGACGACGGTGATGGAGGTTGCGGTTCAACCAACGTACGCAAAGCTTGACTGACGCGTCGCGATGAACATGAATACGGATGATCGAGTTCAACAGACGATGATAGTGACGATGACGGAGGGTGTTTACCACCAGTATTCAACGATAAGCAATTATTTACATCGTAGGTTGAATTATTGAAACGAATGGATGAATCTACGGATGGTTTCGAATGGTAATGATGTGCTAATGACATCGTATGATCTTTAACTGTTAAGTATGATTGAGAAGGATACGAGTCTTTCAATAGTGGCCGAGATGAGAGACGCCATAACACAGGTCTAGAACAATTTCGTTTGCGAAGGTATGGAAAGAAAAAGAACACATACTTCTTGGCGATGTGCGATGAGAGAAATGAATCATCAGTTAAATCTTTATTCTCCTGTTCGATGTGACGATCGAAGAGCAATCTAAGAAACGATTGTTACGTAGAAGGTGAATGTGAATTGAAAATGAGTTTCTATACCTTCCACCCCGTCCTAATCGTACACGTCGTTTGCCGAGATGGCCTCGTTCAGAACAAGCCACATAGTAGAATGATGAAAAAGCTGAGCGTTGAGTTTGTGCTCTCTGCTGTTTATCTTGGTCGATTGGCTAGAAAAATGCATTTGATGAAATGATTTATTCAACACTCAAATAAATAAATCTACCCACCCTTAGATATCTACAACCAGCCTTCGGTCGAAATTGCCAAGGGTCGCTGGTTTCTTCATCATCAATACTCGTTCCCGTTCCATCAAATGAACCATTGATGTTCTCGTTTGACGTTGATAGTATAGACGAGCCATCTTGCATAATAACACGACGATTTGTGCTATTCTCAAGCTCCTGGTCAATGAAGATTGCATATAGAAATTCGATTTCGAGAAGAATTCATTCGGATGTTACCTCTTTTTGTTGCAGTTTCTTCGCTGCTTCAAGAAACTGAGCTTTGAGCAAGATTGCTCCATCTGATGTATTTCCTGTAAGGGACCACAAATCAGCCAACGGTAGGTTTCGATGATTTTTTCCCTGTTTAATTGTCCCTGATAGTGAATTCTTCGGACGACGTCGACCACACTGTTGTTGTTGTTGTTGTGCTGTAAATACGTTTCCTGGCGACAATCGCTCCAGTATCGATTGTGGTATGTTAGTGGATGGTTGTAAGGCTAGATTATGTACAGTGGGAGTTGAGGGTGTTGTCGGTGATGATAATAACTGTGTTAGTTTGTCCGGCTACATAGAAAGAAATGGATTTCTTGAGAAAAAAACGGAATCGATCGAGCAGAAAACTTACATGGTTGAGTTTACGATATAGTTTCTTCGATGACGACAGATTGTTGTTGTTATTCATCGAAGAATCCAGCGATCCTTTGAATCGTTTTAGTTTTGGTTGCAATGGATCATTAGGATCATTTGACAACGATCGTGATTGTTGTGGCTGAATGGGTGTTTGAAGAAGACTAGCTAATGTGGATGATGACAATTGGTTCTTCTTTTGATTATCAAGTCGAATCAATTGTGACAACAATTGTTGATGCTGAGTAGCCGTTAAGCTACTGTTACTGTTCATCAATAGAGTTGCTTTCAAATTCGAACGAGCTTGTTGATAATGAGAATGTCGATCATGGTTGGTTGGTAATGTGATAGATGAGTAGGTCGAGGACGTCATAGCTGATATTTCATCATCCGGTTTTGCTTCACATCTGGATAAATTTAGAGTGAAATAACGATAATATAGAAAAGAATTCTCTGAATAATATCTATCGATCGCGTACCGTGCTTTGAAAATGGACAATGCACATTCTAGCAAAGATGCTTTGATCGCTTCCCGGTGTTTAATTGAACTGGTCAACTTGCTATTAATGAATGAAACAATGACATATGCGAGTTTGCTTTTCAAACAAGAGAACGTACACGAGAGCTTCGAAATTTGCACGCAATTTGAGCATAGATAAATAGGCTTGCTCATCATTCTTTCGATTCTAGAACAAGAACAGGGTTGATATGGTTGGTGTGATCGACAACCGATAATCCTACTTTTCTTGTGGTCATTTTTTCGACACGTCGTCGAAATGCGACATAAGGATGTTGTTTTCCTTTTTCTTCTTTGATATCACGTTCTGTTAGTAAGCGGGCTTTCAACCGTTTGTCCTATGAAATCAAGAAAATAAGGTAGAGGAACGCAATGACATGAAATGGGAGTAAAAGGAGAAAATTATCTTGTAAGAATGTCCACCAGTATGTTTTTCTCCTTTGGGTCGAGAGGGAAGTAAAACGTAATGAAAAATCCATGTACCACTGATGTTCGTCGTTCATTCCAAAATGTATAGACAATCTTTAAATGTGCTAGATCAACAGTTGGAAGTAATGTTTGTGCTTCATCGAATGAAATGAGCGTTCGTGTGCTTGCATTCTCAAGTTTATCAACAATCTTCTCGTATTCGAGATGTGTAAGATTTGGACAAGATTTGCGACCATGATCATTGAACCAATCATGATCGACTTTATCCATATCATATTCCGGGTCATCGGATTCGAGTTGCAAAGCTAAAACAAATGTTAGTTTTTCATAGGCAAACGTTCTAGAGGATTATTTCGGTTTAATATATACGTTGTAGGCGAATAAGTTGTTTAGGTAATTGTATAGTTGCTGGATATATCGACTGACTATTAGGATCTTCATAAAGATCAGGAATTGGGACAGCACGCATTTTTGCTGAGCCGAGTCGTCTTTGAGCGTCCAATGCGTTTTGAAGATGGTACTCCTAAAGAGAGGAAGATTTGGGTACACGTGTCAAGCGCTTTTCGTATGTGGTATTCTACCGCTTCTTCTTCTCGTTCCATTCCAGACACGAAGGGCATTTGTGGTACACATCGTTGTGGTAAATGTGAATTGGATACTGTTGGTTGTTGAGATGTTTGAAGATTAGATGTGGACGAAAAAGAAACGAGAAGATTATTACTAGAAGATGAGGAAGTTGATGATGGATTAGTGAGTGTATTGTTGTTATCGTCATGTTGATCGACAAGTAGTCGGATACGTTTACTGGGATCAAGATTTCGTGCTCGAAAAAGAGGACGATTCATCGAATCTAGAACATAAATATGAAGTAAAATGTCTTGATTGCTTGATGAAGTTTTTTTTTCTCTTGTTTAAAATGATAACAAAAATGCGCTTGTTTTTCTTTCGAAAGGCACACATGCACACGAATGTTTTCTTGGAACGAATTCGTTTGTACATAATCCTGTCAGTCAGCAGTTCGTTCCTTTCCTCTATCTGCATATACACATATACCCACGCAGAAAAACATACACACGCGCTTAAACGATGATAAGATCACGTGCTAAAATGAATTTTCTTTCTCTCTTTTTTTCTATTTCTTTTGTTTTGTTTTTGCCGGAGAACACACATTCATAATCGAATCAGGGAAAAAGCAAATAAGTACAAAAATAATAGATCTAGTTGATATTCGTATCTTTCAAGGATATCAGTTACGAAGAGAAGTCGAAGAATACGGTTAATTTGTGATTTCCATCTAAAACGAGCAAAAGAAAACGAAAAAAAAGGTCAAATGAGTACGATGAGTGGCGAGAAAAGGGGGGAAAAATCTTGCGCTCGGTTTTTATATTGGGCAACCAGTGAAAAAAGAACGCGTCGTCATTTTTCTTTTTCGTCCTATTGTACTACTATATGCCACGTCGTCACTCGAGTTTGTTTCTTCTTTCTTCGTTTTTTTTTACTACTACGACGACAAATAAACGGCAAAGAATGATAATCATTTGTTAACAATGTAAAAACGTAGGAAGAAGAAGGGAAAGGAAACTTACGAAAACAACAATAATTATTACTAGTCGAGTCTTTCTTTCTTCTTTTTTTTTCATTTACCATCTATCTATGACATCTTGCAAGGTCGCTTCGACGACACCCGACGACTACTTTCATACGATTATGCAATAAATAAATAGAATGAAATAATAATAATAATAAACGAGCAAAAAAGAACGTACTCAACTGATCAAGCAAGCAAAATCAGTCGAAGAACGATCTAATTAAAAGACATTGCATGTCAAGATGATGTCGAAGTTAAAAGAAAAGAAATACACATAATTGCCTCAAATAGGTACAATCATTGTGTAAGACTAATTTCATTAGAACAACTATGTCGACACAATTATCTAAAAACTAGAATATGGACAAACATAGAGATCAAATAATGAAACAAAGAAGAATCAATTTGTCGGGTTTTTCTTCCTTCTAGTGCTTAAACTATTCTCGGCTGGTTTCTCACTGATTCTTATGAACAAAAACAATAATAAAATCGAAAAACCAGTCAATAACAATAACAACAGCTCTTTTCTTCTTCGGTTTTTTTTCCTTTTCTTCTTCTTTTTTTTGTGTGTTGCTGCGTACCTCCTGTCGATAGCTGGTATGTTATTAGATGTGAAGAGCATACGAAAGAAAGCGAGAACGAGTCTTGAGGCGCACACACATCGAGTCATTAATAGATGCTGTGTGTGTATGCATAATACACAAAAGATTGAGGTAGTGACGACGGTATATTGTTCTCTAATGTCGTCTATATGGCTGACTATATTTACTATGTGATTTTATTCTCAATAAATACACATGTATATAACACTAACCAAATGCGAGGAGAAAAATCAAGATGATTCTCAAAAAGAAAGTTTTTGTAAATATATCATATTTATTTAAGTTAATTTGAAAAGAGTTAAGTATGTTTTTTTTGGTGGTATGTTTTTTTTTCTTTACTAGACCAAGACTGTTTACTGTCAGTGATCAACAGCAACAGTAGATAGGAGACTCCAAATGACACGATCGTTTGTTCGCTTACGCGCTCGCTCTCTATGTTTTTTACTTCTCTCGCTCTCCTCTTTTCCCCCCCTTCCCTCCCCACCTTTCTCTTCCATGTTACGTCCCGCATCCCATCGTGATACATACATGGCCATTTGTGCTTGCGCGCTTGCTCACAAAAATGAATCGCGCAGGATAGACGAGCGAGCGAGCAACGACCCCCTTTTCTCTTTTCTTCTTGTCTATCCTGTGCGTGTAAGTTGTATGCACACACGCACGCACTCGTATTCTCTTCGCTTTTTTTTCTCCATTTTCTCTCGCGCTCTCCGCTCGCTCGCGGGCGCACGCACTCTCTTTCTCTTTCTCTCTTATTCTCTTTTTCTTTTTCCTCGACAGCGACGACGAAGACGTAGAAGATATAGTATTTCAAGCCTGCAGCTATCGTCGTCATCGTCGACGTTGCTTCACTTCTATCTATTATTCACTCGTAAACGCGAAAGCGAGTAGAGGAGAAGAAAAAAACGGAGAATGTCAAGTAATCGGGCAAGCTAGAATCTGAATAACGACGCTATTTATTTCTCTCTTTCCTTTCTATATGTATGCGTTCATTAAGCTGCCGAGAGAAAATTATAGACAAGAGAAAAAAAAGCGGCCGAGAGAAAAAGAAAAGAATAAGAGAAGACTGTGTGTGCACCTTCAGTCTACAGTATACACAAAAGTGTGTATATGTATATCATAGCGAGAAACCTTCTTTGGCGATTTTATAAAACTCAATTTAATCTCGCAAGATCATGTGAAAATTTACGAGCAGAAGTTATATTTATCTAGGAATGTGCTTTATTGGTACTCGTATATTCTAGTTAAGCTGACAGTTTTATCTGTAATGGTTTGCCGTGTAGGTCTCGTTTTAGGCATGCAATCGATGGCGGAGAGTTTTTTGAGTAGAAGATGTGCATAGAGAATTGACGTCGCTGAGGAGAATTTACTTACTAGTCATACAAGAGAAGAAAGGAGAAAAAACGCAGAACTACGGCCTATTTTCTTATGTGCTTCATCAACATGACAAGAAAAACGAGGACGAAGAAGAAAAAAAAGATGTGTATGCGAAACGAGAGAATTTTTGCCGGCGCCGCAGTCGAGTGCGCGAAGGGAAACAGATGTGATGTGATGAAGGCAGTAGTGCTGCAAAGATAATGGGCCATGTTGCCTTTCAGCTCGTTTGTTTCTCGTGCATATACGATGGAAGGACAAACTACAATGTAATGCGTATGATTGTAGTATAGATGTCGAAAGAGATGGATGTACTTATAAATGTTGAGCCTTACAAACCTGTCTATTGTAAATGGATACAAATAGGTTAATGAAGTGCACTCAGATACCTTATACAATGAGAAATATCGTTCTTAAATAGCAAAGAAATGAAATATATTCAAGATCAATCAACGTTCAGATTTGATCAATTCTTAATTGTTTGCCAGAGCTTATAATATAAGACGTTTGCAAGGTTAATAAACCCTTCAATATCACAATGAAGCAGAAAGAATGAAATAGTTTCTGTGCACTAGAACAAGTGGCTTTGATATGAAGATTAAGAATAAAATTTTCATATATATTCTCTTCAATCTTTGCACTAGCACAAATATTCAGCAATTATTAAAAAGAATAATATTTAATTAGAACGACTGAGATAAATATATTTTTCCGTCTAGTAGCGTCATCCCTGACGTCACTGCTGACACGCATAATACCATTGGTTGTTTGTCTTGTTTATTCCATCGTTGGTATTCCATCCATCCATCGAGCGAGTAATGTAATCTACTTTACACACAAACTTCATTCATATCAGGGATGACGAATTGGTTGTCGAGAGAAATTCGACATCTTCTACCAACGTTTGATTTACATGCTGTTCGCACGGTGCTGGTGTCATTTGATCCATGGAGACTCGATTCGCGACCGACAAGAGATTTTCTACACATTATAACAGATGATTCTGTTGCTAAACATTATCCGAAGATGTTTGTTAAACCAACAATCAAATCGGATATGTCAGAACCAGTTATTACTGTTGAATTCATTGATTCATCCAAAGCGATTTTCAAGGCGTCCAAATTAACGACACTAGACATATTTACTAAATTAAAACCGCTATGTATCGCTAAAGCTCCACCTCCTTAACAGTTCTTTTCGTTATTGTTTTACTATTATAGTAGGAAATAAACAACGAAACAAGAGTGAATGTGTCTCACATGTTACAGTGATCGACTGAATACGATGCAAAGCATCATGCTAAGAGATGATCAGCATAAACATCATATGTTCTAGATGTACTTCTATTTAATTGCGGTTTTTATACCGTTGTGCATTTAAATTCCAAAGAATGGCTAGTTTCTCATCTCGTCGTATTCCTCCAGGGCCTGGACAGGAATCCGTTTGGGACTATCCTCGACCACCTCGTGTCGAAGAAACATCCAAGCATATTGAAGTGATCTTCAATGGCGTAAAAATCGCCGACACTCGTCGCGCTAAACGTGTCTTGGAAACCAGTCATCCGCCAACTTATTACATTCCACCAGAAGATGTTCGTATAAAGGAATATTTCAAATTAGCTCCGAATGAGAAATCATCGTTTTGCGAGTGGAAAGGTGCAGCAAATTACTACACAATAGAAGTAAATGGTAAACGAGTGGAAAACGCCGCTTGGTTTTATTCCAAACCTACCGAACCAAATTTCTCATCAATTAAAGATCATATTGCAATTTATGCAAATAAAATGGATGAATGTCGAGTCGATGGAGAACGTGTCACGCCACAACCGGGACAATTTTATGGTGGATGGATCACAAAAGATATTGTCGGTCCTTTTAAAGGCGAGCCAGGAACAATGGGTTGGTAACTAGTCTGGTCTTTGAATACGTGTAATGAATCCTTCTCGCTTCTCGACATTTTCTAATTTTGCATGAAGCTTTAAATGATTACTATTAATAATCACGCGGTATATTATTTGCAAAAATAAAAAGATTCAATTAATAAATATAGACATAAATGACGCAGTAGTCTAATTTAATCATAACAATCCATAATACATCAAAGTAGCAAGAAAACAAGTCTGCTCTTAATTGTATATCTATCAGAAGAACTAATAGAGTCGATGGTTATATTTATTTATCTAGCTTTACAAGAGCGAAAATGCATAGCATATGTTACAATTCTGCAAGATCTAAACAGATTCTGTTTTTGTTTTTTTTATAAGAAACTCAATCATTCCTGTTTCGTTTGATCTGCTAGTTCTTCTTCAGCTGTGGCTTGAGCGAGCATATCAAGTAATATGTCTAGTTTAATACTCAGCAGACTATTTTCCTGATCTAATTCGTTCTTTCTTCTTTCCAAATCGTCTCCGTGAATTTTCTCATCAGATATCCAAATGCCTTGCGTCGAATCGAATTTCAATTGTAGATTACCGATACGAATATCAATCGCACCAAGTTCAGGACCCAATTCGCGTTTCATTTGTTCAGAATCAAATTTCAATGGTGAACGTGATTGCACTTTTCGTGGTTTACTTTTTTTAACGACAAATGCGTTCTTGTGACGAATGACTGTTTTTACTTGTGGCATAATTGTCTCTGCAACAAAGAAAACTCTGTTAACTTTTCAACGCAGATCAAATGTGCACTCAATGATTCTTACTAATAAGTATCCGCACTGTTGAATATGATATAATCGAATGAAAGAGGTGAAGATTTGACAAACAGAAAAGATAAATTTTAAGAGATAAGAGAAAATATGCCTTACGCCGACGTTTGTACCAGCAAGTATCTTTCTCATTCGATAAAATTCTCACCGCATTCAAATGAATTATTGTTGTTCGTAACATACTTGTGTGAAAACCGTGGCAAGATCGTTCTTTTTTTTTCAAACAACATAGTGGACATTGTTTCCTCCTAAAATACGATTACATTCGATCGATGTCTCTGCGGTCTTATGTTTAATTGGACAATGTCGAGTGTCATGATAATATTTATTCGATCCACTTATGTCAATAGGAATGAAGTGAAGTACGATATGATATTATTTGATAAACAATTGAATTTCATCGACAGATTTAGATAACAAAATTGCAAGCAACATGTTTACTTTTATTTGTAAGTAAACAGATTTGGTCTCTAGCAGATCTATTGTGTCATAAGGAAAATACAATATAAAAGAAGCAGATCATGTTCGATTGTGAAGATTCAACGCATACGCCGAAGTTCTTGTTCGGCTGTCACTTCAGCAAGCATTTCAAGTAGAATATCCAGTTTCGTTCGAAGAAGATTGTTGTCTTCTTCCAATTCACGCCTTTTCTTGTCTAATTTAGCTATTTCACGAGCACTGACTGTTGGACCGACTGTTCCATCTAAAAGCAAAAGTCCAAAAGAAATGTTTGACACTGAATGATGAGATTTGAAAGAAATTTTACCGGCAATCCAATCGCCTTGCGCTGTGTCAAAAGTCACTTTTTGATCGCCAATACGTGCGTCGATTGTTTGATATTGCGGTCCGAATTCACGTGCAAGTTCTTCCGAAGGTAGTTTCAGTGGTGAACGCGAAACAGCTTTTCGCGGTTTTGTTTTTCGAATGGAAAATGAACTACGAAGAAATGACATGATAATTCTATCTACAAAGAAAACATCTCGTCAAAAAAGAAAATGAATCGGTTGTTATTGAGAAAATTTAGGTAGAGAAAATTGTACAGGTATGTAGACGGAATCGAGAGTTTTATCAAATGGTACTGGTTGTGTTACGTCATCGATGATAAATACGAACGAGGAGGTTGATTTGTCTAGAAATTTTAGAAAGAAAGACAAGTTGATAGAAATTAGAAGAGTTTAGTACCTTTTTGACGATTGCTATTCGTTGTGGATGATGGTTCGGATGAATTAGCCTCGCGCACGGCAAATGTATCGATGGTAATGCCCACAAACTGTGCTCGACCACTATCACACGCAGTAAACATTGAATCTTTATTCGTTTCAGGTTCTTCAGTTGTGACTATTCAAAAATATCAATGAAAATAGTGGAGAACAATTAAGTAATTGTCATTTACTTGGCTGTTCGATGGATTCTAATGCCGATGGATCGTTCGGCAAAGAAGACTTGCTTTTTCTCGGAACCAAATCGACATGGAAGCCGCTAAACGAAACATAAATCTTTATCCTTAGTTGTCTTGTTATATAAAATAGAAATTCTTACAATGGTGTAGGTAAACTATCACTTGTCGGTTGATTTGTTCGTTGACCACAACGTAACCGAATTAAACGTCCGCAATCAGCGTTAACTCGATTCATATTGTCGGAAGAATCAACGATATCAACGTTGATTGTTAATGGTTGTTCACTTAGTTGAAGTGTGGTTGCTTTATTCTTGTTAATACATAATCGAAATGGCCAGCCAACAGGAACACCATTGACCAGCATCGCTTTTTGATACGTATAAGACTCACCAATGCTATACGTTCCTTCGCCGTGCATTAAATCGTTTCTCCAACTTCCCTAATTAGAGAAGACAAATAAAATCAACTGTATGATCGAATATGACGGAGAATACTTCATATATTAGTGTATCATCGACACCGTTAAGCAATTTCCCAAATCCATGTCGTTTATCAGCAATCCAATCGCCGATGTACTGAGTTCCATTTGCATATGTTTGTTCACCCAGTCCATGTCGACGATGATTATGCCACGTACCACTATATAATTCTTTATCATGTGAAAGGTAACTACCTTCGCCTTCGAAATGGTTGGATTTAAAATTTCCTTCGTAACTATCACCGTTACCCAATCTAATCACAGACGAACAATGAAATTTCGACTGAATTATTCATCGAACTCTACCTCAGCCGTCCTTGTCCATCCATTTCACCTAAAAGTAACAAGATTAGTTTTTCAAATGTAACACAACGGTGAAATCTTACCATAGTGAAAATGACCGGTATACGTATTACCAGATGAGGCAAAGTATCGTGTGCCTTGTCCGATAATTTCATTATTAACGAATTCTCCTTGATAATACGAGCCATCACTGAAGAGTAGTTTACCGAATCCTTAATAATAAACTAAAATTGTTGAATGAAGAGTTGATTACGGATGAATACCGTGTTTCTTTCCTTCACGCCAAGTTCCTTCGTATTGAAAGAAAGGATTCGGATATTGATAAACGCCAAATCCTTAATTTACATTCGTACTTCAGAAAATTTCATCAAATCTCTGTCTACCTGATCGTAAACTTCGACGTGTTTCGCCTCGAAATGCTCCTTTTAACTCACCACCACTCATATTTCTTTTGACATCTTACAGTCGGCAAAGTTGGATGAAGCGCTCAATGGGCACCATCGACACTGTCTTTCGCTATAGTAACACTACTAACGAATGAAATAAAATATTCAACAACAGGATAAAACGTCAAACGTGTAATGAATGGATATGAGCTTTCAATAGATATAAAAGTTCTGTGTATTTTTTAAAAACTTGAAATCAGTAGAACTTGTCGCTAGTAGTCAAATGAATTCTCTGGTAGCCAATCAGATTTTCTGCCGTATATTAAAGCCGCAAAAATAAGAAATCAGAATGATTAATCATTCCAAAACGACGTCAGCACAGAGAAGTAAGAAAACGTGAGAGTATTTTTTATTCAAATATAACATCGGTTACATTTCTTCACATACTTCCGCACGGGTAAAAATATCTCGTCATCATTTCTAGGGGTCCTTTTCATTTCTTTCCAACGAAAAAGAACACGAAGAGTCCACTCCTGAGACACTCACGAATCGCCACGAACGATTCAACTCACTAGCTCGTATTTACAACATGTTCGATTAATTAATCTCTTATGTATCTTTCTCTTTGCGGATCAAATAAAAGCATTCTCCCCTTTTCAATTCATTGTACTCGAGGAGAAAGAAGCTGACCCATATGTCTACATCATCGACAAAGAAGATAAAGACAACAATTTGTTAGTACTCATTCTTCTACGTGATTTGTTTCACTTTTTTTATCTATACACAAAAGAAAGAGTTGAATTACGTCTGTAATTTGATAAGAAACATTATCATATTAAACACTTGCTTTATTTCTTTTCTTTTTTCTTCCATATATCAGTTCGTTCGTTACATTGAAGTCAATGTGGAATTATCTTCGCTCATACATTATTTGGCTCCATGCACCCGAACATGTGGCCAGATTTCAACAATACTTCGGTGTTGTGTCCAACATCACTCAACCACCTGACATTATTCCAAAACATGACGAAAATAACCTAAATCGCAATAATAATAACAATAATGTTGTGATTGACGATAATATGGACAAGAATTTCTCTGACAATGAGATTCATCATCGACGTTCGAAGGAGACTAGTAGTTACGATTCGAATGTTTTGGACGAATGTATTGAAGAAATTCATCATAGTCAACATCAAGAAGACAAACTACCGGAAATTGATTATAAGATTACATCATGGTTTTGGTATTACTTCTTTCAATTCGGAGCAGCACTTGGTAACGAAATTTTCTACATCTTATTCTATCCCACATGGTAAATATCTATTAGCTTCCGATTTGATCAAAAATATTTTAATTTAGGGTATGGAACGTTGATGGTGCCGTAGCGAGAAAGATATCCGTACTCTGGGCATTCTTTATGTACATTGGACAGGCAACGAAAGATATTTTGGCAATACCACGACCTGCTTCGCCACCAGTACTGAAACTGGAAAAACGGTAAGAATTTATCGTTCCGCAACGAAATCAAATCACTTTTCGTTATTCAGTTATGTCGAGGAATACGGCTTTCCTTCTACGCATGCAATGTTTGCAGCTGGTATCCCATTATCACTCGTTCTGCTTTCATATCAACGTTACGATGTAAGTTTAAATTAATAAATAATGACAGAAATTGTATTTGATTATTTAGTTTCATCTGTGGGCTGGATTAGTTCTAGCAGGGATTGTCTGTGTATGGGTTTGTCTCAGTCGTATCTATCTTGGCATGCATACATTTCTCGTAAGTCATTCTCTCAAATGACCTAATCCATTAGACAGATAATTTACTTGATTTATAGTTATGTATGAAAAGAGTCGATTGATTTCAGATGAACGATGAGGGACTATATGTGAAAGATTCCACCGGATTTTCGATGTACTATATATCGGATTGACCCTGTCAAATTTCTCATCGATAATTAGGAGAATCCGGTTTGTTAGAGTAGTTCACAATTCTATACAAAATAAAAAAAAACAATATTTTTATGTGGGCTAATCGGAGCCCTCGAGTGACATTTTGACAATTCAGAAGTGTTTTTCTGTCGCGAAAACAAACTCACTCGAAGAAAATATGATAATTAGTCGTGACTATGACATTTTTTACAAGCAAATGTCGTGAGACATCGAATACAATGGCATAATTCTCATATGACGATCTATGTTCAAAATCGAACTCCTGCTCGTTCATTAACTTGACAGTCATTATCTACAGTAGGCAGTTCTATGCAATTAAAGATTAAGTTGAATGCACGTCAAATAGAATCTCTAATCTTTTGCTTTAGGACATTGTTGCTGGTACATTGTACGCTTTACTATTAGTTTACATCATGTTTCCATACGTGGATTCGATTGATGATTTTCAATTGACACATTCATTTTCTCCTATCCTGAATTTCTGTCTGGGAATTCTTCTGATTAAATGCTATCCAAGTTTGAAACAATGGTCAACAGCTCGTTCAGATACGACAGTTATCCTGGGTAGTGCGTTTGGTTTGTGTTCAGCAACGACTGCAATGCATCAAATAGGCCTTCTACAACGACCGTTAACTCCACCTCTCTACTCAATTATCGCACCCAATCTAGGCTTGTGTATCATACGCACCATACTCGGCATGTTATTTATTTATGCAACGCGACAGATTGTGAAAACTGTTGTCTTACGCGTGACATGCGCGATCTACGGACTCGATTGGAAAAATCCGGAATCAAAACGTTATGCCAAAGTTGAAATGCCTTATTATTATCTGACATATTTCGCTATTGGATTCAACATCTCTTTCACATGTCCGTTAATATTCCGAGCGCTAGGAATCAATCGTGACTATAGCTATACAGAGTTGTGAGAGAGAGAGAAAGCAAAGCAGCGTGAGAGAAAAACTACTGGGCCGGTGTGCGAATTTTGTTGAATATTTCTCTTTTTTTTATTTGCTATATTTCTTTGCATTTAACAAAAATACAATAAACACACAATATGTTGATTGTAATTTCAAGGAATCCCGTGAATTGATTTCGAAAAAGAAGGAAATGTTGTTTTCCATCTCACAAAGCTGATTAACAAGAGCAAACTCAAACTCCCTGACGTGAAAGGCAAATATTCGAGAGAGGCGGAAAGCAATTCGCTGTTTTTTTTTGTGCCCCATACAATATGAATCCACAAGGTTCCTCAGAGTTTAACGTTTACTATTCCGAGGCAAACCAGCTGCGTTTTATCTCAGAGATATTCGAATATATGTGCATATGCGATCAACATAGAAGAAAATTACATCTGTAAGCGATTTGTCTTCTCGACATTGTTTTAAATGGCAAGATTGACTTCCCAATAATATTGACTATGACTTCAATTGTATCAACTCATATCCTGTGCGTCTTTGTCGAAGAGAGAAATCGAATGCTGAATCTTTTTTTCTTTCTCTCTCTTCTCGAGCAATTAACTATTATTTAATCCTTGAGAATTGCATGTCGATAAAATATATATATACAAAAGAACAATTGAGCGAATAAGAGTAGCTCATATGTTTCTCTTTCTGAATCAAAGAAAAACATAAATCGATTTGACAGTAGATGTTTTGTTCCGTTTGAAAATGTTTTCAAGATTATTAGTACTCTTTTCTATGTATATATATATATATATCTGAAACAAGCCGGAAGAAATTCTCTCCTTCTCTCTTTTCTCATGAGAATTGCCCTGCGTGCACGCACGTCCATTATCTGCGGACAAGTGAGCATGCGCGTGAATGTATGCGAGCGCAAGCTTGTCACTCTTTCATCGTTAGTAATAGTAGCATGCATTGCTTGTTTGAGATTCTCTCTCTCCATTTGTCTACATCTACTTCGCTCTACTCAGTCGTTTATTCTTTTTTGATCGACCGCAACTAAGTAACAGGCTCACAATAGCAAACAAGTTTTCCCTTTTTTTATTATATTTTAGACACAAATGGGTGAACACTCATTAACATCCTCGTTTTCTTTTCTATTTCTGTTTTTTTTCAGTTCACTATCAATGTGGACTCCATGACGGAGTACTATGTTAGATCTAATTAGTAATCAGAATTGTTAGTAGTAGTTTGTGCCGTGTATTCGAATGCGTGGTTCTTGTCAGTTGTGTCAAACGTTTAGTCTCTTGTTTCTTCTAATGAGTATAATTAGTTCTGAAATAGAGCACAAGAAACGCAAAATGGAGAAGACTATGTGTGCCAGTGCGAAATACATAGAAAACTCATTGAGCATGAGTCAACTTCCTTCCATTTTATTTGCTTATTTGGGAGAAATGCTAAGTAAAACAAAGAATCGAACGAGTGTTTAACACGCTCAAGGTGTAATGAATAAGAAAATAGGTCAACATCAGAATATTTCCAAGCACTACGAATGACTTTAGTTTGAGGCAAACAGAAGAATTGTGTACTAGCATGATACCAAAGTCCGATACATAAAATCGTAGTAAACGGGAAACGAAAAACGAGAACAATTTGTTCGATGTGTGAACATTTGCTATTCTCTTTGCCTCTATTTGCAAATCAATCACTGGCGGACGTGATGTGCAAGCATACATGTATACCATCAAAGGCTAAGCAACAGCAGGAGCTAAATAATAGAAGAAAAGAAACGCATTCGCTTGTTGTCTATGTATATATATATACTAAAAATCGGAACTTTAATGCAAAGAGCAAACCGGATGAATATTTCTTCCGATTTTGTTTCGTTTTTATTGTGTTGTTGATGCCCCTTACTCGTCTTGTTTCTTTCTTCTTTCTCTATAATTATCCTTTATAGAAACATGCATCGCCAATGGAAGAACTCGATGCGCACACGTAGAATTTATCTTTCTATCGAATCAAAATATGTCTATATAGATCGATTGTGTCCGTTTCGATAAGGTCAACAGTTAGTAAATCGTTTGTTGCTAGTCACTTCAATATATTATTACGATAAAGTTGATGTTCATGCATGACCATCATATTGATTAAATCGAAGGCGTGTATAGACTCAATTCAAAATAGATCAACGTGACAGTATTGATGAAAGATTTCGTGTATAATTTCTTTTCTTTTTCTCGTTGGCGTTTTGTATTCATTCGTTCTAACAAACTCAAACAAGTGAGAGATGCTTGGCATTGACTTTTACTCTATCGAACATTCTCTATGAATGTCTTTTGGTGCTTAACAATATGTTACCTTCATTTTATTCATAAGTCACTCGTACAGAAGAGGAAAAAACTGAGAAAAGCAAAAAAAAATGTCGAGTTAAGAGCGAAGAAGAAGAAGAAGAGAAGGAGAAGAAAAAAGAAACGTCTGTAGTCTGTTTTTTCTTAATGGTGCCACATCTCCCTTTTTTATGCTCACTGACATCCAACGCATCTTGTTTCTACTTGTGTCTACATTGAAGCAAATTCATCAACAAGACATAAGCAGAATATTTTTCCTCTCGTGTGTTTTTAATCGTATAAGTACACTTATATAATGATGGAATTTGTTTTTTAACAACGACAGGCAGAATATTGCCATTGTCCTTTTATTGCCTCTAGAATATGAAGAAACAAGTGCAGCATTCATAGACTATTTGATAAGTTGCTGACTGATAAGTAGTGAAATTATATTAAAAGAGAGAAAGAGAGAGAGAAAGGCTTCGCAGATCAGATAAAACATGATTGTCATGACTAGACCAGCATTGTCAAGCGTCTTGAAATAAGACTTTGTCCGAATAAACTATATGCGAAGAAGAAAGGAGCTCGTCATTTGATCAATATTTCTCGAGTGTGTATGCGCATGTTATTTTCGCATTCTTTTCTTCTCTGTGTTCATTTTGTAAATAGAAATTCTTTTTTTCAATATACATACCACCGACATTCAAAGTGTGTGTTTTTCTTCTATGGCAGCGTTGTCTTCCAGCGGAATTGAAGATAATACTGCACATCCTAACAGTCTTATTTCTTTTTAGGGGAAGAAAAAAGAGGAAACATATAATCATTAGCATGGCTAGGTGTCGATGAATTATAACAATTAATCTCCGACAAAGACATGAGCATGAAAATTGTTCCGTCGATCATATTCATATTAACATAAGTTTATTTGTCGCACGAAGGTCTTCTCTTTGTACGCAAATCATTCAACTGTTATTTGATTGTAGATGTATGTTGAACTTACTTTCTTTCTAGATATTGTTCTGTGCCTATTCAATTGAAATTTGTACTTAGTTATTCAACATGTACCATCGATAGTTGACTATTGAATTTGAGTGGTTCAGCATCAACAGCCGATCTAGTTTCTGTTCAGTCGAATATGGATTCAAATTTAACGGAAAATTCAACCATTAGTTATTATAATCAAGAATCGTTTATGAGTTATGAAACTATGCGAATTTTTTTTTTCGCTATTGCTATTATAACTGTGCTGATTTGTCTTACAATCTGTACGACCGTGTGTATATGTATCTGTTTAAAACGGTATGTAAAAGGCTCATTTTCTTGATCATCGCGCTTTCGACGATTCGATCCATTGATTTGTTGTGAAGTCATACGAACGGATGATTCGCGTATCGTAATCGTGTTCAGATTTAAGTGTTGATTCGGAAACATGTAGTTTATCCTCGAAAAATGATAGACCGTGGAGTAATTTAAAATTAGGTATCGTCGTAACTAGCTTCCACTGTTTATCGTTTTCCTCGACTAGATACAAACTCGAAATCTAAATATGAAAGCATCGAAGTTTGCAGACATACACATGAGTATTGTTGGCACAACCATAGGACGACGTTTCGTGTTTACATTATAGCCACCTGCGACATAGATAAGTCTTCCCAGGGGAGCACTACGATTAGGTATTAAAAGCACTAAAGAGCGAGCGCGTATTGATTCAATTGAAGTTTGTTTTCTCCACTGCGTGTCAGTTGGCCACGTCAAACGATAATATTCGCCATGAGTGATACTTTCCGACGATAGAATATCAAATCCACCGATAACATGAATTTCGCCGTCAAACATTCCCACTCCTGGACCTGACTAAATAAACTTTAAATGTAGAATCATTTGAATTTCGAACGTTTCTACTGTTGGTAGAGGAAGATTCGGAAGAGACACCCATTTTTCAGGCAAATTATCGATATCCATGAGGAAACATTCTGCAGATGGTCGATTTCTAGGAAAAACAAAGTATTCATGAGCAATCAGAGGACACCGTCGAGTTTTTCTTGTCAATAATTACGAAGGACTATGACCACCAACAACCGCAATATATTTACCATCTGTAAAGAAGCGTTGTTTTTTTCCAAACAGTGAATTACATTTCTAATGAAAGATTTCTACCTGTAGCTAATCCGAAACTAATTAATGTAGCTGGTAATGATGTTATCGGTTGAAGTAGCTCAGCTTTATGATCATATTTGTAATCATGGGTAGACATCTGACGTTCTAGATTTCCAGGATTTAATATGTAACCTCCAATAATATAAGACGATTTGTCTGCATGAACAATACCATATCGTTTTCGATGTTCATGTCGATTTTCTAAGGCTAGAACTAATTTATCAGTCAGTTTCATAATTTCGACTTCATCTATTTCAATTGTCGGCGAGAGGATGACAAGAGATGGTTTCGCATACTCGACTTTCTCGTATTCAGATTCCTTTAATTGTCCGAATCCAACAGTTAAGTTCTTTTCTAAATAATCTCGATAGCAATCATCGGAATGACTGGATCTACATAGCAAATATTTTAATTGCTTCACTTGAAAACATGCCTGTTGTTGAACGGAGTAGATCGGTTCTTGATAGAATTGCTGAAGCATTTAGCGAAAGAAAAAAAAACACATTAACTAAATTAGATTGTCATAGTTACAAGATTCGTTTGATTTTCTTTCTAGTCGACGGGAATTGACACGTCATGAAAATCGAGCCAAACTTCTGCCGGAACAACCAGTGAAATCATCCAGCAAAAGGTCAACCCAGAAAGCGTCTAATAATTCCGTAAGAATCGACATGTAGAACAATTCCATTGTCTGTTCATACTTTTACTTTTTTACAGACAACTGCAAACGGGAAACAAAGTTCAATAGTTCTCTCGTCGAGTTCAAACGCGACGAATTCAGCAGTAAAGTCATTCTATGATAATCTTGACGATATTCCATTCATCGATGAATCTCGGCCAACAAGTGTGATTGATATAACACAAGTTTAACTTCAAATCTTTGTTTGCTCATGAACAGTATCAACTTGTTGAAGATCATTATTGATGGAATTCAGTCAGATATGTTTATTTTTCTTATCAATATGAAAGACAAACATTCACGCGCCGACACCACGCTTTCTCTTTTGTTAACGTTAACTCGTTTTCTTTTTCACTTCAAATAACAAACATACATATATATATTTCTATGTGCATCAATTGTTTTCTTTTTAAAACGTTTTCTCAACTGTCATGTTCTTCATTTCTTGTTGCTAATATCTCGCTTCATACGAAACGAGAATATAACATATACGGAAACTAACTCAAGCATAGGGTTTTCCAATGAAAAAAACAAATTTTACTAACTGACCAGATTTTTCGGTTCATTGTCAACAAAACTAATCATGATTTGAATTAGAGTCCGAATGAAAAACGCCGCTGTTTATGAGTTTGTGCGACTTCTATCTCGAACTCGATTCTAATTGGTCTATCTTACGAGCCAAAAGTGACTCAGCCGTACGTACAGCAGTCGGTCGAAGTTATCTTTCATAGTATTTACTCGTTTAATATGGATTTTGTTAAGTCTCAATTTGAAGCTGCTCTAGCTTCGAAACGTCCGATAACGAAGCAAAATCTATCTTCCTTACTGGATTCCATTGATTCAACACAATTATCAATTCTATACCGTTGGTTATTCCATCGTTTAAATGATCACCTCTTGTCTTTCACTCGAACTCAAGCATCGGTTGAAATGTTTCTATCCGCTCGACAATTGTCGTTCCATTTGCACGAACATTTCATCGATAAGTTTAGTTCGTTGAAATTGAATTCAATAAAGCAGTTGCAACAAATTTTGAAAAGCTTTCAACAACAACCAACATTCACTCAAAGTGAATTAAATCAATGGAAACGCTCACAGAAAGAACTAACACGTGACGATTTCGTACTCCATTGTTTATTCAACAATGTACCTCAATTAGCTCTTCTTAGTGAACATAAAATAACATTTGATGAGCTATTTCGTGTTGCCCTGAATACTTGTGTAACCAATTTAGCTGATCGAGATAACAAAACATCGATCACCATCCTGTTCAGTCTTGGTTTAGCGCCCTTAGATATCATTCATCGAATCATGTCGACCACCCTCCACCATCATTTACGCACGTTTTGTGCTCAATATTTGAATGATTTCGGCGAAGAATGTTTTCTAGTTAGTCAAGAAGTGAACGCATTAAATGTGGTCAATCAATTGAAACAAATCTATACAAGTGAAACTGTTTCAGAACTAATGGAAAATAAAAAACAATCGATCGAATACTGGACTCGACTTTTTCCTCTGACAGCGACAATAACAAAATTTTCATGTAAAGATATCGTAGCAACAAAGAGACAACCATCACAAACGGCCGCGTCGATCAAAAGTATTGCATATATGCAAGTGACATTTGACTGGATACTTGCGATTATCAAGAATAGCGATGGAGATGATCAACAATGGTTATTGAAAACTGAAGGAAGACATTTACTCAACGAACAGCCCCTATTTTCAGCAAAAGGTATGGAATCTTAACCTCATCGCTTGCTTCTATTACTTGAATCTACGGATTGCGCCGACCGATGTTCAATCGGATTCTTGTCACATATGTTAACACGAGTTTTTTTAATGATTTAGATGAGGAATTGTCAACGAAACTTGATCTTGCTTACACTTACGCGTCTTCTCGTCAATCATTAGCTTTACTGGAACAGTTAAATGCCATTGAACCAGTAAGAAATTTTGAATTGATTTGGTCACACTTAAGTCCATCTCTCCAATGGTCGTTCGTCCGTTTTGTTCATCGGATACCTTCAAACACCAGCGATTCATTCTTTTGGCGTAGTGTTTTACAAGATAATCTTGACAATTCATTGATATTAGATCAAAGCAGGTTGTATCGGATCTATCCAGCTTACCTTTACTTTTCGGATAACGACAAAAATGAAATTTCAAACGATCACGATGATCAATGGTGTCGATGGTTACGTTCCAAACCTTGTGATTATGCTCTAGAGAACTCTTTTGACACGAATCTTCCAGTCGATCCATTGGTTCGCACCGTTCGTGAAAATGGCACAACTCACACTAGTGAAATCGACGCGAGTCTTGTTTTAAAATACCCTGCGTTGAGATTGTTATCCAAGTCGTCAAAAATCAACTCGTTTGATATCAGTATCTACCATTTACTCGATCGGTTCAGTCAATTAGATGTTTCTCGATGTTTTACTTGGCAAACTGGAAATAACTGTCGTGCTAATGAAGATTTAACCAATTTACACGATTGTTTCTCGTCGCCAAATGATAACAATAACAATAATACCAATGATCAACAACAATCAATTGATTACCGGTATTTATTCAGTCAACATCGTCCATTAACTTCACTCGCGCACTTTCTCGCCTCGTCCATTGACGATCAAGAACAAAATCCTCAATCGTCGCAACAGAACTCTTTGACATTAATCGACCGTCGATTGAATCGTTTAAAACATTTTCTCATTGTTTCATGTCAAACAAATCTGAAAAATTATCTTTCCTCAATCATTCTCTTTGACATATGCAATGAAGACGCCTTTCCCATACGTTTATACGTTTCAATCATGAAAATTCTTAAAACAACCAATCAAGAAGATCTAACATCAATCCCATTGAAATTATTATTCTCAGTTACAAATTTAAATTCACCAAATGCATTCAAACAGTTAGTTTTATTCAATCTCTTTTCGCAAACTAAATCCCTAGCATATATACCAACGTTATTGTCATATTATGCCAATCGATCATGTTGGTTTGAAATGTTATTCATCGCACAATTATTTCATTACAGCGTTGATGATATTATTTCATGTTTGTCGTTAGCACAACAACATAATATGCTATTCGAACATTTGAAATGTTGCTTCAAACGATTGGTCAAACAGGATCATACACCATTGCTCAAGCAGGATATTTTCGCGTTATTAACCGATCAAACATTGTCATCAGATCAATTAAAACTACGATTTCAACAAGGTAAGATAATGACACATTTGAAGAAGAATTTTCGCATATTTTCCTATCCTCTGACAGGCGCTCAACAATGTTCTCGCCCGCTACTGGCTGTTCTATATAGTACACTTCCACAAGTGTCATCAATCGATGCCTTTGTTTTATTTCTTCAATCTTTGAATCCCAAATATGCACATCTTTTTCCAGTCACATCCAATTCAGCGAATTTAGCCAGCCGTCTTCTATGTCATATAGCTAGTCTCGGTCATTGGACAGTTCTTGGTCTTGCGACACATATCTTTGCACCTGAAAGTCAATTGGAATCGCTAGTTCGTTTCTGTCATGCATGCATCGATATGAATGAACAACCTATACCAAAGTTTCTCACTTCGACAGAAACGAACATTGGTCTCGGACAATCATCAGCTTGGTTTACGCAATTAACAACTGAATTACTACTATGCGTTTTTCGTCAGGTTTCATCCCATACTGATATTCGTTCAATTTTTCATCTACTTGGCGAACAGAATGAATTTTATCATCGGTTCGAACCGTTATTTTCTCTACTTGATGAACAACCATCACCCATTCCATTTGATTGGTCATTGTTGATGTATACTGATCGATGTTATCTTTCGGTAAAACCACTGATTGAACAGTTGATAAAACACGATCGATTTGATCTAGTCGATGAAATCGTCATCTGTGTCGACATTGAAATCGATATGACTTTATTTGAACGGTTTAAATGTTCATTCGATGAATATACCCACGATTTTGATACCGATGACAAAGATTTAAACGATGCATTCGATACGATTTGTCAAGGTCATCAAGATGTTTTAAAACGGCTTAAAAAGCCACTACTTTATAGCGATTGTCTGTTAGGAGTTCGTTCGACGTCATCGAAACTAGTTCGATTATTAATTTTAATCTTTGCTAATCAAGCGCAGAATTTACCTGAACCTTACGATTACCTTTCTATCCCAACATTTCAATCGCAGCCAATCATCAATAAACTATGGTCTATGTTAATCAGCTTCGTTCACGAATTTCAAAATCGGCCGATTGTTAATAAAGTTCTTGATTATATGGTGAGTTTGTTTTCAAGTTCAATATTGGATCAAATCGCAAAAGAAAAGCTTCTTCCGAACGATTTTGACGATTTCGTGCATGCCTTTGATGAAAATGAAAGTGCAGATGAACCAGTCGAAGAGTTTAAACCAGCACCAATCACTCCGGAAAGTAAATTTGAAGAAGCTATGCTAAAAGGTGTTTATCCTGTTTCAAAACCTCTAACGGACACCGCATCAGGTAAAGTCAATTGAAAACACTTAAATATTCGTAGAGAATAATAATGTTTGATTTTCTCAAGAGAAAAATACAAATTCGCAACTGCTTCGTCGTCCTTCAAGTCGAGGATCTTCATCATCCCAAGTACAATTCAGTTCTGCATTCAGCCGACGATCGTCAGCATCTTGGACCAGCGGTGATTTTTCAGGTTTACATCATTTAACCGAAAAGGATATTCGATCGTGCGTATCGACAATTGAAGACGCATTGCTTCAACGCGGATCGCCTGAACTTGCCCTGCAACTGGCTAGTAAACGTCGTCTTGTGTCCTACAATTTAATTATATTTTCCTATGCACATCGTTTATACTGGAACACTTTACCACCTTCGGAAATTCGCACACGTTTCGATCAGCTTCCACAAGGCACTCGCGGTAGTCCGTTCAATAAAAAACGCTTAACGAATGTTCTCCGAACGATGACGACAATGCCGAGAAATGACGAACAATCGAATACAATCGATGATCAAAAACAGAAATTAATCGATCGTCTTCTGTCTCGAACGCCGAATGATGATCGGCTAATCTCAACTTTGAATACACTGTTTAAAATTAGTCAATTGTTTCGTATCGATTCATGTCATTTGTTACATTCGAATACCCATAATGACGAATGGGCACTCTTGAAACGACTTCTCGCCTATCCATCATCGTCGTTTCCGACGAAAATTAAGCTGGCAGAAAGCTTTTCCAAACAATTACGTTTGGCAAATCAGCAGTTAGTTGAATTAATCGTTGAAGAAACCGATCGAACTCTGAATCGTTGTCAAAAGAATGACCCGACTGATGATTACCATAGTTGGTCATTCGACCCGAATAACATCGAATCCTACAAACAATTCATTTCACTTCTATATGATAGAAACTATGAAGCGATTGGTAAACAACTTCTTCAACAGTCTAAACTCTACGAAGATAAATATCTCGAATTGGATACTCAAGGTTCATTCTTTCGAATTCTCATCCATTAATCGAAAAGTACTCTTCTGTATTTTTTAGAAACTTCATCGCCATTGCTTTGTCTTCGCGTCGAACTACTTATCTATGCTCATACGTGTTTCATCAACGCTTGTCATATGGAAGGTATTTGTTTAGTTCTCGACCATGCCCGTCATCTTGCAGCCCTACTCGATGAATTGAACTGTTACACATTATTAATTCGCTTACTAATGGGCTTAGAACAGTACTCCGAAATGGTCTACATCTTCGACATGTTATTTCAATCCGATCAATTCGATCTGTTACTATCAACAATCAGTGGTCAAAATGACGAACGATTAAATACTGCTTTGTTCGATTACATAAAACGACATCATCCGAATGACGAACATACATTTACGTCGATATCAATGAATTTGAATATGCATCACGAACTGGCAATCATGTATCGTGATGCAGGTGAGAAGCTATTGAAAACATTTCAAGTGAATCCACAATCTTCGTCTGCTGACATGTCTGTCACATTACAAAGTTTACTTCAATATTATTCCGATGCTGCAGATACGTTTTATCTAGCTGGTTGTTGTCGGCAAAGTGACAAATGCTTGAAACAAGCACGACTAATATCTTTACAACTCGATTATATGCAAAGTCAACCCCCTTTGATTGTTTTAAATTTGAGCTCCAGACAAATACGCGATTTACTGCCGCGTTTAGAACGTTGTTGGCATGCATTTATCATCGCTGATGCTTATCGTGAACATACTTTATGGGCTGTATGTCTAATCGAGCAATTTATCTGTAATAAGTCACCGAATGCAATGAAATACTGGCAAGAATTTCGACAATTGATATCTATCGATGATCAATTTCTGTTAACTGTTGGAAATAATTTACCGAAGAAGAATTTCAACACCATAGTTGTGAAACATTTGCAAGAAGTTCTCTCTTGTGTAACCGACGCAAGTAGTCTATTGAATATTCAACAAGTGTTAACGACAAATGATAGTAACTATTCGAATTTATTCACCGCCATTGATTCACCTTACCTTTTGGACACAATTCGCGTAGCATAATGGATTTTTATTTTTTTGCGATAGATTTATTTTTTATTTTGTAATTCTTTTTTTACGTATCGATGATTTTTTTTTGATTCAGTCATGAATGCCAAGATAAATCTTTCAAGGTGATAGTACCTTATGTAACAAGAAACAGATGAAAATAATACACGGATGGATGGATGGTTTGCACATAAAACACGTTATCGAAGTTTGATCGAGAGAGTGAGACATCTACAGGAAAGAAGAAGTACATTTCATTTTTTATCTTAACCGATCTGTGACCTAATTACGAAGACAATGTATTTCAATCGATATTTGATAGGTAATGATTGACAAGAATATGATTGGCTTTCTAAACACCTATGTATAATCAGTCCAATATCAACGTGGCCACGCTCTGTGTCGGTATGAAGTAAATAAATCAGTTATTCATTCATTTAGTTCGTGAAGAAAAATAAGTAACATACACATTCTTTGTTTTCATCTTTGAGGCATATCAATTCGATAATGAACGGCTCAAGTATGACTCCGCCACCAATATCAGCCATTGCTTCGAGCAGTGATAAACTTTCTGGTCAATTAATTATCAAAGCGCAATTAGGTGATGACATTCGAAAGATGATGATTCACAATGAAGATTTAACATTAAATGGTAAAGTTAAACAGAGACGCATTTAAAAGATTCTATCCTATATGTAAATTTTAGAACTCGTTTTAATGATGGAACGTATCTTTGCCGGAAAGATCTCCAATTCTGATGAATTAACTATAAAGTATTTAGATGATGATGGTGACAAAATAACCTTATTAAATGATAGTGATCTGACAGTGGCATTACATTTTCATAAGATTCTTCGTCTGTTCGTCTTAGTCAATGGAAACGAACAAATAAGTACGAATTCAACAGAGAATTCTTCACAAGATGGCAGTTTGATTGATGCGAAAACGTTTCGAACGGAATTGCAACAAATTCGCAACTCAGTACAAACAATTCTCGATCGACTTCAACTATCGGCAAGTCAAACAGTAGTAACAAACAATCAAGAAAAGGAAACTACTGCTGTTCCACCGCCGGCTGTAGCTTCGAATACAGCACGTGATTTTGATCCATATAAACATTTTCAACAACCTCAACGTTCAAATACGCCCGATAGTATTCGATCAAAGTCGTCGACATCGAATAAGTTAAATAATAACGAACAGAAATCTTTTCAAGCAATATCATCCGCACCAACAAGTAAGTTGAATGACTTTTTTCCATCTCTACTTTTTACTTGACGATAGTTGACGCCCAAAATCAATTCCAAGCATCAGAATCGGCCGATAAAAATAAAACACAGGCAACGGCTTTTCAACAAATGCCAACACCACAACAATTCATACAAACACCGTACGACGACCAACAACTCAAAGCTTCACCATTCGGTGCACCACCTTCGACCTTTCCAGTGATGCCACCAATACCACCCAATACTGGTAATCAACAATTTCCTATACCGTATCCACCAACAACATTACAAAATGCCAATACATCATCAGCCTTTAATACAGCATCAGCACCACCACCAGTTGCACCACAATCGGTTTTCAATCCTAATCCACTTGGACCTCCACCAACAACATCGTCATCATCATCGAATCTTGGTCAACCGTCGGCATTCATTGGTCAACAGCAAACACCTTTAGCACCACCTCCCCAAGTAGGCGGTTTCTACGGTCAACAGCAAGCATTATTTCAACAAAGAGCTGGACCATCAACTTTCATTCCAAATAATGCTGCTAATCCAAACAATACACTTGGCCAAGGCCCACCCGGTCCACCACCGACCAGTTCATCGCCAGCAACAATCAATCCGTCGTTCATACAACCAACCCAAATGCCTACTCCTCCACCTCTAGCATCGAAACAGCCGTACGGTGGTTTTCCAGGTCAAAATAATTTTTACAATCCTACTCAACAATATCCCAGACAATCATAATGAACGGAAATGAAGACCAGAAACTAAATAAGCATTGACTCAATCTTTTGTTGTTTCTATTAATATATACATATATACCCTATTACCGTTTGTTTCTTCGTATATTTAATTATTTTATTCGCTTTTAGCCTTCTCTCATGTAATAATTTATTTGTTAAGAAGTTTATTTATTTCAGAGAAGGTCTTTCGTTAGATTATGCTTTTTAATTTTTGAAGTGAACAACAAATCTAAGAAATATAAGACAAAAGAAAAAGACATGACATGTGCGCTTGATAATTTTCGTTTTCTTCAAGGATAATGAGCTTGTAAACAGATCTAATTGAAAATAGCACGATCTTTCGCAAGTCTTCCTCCTTTATCAGTACCCAATAGTAGGAGAAAAAGAAGAGAAAGAAACGCATGAACTCTTCTCTTCTCTGACTGACTCTTCTCTTCAGTTTGTTGATTTATGTCCAATAGTATGCTTTGACACATCACTAACACTACGCTCACTGAATTCCATGCTTTCCTCGACACGATTCTTTTCTTCGCCTCCTCCTCTTTTTCTCTTCGTCCTTCGTTTCTTTTTAAAAGCTTAGACGAACGTCCAGCCAAACGGTATATCACATATGACACACCCCAGTTCAAAGGGCATTATTTTGAATCTCTGATTTAATTTTAGATTTGTTTTATGCAATCGTTCGATATATAAATATCGTTAACTATTGGATAAAAGCTGATTCTGCATGGCTGAAGCACATGAAGCCGTCGCTTTTCAATTCACTGTCGGTGCCGAAGGTAGGTACTCTGTTCGATAAAACATCAATGCAGAATTTGTTTTATTTCAGGTGTTAGTGTCAATTTAAGCTATGATGTATTCAAAGCGCTGATTTACTCCGGTTGTCGTTCGTGGAAACGTCGCTGTCGTCGTACATTAAAATCATTACACAACACAATCTATCCAGGTCATCCGTTACGTGGAATCGCCTGGTGTGGACTTATCTATACACTATATATCAAAGACCATGACCCTTCATACCATATTATCGACTGGATCGACAAACACATCTTTCGACGATATTTTTCCAAACAGAACTCACAAATGCTGGCGTGTGTAGTCTTTGGTACGGGTACATACTTTATCTTAATACAGATTCGGCAATCGATATTGAAACTCTTATTCTCCTATCATGGTTGGATGTATCAAGAACATGGCAAACCTATGGGACTAGGACAGAAAGTCTGGGGTGGATTAGTTAAACTTTTCATCGGTCGAAATCCATCTTTGTATTCGTATCAAAGCGTTTTACCGCAATTACCATTACCAAGTTTAGACGATACATTACGTCGGTATTTAAGAACGGTTCGACCATTGTACTCTGACGCTGAATATCATCAAATGGAAATATTAGCAGACGAATTTCGGCGAACTATTGGAAGAAAACTACAAAGATTTCTTTGGTTAAAATGGCTGATCTCATCGAATTACGTAAATAAATCATGTGTTTTAAAAACAGAAACGAGTCTACAGTTTGCAAATATAGGTATCTGATTGGTGGGAAAAATTCGTTTATTTACGTGGCCGATCGGCAATTATGGTTAACAGCAATTTTTATGGTCTTGTATGTATAAACGATATGTTGATAATTGAAAATATACAATGCTGTGTTTTCTCCGAACGAAAAGGATGCGGCTTATATTCGTCCGACTACTGTTCAAAGTGCACGGGCAGCGAATATTGTTCGAGCAACAATGCAATATCGTGTTCGTCTCGATCACGAAGACATCGCACCAGTATGTTATCAGAACACAATTTCTGTTCTTTTCTCAGTTTTTTTTATCCTTTCGTCTAGTTAATGGTACAAAATATGATTCCACTTTGTTCAAGTCAATACGAGCGCCAATATAATACGGTACGAGTACCTGGCAAAGAAGCAGGTAAGTGTATTTCTATGATTATGCCATCGTTAATGATGATCTCTGTTCGATTAGATATAATTGTTCATCATTCGGACAGTCAGCATGTTGCTGTTTACCATAAAGGCCGTTGGTTTAAAATTTATGTCTTCTACCAAGGACAACTGTTAGAACCAAGCGAACTTCAGATGTAAGTTTGTCTTTGTTGAATTCTCAACTTGCATCGAACTATTTTCTAGGCAATTTGATGAAATTCTTCGTGATCCTGTCGAACCGGCTTATGGTGAAGAACACCTAGCAGCCTTAACTGCAGGCGAACGACCATTATGGGCTGAAGCTCGTGAGAAATACTTTTCGACAGGGATAAATCGTGCTTCGTTGGAAGGTATTGAAAAGGCAGCGTTCGTACTTATCTTGGATGAAGAAGAATTCGCCATAGGCACTGTAAATCGATATCCTTTGAAGTTTTTTCTATCGTGTTATTTGAAATGTTCTTTTAGTTAAGCGCTGATTCATCATTTATGAGTAACAAGGTGCATACAAACCCATATGAAAATTGCCTCTCTAACGCATTCTATTTTAGCAACAATCGGAAAATTTCGATAAGTATGCACATGCAAGTCTCCATGGCAAAGGCTACGATCGATGGTTCGATAAATCATTCAATTTTATCATAAGCAAAGATGCTGTGGTATGTTAATAACGAATAGAGAATACGCCGATGCATAGTTTCTTTCTTCATAGGCTGGAATTAATGTTGAACATAGCTGGGTACGAATAAAAAACACTCAATTCTGATGAAATAAGAATTCAAATGTATTACGTGCACTTTTCTAGGCTGATGCTCCAGTTTCTGGTCATATGGTCGAATACGTATTAAAAGAAGATATTGCGCATTTAGGGTAAACTGATGCTGCAAACTCCAACAAAATTATTGAGATTCAATGCATTTTTCTCTAATTACAGCTATGATGACATTGGTAATACACGAGGTGTGCCTCGTTTCACGCCACCCAAGCCAGTCAAACTCAAATGGGCAATCTCAGAAGATGTGAGTAACATCCGCCCTCTAATTTCTCTCTGTCAAAACCGGAGATTTTTCAGTGTAATGAATTAATCGAACGAAGTCTTGCACAAGCAAAAAAAATATTCAGCGACGTTGATCTTCATGTGTACATTCAAGATATATATGGCAAAGGTTTTATGAAAAAATGTAAGCTATCCCCCGATGCCTACATTCAAATGGCGCTCCAATTGGCTCATTATCGAGTAGATATCAAAATTAGACTTTGTTCGATTTATTCGATTGATGTCGCTTTAGGATTCTGGTCGATTTAATTTAACTTACGAAGCATCAATGACACGATTGTTTCGTGACGGTCGAACGGAAACCGTTCGTTCATGTTCTATTGAGTCAAGCGAATGGGTCAAAGCAATGGAAGATCCATCTGTTTCAGTATGCAATTACAAATCGTTATCAACGATCGAAGTATTCTTCTTTGTAGAAAGCTGAACGCATTCGGTTACTCCGTCGCGCTTGTGATTATCACCAAGAACAATATCGCGATGCGATGACCGGTAAAGGCATCGACCGGCATCTCTTCTGTTTGTACGTTTTATCAAAGTATTTCAATATGGAGTCACCATTCCTCCAGCGAGTACTTCATGAACCTTGGAAATTATCTACTAGTCAAGTAAAGTCATTTGACTTGCTTATATTGGCAAAACCCAATCGATCATATTTTTAGACAGCGGCAAGTTATGATGAAAAGCATCTCAAGCGTTTAATGGCAGAAAATCCAGATCTCGTCAAGAAATATGGTATTAGTGAAAAGCGAAATTTAGCTCCATGTGGCGGCGGTTTCGGACCGGTAAGAACGAAATAGAGTCGTCATATTTTGCAGTTATTGCATACTTATTTACCACTTGCATTTCTGACAGACACTTGCTTTTCGATAGAAAAAGCTTTTTCAGTTAAAGAATGAGTGTCCTGAACCAATGGGTAACCACTGCTTGCTATTAACTGCTGGTTCATTCACCTTGGAAGAATACTTTCCATACTATATATGGTTTTCTATAGGTCGCATCGGATGGCTATGGCGTAAGCTATGTCATCGCATCGGAAACTTTGATCTTTTTCCATGTCTCGTCTAATAGATCGTCACCTGAAACAGTACGTTCGAATTTGGTTTGCTTTTTTCAATGATGATTGATTCTTTCTTAGGATTCCAAGCGATTTGGTGAACATATCTGTCAAGCAATGAAAGACATGCGTGATTTATTCGAAACGGAAGCATAAAGCGAGAAAGAAATCTCAAATTCCACATTTGTGTTGTGTCAATGTCTCATTCATTCCTTTCGTACATATTTGTACTCAATTAACCACATTCGACTCATTTTTTAAAAAAATATCTGTACTGTACATACGCTATTAATCTAAAACCAATAAAATAATCTGACTGACATTAGAAGAACCTAACTCACTGGTTTTAAAGTGAATATTGTTAGAAATATTCGTTTACTTCAATAGAAAAATAAATCATCGTCTGCGAAAAATTTGTTCTTTATAAAAATAGAAAAGTGAGTTATGAATTTGTTCGCGAATGCTGTAATCTCTCAATCGAAGAACTCCAGTAGGTTTGATAGCGCTTCAGTTCGGTTAAATTTGTAGAACATTTTTCTTCGACATCTGCTAAGATTTGAAATAATTTGTCTTTGTATTTCTAAATGATACACAGTAATGAATAAACGCAAATCGGATATATTAAACCTACTTGATAAGCTTCATCTCGTTGTGATATCGTTTGAATTTGTGGTAACGTCGTTTTCTGCGTCACAATCGATGCCGTGCTCTTCTGTCGTTGATTTGTCGCTGATGGACGTTTCTTCGTTGTATTCGATTTAAGTTGACGATTGAATTGATCATCAAGAAATGGTAGACCTAAAGAGGAAAGATATTCCCAAAACAGAAGAAAACGAATTTACCTAGCCAATGACCTTGTTTACGTTCAATTAATGGCACGGATTCTACTTCTTCCAATGGTTTACCCATTTGCTGCCGTTTGACTAATTCCAGAAGAGTATGTTTCACTTTGGGCAATCCTAGGAAAAGAAACGGATGCATTCATTCTCGTTATCGTTATGTACTTGTTTGCGTGGCTTCATCGGCTGTGAGAATTTCATCGAAAAGGATGACTAATCGCTCGCCACTTGTTGCTAATGACTGGATTGTGTTATGCGCATTCGTTTGAATATATTTCTAAATCGTATAACACATTTCGATGACAATTTCATTCTTTTATTCTTACCAGAGTATCTTTGTGGAGTTGCGTGATCACTTTTTCGAGCTGCTCTTCGCGAACTTTCTCATGGTCGTTGAGAACTTCTAAATCCGACTTCTTTCCAGGCAGTCCAAGTGCTGGACGAAGCGATTCAAAGAGCTTCTGCTTTTCCGCATTGGACTCATTCAATTTCTGATTGAATGTCGTGTCAAACTGCTGCTTGAATTCGAGAAGAGACTTCTCTCCTTCACGAATCTGTTCATCAAGTTCGATCTTAGCCATTAGAGATGATGTACGTTCGAATAATTCAAGAATATTACGAAATTCTAACATACGACAGAACATTTTCTTTTGGAAAGCTTGAAAGTAATCTACACACCGTTGATGGAATATGCATGATGTGCAAGGCATTGTTCTTCGTAATGTTTTAGTTTCTCTACCATCAGTCCAGCGAATTCGTCGAATTTTTCACACAGTCCTTGAGGACGAGTGACATGCCGCGAACCTTTTTCTTTGTAATATACCTATGGGGACAACGAAGATTGCATCAAGGAGAGGAAAGATTTGAGTCTTTTTACTTCTGAGTGAGAAAGTAAACCTTCTGTTGATTGACGAAGAATGTTTAAAATTCTAGAGAGAAAATCTTGACCGGTATGTTTTCGTTCACCAAAGGTGCAATAAAGTGCGTAGATTTCGTCTCGTGATTTCGCACGAGCAAAGCCTTCGCGTCGCACAGTTGTTGCAGATTCATCAATGGATGATCGATTCGTTACTTTCTTAGAAAATGTCGCCTTTTTGCCCGATTGCTTTGATTTTTTCAAGATCGATGACGATTGAGTGGAGTGTGAAGTGAACTCTAGAAAATTTACGATGTTTATCCGTACAATCAGCTAAACTCAATAACAAACCCAAACCTTTCGACTCGTTCTGTTCGACAACTTCATCGGATTCTGATTCCATGTTTTTGCTACTGAAATGTTCCAGAAGACAAAGTTTCTATAAAACCGTTAAGTCTGTTTCCAAAAAGCATTTACTGGAGAAGAGAACGTATCGTGGACAGTGTGGTTACATCATCGTGTTTTTCACTCGCCGAATGACCAAACGTAACCACTGTTGTTCGACGTCGTGATAATGTCGGAGATGTTGATGCAAGTTTAATTGCTTTTGCATCGTCATTAGCACGGTTAGGGTTAACACTTTGTCGTGACGATCGCCGTGATCCTCCTGATTCTTCCGTGCCAGTTGTATTATGAAGATCATTAACTAATTCGTCTAAATGACAGAAGTGAAACCTTTCGATGAATTCGCTGCAATACCTTCTGTAATCAATCCTTTGGCTCTTAAATTGCTCACAAGTGCGGCAGGTATGACTAGTTCACTCTGAAGACATTTCAAATACAAGGCTCGTTCATACGAATTCGAAACAATTTGATGATAAAGATCTCGAACATCGTTTATAGTCGCCGGCTGAAAAGCATGAAATCGAATTTTGATTCAAATCAGTTGTCTTTTACTTCTTTATCTAAATTTGGATTCAGAATTGAATCAATCTTCGCTTCGTATAACAGAACAAGAGCTTTGAAGACATGGGCTTGCTGATTGTTATATCCAACTTCGGTCTTGATCTTTACTTGTGCTTCACTGATCCAGCGATTCGTTAATTCAATAAATTGCAGATCGATCATATGATATTTGAACCTAAAAACAGTCAGGAGATCCTTTGATTTCATCATCTTTTTCACGCACTTATCGCGAAATTGAGTGAGAATTTTGTTTGCTTGTTCCAATTGTTTCTTTTCGCTTTTCTCCATTTCTTTCAAGATGTTCGATTCAGTTTTATCGATCTGAAACGCGGTTTTTTCGAGTTTCTTTCGGAAGGTATTGATTTCATCCAAACTAAAGTTTCCACCTTCGGAAAATGTCCTATGTAAACAAAAGAGCCTCTTCCTCTAACGAGACATGTCAGTCAAAACGATCTCACTGAAAGGATTGTCGAAAATTCGCATTTGCTTCACGTAACTGTTGCATGATTTCCTCGAACCGCGTCCGAAACTTCCGTAATGATATTCGAATATAATTCATAAATGTATCACGTTGCTTCTTCAAACGATCTTGTAATAAAACAAGTCGGCCAGTCGTCGTCGCATTAACAAAGATATGTTCTAGACTAAACACATCGTTCTTATACGAATCAATCGATTTGCTGAATCCATCCAACATTCGATCGTAATCATTATTGATTTCTCGCAGTCTATCTTCAACACCACAGATATGACGTTCGACTCGATCGTCGTGCATCATAAGTTCAGCTAGAAATGACAAAATAATTACGTTTTGTATTTACTAACGAAATCTTTTTACCGATTCGAACATTGTAAACATCGGTTTGAATACGCGTACGTCTTGGTTCATGTAAATGTAACTGCAAATCCAGTTCTTTATCGAGTTCATGATGCTTGGTATACATGACTGCTTCAGCTCGTCGGACAGTCTCTTGTTCCCATTGATCGTAATAATCGAGAAATGCTCGGGATAAACTGAACATAAAAAAACAATTTCGTTGTTTTTTGTAGGATCAAACTTACATAAATATAACCGAATCTCCGAGGTTCGATGGTATTCGGAAGGCTTGATGGAACGGTATTGACACTGTTTCATCTGCGGATACTTCTTCTTCAGTTAAAAATGCCGGCTTTTTCGCTTGATCTTGTCCATTCTGTATACGAGGATCCTCATCTGAACTACTCCTCACCGACACAGACATATGTGATTCTCTATCGTCTCCGGCGTTATCTTCTTCTGTTAAATCCAATTTCTTGGTGAACTGACTATGCAATTCATACGTCCGCCGGGCTAACGATGTCGTATAGCACTGATGTGCAAATGACAACACCGGTTGTTCGTCACTCGTGTTCGGGTCGATTGGTCGAGCTTGCAAATACTCTAACATTTCGTTTCCATATCGATTCACTTCTTCCGCAATCAATGACGAATACTGATTGACAACCTCGTGTTCTTTATCGTAGAAAGCAGCATAACTAAATACTCGTTACTTTGCATGAACGATAGAATACATTCACACATTCTTACCCTGCTTTAATCCTATCCAGTTGTTTGTGAGCTGCTTGTAACAGTGTTGCTAACGTGGTTTCACTCGATGCACTTCGCATCTCATCAAGTGTCACATCGAGTTTCGTTAACTTTTTCTACAGACAAAGATTAACTTTCTATTATCATAATCCGAAGTATTTATTACTTCGTTTTCTAGATCATGTGGTCGCCGACACTCATGCATCATATCAAGCAATTTGCCAGTAACATCCTCAAGTCGAATTTGATGAGTGTCCCATTGCTTAGCTAGTGGCTCAATGAATGCAAGCAGACATTCGAGAACATCGTACATTGCATGTGTTGATTGTTCATAAGTTGACTGTAAATAATCAAATAGAGCATTTGTCAGAACGAGTTAGAAGCAACTTGAAGAGAAAACCATTGTTATTTACAACACAATTTGTTGGTGATTAGTTTAATAGTATTTTGTTGATTTTCACACACAAGAAGATATTGCACTCATGAATTTTGTCATACTTGTATGCGATCGAGAATGGAATTTTTTAGAAAATGCTTTCGTTCTTCAAGGAGTGGAACTATATCACGTTCAGTTACAATTTCAAGTTGTTCATTATCGTAAACACGTGTCTGAAGAACTTCTTCCTGTAGAAACAAATCAATAAGTGAAAGCTTCCATGCATTTGTCAGCGATTACTCGAATACGTTCCAGTTCTCCATTTAGAAACGCAATTTCTTTCGTGATCACATCATTTATTTTAGACACAAGTATTTGCCGCTTATGAACAATAATATCAACTAGATCGTAACCTTGACTGTACCATCTCTGAGCATTCTCATGTGTTGATATTGGAGGAAGGAAGGAACTAGAGATGAACAAAACAGTTTTTCGTCAGATCAATCAATGCCGACCGAACATACTTCAACGAATTGACATGTGCAATGAATGCATGGGTTTGCTTGGCAATATCGGCGCCGATCGACTCGCATGTTGAGAAAATGATCGATTCTAATTTCGTTTTACATGAAGACAGTTTCGAACTAGAAGAGATAAAAGACTACGAATCTTGAGAAATTACATTGTTGCGCATCTTACAGCCAATCGTCTCGATGTATCAACCACGTGGCATCACCCCATTTCGATTGATAGTTAACTAGCTTACGTTGATATCGATGTGCACGAACTGTTTCACCTGCCAATAATCTTGCTTCGAGCTCGGCGTACACACGTCGATTATCGAGGATTTGAGTATTCAATTCCTTAAATACAGTTAATTGTTCTTCTGTCAAGGAGAATATTTTTATTCACTAACATTCGCTTGTTTTTCTAATCGAACAGCAATTTCTCTATCGGGTAGATGATGCGTTTGGTACAATTGTCCAGAATAGTGTTTGAATAGATCACGAATCTAAATGAATTCATAAACAGATAAGACTCAATCGAAGAGAGAAAGAATATATTACTTTATGAATGCGTTCTAGTTCAAGTTCTTCGATCGATTGACAATATTCTTGAATGTGTAGTAGACGCGGCGGAAGAAGCTGATTGAGTTGATAAAATGCTTGTTCAAACGATTGTATTGTTAAAGAAGTGATGTTATTTCCACTGAATAGCTTATGTAAATACTCATCAATTTCTACGATATCAAGAACATGTGATCGATTGATGTTAACGAAAAGTTCTGTACCTTGATCACCTTCTTCGTAATATTTATTACATTCACGAGTTATTCTCTCAAGTTCAACTAATAAGTTCTAAGTAGAAAAGATATATTTCCGCAAGAAATTCTCATTGAGTGGGTCTTACGTGATTGATATCAGTTATTTTATTGAGAAATTCAATCCATAATTGATCGAATTGATGCTGTCGTTTCGCTTTGATTCGCTCCGTTAGATCTCCTTTGTGGCTCTCATCAATGTGATCTAGAAAAATTCCGAGATTTCAAACCGATTCATCCAGAAAAGACGAACCATAATCGATATTATCCGGTAGATTGAACACTTCCCGCTTTAATTCATCTAATTCCTGTTGTTGTTCATTCTGACGTCGTTTCCTTTCATCACGAAATCTAAAGCGGCAATTCATATTGAACAACACGCAATGATTAATATTGACATACAGTAGAGTTATTGGATTGATGTTAGGATCGTTAGCATAAGGCAAACTTGCCATCCATTGCCGTTTTTGTACGTCTACAACAGAGAATTCGCATGGCTTCGTTCGATGAATACATTCTTCTTTCGTTCTGTCGAAACAAAATATTTTTTCTGTCTCCCTCTCTCTTTCGAAAAACAAACACACACACACACCGATTCGCCCACTCAGATATTCTTCGTTTCAAATTAATATTGTACACACGATTTACAAAAATAATATTGTCGTAATTATTTACTACGAAAAGAAAATACACATACCGTGTGGTCTAATATTTCGTATAAGTGGAATAGAATCTGGAGGTGGAATAATATTAACAGATTGTGATAGTTGATTAGTTCGTACTCGGTTGTATACATCGGCTAATTGACTCTAATTGTTTTTGGAAAAGGACTAATTAAATAAATCTGTAAGAGAAAATTTCAGACGTACTTGGGCATCGAATAGTTGTCGATAGACTTTGTTATTTGGTAAAATTTGTGAAGCTGTCACCGACGAATTTAACATTTTCTACTCGGAATTTAATTGATTTTTCTTTTCAGAAACTCTCCATGAACGAAATCTTGTGAAATTCGGTTGCCTAGCAGCACTCCCTCTAGTCTTTTCTACCAATGATCTTCTTAGAGGACATGTACGCATCGAGTATGGCAACCCTTAATCGTTTCGCATATGTGTATGTATATATATATATGTGTGTGTGTGTGAATTTATCTTTCCTTCGTTTCTCATAAGAATGTTCGTTCTTTCTGTCCTTTCTTAACGTACGCAAATGTGTATGTGTGTGTCTATACGTAGTTGTATATAATAGGGTCATATCGTCAACTATCTGAAATAATCGAGCTCTGATAAACTTTGTGTTCGTTTATGAGTGCATTTTTCGTGATTTAAACGATCGAATTCTGAACATTTTCTTGACTTCTGTTTTGTTTTCTATTTTGGATTCTTTTACTTTACCTTTCCCCCGGTGACTCTCAACATGGAAATCGATTTCACTCATTCACACAACCCGACTCTATTTGGTTCACTATCTGTCTCTCCGCCAGCATCAATGTTCGATTCATTCTCGCCATTACTCCAATTCAACGATGACTTTCTGGATGTTCTAAATCCGACGTCCACCGACGATGATACTGATGATTGGATGAAACCGTTATTACTCGATCAATTGTTTGAACATGACTTTTTATCACCACAACTTTCACCCGATGATATGGAAGTGAAACAAGAAAAACCACAAGACGATGACAAACGAAAATTAATATCGCTGAATAACAACTGTTCATTTATTGTCGATGAAAAGTTTCTTTCGAATAATTTTTCTCAACAGCAGCATCGAGAAAACGATCTGTTAGACTTTCTTCAACAGCATACTGAACAACAATTACCACCATTACCAACTACCACGACAACAACTGTTCGATTAATACATCAACCAAAAATCGAACCGGCTGAATTACCAACAACGCTGTACGTTAGTGGCAATGAATTACAATTTCATCCAATTGTAACAACGAATAATACCGTCAGTAAAACTATAGGGCATACTTACACAAGTGAGAAAGAAAACATTGTTATTATCAACAAAAATCATTTTCACTTTTTGCTTTATAGCAACAACATCGTCACCTATTTCATCGGTCCCGATACAGCCATCAGTGCCTATCGTGCCTGCTAGAGTCTTGAAAGGCAAAAAATTTAAGAGAGGTGGACGTGTTTCATCACGAGCGTAAGTCAATCATATTCTTTCTTTCTTTCTTTTTAAAGTAAGATTCATTCATTGCTTTTTTTCTCTTCTTATCTTTAGTACATCAAGAAGTACTGCAGCTGCAAAAAGACGATTAAATTCGACAGCAGCAGGTAGATACCTTAAAATTGTTTTTTTTGGAAAAAAAGATAGTTCAATCAAGGTCATATTGACTAAACTAAAGAATATCTAAGAGGAAAAATCTCCTAGTAAATATATCGAGTGACTATTTCATATATAGAATACGATTTTCATAGAATTGCGTAACATTCCAGAATGATTCAAAATGACCTTTGTACAGACAGAATTTATTTATCAGTGTAATTACAACATTTCTCAAGGGAATGTGCTGGAAGAAAACCATATCGAATCCAGTTTTAGCGATTATTCTAGAAATCTAAAAGTCGTAGTGTTTTGTTAATTTTTACTCTGAAATACGCACTACGGTGCGTATATCTGCTAGTGCAAACAAAAATACATTTTGTGGTCTTCATTTTTTGTGAAAATTTGCCTTTTGTTTTAGAACCAAAGGCAAGTGTAGTCATCATCGCAGAAGATGCGACACGCATCGATTCGAAAACAACAACATTAGGTTTAAGCTCAACGGGTGCATGTTCAAACGATACAGATCTTTTGAAATCTTCGCCATCGACAACAACATCAACACGTTCATCTACTCGGCGACGTGTTAAATCAACGCCACGAGAAGTGATTTTATTTCGGAATGGTGCGTTCATTTCTAAAGAACCAATAGCTAAACAACAACCAACAACAACGCTGTGCTTCGAAACAACTACAACATCACCATCGAATCCCAATTGTCCATTGCCGCCTCCACCATTACATCAACAACAGATCACTGCAACAGGTCTACAAGCAGCTGCTCAAATCGTTGCTTGTAATGTTCTCCGGCAAGCGACATTAAACGGTACGAAAAACCTATAATCATTTCGTTTTGCTCTCCTTTTATACTCTAATTTTCTTATTTTTCAAGATGCACTCATAGAACAATTGATAAAACGTGAACCAGCCAATACCGACGACGATTTTCCTATCTATTGTTACTCAAGTCCATCATTGTCATCATCATGCACAATGACAGCAGCTATGGATGAGTACGAAAATAGTTGTTCAACAACACTAAAAATCCTTGGATGTAATACCACTGCCCCTCTACATCCTCCGCCATCGAATAATGCGACAACAACAACAACAACAATTGAACTACTTACTTTTGCTGCTTTACAACAACAACAACAACAGCATCGTCAACCACAATTTTGTTACATTAAACAAGAACCAGGTTCTACAACAACAACTACGACAACGTTTCTTCTTCCTCGATTACTTCCACAGTGAATGTATGTGTGTGTGCGCGTGTGTGTGTTTATGTGTGTGCGTGTGTAGGTACATTTGTTTTTCTTCTTCATGATGATAACGTACAACACGGCGTATCAATGAGCAGTAGCTACAGCAAAACGGTTTTAATACAAGAAAAAAGGAGACTCATCCAGTTTCACTTTTTTGTCTACTTTCATTTGTCTTTTTCTTTCTATGTTTTTCTTTTTGTTTGGTTTTCTTTTTGTTTGTTATTTCAGTTTACTGACGCATATGTGTGTGTTCGAGTAGAACTGAAAATGAACTTTACTGTATTACTGTGGCCATCCGGTTTTTTGTTTGGCTCTTGTTGTTGTTGTTAAAACGAAAACATTTAAAAAAATCACGAGAAAAAAATCTACTGCAGGGACTATCGAATTTAGTTTGTTTCATTTTTCTTTGTTATTCTTTTAGTTTTTTTTTCTATTGATTTAGATTATACTTGCACGGCGAGTTTACTTCGAACGACGAATAGATGATGTCTATTATGTCGGATGGCAAGAAAACGAAAGTGTTTGTATCGTTCTTAGACGGTAATTCGATGAGTTAAATGACGGTGCACATTTTCAATTATTAGCAGATTAAATACTAATTTTGAGGTCAATCTTGCTTTTCAAATAGAGGTAAATAAAGGGTAAGTAATCTTCCTTTCGTTTTTTATCTTTTTGTAGGAGGAATTGATGAAACACTTTTTACACAAGTTTTGAACATATGGTTCTTCTATTTTTATTTCTTTAATAAACTAATTGAAACTGTTTACAACAAATCGCTGTATTTATGCATAATTGTATTGTTAAAAGAGCTTAATTGAATAAGCGCCACGTCTCGCTTGTCTTCTGATGTAAAACAGAACACTACCGACTATGCTCAATGCCTTGATGCTGTTTTCCCAGATCCCGACAGCCAACTATTTGCTTATACATTGTTAAATTTCTCAGTTATAATCATTTGAAGAAAAAATAATGAATATTGCGACTTGTCATTTCACAAATACTTAATTTTTCTTCGTCTTTTCTAGATATGGAATCCGTTGAATGTTCATCGTGTCATCAAAAATTCAACGATGCTACTCTTCTTTCATTGCATCAGGAATACGAATCATGTCTTACTTCGAATGTAGAATATATAGATTACACTTGTCCAATCTGTAATAAGATTTTTTATGATCCACTTGTCCTTGAAATTCATGTCAATGAAGAGCATGATCAATCGTCTGTACATACCACATCGGATAGTTTGTATGCACAAGAATTAGCGCGACGTGAACAGATGAGCTCGCAGTATGAACGGTACAAACAAGACGTAGCATCGGCAATATCCTATGAAGACTTGCCTGAAGATGATGATGCTCAGATAGCACGGTTGTTGCAAGATGAAGAAAATGCACAATCATTCGAAGAGTTTCAGGTGAGATTGCTGAGAAGAAGTAGAAGAAATATAATCACCAGTTTGTTTTAGAATCGTTATGGTGGCAGTACACGAACATTCAGTGAACGCGCTCGATGGAATTTAGATAAGATCTTTAAGAAAAACCTGATTTCTCAAGACAAATACAATGAATATAAAAATAAATTAGATGAAATGATCGCAAATCCTTATGAGAGAGCTGAATCGAGATCAACAGGTAAACAGATGGCATCATTCTTCGAATGTAGCTTATGTTCGTTTTTGAATAAGGACTAATTCCCATACTTTCACGTTTACCGCTGGGTAATCTCCTTAATCGTAGTCTTTGCCGACCGGGCTGTGATCATATGAGCTCGACATGGCTTGATCAAGGTTGGGCATGCGGATACAAGAATTTTCAGATGCTACTTTCATCACTTCGACTTGATCCGCAATATTCCACACATTTATTCGGTCAACAGGTTGCAAATCAAGAGATTCCATCAGTTAGTCATCTACAGAGACTCATTGAACAAGCCTGGGCAGCTGGATTTGATAGTGCCGGTCGAGAACAACTGAACAAACAATTAGTGAACTCAACCAAATGGATTGGCCCGACTGAAGTAATGGCGTGTCTGGCGCATCTAAATATCAAGTAATTAATGTCTTTTGTATCGAAGTATTTGTTCGAAATGGGCTTTTTCTTCAGGACAGAACTATTGGATTTTTACCAACCGAAAACCAATGACAAACAAACTGCTTATAGATACTTGTTTGAATGGATAAGAAATCATTTTCAAAAAGGGGATGGAAACAATGCCATTCACCCGCTTTATCTGCAACACGAAGGTAAGTTTTCCTGAAAATGATCTTTGTGTTCGTTAAAGAATCCAGCGTATTGAATACCTCAGTATTTTCTCTTAGGTCACAGTCGAACAATAATTGGTTACGAACAGTTTCGTGCTGGTTATATCCGCCTTTTAATATTCGATCCAAGTACACCCAAGGCAGATATTAACAAATTTTGTGTTAATCCAAACGACAAAGCGCATATATTCCGACGAAGTTTACAATCATTTCAAAAACCAGTCTATCAAATCCTAGTTGTCCGAGGATTACTTCGACCGGATGAAAGAGAAGTAAGCAAACAAAGATATACATTGATTTTCCTTTGAAATATGTTTTTCTTTAGGCTGCAAAACAAGTTCGTTCTATTCGAGTACCATTTCCGAATTCTTAATCGTTTCCTTCTCATACGAAAAGTCTTCTTTTCGGAACAGTCAATTTGTTAAAGAGTTTCAACGCGAATCAATTGGATATTTTTTGGTCGTCTTTTATTTTCAGATTGTTGTTTCATGTTTCTTGCTGTTATCGCTTTTACACTGAATTCATTCCGTCATTACATTATGAATAACCATCAGAATTTAGTTGAAGATGACAATGAAGAAGATGATGAAACAAGTACGAACTGTTTTGTTCGAAGAAGAACAAAAGCGAACGAACTCCACCTCGTCTTTCTTTTCTCCCTTTAGGTAGTTCAACTATCCTGGATAAAATCCGTTCCATTGTAACATATGTTTGTACTTATTTATGGGCTGTATCTTTTATTCTTCTTATATTTATTCTCTATGCATCTATTCGTGGTCCATTCAATATTATAAATAGTTTCAATACTGGTAAAAGTCTTCTCTATTGATCAAATAATAGATAGTCATCGTTTTTCTTCGCAGCAGAATTATTTCCATAAGATGACAGGACACAGATCTTGATTTCTTTGCGCTTCTCGACTTAAAAGAAAAAGAAGACAACTACCCTATCTCATTCTCGTTCTGTCTATGTTTTTCTAGATATATCTATCTTCGCCATTCTTATTATTATTATCCCATATTCTCTTATGTATCTATAAGATTCTATTTCGTACAAACGCTTAGTGGCGTCTCGTGTATACTTTTTTTCTTTCACTGATTCTCTGCTGCGCTTTCCCACTGCCGTAAGACTACTGAATGCAAATATGTTGAACGTCATCTTCTGTAAGTTGAATCAATTGTGCCTTGATTGTCGTTCGTGTCCGTGCGGTTGTCATGTGAATAGATGATGTTTTGCTTGACAGTTTTATTCATTGAATCATATTTATGTCTTCTCCTTTTTCATCTACTCTAGCCACCATGTTCTTCAATACTCTTACTCCGAAGTTTTATGTTGCCTTGACTGGTACATCTTCGCTCATTTCCGGTCTTATTCTGGTAATTGAAATTTTGATCTGAAATCTAATTCGTCGGATGGTTTAGATCTTTGAATGGTGGTACTTTAAACGATACGGTACGTCGTTTATCGAACAAGTTTCAATCAATCATTTCACACCAATGTTAAACGGGAATGAATCCAACAATTCCTTAATGTCTAACAATGAGTCTCCTGCATTAACTTCATCATCTATGAATGGATTGAGTAGTGGGAATGGAACGAACAATATGTCTAGTTGTGGATCATCGAACGGTATTGATTCTGCAACACCATTGACTGGCACAAACGAATGTAAAGTATGGAAGAATCCGTGTGCGTTGTTTCGTGGAGCAGAATATCAGCGCTTGATTCAATACAATGGCAAAGAACCATTGACATTTCATGATATGAATCTGTCAGCTCAAGAACATCAAACATTCTTCTCATGTGATCTCGATGAGGGTAAGCCGGAATATGAAAGTAAGCGATCGATATTGTTAAGGAATGGAATGTATTGATTGAAAACTTCTCGTAGTGATGCAACGAGCCTGGCGTGAACGTGCCCCATCGACACGTATTCAACTAGCTCGGGATGCACTAGAAAAAAATGCCGAGTAAGTTAAGTAAAACGGATGTTTGCTTGAAAATTTCCTATGATTTTCATTAGATTCACACCGGCATTGGTACTCCTTGCTGAAGAAGAAGCAACGACAATCATCGAAGCGGAACGTTTACTTAAACAAGCATTGAAATGTGCAGAAAATGCTTATAGAAAATCGCAACAGTTATTAGAACAGGGTCACAATCAAGACATTGTACATAGTAAGATAACGACATCATCCAAAGACGCTGACTATCATTGAACGTTGCTTTCTAGAACGCAATACCAATATACTAATCTATGTCAAACGACGTTTAGGAATGTGTGCAAGAAAACTAGGAAAACTACGCGAAGCAACGAAAATATTTCGTGATTTAGTCAAAGAATTTCCCATGATGTCGGTTTTTAACATTCATGAGAATCTTATCGAAGTTTTACTTGCACTACAGAATTATCCAGATGTACAGGGCGTTCTTGCCAAATATGATGGTAAACTATCTATGAAGTTGCAATAGTTCGTTATTTACGTTTTTCTTTTAGATATTAGTCTACCGAAATCTGCGACTATTTGTTACACGGCTGCATTGTTGAAAGCAAGAGCAGTCGCTTCCACGTAGGTCTACTACAGATTGAGATTAAACATGCTGAAAGCTTTGGAGTATACTCTGTTCTGTTTTGTTAGTTAATCATAGACATGTACAGTATTCGTGTCAACATAAATTTACTGACAGAAATGCTATTAATGACAACGGAGCCGTCGCGGTTTTTGAGTGGATTAGTTATTATAAATGTAGAGCTATTTGCATTTTCTTGTTTTTAATTAGGTTCTCACCGGATGTGGCTAGTAAACGAGGATTAACTGCGGCAGAAATGTCTGCAGTCGAAGCTATTCATCGAGCGGTGGAATTCAATCCACATGTTCCTAAGGTAAATTCCTATCGAAGTACTTTTCTTTTCGTATGACCTTCGTTTTTCTTTTGTCAAAACTAGTATTTATTAGAGATGAAGAGTATCATTCTACCACCTGAACATATTCTTAAACGTGGCGACTCAGAAGCTATTGCATATGCATTTTTCCATTTACCACATTGGCGACGTGTTGAAGGCGCACTAAACCTCTTACATTGTACATGGGAGGGAACATTTCGAATGATTCCATATCCATTAGAAAAAGGACATCTCTTTCATCCCTATCCAACGGTAAGTTAAAGTCATCACGTCTTTAGCACATCTATTACTGGTCTGACATTTTAGTGCACGGAAGCAGCTGACAGGGAACTATTGCCTGGTAAGAATGAATTCCAATATAACGGTATGATTATCTCTTCTTTCTTTAGCATTCCATGATGTGTCTGTGTTTCCGAAAAAAGAATTGCCATTTTTTATTTTATTCACAGCTGGTCTATGTTCAGGCACAGCTATGCTTGCTTTACTTACACATCAATATCCAGAAATCGCGGCATCCCTAGCTCGTCTTTTCCTTACTTGGTTTAGTGTACCTATTCAATATCTAACGGATAAAATCGAATCGCTCTTACCATCCAACCTATTTCAACAATTAGCAAAATTTTAACAATTCTCATTTTTTGTTTGCTTGTTGCTAATTGAGCTCTCAATGTTAATAAAATGATTCGTTCAACAATCGTATATAAATCAAACGTTCATTTATGCATAAATTGATGGACGAGCAAGAAAACTGCTCGATTAGAAGAATCACCGAAAGTCTCATTCAAAAGCAAGGATAACTTTTGATGGAAATGTCAAATTCGTCGACTTGTGGTATTTCGGAAATATTTTCTCTTTCGCATGCATCTGTAATAAATATTAAATGAGAAGACAGCAATTTTTCAGTTTCTGGATTTTATTCATACTTGAGGGTGATGTTATTACAAATGTTTCAAAGGCAAAATCAATGATGTTCATACATAATTTCGTTCAAAAATGGACTGCAAATAAGTAAAGGCCACTACATCTTATACATATAAGATGTGGTATTATGAACTGAGAACCTTATGTAGGATAGTTTCAAGATAAGCAGCAATTCTTGGCTATTATTCTTCGGGAAGTTCCTTGAGAGCTTCTTTTGCGTACATGTATTGTAAGGCTTTTGTAACTTTTTCTTCATATTGTTTCCAATGGAATTGGGAAAAACGGCAACCATCTGGTGGTCGTTGAGTTACACCAACAGAACCAACAAGCATCTCGAGTTCATCACGATCATTCTTGTGAGATAGAATCTGTATCAACGTTGCTGATATCGCGCCGTTCGAGGATTCATTAATTATAAGCTCTTCTGACACAGGATCGTTGCTGGCTTGCTGATATAAATCTTTCATCCGTCTTTGAATTTCTTGTGGAAAATCATTGAAGGTTGCATCGATATAACATCCGAAATCACTTTTGCTCAAATCAACGGGAAAAGTTGAATGAACAACCATGTTGCGAAAGTGATCTGAACCAGCGGAGTGATCGAATTGTTTAGTGAACCAGAAAAACTCTTGCTGATGTTGCAGAAACGCTTTCATGTGTCCGGACAAATTCTTTTCAGGCTTTACATGATATTCTTCAATTGAATCAATCTTTTTGGTACTCGACATGCCGTCGTTTGAGTCATTTCGGGCATATGACGATGTTTGCTGTTTCATCACAGACTGTTTTGAATTACTTCCGTCTTGAAGAGTTTGCGTATCCATGGATTGACCATCATGATTGGTAATATTTCTCGCGTTGATTGACGTCGAATTTGTATATGAAGTTTGCACCCACGGAGAGCTGTCTTGTCCTTTGTTTTGATTATTTTTTGATTTGGAACGGCAACAAACGTTAAAATGTGGCATGGTATAGGCCGATATCTGTAATAAAAAGTAGTATGTCAAATACCAGTATTCCTATTAAATTAATGTTAGCATAACCGATTTAACTAAAAATTAGAGTCACGCGGCCGAAAATCTTGTCAACTTTTCTAGAAATCTCTAATGTCTCTGTTCGTTAAAAAATCTGAAGAGAACCGGACAATAGCACTGTCTTTGCGAACACCCATCCCACACTCTCAACAAAGCCTATAGAACGATGCTGTAGATGAAATGATATTAACTATCTTTATTGAATGTTCGGAATAATGTGTGATAAAAAATATCGTTCACTTATTCTATTGTAAAAGTAATCTCTCTTTTAGCCTGACTTCTATTACAACATATATGTCTTACTCCTTCGTATTGATATCAACGTACTGTTTGCTATGAGCCAGCGGATTCTCAGCGCTTTCTTTATATGATGGAGGAGGGAAATTTCCTATACGTAATTCCAAAAACTGCATATGACTTTCAGTCAGTTAGTATTTTCCATGTTCTAACACTACTAGATGTGTCGGACATTTGTCATTACATTAGTATCACTGGTATATTTACCATATTATGCATAGGAATTTTCCTATTTCTTCCATATAAAGGAAAGGACGAGAATTCACTTTTTGTTATATCAAACTAATACGTCGATATTCATACGAACGGTAAGAAATATATGTTGTGATAGAAGATCGATAAAGATAAGGATTATTTTCATGAAAGAATAGATAGAAAATAGAAGCAAGTTTTGTTTAAATTGTTCAGTCACTTGTATATTTGAGATAGATTTCAAGAGAAGTAAAGACCTTCCAAAGAAGTTGATGTTTAACATTCAACACAAAAATGATAAGTATATGAAAATTAATTATTCTTTTCCTACGGTAGATATGGCTTTAGTACCAAAAGGCAATATATCGCATCATGTCAATAAATTTTTGGAACAAAAATCTGATCATGATTGGCTGCTAATTCCACTCAATTGTAAAGGTGGTAAAGACCAATTCCAGAACACTGTTGTCTTTTCCACCTTTCCTGCGGATTTAAGTAGAGCAGGTTTCGCGGATTATGTCGAGACTACATTTTGTGATTTACAACAAACACAAAGAGAAAAACTGAAAGGTATGTACTGGACGAATAGTCACACTTATCAACAAGAAGACATCATTTTTGATTACGGTGTTCAAAATGGCAAAATATCGGCCACATTACTTCAAGTAGTGTCTCAGAAAAATGCGGCTAAAGAATTGGAAGTTCTCGTTGGTGTTATTTCTCTCATACGAACGCCTGAAATAGGTTGGCATTTTAACAACGACTACTGGAAAAGTGACAAGGACCGAGTAAAAAGTGGACTACAATACATGTTTGGAAACGAAGCTAAAAAAGAACTAGCTTGCCACTACCATTGACACTCGCTCCGCTTAAATCAAAATCGCATCCCTTTCTTGTAATGTTCGAGATACACTGTTCGTTTCATGATTATCTCGAAATAAAGATCAACGCTCATCTAGAAAAAGAATCTTAAAATGAGTTTCAACTGACATAGGTGAAACAAGCTATCGTGACCAGTTTCATTCTTGCTTATGGAATTCATCTGACATGTACGATTCGAAATAGATTGTAAATGGGTCATGTATTCAAAAGAGTTTTACACGTATGAATGACAATATTCGATCAGTCGAATCCACGTAGACAGAAATTTCAAAGCATTGATACAATAGTAAAAACCATAGTGTGCAACTGATTTCATTGGTATAGTTGCTACAGATATTACTTTGATAGATGGGAACGTTCATACAAAGACGTGAAGAACGTCAATGCTGAGCATGATCTCATCCAAAATGTGTGCACGTGGGTGCACACGTGTGTGGCTCTGCTGCCTGCCTTTATGCCTATCGTTCTCATTCTACTATGCGGTTATGTTTGCTCGTGTCTGGCGGACGACGATGTGCATTAGTGCATCGAAAGAAGAAGCGAACGACAAAGAATGACTCAAATGGTAGGTTTTTCTTCTGTTAGTATTTGCCTTACAATGATTCAGTATAAAATGGACTTTGTAAAAGAAAGCAGAAAGACCATGCAGTGGAAATATATTTATAGATAAACACTTTGCCGTTTCTTTTTCATCTTAGATTTCAAAAAGGTAAACGATGGCTGCTGAGAACATTACTGAAAAAGTCGTAGAAAAAGTTGAATTGGCTGCTGAAGTTGGCGTCAAAGCAGCTAATATCGTCGCTAACGCTTTTGAAAAAACGATCGCTGACACAGATCATTCATCGGGTGCCGAAGAAGACACACTATGGAATTATTTCACTTCATTTGGTATACACATTGCCATGGTCATCATTGTTCTTCTTCTCAAATGGCAATACGGTACGATTTCGCAGATAGAGGATCATCTATTGAGAACGAAACTGATGTACTATGTTTTTTTTTCTAGATCGTAATCGATACCGTTACCCAAAAGGGCCACGTGATTGGAGAAATATAAAAGATGCGATTTCATTTCATCGAAAAAAACGCGAAAATTTACTTGTTTTAGCAAATGATTATCCAGATATATGTACAGTTATGACTCACTCGGGTCGTTTGGTTTTATTGAATGATGTGACGCTTATTAACGAAATATTCATCGGACGTGCCGATTTAGTCAGTAATAAAGTCGATGGTTATTTAGAGAATCAACTACGTTACAAAGATGGAAAACATATTCGAACAGGTCATTTTTTTTCTTCTAAGATTCTCAATGCTCGAAGAAAATCTTTGCGTTCGTTTAGGCATCGTTTTTCGTCATCAAGATCATAATTCGAGAATTATTCACAAGGCTCTTGTTCATCATATCGATGCTAATCTTGTTGGAAAACGACTTGACTCAGCTGTTCAAGAACAATTGAAAAACATGCGTGTTTCGGAAAATTTCGACGTTCGCCGCACAACATTTTACTTTGCTACTCGTCTTTTAACATCTCTTTCATGCTCATCTATTACTGTTTCGAATGAAGACAAAACCTTCGAATTATTTCAACAGAATTTATATAAAATTTCGAAAGCTATTCATGCAGATACATTTGAAAAATCCGCGAAGACGATTCTAACACAGCTGACCGGTCTTTCGGAAACATTAGATATTAATGAGAATGTCTTAGACTATATTAAAACATGGACAGAACATCGACGAGGTGAAATCAATCGACCTGAGAATGCCGGTGACGAACAAACAGTAACATCAACAACAAAAATCGGCAATGACTTTCTCGATTCACTTTTGGCTGTTATCGATGAATCATCGCCACGTTTCGATGAGGATGACATGGCTGCTTGTATTCTTGACATCATTATGCATGGAAGTGAAATGCTTAAAGGTGCTCTTTCGTGGCTATTACTTTACGTTGTGAAATATCCAGAAGAAGCCGATACTTGCCGACGAGAAGCTCGGTACGTTTGATCAATTGGCCAACTAAACATCTATATTGTTTGTCTTTGTTTTAGGGATAAGAATTATTATCAATTCAATCTTTCATCAGCTGAATCTCTTACTCATACACAAGCATTTGTCAAAGAAGTTTTACGTCTTTCGCCTGTTGTACCAGTTGTTATTCATTCAACATTACAAGATTTCAAATGGCGCAAATTTCACATTCAAAAACGTACTCAATTCGGTGCTAATATTGTTGCTCTACATCATTCGGCTGCTTGGAAAGAGCCGAACACATTTGATGTTGCACGCTGGCTCGGCGAGAATGCATCAGCCATACCAACGAATTCTTATTCACCCTTTGGCTTCGGACCGCGTGCTTGTGTCGCTGAAAAATATCTATTTAATTTACTTACTGGCATCCTCGGCGTCTTGTTGTATCATAATGATTTCGAAAAGACTGGCGCATTACCTGAACCAACCGAAGGAACATTTGGTTTAGCTAATTTGCCACCGAAATTCTCTCTCAAAGCAACACCACTTAGTACACGTTCATAGACTGAACTACATATCGATTATCTCATAGATAATGCATCAAATTATTTAAACTAGCAAATATTTCTTTCATTTTCTTTTTTCTCATGACACAATAAAAAATATTTATACAAACCCATGTATCATTTTTTTAATGGAAAACAGATTTTCACCATGACAATCGCGCGATGTTTGCCAACGTTGTTGAAGAAAGAGCGATTACATCATTGCTGTTTTAGATAACCTATGTTCTTATCCATTTTATCATCAGTGAATAAAGTTAAATGTTGTACTCGATTCTTATCGTACGTGCAGGGTCAAGCGCCACCTGATCGTTCGGATGTTCGAGAATATTTTTACTATATCGATTCATTTGGACAGGTGTGCTCAAAATGCCTTTTCCATTTCGAATTTTCTCTTCTCTAGCTATTCTTAGATGACACACGATTTAAAAACTTCACGTCTTGTTACAAAGGTCAGTCGCTTGACTTAACTATCTTTCGATTTGCTACTTATTCTCGGATGAAATTTAGATCCGAAATTCCTCCATTTTTTCTTCACTCGTCTTCAAGCTAATTCGCACAATGATCGCCCATACTTTGCAGTATTTCCATATGTATCATTATGTGGCCGAGAACGAAACTTTGTACGTTGTGCTGATGTGCCATTTGTGTTGACACGATTTTTCGATGAAAGTGATCGATTTGAACTTTGTCACATACCAGCAGCAATACTTTCCGTCCAATTTGAACCAAAAAAACTTTATGTTAAAGCAGATACTGGTCGAATTTACTATCCAATAGCAGACAAGTTTCATACCGGTATAGCTTTGATCAAAGATGCTATCGCGGAACGATTGAGTTCTCATTTAATTTATGACGACAAATCCGATGGTGTACCGACGGGTATTGAATGGAAAGGGAAAATACACCAATTGAAAAAGGATGATCGGATAGAAAAAGCCGTTTATGAGCATAGTCGATTCGAATTCTGTGAATAAATCTTCAATCTATCCTATTTCAATCGACTTCACAAAAACGTCTCATGAGTAATAAGAAGATTCATACGGAAAACAAATCATATTCTTATTTACAGATTCAAACGTTAACACAGTTACATTTCGAATGTTATCGGTTGGAAGGACTTGAATTATGTCGTTCAGGTATTATATATCGATTCAATTGTATAGGATTACTCGATTGTCTCGAACGATAGTGTACTGGTGTTGACGATGATCGTGTGTGATAACTTCCAAATGAATATAAACGCTCATTTTCCAGTTTACTTAAATAATTATGAATGAAATTCGGTTGTTGCCATGATGAATATCGCCGCGTCAAACACCGATCAATACTTCGTAACACTTCACGTTGAACTTCTGCGTTGATGATTGTGTAGATTAACCCGACAATTAAGCCCTGAAGAAGAAAGGAGAGATGAATTTCGAAGAGAAATACTTGATTTTACTTGTAATGATGATGAGATTGTATGAACAGTCAGATGAATAACGATTAAACTTGGAATTAGAAATGGTTTGATATTCCAGAGGAACAAGAAATAATGAATACCAAATAGAGGCAATAAGATTAATGTTGAACGAGTCAAACGGCTAGAAGTAAAAATTTTGTTCATTTCCAAGAACATCAAGATAATATTTACATATATTTCGAAAAACGTTTCCGATCCGATGAACCACCTGTCCGAGAAGTTCGATTCAATTTTCGTGTGAGTAGGACACAAATATACGTAAAGATAAAGATATTTATCTGAATCAGAAGTAGAAGGAAACAATCTAAACATCATTTGAGAACACGTACGATTTGAAGAACCACGTTCGGTCCATGAAGTATCCAATCGTAAATCGATGGCTCAAACCAGCATGTATAAAGATCTTGTCTCATCACAGCTCGTGTTATGTACGTGATTATTGTTAAATACAACGGCGCTACTGAAAACAAAACTTGCCTTTATATTCAATATTTGTATTTGAAAAAAGAACAGTTGAATTACGTACACCAACCAGTTAAGATATACCAATGTACACGATCTCGGTATGCTTTCGCGCGTAGTAATCGATAGAGATATAAGGCTTCGCAGAAAACAAACCAGTGGGAAACACTGCTATTGATGTAGTTCATAAGAATTGTGAACAGTTTGCAATCGAGTAGCTAAAAAAGAAGATTTTTGAATAATTAGCAGACATGAAGTCTTACTTGATCTTCTTTAAAGTAAATAGTTGTTCGATTACATGCATCGACTCGTTCGAAGACATTGTGAGGAAAGTAGCCCTTGCTCATATGAAGTTCAGCAATCAGCTGAACTACTGATCGGAGAAGAAAAACGAAGAATACGTTAACATGAAGGATATTTCTCGAACATCGACGAAGACGACTAAAATACAAGAGCATTAAACTGTTGATTCATTCAATCTTTTCATTGTAAACCTATTTCCTAATAAAATAATTATCCCGACTGCAAGAAGAATGACTGAAATAATATTAGCAGATATAATAAAATATTTCCGAGCGATGATGTAATCCAATGGTATACCAAATTCATCGGTAATATTCTAAACAAAGACACAATATGTTGAACATTCTTGTCTTTCTGTACATACGACATTCTCCGGTGAGCAACCAATACAAAGCTCATAATTACTTCGAGCTTCCCATCGAGATTTATTTGTACATAATCGCGAAGCATAAGCTAAAAAGAAAACTCGATATTTATCTGATTGAATCTACCTCGACTTTCTCTACCATCAGCGTTCGCATTAGGAAAAAAGTGCGCTGGACAAGGAATCGTACGACGAGCACCGGCTCTTGTTGCTGGCCAACACGCTATTCGATCGAACTGTTCCAGACAAAAGCTACCTAGATATGAACAAATCACATTTACTTATTAATATGTTTACATATGATTTCCATTTACCATTAAATACTTGCGAAGACACGTTATATGGTAATGAGCAACTATCCGCCATTGGTTTCATGGACGAGGACAAGGTTAGAAATATTTCATATCGTTTGTGTTGTTTTCATTCTTTCTTTCCTTCTTTCTGTGTCTCTCTCGTACGAAGTATGATCGATAACAATCAAAAAAATTCGATGTTATATTTATTACCTGTCGTCATCCTTTCTTTTTGTTATCATATACAGAGCGAAAGAAAACAAGGAGAAAGTCTATAGTGACTTTTTTTATCATATTTTTAATTACTAATGTCACACAACAGAAGGTCTTCACTACTAATACGTCATGTATATCAATCTGCCAATAGCTTTAACTTTCCCTGAGTATTCGCCGACACGAAATTTGAAATAGTTATCAGTAGATAACGACAGACTGCTTCTATTCTTTGTATCGTATTGATTTATCTTTTTCCCTTCTCTTTGCAAAATATAATAATAATAAATACTACTAGCAATTCGACCGACAGGGCTTGTGAAAATAATCCAAATCAAACGAATGAATAAATGAATGCCACTGAAATCTATAGTGGACTGTTTATCTCTTTTGATAGTTGTCCAAGCTGAAGATGAAGAAAAGTTTTATTGAACGAGATTAATATTATTATTCTTTTGGTTAGGAAAAAAAGAACGAAAAAAGTTATTATAAACTTGCACATACACACACACACACTTAGACACAAAGGAATTTACTCGTTATAACAACTACGTAGAACACATAGACAGAAAGCGAAAAGGAAAAGAAACGCACACATACATATACAAGAGCAACGAAAATATTAAAAAGAAAAAGTGAAGATTTTACATGTGATATTATTGTCCGATTTGTTTTGTCTTTTCTCAAGTAGAATCTTTCGTAATGATAAACACTGTTCATCTTCTCTGGACATATTTTTAACAAGCGTTTTCTTAGGAAAGCACCGGAAAGTAACAGGGAGAGAACGAGAGAATTATGCTGGGCTAGAAAGGGATTGACTAGGTACAAAAATAAGAACGAACGAAAGGAAACAAACAATTATTTTCTTCCTAAATTTTGTGAACCACCAAATCGTCGAATTGATTCCATTAATTCTCCATGAGATGCGCCAGAATGATTACTCAAGCGATCTTCATTTTCGATCGATGGTAATCGTCGATTGACGACGTCTTTTATCGTCGTTGTTCCTTCGGATGTGGTCGTAGTCATCGTAGTGTTTGTTTCACCACCCACATTACCAATACGACGAATGGTACGATATTCGGTAATAGTTTTACCGACTGGTTTCGGTGCTACGATCGGTGGTGCTGGCTGGTGTGCAACAGGTGACGCGCGAGTTATCAATTGTTTACGATCACTTTCGACAGTAACCTACGTTGATCAAAGAATCAAATCGATGCTTATAGATATATGCAGAATACATACTGTGATGTGAGTAGTTCGTTCGGTCACTTCAAGCTAAATAGAGAAATTAATGAATATGTGCTGTTTTCGTATTCAAATAAACAAACTTGAATTGGGGTTGGAGACTTTTCTCTTGTCACCATAGATTGTGTTTCATCTTCTTTTTCGTATTTCTTCAATAAATTGTAAGCTTGTTTACCTTTCGACGAAACTTGTACAGCAGCTGGTGCAGATTTATGGTGCACGATGGTAGTTTTCGTACCTTCAGCAGGATGCGATGCTTTAGTTACAGGTTGGCCGAATTTCTGTTGATTTGTTGAATCGAATATGGCAACCGAGTTATGAACGAATCCTCGATTGTCAGTTTCGAATTTACCATAACGACTTTTGGCAACACGAAAATATGAAACATTCTCATTGGTTTCTTTTTCTTGTTTTTCATTTTGTTGATAATTGTTTCCTCGCTCAGTATGATCATGGACAATACGTAAAAGACCATCGATAGTTGATGACTTCTTTTCTTTCTGTGGGGTTTGACGAGGTGGTTTCGGCATTGGAGAACTTGCAGCTGGTGTTTTAACAACTTCTGGTTGCACAGTCGGCTCGATCTTCAACGGAGTTACTTTCTAAAAACAAAACTTTCTCTTCTTTATCTTCCGATTTGGTTAATTGCGAGAAAAACACCAGATATTCGTTCTCCCTTTCGTGCCTAGAAATCTATTCGAAGAACTACAAGACGATTCCCGAAAGAGTATTTCCTCATCTCAATAGCTCGATTAGGAAATCTCTTAGGGAAGGCAAAGCTGAGATTATGTATACTTTAAAATATACCGGATTTCTATCTGATTATTCGCAAATTATTCATGTGAAAAATAATTACTTCTTTCGATTTTGTTTCTTCTTGTGGATCGATAATCGCTGGTGTAGAATATGCTGTCTCGACTTCTACTTGTTCCGGAGAACGATTTGATACTGGCGATGAATGTATCTCGACAGTTGTCGGTTGAGAATTTGTTTGAATTTCTAGAGTTGGTGTTTGCATCTGAGTTGAATCCTGTTTTGATATGTCATTTCTAGGTGTTTGTTCAGTTAACTGTTGTTCTACAGTTGGTGTTTTATGGAGATCTTCGTCAAAATTATCAATTTTCGATGAAGGTGGCGGTGGAGGTTCTAAAGCTACAAACAGAGATTCATTTTCAAATTATAATTTCAAAACAATTTACTTGGTCGAGTAGTTTCAATTGACACATTGTGATGTTGTTCCTTTTCATCTTGTTTCTCTACGGTATTGACTATGGTCATAACGGGAGCTTTTCGTTTCTTCTTTGTATTTTCTGCTTGAAGTGATTCTTGACTCTGATGATGTTCGATACGCAAAGGCTGCGACGGCGAACGAGCTTGCATCGGTGGTTGTTGTTGATGAATATAAACAATCTGTGGTTCAGTTCGACTCGGGCCAAGGTGGCCAGGCGGTTTAGGTGCACGACGTTTCTTTGTTGTCGATGATGTATTCGAGATTTGCGATTGTGTATCAAAATTCGGGTCGTTCCAATACGCGTGTAGAGATGTATGCGATGGACGAATTGTATTCACAAGTCGATCCTGTTTTCTAGGACTTTCTTGTTGCTCGATGACTGCTACTTCTTGAACTGTTTCTTTCGGTGTTTGAGTCTCTGAACGTGTACGATAGAGGCGATCAAAAGATTGATGCTCATTTGAAGGACTTTGATAATCGAATTGTGAGTTTTTCTGATAGACCAATGTTAATTCATTCGTTTTATATTCAGCTAATGATAGGCCAAGTAAAAGCGGTTGATCGAGTTTACTTGGTAGACGTAGAGTATATTGGTTGGATTGAGTGTACTTCTTTTGTTTGCAAATTTGCTCTTTGATTTCGTATAATGGTAGTGTCGGATCAACACGCAAGAGAATTTTTTGTGCGTCAGGTAGGTTAACTAGTAAACGAACGGTGATCTACGCGAACAAAACAGAACATATACCTATGATTCACGTTTCGCTGGACACGACATACCTCAAATGGTTGAGAATTCGGTTTGCTTGTTGAGTTACCGTGCACTGGTTCTTTGGGAAGAAGACTGATAGTTGATGAACCTAAAATGAATAAGAACAGATAGAATAGAAATTCTGTTATTCCAAATGTCAAAGCAATGAAATAAAACAAAGCATGAGAAGCAAAAGTATACTTGACAGATTACCGTTTATTTGTGGTAAACGACAGTTTCTAACTGAAATTACACTCGAGTTCTTCAATCAATCTCAATTGATTTCCTAATCGTGAAATACTTACCAATTTGGCCCACAGTTTGATTCGCCTTGAAATGTATAACATGCTGGTTGGAATCAAGTACAACGAGTGAATAACTACTCGGATTAAGTTTGTTCAATGATGCAGCATGTACTAGTAAATCCATCATTGGAGTACTAGAAGAATAAAAACTGCTCATATATATATACATATAGAGGTATCAATCATTACTTGGCATCAACATTGATGACGGATGGAACACCATTTGGTAAGATAAGTGTCAATTGTATCTTGCCATTTTGTTCTGGTGAATGTTGTTGATGGTAATAGGCTTGGTGACCATGACCATGATGATGATGGGCAGGACTTTGTTCTAGTATTGGCATCATTGTTAAGCAAAAAGAGTCGAATAATTCTTTCTTGTTCTACTGAGAAAAGATCAAATCTGGAAAATGAAAGTAAAATGCATACATAATAAAGAAAAATTGATTTCTGCCTATGAAATAACATCATACATTCTTTTACTTCTTTCTGTCTCTCTCTCTCTCTTTCTTTCCTTCCTTCTCTCTCGTACGAAAAACTTTTAGAACCTGATGGTATTTTATCTTCCACGAGAATACTTGACTCAATCGAAGAGTAATATGCAAAGAATATATCCAATCACTACTAGTGCTTCTACTATTATTGCTTCACCGACTAATATTACTATTGACATAGTCCAATGTAGTTAGCTTGCGGTGGCGGCGGCGTTGCGACACGTTTCTCTTTTCTTTTATTCTTCTCCTTCTTCTTCTATTACTTTCCCCCTCTGTCCACATAGTCATCGACATAGTGTAAAGAATCGAAAACAGTCGGCCTTTTCTTATTTTTCTTCGCCTCTTTCGCTCTCACCCGCTCTCTCTCTCTCATTTAAACTTACGACCAATATCATTACAACAACAAAAACGGTTAAGGTGTGTACAATCGAATTGAATCTCTAATCAAATTTACTAATGTTGCTAGAGGGCTTAAATGGAGGTGTTGTTATTTCGCTCTAATTAAATACGAACTAAAACAAATGGCCTTGAACATACTTGATTTCCTCTTTCTACATGCATTTATTCCTCCTTATGTATTAGAAGTTTATATACATTACTTTCTGTATTTCTTTTTATCCTCATCGTCCTCGAAAGGATGTACAACATGATGTATGTGCGTGTGTATGTGTCTATATGTCGATTTTTGAGGCCATGAAGAGATATACACTTACTCATGTACGCATACATCGAAACTTTTTAAAATGACGTCACAGAATGTTTACATAATTTAATCATCACTTTTCACGTAATTGATACTCACGGCGCAATGGTTTACACTGATACACCAGATTAATATCGTTGGTCTTTTGAACGGCTCAAATTTCTCCTGGAGTTTTCAATAGAAGAAATCAACTATTCTCTGTTAAAGACAGAAAGTAGTGCGAGAGACAGTAAAGATGTAAAAGATAATGCAGCTGTTACTCGTATTTGTCGCAAATTATCAATGTATGAAACACTTAAACAGTTATTAATGACGGATAATACATCATTTTCCTGATCGATAGTCAATCGAATGCACATGACCTGAAACAGTCGATTGCATGTAAAGAGAAAAAAGTCTACTGTATAAAAGCACAATAATATGAACAAAACGGGCACTGCTCACTTAAACTATTTCAAAGAGTTCTTTCTCTCTCTCTCTTTTTTACAATGCTCGCTTTCTTTCTTCTCGCGTTTTTTTCTCTTTTTCATCGTCTTGAATATGAACAAGGGACAATGAATACGAATACAAGAGATCCAGTTGCGTATGTGCATGTGTAATCAGAAGAAAGGACATGAGAGAGAGAAAGAGAGAAGAAAGAAAATTTTCACCAGTGCTACTCTAGTATACAACAATGACGATGACGACGACGACGACCATCATCATAACAACGCACATGACGGTCACCGTTCTTAGAGAAGGTATAAAAAAAGTATACTATGGTAGTCAATCGTCAAAAATTGATCTCTCATGTGTCTCTAACGCTAAATGCACACCACAGCGAGAAGATTAAAGCTTTCCGTTCTGTTCTTTCGGGTACTATTCATAGTGATAAAACATCATAAACACGACATCTTGAGGGTAAAAACAAAAAAAAAGGACGAGCTATTACAGTGATATGTAGCTGTACATCGTGTAACGATAAAAAAAGTCGAAAAACACGAACATGTTTATTAACAACAGATGAGATGAAGAAATGCAGGCTTAATAGCAACTAGTTTCGGTTATTTATAGTTCCGGAGAGATTTAGGATTAACTATAAAGTACACTGATAGCATGCACATGCATATCAATCGTTCGTCCTCGATGTTTTTCTTTTCAACGTTACGAGAAAATGTCAATCAAAGGAATAAAATATCAAAATAGCAGAATTCAATCAACCAAAGGTTACAAACATTTTCAATTGATGATCTAAATCGACAGTCATCAATAGTAATATTCCATTTAAAAAAAACAGCTTTCGTTCAATATCGACTATCTTGACATGAATAGGATCACGATCACTTCTTATGAATGCAACTGTCTAATATTATTGAATGACTACTTGACATTGGCCTAGACGGAGGTTTGAATGAAAGTAAAACTCATTATAGAACTGTCAGTTGGATAAAGTCAAATCTTATTGTTCTGATTTGTCATCGAACAAAAAAAATCTCTCATTCATTGCATGTATTCTGACTCATTCGTAAGTTACCTTCAAAAAGGAGAGAGCTATCATGTAAATGTCAAATAGTATCCTATCTGAATACGAAATTTTCAAGCAACAAACGACTTCGTGTCGAAAGACTAACTCATTCGACATGTTACAGTAGATAAACTTACAAAATTGTCGATCAATACTAAAGTTCATAATCAATGAAATCAATCTGAATAGGAATTCTATTCATCTTAACTAAATCCATATAAATCCTAGAATAACAAATAAAGATTGGTATACAACCGACATGAAACACACTACATATTCTTTTGTCTTCATTTCGAAGAAGAAATTGTCTGATTTTTTTCTGTACAAACAAAATGTTATTCTAACCTATTCGAGTTTGTCAACAAAGACGCCGATGGTTCATAGTTTCTAAGCAGCACCTGCTGCCATTGACATTCATCACACGAAAAGATCGATCGTAAAACATAATTTAGATAATATTATCGTCTACATGAAACAATAGCATGTTTTTGTATAAATAGAAGGATTGCTTTTCGTAGTATACAGACACACAAATGTATTGCTCTATGTAAGCAAATAGTAACAAAGATATACTGCGACTGTCAACAGGATTAAAAGATAACACTCGAATGACTAACTGACTGGTGAATAGTCATTGTTAGGTTTATTCACACGCTATGTTGATCTTTACGGGCAAAGAACGAAAGTGATGATGGCGAGAAAGACCTTTAAACTTGGTCTATCTAAAACCGATCATAGCTCAAGATGCTTGGTTTGGATGTTCATGTATCGAAGTTTAGTCTCATCATAAAACATTGATAAAGTATTCGGCAAGAAAAGATGTTTGATAAGTAGATCAAACAAATGTGAAGGCCGTCGTCAACAGCCTTATTATGACTTACCCTTACGACTAGTTTATTCCGTGTGATCATAGGTATTGCAATGAAATCTTGTTTGATCTCCGTACATGTTGAACACATAAATTACAGTATCGGTATATTTTTCTATCAAATATTTTCATGGCAAACATAGATCTTGTATTGGTTTAAATGGATTATATGAAATAACATAGAAAAGATGTCACCCAAGTAGAATTACGAAATAGATTCTTCAGTACATTTTCATTAGAAGTAAATATAGTTTTCTTACGAGGATATCTGTTACACGAATTTTATAATCTACTTTAGACTTATTCACATAGCTTTTCTTTTCTTTTCTTTGATTTGCGTTGTCGACCTTGTGTTTATCGGCCATAACGAATAAGTAAAAAAATTACATTGACTAGGCATAAAATTATCTTTGATCTGGATATTTTTAATATCCGTATTCTGTAGGAAAGACCAAGGGTGTCTAAGTAAACCAGTGTGACTGATTTTCTCGGTGAATCCTCGGTTACCGAGCAGATTTTTAAAGTGATGGATGAGGGAAAAGTACCTAAGTCGACCTTAATACAGAATTTTTCTGTTCTTCTATGAGAGAGTACATTTGGCCGTCTAGAATGGTTTGACATCACTTCTCGATGCTTGTGGAGAATGAATGAATAATAATAGTCGCGTTTTTTTCTCTGACGAGGATGCAGTGATGATAGAAAAACGAGAGAAAAATACTTTAGTATCTTTTCATCACTACAGTCAATCAGGCTTCTTTGGCTTTTGATACAAATCATTTGAATCATATTTACTTTCTTGCAGATCGGCTATTAACCATGGCGAAGAAGCTTAGCAAACCGTTTGAGAGATGTATGCCGCAATCCTTGAGATTTCGTCAATGTTTAATCTGCTTTTTTTCAAAATAGATTCAAGTAGCGATCAATATTTGATTGCATTACTTTGTGCTCCGTTGAAAAAGTCCAAAATCAAGGTATGATTTACATCACATTTTGCTAATTGTTCAGTCCGATGTCATTCGCAGGCGACGGTGTTACCGAAACAGGAAAATGACGAACTCTTTCGATGGAACGCGTGCAATCAATTCGTAGAAAGTCGACTGACATCTTCGTAAAGTAAACCTCTCGTTTCATTCAAGATCGGCTTAATTCGATTATGGGCTAGAGAAGATGATAAGAAGTAAATCAAGTGTAAACACTATCCTTGATCCCCCAGTCCAAGCGAGTCTTTGTACTTGAAAGTTGTTTGTTTATTTGTTTCTCTTTTTTCTCAACATTTTTATATAAACACTCGAAAGCATGGTGAAAAAAGAACAAAATACCTTATAATAGCCGAATAAAGGCGGTGATAATCTGCGCCAATGCTTAGTATCACGTTTGCATAAGTCAAATGTACCTGAAGCGAAAACAAAGTTAATTCGAAGAATTTCTCAAAATAATTTAAGCATAAAACTAAATCTACATTATGAAAAGTAACACAATATTTACACGGCTGGTAGATTCATCAATGCAAGTCGACTTTAGTAGTGAGGTTAATTTTAAATGTAACAAAATACTCTTTAACGGCAAAGATCAAATTCCAATCGAGCGAGTTCCTGTTGTAAACCAATGTACCTGAGAGCAACCCACGTGTTGAAATTAGTGAATTATGGGCGTAGAGAGAGAGAGAGACGCAATGGTAAAGCGCAGAGGGATTCTTTATAATCTAGGCCAATGCATTATTTAAGCAGAAAGTTTTCTAGCTTAAGAATTTTTCCCTTTCTAAAATAGATTAAAGCGGCGTGAAAGTGTGCCGAGAGGTCTTGCCTCGTCAGTACATCTATTTTGGTTTATCCACTGATTATCTATAAACGACAAAAGCTGAGTTCGTGTTCACTATATAATTACATAGATAATATTTACTCTGACCGTTGAAACGCTATTCGCTCTTCATTCAATCCTACGCTTTGGGTTATAAATTGTAAAAAAATAGTATAACTATCAATTTGTTTTGGTAAAAGTGATGACAGGAATCATTTTCATCCCGTTTGTTGGACTTTCGCATGATGACATCAGATATATTTGCAATACTAAATTTGCCTCAGGTATTACATCAAGATGTACCCGTAAAAGTGCGTACTTTCAAAAACAAGGACAAAAGAACAAAATATTTAGTTTAGCTTCCAGTTTAATATCACATGCAATAGCCAATGGAAGAATTCACGACTCAATGAAGAAATTTGTGAGTAATTTCTACGATGGGGCGTGTGACATTGCAGTTCTAGTGGAGAGAGATGCACTGAATTTCATACGTGTTTTTATTCGTATGTAATTACAAAACAAATTTTTCCACGAGAAAAATGATTGGGTTTGAAAAAGAAAGAAAACGATGAACAAGACGAAGAAGAAGAAGAAGAAGAAGAAGGAAATGTCATGCAAACAAAAAGAAAGAAATGATCCATACACAATACAAAGAAGAAAAACAAACAGTTTCTACTCAATAAACGAGAATAACTTGTCCTAGACTGATTCATTCAGTATAAAAAAACTCAAGTTTTTTTCTTTTTCGTTTGCCAAAATTCGATGTGAGGTTAGATAAGACAAGGAAAGAAAAACATGCAGAAAATAAGTGAGATTTGGTTTTGTAGTTGATTGATAGTGTACGAATGACCATGAAGTGAAACGAGAAGAAAGTAAATCGAATATGAAACAGAAGACGAAATGAACAAACAATGTTGTGAGAACAATTGGTAAAAAGCTCCTGAGAATCGTCGCGTTCTTTGTTTTGTTGTCCGATTTTACTTATCTGGAACTATCACATAAACAGTTGAGTGAATTAATGCTAAATTTGACCTCGAAATCAATGATTTGGCTGATTTGCTCGTGGAAGGTGGAAATAAGAAACAACTACATTCAGCTAATTATCGATTAAATATGACGGGCGAGAGGTTTGGTCGAAGTTATCATTGATTTAGTGAGCAGGTTTATATCATTGAATTCGAAATGAATACTGTTGAAGACTAAAACAAATGATGTGAATAAGATCATTTGTTCTTCAACTTGACGAGTGTATTCTAATTGATTCCTTGAGACTAAATAGAGCGAATGAATATTTATATCAATTTTCCGCTATTTGTATGTATAAGATCGTCTTCCGTACTTTTATTTATTGTTCTCACGTGTTAGTTTGCGTTTCATCTTATGCTATGATCATATGTATATATTATTGTTGACGTGCTCTTGGAAATTGTGATTGTGTAGAAGAAAAGGGTTGTTGATATTGAGAGAAATTCGAAGAAGTTGCCTGCGGTCCTTGTTGAGAAGAAATTGCCGACATTGGATCATCGTAGGATGGAACGATACCCTGAACAGGTCGACTACGTAATTTAGCGCCAAAAATTTTAAATGGATTCGGGTCATTTGTATCATTATTCGTCACATTCGGTTTGATATTCTCTTTGATTGTTGAGACTTGAAAGGCAACTGGCTCAAGTTTTGATTGCTTATCTTGTACTGTGTATGTTACTTCATTTAGTTGTTGAGTGTGAGGTCTCTGTGGCGGAATTTGTATAACTTGAGTTTCTTCAGTGACTTGTGTTACGACTTTCGATGGACTTTCTTGATGGATTGTTGCCGATGGTTCCGAGTGAGCATAAACGCGATAGGATGCGGATGGCGATCGTGAGTTGCTAGTTTGTCGATGAAATTGAACTTTCGATGATATTGCAGAAGTATTCACATGACGACGTGTCGGAGAAACTCGATCGTTTGTTGCTGAAATAGAATATTTAAAGAACGAAATTAATTATACAAGTTTATGATTACATCGAATATTGAGACGTGCTGTCGAGCGACATGTTCCTAATGAATTTCTTGCTGTACACGTATAGTAACCCTGGTCATCGACAAATGTTTCAGGGATATATAGCGTTGCTCGACCGTCACTGTAATAATCAATACGAAATGCTGAGTCGACACTGATGATTTCACCATCTTTATCCCAAATAATTTCAGCCAACGGTAAAGCTACACAAAACGAAGCACTAAGAATAGTATCTCTAGTTCGAAAAAGTAAGTCTATACCTGATACAGCAATTTCAAAAAGTATAGATTCTCCTTCTCGTACAGTTTGATCACGAAGAGATGAAATGAAGTATGGTGCATAATTTTCACTCGAACTAAAATTTGTCGTTCCACCATAGTTAGTGTTTTCTGATGACGCCATTGTTCGTTTGGTTGTTGTCGATGTTGCTGTAAAGTTACCTGTGTTACCATTTGAATACTGTTCGAGTCGATTATTTATTCCCGTAGCACTACCTGATACAATGAATTCTACAGGTTCTAATTGCCGTGGTTCAATTTCTAAAAAAAGAATCATTTAAAGATAACACATTTTTCCATCAGGTCTCATAGCAAGTACCGGTTATAAAAGTCGAACTATTGTCTGACACTCCACCTACACCGCCACTAGTGCTCGTAGTCATTCGCTCTTGTGCTGTCATTCTTGAACTCATTTCCCGTCGACTGTCCATATTGTATCTCGAATCTGTTGATCTATTGAAATCCGAGTACATCGCTGGAGAGCCATACTGTTGCTGTTGAGTGTTTACCGAGCCTAAAATATACGTATCTTTGGTTCTGGTTCGTGTATCGTCTAATTTAGCCACAATTGTATGTGAACTCGGTTGACGATGTAAATGTAATTCTACAGGTGCTATTTGAACATCATCTTGTTGAACAATAAGTTCACTACTCGACTTCACAGGATATTGAATAGGAGGCGGAATTACAACATGTGTTTGCGATGTATCTAATGTCGGACGAACATCGGCTAGAACAACAGATGTACTGTCTTGTACGTGTGGACGCGGAAGAATGAGTTCAACTTCAGATGGTTGAACATGATTTGCAACAGTATCAATGATGAGCGCAGAGGAACTTTCTTCCATCGGTTGATATGGGTTGCCGAGAACTTTAACTTGTTGTGTATCTAATGTGGCTTTGACATTAGCTATCAACGTTGTCGAACTATCACCAATGATCGGCTGTCTCATGCGTATCTCAACAGGTGAGGGTTCTACCTCAGGCGCAGTTTGATCGAGATAGAACGTTGATGTGGATGTTTCTGGTTGATATTGACTCGCACGTATTTCTTTTGTTTCGAGTTTAGCTGCAACATCGGCAATCATAGTACTCGTACTTGTCTCAATACGTTTTGGCTTGGGCATAATTAATTCTACTTCTTCATCCAAACGTTTCCTTTGTTCGAGAACAAATTTCGACGTCGATTTTTCTACTTGCGGTATGTCAACCTTAGCGCGAATACCAGCTATAGCTGGTGCGACTTGAGCGAGTACCGTACTTGTTGATGATTCCATACCAATACGCGGTATAATCAGTTCAAATGGCGCTATCGGCTGGTCAGCATTCAATTCCATTGTCAAAGCTGTACTGGATTCTTCAACGGGTGGTGGAATATACGGACTAGGTTTTAATTGTCCTTGAATACCTAATTCAGGTTGGATATTAGCGATGACAACACTTGAACTTTCTTGAATATGTGGTTTACGAATATGAAGTTCGAGAGTTTCTTCTTCTTCTGCTTGTTGCATTTGCATAGTCAATGATGAGCTACTTTCTTCCATTATCTTAGTTTGTTGGTGCAAACCGGTGGTCGGTCGAAATGATTTGATTTCCAGGCCTGGTTGTACACTGGCTAATAATTTAGTTGAGCTGTCTCGAACAAGTGGTTTCTCTAGAACTAACTCCATTTCATCGTATTGTTCTTGAAGATGTTGACTATTCAGCTCCATATCCAGTTTAACAGAACTATCTTCTGCAAGAACAACGGTTGTCGGTCTTATCGATGTAATCTGTGCTGGTCCTTGTATATCAGCAATCAATGTTGATACACTTGGCATGACTCGTGGTTTGTCCACGACTAGTTCCACAGGTTCAAATTTGGCTCGTGCTTGTTTAACATACGTTGTTGTATGTTCACCAGCACTGGTCCAGCCACTTTCTTCTTCTGCATCATAGCGGTAACGTTCACGGCGAATACTTTCTTCTTCGCCAGCTGATGAAGCAAATACTTCATCGTAATCGCTCGAGCTAAATCCTCGTCTCGATTTTACTTTCGGAACGATGAATTCAACTTCACTCTCAGCGCCACGATCCACTCTCGTAGTCGAACTATCAATGACTGTTAAAATATGTTCACCAGGTATTTCGCGATAACGATCTTCATAGACAACTGGTTTTCCATGAACTTGTTTAACCAATGTTGACATATGTTCGCCTTCGAGTGGACCGATAACAGGTTGATGTTTAGGAAATAGAACATGCATTTCACCGAATGCTTCAACTGGTTGCTCATAATATTTCGTTTCATGTTCACCTGTTCACAGAAAACAAAACCGTCAGAATCTGAATAGCAAAATTCATTGTCTCTACTCGAATTCTTACCAGGTATAGGTTTTGTTCTGTCAATCGCATAGATTTGTGATTTTCCACGTTGCTCTTTGACAATTGTTGTACTGTGCTCCGCTGGTATTTGAGGTTTAGCAATTAACAGGTGCATTGAATCGGCTTTTGCCTCAATAGATTCTTCAACAAATTTTGTTTCGTGTTCACCTTCGATTCGTCGAGTGGTTGTGTCAACTTCAATAATGGGTCCTTTGCCACGGCTATGCTTAACTATCGTTGTCGTATGTTCAGCGCGTTCGATTTGCGGTTTAGGTAAACGAAGTTCCAGTTGTTCCTCAACACGAACAGCATCACGGAAAAACTTCGTTTCATGTTCACTCTCCATTTTTCTTCCGCTACCAGTGATTTCCAGAACACGCCGTTGTGGTTGAGTTTCTGTCACAATAGTTGTTGTATGTTCGGCAGTTTCTGTGACACTTTTTGGTACAATTAATTCAACACTATCAAGTGCTCCTGATTGTATCGGTTTGTCAACCAAACGTAGTTCATGTTCGCCTTTCAATGTTGTTTGAATATTGTCAATGACCACACTCGATGGTAGTGCTCGTGTATGCTTAACCACCGTTGACGAATGTTGACTGGGCGCTGGTGGCAACGGTGGCTTAGGGAATAACAATTCGACTGCTTTATTATGCAAACCAGTTGAAATAGGTTCTGATATAACACGAAGTTCATGTTCGCCAGCCAGCGTATGTTCGCGTGTCAGAGCAGTGCTCACATCTAATGTTTGAAAACGACCACCTTTCTTTGACTCAACAACAAATGTTGACGAATGTTCAGCTGGTAGGGTTTCTACCGGTTTCGGAACTGTAAACTCGAATGGTAATGTTTGTCCTGCTGAAATCGGCTCTTTGATGATACGCAATTCATGTTCACCTTCGATCGTTGCTCGTTGATGTTGTTGACGCAGATTAGTCGACACTTTTCCTACTGAACGTCGAACATCCTTGACAACTGTTGTCGAATGCTCGCCTTGTGTAGTAATCACTTGAGGTTTTGGTACGAGAAGTTCAACAGGTTGACGTTCTGTACGAACATATTTAATACTCGTTTCACCAGGAATTGAGCTCGTTGATGAATGGATACGTATTGGTTTTAGGCGTTCTTTACGCTTGAGACGATATTCCATTGTTGTCAAATCGTCTTCACTTGTGGCAAAACCAGCTTCGCTTGTAGTAGCGGATGGCGTAGTCGTGTATAACTGTTTAGCAGTCGGTATTAAGCGTTTAAAAAGTAGTTCTTCTGAAAATGAACGCTGCGCGGCGGTTAAACGTTGCCCGCCATCATTTCGTGTTGAGTACGAAATTGTCGTTTGTTCTTCGTGATGTGGACGAAGAGAAAAATTATTAGTAAATTGTTTTTCAAACTGATTTACACGATTAATTGATGATGTTGTAGTGGTTGTTGTTGTCGGTGGTATCGGTGGCATTTGATAACCTGATCGGTGTATGATTTCCTCAGTTGTTGTCGTTGTTGTTGTTACTGCCTCTGGTTTTGATGGTCGATGGCGGAAAACTTCTTCGATAGTTTCGATCTCTTCTTGTGTATCAACAGTCGTTTTCTTCTTTCGGTCTTCGAGTGACTTTTTTTGTCGTTTATTCTTCTCATATTCATCAGTAATATCTTGTAAACAACGTAAATACTCTTCTTCAGCATCGAAATCACTTCTACGCTGTTGTTTACTACCGATCGACGACGCACGACGCTTATGTTCGACTTCATACTCGTAACTTCGTGTCATCGTAGTCGATTTAGTTCCTTGTTGACTGCGTTCTTTTTCGAGAACGTCATAAGGAATAAAGACATCGATCGATTTTGGATACTGTCGTCGTCGGCATTCTTGATCGCGCGAAATCGATTGTGTACGTTCGAGCGACGATTGTAGTGGACGATAACGTTTATTACCATTCGATGAACTAAACGATGAATGTCGTCGATGTTCGTATTCTTGCTCGAATGAACGCGTGTTCGAGGCTGATGTTGCTTGCTGATGTTGTTGACTCGTTTCCATATGTCGTTTTCGATTCGACGGTGGTGAAGGTGACATTTTGACAAGTAAATCGGACAACATGTTGCTATTACTTTCCGTACCTTCAGACGAAGATACACAGAGACAGTTAGAAAATTTATTATGTTGTCTAGAGATGTATATAAGAATATAGATATGTATATATGTATATATGTGTGTGTATGAATGCGACGCTGAGACAGTATTCAATGTCGTTTCAGTAAAAAAAACAAACTTTTTCTTTGTTATAGATATACAGTAGACGATAGATTTCGTGGGCGAATATATATTTCCTTCAGATTATTCTTCCTTTTTCTTCGCTCTCTCTCTCTCTCTCCTCAAAGGCCGCATATGCAAGAGAGTACATCATCGATAGTGCTGAAAGCGAGCATTAAGCAACAATCCACAAACGCACTGACACACACACAATCAGATACAAGCACATGCTGTATGCAGACACATTCAGAACCAGACAGGTTTAATCTTATCTAAAGAGCGACTACAATAGGAGAAACTAGAGAAAAGATTCGACGACAGAAGAAAGCAGATGGTAATCAAAGCTATTTTGGGTTTTTTTATGCACCTCTGCAAATGCCACCCTCGCAACTAATGATTTGGTGTGTAACTGTTCTCACTTATAGAAGTGATGGCGAGAAGAGAAGAGAAGATGACCTTAGATGGAAAATTTACACAATAAACATCAAACAGAAAATGAGACAAACAGATCATCACTTTTCATAATGATATGAAAATATAAGCAACTGACGGTACAACAATCTCTTGGAAATCTCTCGTTGGCTTCTACCATTTGCAAGAGAACTGTACTCTCACTATCTATGATCTTCTTATTCGTTGTCTCTGTATGTTATGTTTTCTTTTTTTTCCCGAATCAATCATTATCTCAGACGGTGTGTTGTACGAGTTGATGCTACGGAGAACAACAAATAGCTTACAGATGGATATATATCGTCGAAGTTCTTCTTTCCTCTCCTTTCTTTTCTTCTCTGGTATTCTCTTCATTACATCCTATCGATCGCTTATAGTCTTTTTTGCTCAGTTGCTGAAAAAGCAACAAGAATAGATCTTAACACGTCCGACCATGGTATCAAGCTCGATATGTAGAAATGAGTTGCTATCTTTCTGTTGGGAACTAATGACAGAAAAGAAAGTAAGAAAAACGCTGGCCTATATTTATCAGATGAAGAGAAATTCGTAGGAGGACAAACGACATTTGTTGACGACATCAAGATCAAGTCGGAATGAGAAAGAGAGGAAAGAAGCACAAGAGGGATGGATATGCAATATTACTATTTCTTTATCTCTTATATTCCTTTTCTCAAGGAAATCAAATAGTGATGAGAGACGTTCCGAGGAGAACAATAAAATAATTGTGAAGGAAATAAATGCGTTCGATACCAATTGGATGCTGACGAATAAAGTGCAATGTGGTTTCCAAGCAATTGTAGTAATTGGTTGAGTACAAGCGGTTGTATATGAGAATATTTTGAAGCAATTATATTATCTGACGGTGTACTCCTTTTGTAATCAGTGAATACTGTCTTAGTGGTATTTGTCAGACAAAGAAAAACACGGACAGAAGTGGCTGTTCTCTGATCGATCGAGATTTGTATGAGAATTGATCTTACCAGGTATTGAAGTTGGCGGAATGAATAATTGCGCAGTGCATGTTGCTTTGCCCCAAGAGTTTTCGGCATTTAATGTAAATCGTCCAGCATCTTCGTATTGAATATCATTTATAGTCAACGAATATGTGTCACCTAACACATGTTGTTGATAGCGTTGACTATTTGCTAGATTTGTTATTGGCTCCCCATCGAATAACCAGTAGACCTGACGAGAAAAAAAGACTGAGACAATATGAAAATCTTATTTGTTTCTCAAGTGTTTACATTTAATGGTTGTGTACCAATTAATCGAGCTTCGAATTTCATTGATGAATTTATTGACGCTTGTCGATCAATAAATAACTGTAGAAACTCCGGTGGAAAACCAGTTGGTTGAACAAAAGCTGGTTCCGTATTCACTGAAATCGGATGCGTTGCTGACAAAATTGTTAAAAGACCCTCGCACTTCGCTTCGCCTTCGATATTCACTGCTTTCACCATATAGAGTCCAGCATCATCAGGAAACAATTCCGGTATCTCAAGTGTATAGATATCATCTTGATTGCGAATCTATCCAACGAAACAAACATTCATGAATTTTGCTCATTGTTTGTGTACAACTTACTTTATGATCATGTGTGTTACGTATTGGTTGATTATCTTTATACCAAATGATCTGCGGCTTTGGTTGGCCAGTTATTCGCACTTGAAAAACAACACGATCACCCTCGTTTATCGTTTGATTCTTAAATGCTTGATGAATAACAGGCGAGGCGCGAACTGATTGTAAACGTTCGCGAAGCTGTGGTGTATCTTTCGATTGAATATTCACTTGACAGGTTGATTCAGCTTGTCCCATGGAATTGACAGCTGTGATGCGATAGAATCCACTATCGTTTTCTTTTTCACATCGATCTTTAATTAATGTACATAATTGACCATCAAATGTTAACGTTATATCGCGTGTGCTTTTCAAAGGAACATTATTACAGTACCAAATAATCTACAAAAGAGAGAGTAGTTATGATTGAAGAGTAAAATAAGAGTTTGGATTATATTTTGTACTTCTGGTTCAGGATGAGCATTGATAGCTGCATGTAGTTTCAGTTTTTGTCCTTCATTGATCGTTACATCGAGTAGTGGCTGGACGAAGATAGGTTTACACGGTGTATCGGACATTTCCGATTCGCTACAAACGAAAAATGTGTGTATTCGTGAATGACTGCGCATCACTTACGGTGTTCGACAGAAAAATTCTTCTACAGTCAATTGTGTGAATGATCGTGCTTCACCCAACGAATTGCGAATTAAAACTGTGTACGAGCCTGCATCCTCTGGAAAAGCTTCTTTGATGAGTAGCGCTGTGTAATCAATTTCTCTTACAACCTAGATTAATCA